GAGAGCGAGAAGAAGAGAAGAGAAGAGAAGAGAAACGAGAAAGAAAAAAAAGAACAATGCTTCTTCTTTCTTCTTTGAATTCTACAATTAAGGTAATTTTCTTTCGTCTTTCTTTTCCGGGATAATTCTCCTACTGACAAACATGAGCATGTTCATTTCATTAAACTTGAAAATAAAACGAAATTCTTTTGCCACTCAACAGTACAAAAGGCACTAGTTTTTGATTTGTTCTGTTTCTTTTCATGTGTTTCTCCATCCATCATCACCTCAGAGACGAGTGTGAATGTTTGCTCAATTTCTCAAAGAAGAAAAAGAAAGGAAAAATTGAAAAAGAGAATTGTAAAATTTCACATGTGATACACTTTTGTTAAAGAGAGCCAACAAAAGAAAAATCGATGGCATTACAACCACGTAGTGCAAATATTTTGACGGAACCACTCGCACCAAATGCTGAATGGGTCCATGAAAGTTCAGCCGAAGTAGGTCTCATTATTAGTTTTCTTTTACTTCGTTATCCTGATGATTACTGTATAAATTTGTGAACAGTGTGATCGATCGCCTGACCCGTCGTTTTCAGTGATTAATCTTTCTCGCTATGGGAGGTGTCATTGGTTGTGAGAATCGATGAGCTGCAATGACGAACGTTCACCCGCCTCTTGACTTCCAACATAACAGTCAGGTCACGACATGATGCCTATTATCATAAGCTTACCTTTCGATGATGTAATAGACAAATACGGATGATTTTCTTGTTACTGTTACCCAGATGTGTCTATCCTAAGGGTTGATGAAAGCAAGAAAGACAAATCCGTTCATGCATTTATTATTCAATTGATCAGCACGAGAGAAGAGACTTGAACTCATTATGTTGATCGAACAACGGATTTGATTCTCTGTTTCTTTCTTGATCAAAAGATTTCTTATCATCATCATTAAGAATTTCCTTCATCTCTTTTCTTTTCTCTATTCATCGAATGAAATTAGATACTCTTCACCTTTTCCATTGATGTGTCATCAACATGTACACATACGAGTTTTATGCAATCGACTCTATATTATGACGAAAGAATGAAACATGTAATTGTAGGTTGAAATTAAATTATATCATGGTCATACGGGAGCAATCAATTCATGCCAATTGATCGAAGACAAAAATTGGCTTATTACAGGGTCAAATGATAATACAGCTCGTGTATGGGATTTTAATAGTGGAAAGCAAATTCATCTATATAAACTTAATCATGATATGGCAGATATACCAGCCGTACGAATGAATCAACAGGGCACTCGGTATAGGAGCGATTCTAATTGAATTAATAAATAGTCAATGACTTCAATTTTCCCTTTCGTTATCTTAGTTTATATTCATGTAGTTGGGACAAGACCATTCGTTGTTTCGATGTTGAAACAGGCAAACAAATTGTATATTGATATGTTTCCTTTATTTTATTCACAAAATAATCAGTTGTTTTTTATTCTTTAGTGGAAAGGTGTTCATGAACAAATTGTTACTAATTGTCAAGTGTCGCTTGACGGCAAATTAGCATGCTCAGGAACTGATTTAGATAGTTTAGTCACAATATGGGATGCGGAAAGTGGTCTTGTTACAAGTCGCATACCGAATGTTCACGAATCAACAATCACCAGTTGTCAATTCAATATCGCTGGCGATCGAATCATCACGACATCCATGGACAAAACAACGAAATTTTACGATCTTGTTTCCCAACGTTCGACTATGACATTGAAGTAATGTAAAGATTGATTGGATGTTGGCCAAAAGAGAATTGTCTTTGTATTTAGGGGCCATGAAGGTTCGGTTTCACAATGTGCATTCAACAAATTTGAACGCTTGTATGCAACATGTTCATGGGATAAAAATGTTCTTCTTTACGATGCTACAACTGGTAGCTTTAGGTGAGCGACAAGACAATTAGCTCTTGCCATTCATTCGAGCTCGGTGGGTGCTCAAACTAATGAGATGGCCTTTTCAGATGTTCATCTTTGTATACTCCTCCTTCTTTTCTACCTGCTGAGCATGTCAACTGTTCAATTGATATGTATATTGTTTTTTTCTTTCGATAGACGCGAAGGTCCGACCATATTACCCAAAGTACATGAAGGGTCAGTAGCGGCATGTCACATGTCGAATAATGGCAAGCTCCTTGTTACTGGAGGATATGATCTGCGAGTTGTACTATGGGATTTAGAAGCAATGACACACAAAATTGTTCTACGTGTGAGCAGATAAAAGATTAACATTTTACCAAAAAAGAAAAAAAAGTATTTCATTTCAAACAGGGACATGCAGATTGGATTAACGACGTGTGTATGACAAGTGATGATAAATGGATTGTATCGGTGTCTAGTGTACGAAGAGAAAACTTCGTTGAAATTCAATTATTTTTCTGGTACTCATTTTTGTAGGACTGTGAAATTCGCTTGTGGCATATCGGAAATTGCGATAATCGCTTAGTGATGGACAATAGTAAACTGTTGAAAATTGTCAATGTAAGTATTCACTATGATGCACATGCCCTATGTTCGAACTTGTTGAATATCTAGTGTCATCGATGTGGAAAGAATTTCTCGTCGAACAAAATCAAACGTGATGAAAGTGAAGCAACGCCAGCAGCATCAGCAGTACTTCTATGCGTTTTTTGTCGTCTGGAACAAAAACAAACGGTCGCACCTACTCACACTTATTCATTAGATGATTATGATCAGCCAGCTTTCAATGAAGCGATACTGTACAAGTAGAAAAGATTGACAATAATCAAATGCTTTCTTTATTAAAAGGGAATAAAACTAACGTTTTGAAATTTATCCGATCGGATACTTGCCATCTTGCTTTGTCCGTAATGTTCACACTTATCTGTCAAGTAAAGCTATTCTAGTGAATTTTTCATCGTGAAAGAATCTTAATAACATTGTCGTATAAACAAAAGAAAGTATGCAATTAAAGGACATGCCATTAGTAAGATATATTGCTTCCAACCTGCCTAGTAAAACATGAGAAGGTTGGAAGAATTTCTTTTTTCCCCTTTCGTTTATCCTTGTCTGTCTATCTGTCTATCTTTCTGGATTTCTTCAACCTTCACATGGCTCGCACATTGATCGATAACTAATGAGTAAACCTTGTGAGAACCTTCAGAAATCAAGGAATCAAAGCAAAATTTCAGTTTATGAAAGAAATCTATCGTTCGAACGAATCAATGGATATTCTTTTCACGAAAAAAGAACTGTAATGTATTAATATTAACTTGAGATTATTGATCTTTCAAGGTCTATCTGTCTTCTGATAAAAACCTTGCACAGACATATTTATTCTTCTCAAAGTCGTTGATGCTTCAAGTGAATTCTCATGAGAACATTGGATCCGTTAAGTGATAAACAATTTCTTCTTCGATCATGTTTTATTTTGTAGGTCAATTAGAGAGAAAATATTTGTATTTTTTGCCCATCTAAGGCCGAGCATCTGCATACAAACATCATAATAAAGACCAGAAAAAAAATCGAGGACCTGAAAAAATATATCTGATATTCTCCTTGATAAACTTGACGTTTTCTCTTGTCTTTTCAATGGCATTGTATGTGTGCAAGGTCTTTTCGATCGTTCTTCAATCTATAAAGACATCATATTTTTGTTCTCGGTCTTTTTTTCTTATCCAAGGTCTACATAACAACATTACACGATAAGGATAACAACAACAACAATCATAACAGAAGAATTCTCTCGCGTTTCTCTTATTACGAGACTGGATACAGTTGAAAATCAGATGACACACACGCGTACGTTGAGATTGGAAAACACAAGCGAGAATAATAACGGATGTTTTTGAAGGTTTTGTCACCAATAAGCAATAGAGTCATGTGAGCGCCTTTGCATATGCAATCGCAAAGCAAAAACACGACTTCACCTTCACCGAGAAGGAAAAAAGAAGGGAAAGAGAGAGAGAGAGAGAGAACGGAAAACAACAAAAGTGACGTGAAGGATTGTGTAAAAGAAAAAAAAAACGAGAAACATTTTTTTGCTTTCGCTTCGTTTAGAGCGCATGCAACCCATTTCGATTAAGGTCATTTGTGTACCAGAATCCTTAGTACAGAGTTCGATTTCTCTGCATATGAACATTAAATCTGACGACAGACTAGCATATGAGCCGAATGATCTTTTGACACATGAAAATCTCAACAAAAGAATCCGAGCGATTGTTAAGTATGATCATGTGTGCTTATCGAACATTAGGAGCAAGTATGATATCTAAACTTCTTATTAAGAATTGATTATATTCATCCAAGGTTAACACTTTCCGGTGTCATTTACACAGAGAGGTGTGTACCATTTATTTAGTTCTTCTCTTCATCGTTGTTTCTAGCATTCAAGGTCATGAAAACTTATTTTTATATGCCCTTCTTTCTTTCTTCTCTCTCTCTTTCTTTCCGAGTCCCATTCATTCATGAGCATCGGCCGAACGAGACTCGTATTTTGTCCTTCTCTTCTTTCTTTCTCCAGGCTCTTCTCTGTTGTTGCTGTTTACAGCATGGATGTTTATGTATAAGGAAGAAAGAGATAGAGATACACAGAAATCGACTCTCATATTCCTAATAGATTCTGTCATTTTTTTCTTCTCTTTAGATGTACACCTCAATGACAATCTTGCAACAATTTGAAGAATATAATCTATGTTGACTAAATATCAACTACTTCAGTTGCATTAAAGTGGTACGTATGATTTTTGATTATAAATCAACAAGATAACATCGAGTTAACTGTATACATGTCTTATTTCAAGGTAATTCGACAATAAATCGATGAATTTAACAAATGATTCTAGTGAAAATGACAATGACAAAGAATCCTCAAGTGACGAAGACGAAGACAACGAAAATCTCTTGATTCATTCGCCAACAGTTCTAGTAGAAAAATTCTTTTCCGCTGATAATCTTAACGAAGAATTCGATAGCAGTGATGATGATATCAGTGATATTGAAAACCGTTCATTTTCGATTCATCATTCACCGCGACAAAATCGTCTGTGTACATTATTAAGACAATCAAGTCCACTTGTTCAATTAAAGTTAAATCTGCTCGAAAAGACTCATTCTTCATTGCGACATGCAAGATCCGACAGTGATATGTCAAAAGAGAGAAATGATCTATTTCGTTCACGTCGTCTCTATTTACCATTGTCGTCAACAAATGAATTACAAACCCAAATAACTAATTGGTTGCAAGCAAGTACTTGCTTGATTGATTCGATATCGACATCAACATATCATCGACAATGTTGGTCACAGTTACTATTAACATATTTTATTGAACGACGCTTCGTTAATTTGCAATTCATTCTCTGCACACATTCGATATTGTTAACAACAGTTAATGAGGATTCATGTTCGATGCACTCGCATGCATGTGTACCAGAAGAGGATGCCTATAAATTATGTTCAATATTACAGAAAGGCTCGCGGTTTAACATTGATTCGAATATTTTCGATCATATACGTCGAATTATTGTGATTAAAAGTATGCAAGAAGGTACGATTAGGATTTGAAAGAGAAACTCGTTCGAAGAAGTTCTTTCCTTTGTAGCCATTAATGATAACGTACATTTGCAAGAACTTTATGTCAAGCAACTAACCGGCCTTAAACAATCGCTGAATCGACAGCAATCATCGATGACCACTATACCATCCATATATTCTAAACTTCTTCTTTTTCTCTCAAGTCTATATTCGATCAAAGCAGAAACGATGCAAACACTCTTTTGTCAACATCTTCTACACAATCCGACGTATTCCTATCTTGTTACTTCATAGTTTTTTCAACTCTTCTTCGCTTGTTCTCTTCTACTTCTTCTTCTTCGTTCTTTTTTCACTGAAATTTGTCTATGTGTGTGCTTATTGTGCATCCCGGTTGACGATTTGTATGTTGAAGTACAAATTGTCGTCTCGGTCAGATCATGTAAACGTTTGTAGGTGTATGGATGTGTATGTGCAGCAAAACGGTGAATGATTTCAGAAAAAGAAAACTTCTTTCATTTTGTCTATTGATGACGATGACGTTGCTGATGATGTTCGGATGATCTTCGTAGGTGATATAAAGTGCATAGAACTAGATGAATTTTCAACTTTTTTGTATGTTTTAATGAAATCTTGATATTTCAACAGATTACTTTCTGCTTCGTCATCAGTCGATATGACAAGATTGAAATGAATTCGTCTCTATCTCTTTAGTAAAATCATCGTTCGAAGGCTCGTAAGTCATTAGATGTATTGCATGAAATGAATTGATTGAAAATGACATATACTTAGGCATCCATGTCTGCAATGCTGATGGGTGATGTCTACTTCTATCTGTGCTTGTTTATCATATTTGATCATCAAATATTTCAAGATTATCATCGGTTAGATAAAGAATCTGTCAAAATCTATCGACTACCATTGAAAAATATTTTCCGTTAATCATACGAACAAATTCTCTCGCGTTCGTAAGTCATCGAACTTTCTTTTCGTCTTTTGCAACACAGAGAACAGAATTTCTTACTAATCAATAGTTTATTTTTATACATTTTCGTTGTTTTCACAAAGAAAAGTCATTGGATCAAAAAGAATTACATTCGACATTTCCATTTGTTGGAATTCATACAAAGTACAAAATCAGAAATCATTCCACACCAACATTGACAGGCATATATGCAGAATTTCTTCGATGATCGGAGGAAAGTAATGTTGAGCTATTTCAATGAACTATTTGTAGAAGAGTTATGCAAATTAGACGATAATGTTGTGAAACGAGATTGAAGGTGGACTGACGGGTGTGGACCTGCTTTCGTCCGCACAAGTTCGTCGATTTTCGGTGCCATTTTGAGTGTAAGTGCAACTATACCTGCGCACAGAAGAATCATTAACAGTCCGATAACAGTGATAATTCGAGTAATGAGACGTTTTTTTCGAGCGGCGGCTGCGACCAAACGTTGTTGTTTCATTTCTAATAAGTTCGGTGGAAGCCGTTCGATATTAGACACAGACGAGACTCGTTTAGAAGAAACATCGACATTTGATTTTCTCTTCTGTTGAAGAAAAGCAATATTCGCTTGAGAATCATTACGATCATTATTACCAATAAGCCCTGTCGATGGCGAACGAGATTGTGAAGAACTCTTCGTTGAATTAACGACTTGCATGAAAAACAAATTTAATATACTAAAGAATAAAGTCGAGATATTTCAAAGAAAACGGCTCGGTTAGTAAATGGAATTCTTCACTGGATTAATTCCTAATCAATACTTACGAAAGAGAAAATATCTTGTATATGTGTGTGTATTCAGAATATTAGTAGGAGAAAGTGACAATCGTTGACTGGTTAGTGGAGGAAAACTTTCCAGAATAAAAACAAGATGATGAATTCGAGAATGTAATAACTGAACTCTGACTAGAGAATATCCTTAATTCGATTATCGACCAACTAATGACATTAAATGTCATATTTACTTCGAAAAGCCATTATTCAGCAAATCATCATCATCATGGTGTTCAATAATCAGTACGTATAGGCACGCGAAATGAAGAAGAGAGAGAAAGGATTCCCAATGCGAAATAGTTCAAATTTCCTGCACTGGCTTCGCTAGTAGCCAATTATAAAAAGCTCGTATTGTTACTACAGAGGAGAGACAAAAGAGAGAAGAAGAAAGAGAAAGAGAAAGAGAAAGATGATTGTTTTCTGCTCTCGTACCGTCAAATGTTTTCTTGCAGGAAGTTTTATTTTCAGTTCTAGCTTCTTCGACACAAAAGCAAACAGAAGTATCTTCAAAACATTCTCAGTTTTTTTTAAAAATCCAAACGTCGGAACACAATGTTGTCAGACGTCTTTCGTCTCTCTAGTGTCTTAGATGGAAACACGAGAAGAAGAAGAAGGAGTGAACGTGAAATATTAACGACAGAAGCAAATTGAAAAGCATTTCTGTATGAGCAGTCACATGTAAAATAAGTTATAGTGACGCACGAGTAAAATATATATACACATAACGATCAATTGTTGTGCAGCTTTCTTACTTATGACTCCATGCGAAAAGATGAAAAAAGCGATCGATGAGTAGAAAAATTCATGTTCAGTGCATTGATAGAAAATAAATAAGCACAAGTATGATAATTACCGAAGTGATTTCCAAGCTACGAGTAGATGAAGAACAAACAAATGTTTGGAAGAATTATTAATCTATTTTCATCTGTATAGTATCAAACACCAATCAATTACCTAATCGACAGATGATAAGCAAGTTCTCGTTTCACCTTATTCGTTGTTTATCTTACGGATATATATTCGATTCGATCTGCAATGCCATTTCTGATGACGATAGAGTCAGAGTTCTTTGTAGTCGTACGCAAATTTGACAAAGAAAAACGGAAGTAAAAGATCGTGCGACGAGAGATTTAGATAATTGATTGTCATTCTTTTTCCTCGAACAACATAGGGTGAAGTATTGTTCACAAGGTTTACTTTCGTCGTCTTTCTTCTCGAAGAAGACCTTCGTGACGTGAACTGATATGATGATTTCCCCAATGTGCGTGTTTAGCGAAAATAATAAGCAAATCATTTTTAAATTATTCAAGTTAACAAACCAGAAAAGCAATTACGAGAAGATATTCAGTCTATCTCACATTCCCTTCCATTGTTTTAAAGACACCAGTGAAGGCCAACGTCATGTTTTTTACCTTGATGTTTTCTCTAATTTAATTTATTAAGCAACATTGAAGAAAGAACGAAGAAAAAGACTAATAGTTCAGTTTTGCACGTTTCATCTGTTCGTCGGATCTATCTGAAGCCGATGATGAATGAAGACGTTTTGTTTCTGCAACTACACCCGAGTTTGTTTTCTCGTCATTCAAATCCTGAAAATGAATATGCACTCGAAGAATGGTCTCGCCCGTAAAACATTTTGCATACCGTTGAAGGCTTTTCAATAGCTTCTATTAATAAACGATGAACTTCTTCGATGTTCTTGTCAACTGAGTCAGGTAGAACTTTACAACTTGCTCGAATGCCTTGAATATCTCTGCAAGGAAACCTTGAGAATCAATCAGGTCGATTCTATCAGCAGATGACCTACCTCGGTAATAATTCAGCTAGATGCATCAGCATTAGGTCAGAAAGAACAAAGCTGGAAAGAAAACAAATGAAGTGTTAAGTGAATAAAGAGCTGAACGAGTTCGTATTTATACCTAGGGGATTCATCTTCTTGCCGTGCAATCTTATCACGCCATGCATGGAGTGACTTCAAAGCGGATAGCTGGTTACTATCGAAAGTTGTTTTCCGAAATTTTGTATAGAGAATTTTGTAAGCCGTTGGATCAAATGCTGCTTTTTTGTATAACTAGCAAAAAACAATGGGATAACAAACTTTTTCTAAAAATAGGTCGCTTGACAAAACATGAAAATCGCTCGTCAAAGTTCAGAATAAATACTCTCGAACAATCAATTAGAACCTTCCTGTTAAGTCACGTTCGTCTATGATTACACGGTTCATTTTTGTAAAAGCATGTATGTCAACTTTCATCATCACGTACTTTTTGACAAATTATTTTAGATTTCTTATAAACTAAGCGTAAATTTTCCGCACTGCCCCCGCTCATATCCAATAGTTGATTTCGTAAATGATCGTAGATGTAGAGAAGATAGTGCGTATCCTCCCGAGCATAACGTATATAATCACTGGGTAAAGGTCTAAACAAACGAAGGAGAATGATATTTTTGAGTTTTTATCAACTAAACCTTATTCTCCAATCAGCTAATTGAAATTGTTTGCTTGCATCAATATTACACAGAGTTTTCAATAGATATGCGAGGGATAGCGTTGGTAATTGAAGTTCTTTCGCTGCTTGGTGTGTATCAAACATATTCACAACGTAAATACCGAAATCCTTTTGTAACCATTCAATATCCCAATCAGCACCGTGGAATACCTGTGATAGTCAATCATAAAACTCGTTCCATGAGACGTTAATTAACAAAACTACTTTGAGAATCTTCGGATTGGTGAAAACATTGTTAAGAATAGATAAATCATCTCGAAGTAGAAGAGTATCAACAAGAAAATCCTCCGTACGAGATGATATTTGCATTAAACATGTAAATCCTTGATAAGACCGATACGAATGATGCTGAAATAAACAATTTACACCATTTCCATATCGGATTCATAAGCTTTTACCTCTAAATCAATGGCTAATTCTGTTTGTAATTCAATATGATCCATCATTGTTTTCAATTTCTCGCTCGTGTCAACAAACAGATATTTCGTGTCGTCCATTGACTTTGGAAACTAAACTGGCAGTATACGAAAGTATGTCCTGTGGTATCCTTGACACTTACTTGTGGTTCTGTTCGTTTCAGAAACGTCTCGTCAGGTGCGAAGACTTCGATTTCATCGAAATACGGATGATCTAATCTACAAATGAAACGATATTTGATTTTCTTCCGAGTGTCATACTTACAATTCAGGATGTTGTTGTAAGAGATCAAGATTTCCCGGTTCCAAATCTATTTGCATCATCATTGCTAGGAAAATATTCTATATGCTATAGATCAAATGACATTCAAGAAGATTTTACCAGGTAAGGGTGTAATTGCATTTGGCTTCGTTCGAAGCTTTGGTACGAACGGTATTTCTGCAGCATTATCTATTTTATACTTGAATTTCAATTGAGGTTTCTCTAAGACTTGCCGCTAGAAATCATCGAATCGAATACTAACATATTTCATCTATCCAAATCTATTTACCATCGTTGATGACACCGTCGACTTGGTTAATCCATCAGCTTCATCGAGTGCAGATGCCTAACTTAGAATAAATGAATAATTAATCAAAACACGTGCTGTTAAGAATGTATTACAATTCTTTCGAATAATGTGTCATTGATGTCAACTAATTGCTCGAGTTTTTCATCGACGTCGAGGTGATTCCAATTCGAAGGTTGAATAGGAGATTTGATTTGATAAATCCTACACAGATGAATTATTTTAGGAATAAAACAAGAGTTCAACCAAACTACCGATTTAGTATACGTTCGCTTAGTCGATTGATTTTCTCTTGACAAGAATCGATCGACATGAACTGTTCGAAATTTTCCACTCCTAATCGATTCGATGTTCGAATAACATCGATTACTTTTGTACAGATAGTCTAAATACGTATAAAATATGAATTTTGCACTCTCATAATCAGCAGCTGTTCGTTTACTTGTTTATATTCATCAACACTATTAAATAAATCCAAAAATTTTCCAGAATTCGTCGCAGACATGTTTCATCTAGTGAAAATATAAACGCATTTATTTAACACATGTACATAACACTTCACTATGTTTTTCTCTTTCGTTCTTTTGACTAAACCCTTGATTATTCATTCTTCGCCCACGCATATTTTACGAGTTCACCTCATGCATCTGCTCCTTTTAACTCGACGAGGTTAAACGAAGTACGAGAGTGTCACAAATCCTTTTAAGCAAATGATGACTCATACTGAGATTTATATAGTTGACAGAATATGTGAGTCGAACTAGTTCATTCATATCGAACCCGATTTTAACAAGCAATATGCGTTCAATCTTTGTTATAGCTATTTGTATTGTTTTCCTTCAATTGGAATATGTTCAATGTTACCAATCGAGAGCAAAACTGCCTTCAATGAGTGATACAGATGCATCACAATGGTTAGCAATACGAAGTCTTCCACGCCGTTTTCGACAACAATATCTAGCAAACCAACAGCCCGACGATCTCAGTCAAGCATTCGGACAGTTACAAGCCATGAATGATAATGGTATTCGTCAGTTTGATAGTCAATCTATAGATGGTATTCCAATGGAAGTTCTCTACGAATTATCCCAAAAAGGTGGAAAATACAAATAATCAGAATATCTCCTCTTCTTTTTCTATCATTATGATGTTCTCTTACATAAATAAAATCATAAACATATTTCTAATCTTGAATTGCACCTACTGTCGATGGTTATAAACAAATAAATTGATTTGTGTATCAAATGAGCTGAATGACACATCCGTTAGAAATGTCTATGCACGCCATAGGTGGTCAATAAACATTCTTTCGTCTTGAAAAGAAGTGGGTCACGTTTTGACGTAAGAGATGTTCAACTTGTTAATTGTTACTTCTCATTTTGTTTCTGAAGGCGATTATCTCAGTTGGATATCAATGAACATTTCCATTCTTTCTTGTATAGAGATGTTTTGAAAATTAACGAACCGAATTCAACCTCGTCGACTCATCTTACGTATGTGAGTGATCATTTATCAATGTTGAAAAACATATGTTGCGTTGTGCTGTCCTCTCTGTCTTATCAAATAAGCATTTTAACATATGGTAGCATAGTTACGAAATAAATCCACTCGTTCTTGTTTTCATTTCATACATTAGCATGTCAACACCAAATCATGTCATCAAAACATACATTCAAGGTGAGAATTGATCCCATGTGGATGATCTAATTGATCAATCAGCGCATCTTTTCACACACATACTTCTTTTTATGAAACAACGGTTCCATTCCATTAAATATTTCGTCACGAATCGCGAAGTTTCCTTTCTCTCAACTAACTTGCATTGAATTGTTGATAGTTTTCCGAATATTCCAATACTTAAAGTGCCGAACTCTTGACACGTGCTGTTCTCGACCCTATTACTGGACTGTAGACATGCGCCCGGCTTCGTGTATCACCGACAAGTACTAATTAGAATTTCAATTTCGGCTTTTTTTTCTTATCTTTTCTTTTCCTTCCTTCTCGTCTATCCTAACCAATCACATTCGTTTCTTTCGTTTATCGATTACATTCAGTTGAGTGTGACCAGTCGTCATTATATCAAACAAGAGAATACGGAAAGACATACGATGGAAACGCAACAATTAAGAACCATGCTTTCGATTGAAAAATCTGATTTCTCTCAAATACCAATGAAATCTCATCCCAAACGGCGACAAATTTCGGATTATTTACATAAAGTTTGTAGTGAAACTAACTTTGAAATCGAAGACTTATCACTTTTTTCTTTAGTTAACCGATGATGAACGAGTGTCAGATGATATTTTTGCATTAGCAATGAATCTGTTCGATCGTTTCATTGCGAAAAGAACTTCTTTTCAATCTGACGATCGCTCATTGAAACGAATCGCTTTATGCTGTTACCATATATCTAAAAAACTACGCACAAATATTGTCAACAATAAAGAAAATGATCAACTTTCTTCGGTATTTTCGAAAGAGAATTATGATGACGAAGAAATCTTCGTACGTATGGAAATCAAATCATTCATTCCAAATGATCGATATTCTCTTATTTAGGATACCGAGAAAATGATTTGCAACGTATTAGATTGGGATTTAGCGGCTGTTGTTCCACATGATTACATTCAACATTTCTTACCATTTGAAAATCAAATACAGATCCGTTCGCATGTTCACATTCTTCTCTCGATTGCAATCTGCGGTGAGTCAATAATTCTTTCACAAGAAAAAAAATACACAGCTGTTTCTCTTTAGAACTGAATACATTAACAATTCTTCCGAGCCTTCTAACTTGTGCATGTATTAAAGCAGCGATGAATGGTCTTTCACTAAAAAATTTTCATCATATCGATGAATTTATCTTTCAAACGATCGGTTGTAAGAAGATCGAGCTTCTACAAACTCAATGTATGATTGAAGATTTTCTCCAATCGTGTATACAAACTCTGAAACAAACCCCGCGACGTCGCTGTTTAGCACCGATTGAAACCAGTCCTCAACAACGAACCAGAGTGAAATGAACTCTTGCTGATTTAGTTTTATTTTGCATTTGAAATAAAGAGAAATGAATATTTTCGAAGGAAAGATTAGATCATTGGATAAGAAAGACAAATGAATTCGTGTTAAGAGGATACTTAACATTTCATTTGACATGACAAATGACTCTTGACTGAAATATCCTGTTCGGGAGAGTGATGACGAAGTGTAATCATTCAGAACTGAGAAAGGAAACGACTGGTGAGAAGAAATGTATTTTCAAATAAAAATTCATCCGGACAGAACGACAAGGGCAATGATTCGGTAAGCTATATTGATGCAACGTCGTTAACTACGACTTAAACATTATCTTAACATTTCTCTCTCGAACAATCCTCTACGCAAATAAAATCAGTTTCTTAGAATGAAACGAACTATCGTCATTGATTTCTTTCTATTTCAGCTTAAGTTAAACTGCATGCATCTACACATAAATCTCTCGTTTGGTATCAGTGAAAAACAAAACATAAAATTTGATTAATTGTTTGTTAAAGTAGTTGATGACGAACTTCTCCCGAGTAGTTTACATATAAACGAGAAGGTAAACATAAACGAAAAGAAAAAGAAACAGATATACATTGAATTTATATGGCGTGCAAAAACATAGACAGAGAGACGCGTATGTACGAAAGGATTTCTCTTACTGAGGAACAACCGAATTTCTCGTGTATGTCTTACAAAAAAAAAAGAATGAAAGCAAAAACAGTAGTGAATGTTTAATATCTCGGTCGTTTTCTATTGTATCCCTGTTGTTGTTGCTGTTGATAATGAAAATCGTCGCCGCTTGGGCGTGTATAACCACGTGCTACCTGATTGGTCGTGTATGCAGCATCGGTAGGTGGTGCGCGGGACATCAGTGGATTGGGATCTGGTGGGTAGCTGTTTTGCTGAAAGTCATTATATGGCATTGTATTTGTTTGTGATTGATTTGAATGATATACATTGTTTACAGGAGTAGTAGGCATATTATATGGATGATTGTATGCATCTGGGCGATGCATTGGTACATTACTGCGACGACGATCGAGTTCCTGAGATCGAAGTTCGTCTATTCGACGAAGATCTTCTTGACGACGTAACAATTCTAGAAACGACATAAGACACTTACCGGTTTCTTTCCATCAAATCTCGAGCAAACTCAGGTGGATCTTTATCGGATCGTGTTCATATGTACTTCATTCAGAATCACATAAACTGTTCAAAGGCTTTCTCGATAGTGCACGAAAGAAGACAAGCAAGTAAAAGCTGATTCAGACTATTAGCACAATCGGATACAGAGTCAATATTGTCTGATCGAGTTATCTACTTAAAAATAAAATATAGCGCACTCTAGTTTCTCATTTTCTGTACGTATACGATAAACAGAAATCATGAACACTGACGAACCTTTTTAGGATTTCTACAAATAGGAAAAATACGATCTGGTTAGATCACACGAATAGTCACTAGGTGCAATAACACTAGTATTCATTTCTGCCGCTTTGATTACAGTGTGAAAAATTACGTTTTCTAGATGCACTCTGTTTGCCCTTACCTTCTCGTAAGACTTGCGACTGATGTTCCAAATACATTTGATCGATTTCGGTCTGTAATTGTTCAGTAGCATATTGCATGCGTTTTTTAACTTCTTCTAATAACTGCTTTTCTTGTAATTCTAATTGTTTCCATTTTAGACTAATAGTTTGTTCAATACTATTCATCTCAGCGAAGCGTGGTCGAAGTTCTCGTTCTCTAAAGTGATAAAAATCCTCCGTTGAAGCACGTTCATCGATGAATAGTCATGTTCGACTTACTTGATATATGCAGGATTGCGAACTAACGACTTCTCAGGTAAGCCGTCCTCATCATCTCTGATCTCCCATGGTTCAACTATGACAGGTCTTAATTCACTGCACAAAGAAAATAAAGTTATACACTAGAAATTATTTGGAATATAACTATTACCTTGTAAGAAAAAAGCAACGTTCCGTACATTCATTGAGACATTTTTGTGCAGATGGTTTCTTCTCAAACTCAACAATGCCTTCGCCGATCGATTTTCCTCGATCGTCAACGATTACAACAGCACGTTCGACAACACCAAAGTATTGCTCGAATGCTTCCTTAAGCAATTCATTTGAAACATTTGGTGATAAGTTTTTCACTTTTATTGTGGCGCCTTGACTTGCAAAACGGATACGAAGTGGCTTGCCACGTAAGATATAACCATCAAGATCGTACTTCGCTTGTTCAGCTACGTGACGTGAAGTCTAGAAGAAGAAGAAAACTGATCAATCAGGTTTACTTATAAGGTTTGCAAACATACAAGTTTGATAAAACCGAAACCACGTGATGGATTGACAAAGTATTCGACAAGTTCACCATATTTCTCGAATAATAGTTGAAATTCTTCTTGAGTTAAATCCGACGGAATGTTACCAATAAATAAACGACAGCGACCACCTTGTGTTGGCTTCTTTTCTTCATTGATTGTCTTCTTCTCGTCGCTCGTTGTTTTCTTCTGATCACTCGTGATCTTCTTTTCATTATTCGGTGGTTGTTGTTGTTGTTGTTGTTGTTGCGAAGACATAGTAACAAGCTGTAACGTTGTATTTTAATGTTAGAGATTTTACTACTCTGGCTACGAAGAATAAATAATTGACCGAATTCGACTGCATCATAACGAAGAACACTAAATGCGCTGATTGGCTACTCTATTTAAATACTTCTCAAATAGTAAGGAAGCATCATAAAGCGGTTATTCTGATAGATGTCGCCCGCATGCTATGTGTACTAACAGAATTGTTATTCTGGACTCTGAACTAGACAAGAAAAGCTTACAAATGCAATGGTTTATATAAGATTTATTCAATCAAATTAATAGAGATAATAACAAATCACCTGTATAGAAAAAGAAAGTATCGTCCGAATAATCCATACTGTCCGCTACTGATCAGATCATTAGCGCAGTTCGAATTCAAACTATAGGATCGATCTTTGAAGTACGATGACGCATTGTAAACAAAGCCAATGCACCGAAAGCTGCAAGAATTGTAGCCAGAAGATCAAGTGCAGCAATAATATGATTTCGTTGGACACTTTTCGGTACCCAATTATTTTCTACTACACCCCAGAAATAAATGATGAAAACAACCCACGGTGCAAATTGATAAGCGCACTTTTCTACTAAAGCTGCATTGAAGTTTGGTAGAAAAAAGAATATAGCTGCGATAGCAATTGCCAATAGTAAAACGATCGTGCCCGAATTCGCCATTAATAGTCCGAGGCGAACTTGAAGAAATAGATCAAAGGCGAGAAGAGACCGAACAGCTAGAAATGAGGACTATATGCTTAGTTTATGACAATGAATTCTTTCAAACCTGTCCAACATGTGAAAAATGCAACGCCATTTTGAGCAAAGAATCGAAGACACCATATATCCCGATTACTGGAAAGAGAGTTACTTATATTTTTGATAGGCAAACGGACTTGACTCACAATCCTTCTGTTTCATAGATTTTCTTATTAATATGAACATTGTTATTCACAATAAACAGAGCAAGTGACAATAGTAGGAATGATACCGCGTAGGGAATCCACGTCCACTAGAATTTGCAAATGCCTTTTCGATAAGAAAAACTTTTCAACTTACGATGATGTATTTTTGTTGAAAGAACACTAACCAAACTGCTGGAATAGCAAAACCAACGATGTAAACAATGTAGAACGCTGGCGATAATGTATTTGGTGATAGATATAAATAACCAGTTGATGATCGACGATAAATGAATGTCAGAGAATAAAGAAGCCAAGCAAGCTACAGCGAGGCCGAAAGTAATCGATTTAAGAACATAATTAAAAAAGAATCTTACCTGCCAGATATAGTTAATTGCATTCAAACATCGATAAACCCAATCGGATGGACTAACTTCATTCAGGAGCAAATCTTCGGCACGAAGTGTACCATTCTTGTAAGCATCTGAAAACATTTCATTACAAATTTCACGAGATTCAATCCAGAAGTTAACTTACAATTAGAACCCCGTTCAAATAATTGATAAACAGCAATATAACCAATGAATAAAAGAACTGCACCAAGTACAAATGCTAATCGGATATAATTATGTCGATATTCACCTGCTGCAAGCTGATTATTTACTAACATTCTTGCAATTGATTCTAAAAGTTGACAGGACTAGTCCGAACAAACATGATAAGTCAATAACACTGAAGAGCAAGTAAAAATACGAATGCATTCTACTCCAACTGATCTCCTTCTATCAGTTAAAAGTAAAGTGAAAATATCCAGCTCATCTGAAAACTTGCACTGCTATTTTTTCTAGCGATGCATCAAGATAGTGTATACCTATTCTCAAATATACTCGTGATAGATTAGAACCAAGTGCAAAAATACTAACATGATATTCATAACGGCTAGAAATATATACAAATAGTACAGCTGTTGCCCTTTGCTATTCTTCGAAATAACAAAGAAAACAATCACAGAAAGTTCCGCACACGTCACACAATGCTTTCATTAATATCTTTATAGCAATGAATCAATAAAAATGTTTGAATAGGAGGAAAATAATGGATGATCGAAATCATGGAGGTATGCTCATCGCCTTCTTTTATAGAAATGCTTGTTTATGGAAATCAAATTTGACGAGAACGTGTCTATATTGGCACATCGTTTAAAGCTTGATTTTGAAAAATCATGCTTATAGCAACTGTGAGAACTTTTCGCCCTATGATGGCGGATAGTTCATTGTCTCTCGATATTTTATAGCAAACTGAGTAATCCTAGTTCTTAATCAAGTTACACACATATATTTTGTGGGTATAAAGTTTAAGTATGATTCTGAATAGACACGAACATTTGCATTTGTCATCTTTTGTCTGTATCATCTGAAAAATAGTGCATAAAGATATGCATATAGATATATAATATACCACCAACAGCCGGTCTATTCAGTAAAACAATGAAAGCAATTTTGTCAGATGAATTGACTTCTGATCTGTACGTGTGGAAATGCTGAAGTTTTTTTTTTTCTTGAAGAGACTTTTATTTTAGATCAACTCGGCAAGCAACCAACGCAGAAAAACAGAAAGATGAATATTCCAGCACGCATCATCGAGTGTCTGAACAACAGCACATTCTCCATTTCGCTATATTTTTTGTTTTAATAGTCTTCGGTTTCAAAACCCGATACTAGTATAGTTTCATTTATATGATTCAATGAATTTAATTTGAATAATGTATTCGTCATTCCAAGAACCAGAAAAAACATCATTGCGCTGATAAGTATAAACACGCTGAGAAATAAACTTTGACCAATACGCATCTTGTACAGTGCTCGTTTGTATTGTCTTCCATCATCGATAACTTTCGTTTGAGAAAGAGTTATTAGCAAATCACTAATCGCTGGTGGGCAATAGCGAGCTGCTGTTTTATATGCATCACCACGACTTATAGCTAGAATGAATTGCCGTGTTGGAATTGAAAATGATAAGTGATCGACATCGACATGGATCATTTGATCAGATGGAATATGTTTCAAATAAATCAATCGACGACGACCAGCAATATGAATGACAACATTCGATGGAGTATTTGTTCGGTTTAATCGTTGTTCGCTAACGTCCAACTTTTGTTCTTTTTTCGCCTGCTGACTAATTGATCCGACAAGTAGAAGAAGTTGCGCTTGTGTGCTAAAAGGTTTATACGTTGGACTAAGAGCGAGAATATCTGGTAGACGTTGTCGGACAATGGCCCATTTCGATGTCATAGGTACGTCATCTTCAAACATTTGATTATCGTAGAATGACAGTATGGATGAGTGTGAGCGCTGCGGTTGATTCAATTGGTTCATATAGATTTTTTCATTAATAACTGAAGTACGTGCCTTCGATGACTAAGCAGGAAAATATGTTTTTAGCAGTTGAAACTTCATTTTTGACATACATACCCATCGACGAGACCGAAAAAATCGATGTTTATATTGTTGTCGAGGAAATCCTTCGCTCATCTTCGATATTTCCTATATGTTTGAATGAGAAATCAAATAATTGGTTTTCATGTATCCATAGGAAAACAGCTTTCTACTAGGTAACTGTATAAAGTATGCTTCTATACACTTTATATTAGTATCTTGTCCGTAATCGACCATGGATATTTTCCAATTAGATAAATAGCATAAGAAAAACAGAAGTCGTCGTTTTCTACAAAAGCAATCATCGTTGATTATCAAGTTAAGACAAACTCATTCGATAGAACAGTATGGAAATCGATACAGTCTTCTATGTCCGTCAATCAGTAGAAACGTCTTTCATATTCATTTCCGCATGTCATAAAAACGACATGAAGACTTGATCTTCTAGTCACTTTATGAAAAATTTGATTTCCTTTCGATTCACATCACTTACGTCACAAAATAATTCGAAGTTCTTCCCGCAATTTGTCCTTAAAGATAAGTCTTTGTCAAAAAAAGTCCTATTTTGTTCTGCGCCGAACATAAATTACACCACATTCTGTCGTTTTCTCAGGAGATCTAACCTTCATTGGTGATTAATTATATCTCGCAATACTTGACATGAACACTAACTAATCTACCAATTTCTTGGTCTTTACCAACCTTTAGTTCAGCTTGTTTGATTTCTCTCTTTCTCGCTTCAAATTACCAATTCGAATGAGGTTTTTTCTTGTTTCATTTTTCTTCACCAGTTGCCTTCCGGAAGGCAACTTGAAATCATTACACATGAACGAGACAATTTGTATTGTCAAACGTCAATTGGTCTGACATGTATTTAAATTGACTTCAGTTGTAAATTCTAACAGAAAACAAAATATTTGTTTTTTATCAAAAAAATTCTCTTAACATATTTCTTTCGTTTAATTTCATGACATCTGTTCCAATAGAAAAACAAACGCGAAACTTTCATTCAGTTAGTATACAAAGCGAAAAGAAGAAGAAGAGAAGAAATTGACAGCGTGAGAGATAGGAAGGGAGAAATCGAAATCGAACAAAAGCCCAACGAATGAAACAAATTATACAAAAAGAGAAATAGACCAAATAGTTCCGCATGCTAAACTGATTTGCACGGGTATTTACCGATTATCACTAGACAATAAAAATTATATTTTCTGACTGAAATTCTTAGATGAGCAACCGACCCGCAGCAGCTCATTTGCATTTTTTTTATTGGATTTGCTTACGTCCGTTCGTAGCCATCGTCATCATCTGAGGCAATTGCTTTAACTGCATAAGTTCCTGACGTCGATCGTTTTTTCTTCTTCTTTTTCATTCGTCGATTACTTCCAGTTTTGGATGAAGACGATGGTACCGAACCATTACCACTATGACTAGAACGAATGTTATCAGGGCTGTTCGAATCTGATGAATCATGCAGATTTCCACTTGCATTATTGTCACATTCACGTAATTGTTCAAGCGTAATGATATTGTACTGGGAATCAAACACAGCTGGTGTTAAATCATTCGATGCTCGAACAATACGTATCGCATGGACTTTATCACGTAGAGGATTCATTGTTGATGGTGTTCCATCACGTGTACGACAAGCGAAACAGTTTGTCAAAGATGACCAGAGACTAGATGTTTCATTCGCTGATATCTTGCTGTCAGATAAAAATTTATCATTGTGATTGATTTGTGGATGAGACAGATGGGAATTCTTATTGCCAGCGATTATCGTATGATTACTAGTTCCACCACCACTATTATGATGATGACGGTAATGTCCTAAATTACTAGTGTTAACATCCGATATCGGAAATTCATATTCCATTTTTTGCGAGTTTTCACCATGAATTAAGCGGGCAACATTAGGTGATTGTCTACGAAATGAGGAGGGAGCGTTAAAACCGCCGAGACCACCGAGTTCGGGCGATTGAGACGATTCGGCAGTGCCCATTTTGACATCCTAGAATAGAGAAGATGAACTCAATAGAATGAAAATGTGCATTAATATTTGATAATGAGAATTAGTTTCTGTTTTTCATCAATTAAAGTTAACCGAGTACATGTGAAAGGAGAAGTTCGTTTAGAATTCTACTCGTTTTCGTATGAACAGATTTTCATCGAAAGGAATCTGGTTACAATTGAACAATCTGGTTTTATCTTTACTCCCTTCTGTCTCTCTCTCTCTCTCTCCCTGTCTTATTCTTCTCCACCTTTTTTGCGGCTCAAACAACTCATACTCTATACACGCAACGCAATCACATGCAAGAATCATCATACCAGAAAAGAGAAAAAACGAACGACAAAGAAAAATGGGAGCATAAGAGCGTACGTCCGAAGTGTATGAGGAAAGAAACGTTGTTCATCGTAACATAGCATAGTGCACATTAGCAAAGGGTGAGGGAGAGAGACAAAGAAGAAAAAGAACTAGAAGAAAACCTAAACGCATCCGCCTATATATTTTTTCTTTTCGTATATAATGATGATGATGCATTTCTTTTTTTTCTTCGTTACTATTTCTCAGTTTTACATTTCTAATCGACATTATCAATGTCTTTTCATATTACGAAGATCCCTCTAGCTGTATCTGTTGAAAGCCAAATTGGCATTAGACATATACGCTTGACGACGTCATCTCGATAGAATACGATGCTATTACTAAACAAGAGAAGAAAAAACTCATCAAGGATTAATCGGTATTTTTCTCATGTCGTTCGTCATCGTTCTTGTTGTTGTTATTTCAATAACTAGCGCACGTCAACTTGTGCCGATCTATTTGTTGATCAAGTACCGTTAATCGGAGCGTGTGATAGCCCAACTTAATTATCCATTCGCAATAGAGAAGAAGAAGGATGTGACGGGACCAAAATCGATCATGTCTGATTTTCTCTTCTCTCGTACGCATAAAAAAGATAGCACATGCTATGAATAATGTGAAAAAAAAGAACGTTCTTCATATTGAACTTGTGATGAGAAAACTAATGTAAATGATTTATTACAAATCGATACAATAATTTCTATGTTGACAATAGAAATTGTTTTTTCCCTTTGTAACTTCATGAAAACATCCGATTACTTAATAATCAACATGAATCAAACAAATATTATTTCCCTGTCTCATTTATCCGTCGAGATTTGGTTACCCTGGTCATGTTTAATCCGTTCTATTACTTTCTCATTTGTTATTATTAACGTTTGACAACATCATATAGGCACAGATCGAAAGATGGACGTTGATATGCATTGAATATGTACTTACTTGGGACGAGGAATAAGTTTTGAGAGAAAAAATGCGTTTATATTTATCGTTCTATCTAACCAAGCGATCTTGTGTGTGTGTGTGTGTGTGTAACGTGTCGTTGAGCGACTCGCGTCGATGGATCACGAAACAATGACGGCGATGATGATGAGCGGAACACACCAAACGTAATTATGAAACGGACGTAGCAAAAGAAGTAGCAGTAGCAGAAGAAGAAGAGAAGAAACAGAAGAAGAAGGATAGTCGTCTCGTTTCTTTTATCATGTGCATTTTGCTGATGTTGCTGTCTTTGTTATATGTTTTGTGTGTTGATGATCTCTGGTCTGTATAGTCTGCGCAAGCGGCACTATGCTCAATAAGAAAATAACAAGCTTTCTGTCTCTATCTCTCGCTGGCGTAAGAGGCCTATACGATTGCTCATCGAATGAGTAGACTGACGGGTAAGGTCTTGTGTGCATGCTCTTTCTTTCGCTTTCTCGATTTTCAATACAACATAAGAGCGAAAGAAGAGAAAAATGCGGCAACGTTTTTTTCTCTTCTTCTTCTTCTCTTGCTCAGTTTCTCCCTATCTCTAAGTTCTCTCTCTCTCTTTTGTTTGTGACAACGAGGCACTACAGCTAATTGGACCAATGCTGTTATTGCAGTTTAGTTAATATCGATGATCGCTCTAGCTTGCTATAAAGTATCTGATGACGTCTTAAATGATACCACCAACGCTTCTTGCCGTCGCACGACATATTTATTGATCGGTTGCATTTTAATAATCTCTTGGAAGAAATATATATATGTGTGCGTGTATGTACGACTATTTCTAAGAGTTTCCAAAGAACCATATCAAGTATAATACTTACGATGCAGACTTTTGAAAGAAAAACGAATAACACAACTGAGAAAATAAATTCAGTGATAAAACACCTGTAATTCAGAATGGTGGAAGCGCTGTAGCTTAAATACTTATGGTTTACAACAATATATGTACTTGAGCAGTTCTCTCCTGATGAGGTCACTGTCTTACTGTTAAATTAAAGTCATACATATTCAGGTGACAAATGAAAGCAAAAACAATAAACGTGTCGCTGAAAACAGAAACGATAAACAGTTTTACTATCAACATTCGACAATGGAGAACAAGATAGATAACATCAAAGATGCTCCTGCTCCGTGGACTCTGGAAGGTCAAGTTGCTTACCTATTTATTCATGGATCACGAGCAGCTCAGGATTCATTCAATGAAAATCCTGACCCTGTTCTTAGTCCATTCCGAGGTGGTCTCGGCGGGCTAATGCTTGTTCGTTATACCGACTCACCCGTTGGTCCCTACGATGAATTGATCTTCTTGCCTGGTTGCTACCAATTCGGTGACAAAACATATTACCGCATATCACAAATCTATGTTTCATCTCTCGACTCTGTCATTAATGGACGACGCAATTGGAATGTTCCGAAGAAACTGGCAACATTTCGTTGGAATGATAACAATACACACGTGAAAATATCTCTGCCTGATCAGACTGAACCATTTTGTACGATACGTGTTCAACCCCGACTCTACTGTTTACCTATTGGTACTGGACTAGTTCCTGAAGTATTTCGGACACTACTTCAGCCACCATTAGAAGAGACAGAAGATAAAAATGCATATTTCAAAATTGTTCCATCATGTAGTGGATGGTTTCGACCTATTGTTCGACTACTTGAATTTCAGACGGATGGAAAAGAAATTCCATCTCATGAGCAAATACCTCTGTATACATATGGCGTCGGCTATGAAGCATTTACACTTCTCTTTCCTAAAGCTGAACTAACTTTGCATTGAATTTTTCTTGTATTTACACTAAAAGAATTGCAATAAAAGTGATCAACATAATGTGGTAGACAAATGAATGTTTTGTTCTTTCTCAATGCCTGATTCAAGTAACAAAAAGCCACTAATACTTACTACTTTGCTCTGGTTCAATTGATCATTCTTGTCATTAGGTCGCCAATTTATTTGACGTCTATTCCAGACTGCGAATTTTATATCTACAGGCAAAAAACAAAACGATTTTTTCATTCATTCTTCATTGCTGGTAAGAGTACTCCCAGAACATCACGCCGAATACGTCTCTGACAATCGATCACATGGGGAGAAATAGAATCGAACGCGCTATAGGGAATTTAATATAACTAGTCAGATCGATAGATTCTAGAACACTTAACGAATCTTGTCGTAACAATAAATATCAAACAAATCAATAGATATATTGATTTATCTCGACAGAACTTTTTTTTCCAAAATCATTATGACGCACATCTTCGTAACTGTCAGAAACAGAAATAATGATAATAATAGAAATAAGCAACTCGTGCGATAATTAAATAACACAGATGGAAATCATTGGGCAAATAAGAACATACTCGGAGGACTGTACACGCTAATTTCTTCATTTATAACCTTGTTCTATATATAAACAAGTCGATAGCGATTGTGATGGACGTAATCAAACGCAACAAAACGAATTCGTAACTATTTTTTCTTGAGTAAAATTTCCATTGTCTTCTTGAAGTTTTTCTTCGGTCTCTCTCGGAACGTTTTTCATGTTTGCTATCATATGGAAATAATAAAATGACAGGTGTTTGTTCTTTGTCAGTTTCCATTGGAAATTTTTTCCAACAGAGCAGCCAGATCTCGCCTGATGCATGAAATTGATTATTACGTTTCAATGCCAAGTCAATATGTGAACACTGTTAGACGTCATCGATCCGAAATGACGTACGTACTACTTGCTCGCTAATTTCAATGTTGATTGATCAATAGCGACATCACAAGATCTACGAAGATATTAGATAAAACTAACGTGTGTATGTGTAACATACATGCGTTTGTTTATGTTTTATTTTATCTTCTCTTCGTAATAGCAACAAAATGGCGAATACGGCTCAAGTCGAACATGAAATATCGTTATTAATAAATTTCATCCGCACGATTGGCAAATCGAATCCATCGACTGGCAAATATGAAACTACGTTCGGCGATTTATTTCGTAATGACGATGTGCAAAATACGTTCGAAAGTTTAGCAGGAACGCTGAAGGCTGCTAAACGTCGAAAAGTCATCAGTTATTCATCAGAATTGCTTCTGCAAGGTGTTCATGATAAAGAATTGATCGTATTAGAGAAGACGGAAAGTTAATCGTTTAGTTTTTTTTCTTAACGCTCTTTTTTTATTCGCTAATAAACAAATCACAAATCATATCACTGATTTGTTCAACAGATGCAACAAAAAACGAATCAACTATTTAGAAGAAAGACGAGTTTTAAAATAGTCCGGATTGCTTTCAATGAGCCATTCCGGTTCCACTACTGTTATGTCTCTGAAAAACAGGAGAAAAAGAGTCAGAAGGTTATCAATCAAAACAGCGTACCGTATAAATCGTTTAGTTGTTTGAATCAATTCAGTGAATACAACTAAAGACGGTTTAGCACCGAATAATACTGAACTCGGATGTATTTTCACAATATGACGATCATTAATCTGAAAGAAAAAAATTGTCAATGCTAAATTTTGGGGTTTAAAGCAAAACTTACAGTTCGATAGTCGTTCTCTTTAAAATATTCGGCAACATTCATGAACAATCCTTGCGCAAGTGCTTGCCTAAATGGTGAATTTTCTGGAAATCTTGCAATTGACATTTTCCTCTCCTACCGAACAAGACGATATTTTGTTCCACAAGATTTAATGTTCAATTGCAACTCAATACAGATGCGTCTCAATTGTTTTCGTATCGCACATGCTCGTAGAAGATTCCGTCGATTGATTTTATTTGCTTGACACCATTCCTAAAGATTTCTTCGGTCAGAAAAACGAAATTCTATGTTAATCAGAATCTTTACTTTATTTTTCTTATTGGATATGAAACTTTTATAAACGTTCAACAATGTAAGATGATCACCTTCATTCATCGTAAATTTTTGCCGTTGCATTTTCATTTTTTCATTTAGGTTCGACGACGTGAGGAAAATCGTATCGACACTCATTATACTAACCAATTTCAACATCTCCTCTAGACAATCGAGATCAGATGCAGCTAACAAACATCTTGACAACCTAAAAGAACGCGGTGGCGTTCATTTGGCTTTTGCGAATAGCTGTCACTCACTTCGGATCGAGTGGAAAACAAGCCATTTTTCTTCCATCGTTAGTCAACTCGTATGTATTGTCAGTCGAGGCTTGAATTGCACGAAGATAGGTCAATTCACGCAGAGCAGCAGCTATTGATTTCTCATCTGGCTTAGAGAGAAAATCAAATGCCGAAATGTTGGTTATTCCCATAGCGAGGATCTGTAAGGCAGCTGTTGCTAAATTGCACCGAAGTAATTCAGGTATGGGTGTCGATGGCAATTGTTCGAACTCTTCTTCTGAAATCGAAGAATTTTAGTAACTAACCAGTTTGGCAAAGCTGGGACTTTTACCTGTGTACATGCGATAACATGTTCCTGGACATTCACGCCCAGCTCGTCCGGTACGTTGCCATGCTTGTGCTTGAGAAATGTGCTGTACTTTCAATATTTCTAGGCCGGTTTGCGGGTTGAAAATTTTGGTTTTCACACGACCACAATCAATCACATGTCGAATACCCGGAATGGTAATCGAGGTTTCACCGATATTTGTCGACACAATCACTTTTCGAATATCTAAATCCAATCAGTTACGAATGTTCTTTCGAAAATCAAACTGTTCCTACTCTCCGATGTTTGTTTGAATACAAGCATTTGTTTGACAGTTGTCATATTTGCATATAATGGTAAGACAATAATCGGTTCTAATGCTTCGGTTCCGCTAGCAACAATTTGTTTGATACTTTTACATGTCGAATCGATTTCATCTTGTCCGGTAAGAAATATTAGTATTCCCTCGTTCAATGGTGTTGATCGATGGATCTATTCGAAAAGACAAATGATAAACTTTTCTTATTGTTTTCTGATTTTCTTTACTTGAAACAAGGTGACTAAAGTTGAATGGATGTAATCCGTTTGTGGTTCTTGAGCATGAAACACATCGATGGGATATTGTCGACCTTGTAAATATAAGACAGGTGCTTGATTAAAATAATTTGAAAATAAATCCACATTCATCGTTGCAGACATCACAAGAACATGTAGCGGATTCTTTTTTGAATTTTTGCGATAATTTAATGCTTGTTTAACAATACCAAAAAGAAGATCGGTGTGCAATGTTCGTTCGTGAGCTTCGTCAAGAATCACAATCGAATATTGTCGGAGATATGGATCGAGTAATGCTTCACGTAATAACATTCCATCAGTCATGTATTTGATTTTCGTTCGACGACTAATTGCTTCATCGAAACGAACACTGTAGCCAATTAACTCGCCACATTTTTGATTGACTTCACTCGAGACGCGCTCAGCGACGGATATCGCAGCAACACGACGCGGTTGAGTGCAGCATATCAAATATTTATTTCGTTGAGATTTTTTAGTCATCATATGTTTCAGTTTCTTTTCGCGAGCTTCGTAGAGAAATCGTGGAATTTGAGTTGTTTTGCCACATCCAGTTTCACCAAGAAAAATACAACAATCATTGCTAAATACGGTTTGAACAATTTTTTTGCGCATCGAATGAATTGGAAGTTGACTTGGAGAAGTCAACGGTTTGAATAAGATAGACGAAGATTCCTGGCCGTCGACAGCCATCAGAGATTGATGATCAGGTGGTGCTTTCACCATCGAGAACAAAATGAGAAATATTGAAGATCACAAGATTAATTTGCTTTTCATGGACAAACCAAACTATTTCGAATGATTTTGATTTGCTAAAGAACTTTGTTTTATTCTCTAATAAGCTTGTCTCTTCGATTTCAGCTGCATAAAGTGACCTCTATTGAAAAGCGTGGCCACTTAATGGCAATGACAAGTAAACTTCACTTGCAGATAGAAAAGAAGACGTACGCTTCTGTTCAATTTGAACATGACATAAATTCATTAATCTGGGATGAAAAGTCCATCGAGTAGAACTGCAGGTTACCGCTGAGTTCAGCGTGTCGAAAACGTTCATGTACAATCACAGCGGGTGCAGTGCTCGTTTGAGAATGAATCAAAGCATCGTCAGCTTTTTTTATACTTAACTTGATTTTATTTATAATGAGCAGACAATCTGGATATATCATTTTGCTTTAGTGGAACAAGCACTGTTTAACATTTTATGCACAAAAAGAAAAACAGCACGAAAAAAAGAACACGATTGTAGACAAGTGGAAATTGACAAAAGATTCTCAAATGATATTCGATTAGTATTTGACTAGATGGAAAGAACAGAACGAACGATAATGAGAAGTAGCTAACAGGAAAAATAGAGTATCACTATCATACATAGATTGTGTTATATACAAATATTTATATGTATGATGAGCATTCTCCGATAGTATAGTTCATATTTTTCGATGGACGTATGTGTTGATCATTGTTTTATACATCACCAAGCTAAAAGTAAAAAAGAAAATTGTTCAGAAAGAGGAATAAGCAGCTAGATGAAGCAAAGCGTAATGTCCTGCCTGATTTCAGAGAAAGTCTTCATCAGGAAACAATCGAAAGGAAGTTGATTCGGGACGTCTATGCTATTAACATCTGAATTATGAAAGTTTTCGAGAATGCCTATCGATTGTTATACCTTTGTTGTTGATGAGTGACTGTTTGTTTTTTCTGAATGATGTTCGCCGTTCATCATTGGTGTTGTCTGATGGTCGCTATTCAAAGAAAAGAAATTTATTGAAATTCGAATCGTCGAAAAAACCTTACGAATTCGTTGTTTTGTGTATTCCATCAAATCGACAAACACGCAGGACAATACAAATAGTCGCGATGGTAATAGCGGCCAAGACAATAGCGAAAATAATGCCAATGATAGCCCATTTACTTGGTTGAGTTTTGTGATAGTCGGATATTATCGATTCCTTGCGTTGGCCGTTCTCTCCTACAGAAAATACCAAAACCATTTCTCCTTTTGTCAGATCAGAATTTCTAACTTACGATTGTTTTCTCGATTGGTTTTAATTCGAAATTTACGTTCAGCAACACCAGCTTCATTATACAATTTAACTATTACAATGTAACTCGTATCGGCTTTCAATCTGGTCAATTGGTACTCAGTAATGGGTGCTTCAATAGAGATCGGTAAGCTCAATGGTTCTTCGTAATCTAAACTTTGTTTATCTTTTGCCTAAGAAAAAGAAAGAACTTTCCAAAATCAACTATCACAAAATTCTAACTTGTGCATAGAGTATCTCCACACGAAAGATCGGTGCTCCGCCATTCGATTGAATATTCCAGGTAATAGCACAGCTATCATCGTTTGAACAAGTTCGATTGGCATTTTCATCGACAGTGAAATCCGCGATTTGTTTATCCAATGTTCGAAACTGTATTGGACCTGTCGGTTGACCCACACCAGCTTGTGATTCGGCGACGACTATCAAATTGTAATCAGTATTTGGTTGAAGATTGTCAATCTTGATAATTTGTTTTGACGACACTTGTGCTAAAGACAGATCAATCGGTTAGCTTTAACGAAGGAAAAATTTAGCTACCTGGAACCATTAATGTTTGCAGCTGACTATCTTTTGCATCTTCTAAATCATATTTAAGAATATACTGTACGATTGGAAGGTCACCCATCTCCACTGATTGAATGAAGATCTCTGCGCCAGTCGACGATGGTTTCACTTCGGTAATATTGACTTTTTTCGGTGGTTTGGCGCGTTGGAGAGTAAATGAATGCCGACCGATACGAGGATTCAATGCACGACACTCAAAACTTAAACCAAAATCACGTTCGGTCGCCGTGTACTGAAATATGGTCAAAAATTTTTTTTTTCTTTTAGAAAAGAATGACGTCTGGATTGTACTTACCGAGAGAACGCTTTCAAACAGCGTCGATCCAAGTTGCCTTGTAGTTATGTCATTAACGCCATTATCTATATCAGACGCAAGTATACGTCCTTCGGGATCTTGAACAGTTCGACTCAATTTAATCCATTGAATTTGTGGAGCAGGATACGATTCAAACAAACAACGAATAATCGTACGATAATTCGGAATGGTAGAGATGACGTTAATATTTGGTCCGACATAAATTGGTTGGACTAAAATTAACCATGAAACCTTTTCCAGCAATGATCAGTCTAATGAACTTACATTTAATGAGAATACTAGCAATCGAATAAGTACTATCAGCGAGATTCTTCGCTACGCATGAGTAATTGCCAAAATGTTCACGTTGGACAGGATTAAAATTTAATTCAATTAGTTTATTTGTTTCCAACTGAGTCTTATCAATAGAAATGTCATTTGTTGATTGAACAGGTGTATTATTTAGATATTGCCATTCCATCGTCAAACCGTCGACTGAACCACGTTCCATTCGACATTGAAATGATACACGTTGAGCATGTTGTGGATCATAATTTATTTCCATCGGCGGTATCATCGACAAACGTGGAGGAACTAAAATACATATCAATGAAAAACGTCTTTTTTCACAAAAGAACGGTCTTACCAATGACATTTAAATTATATTCCGCTCGTTGTCCCTTTCGATCGAATTCATTAAATGCTTGACATGAGTATTTGCCGTTATCAGCTTCATCCACATAGTTGATGGTCAATTGGTTTCCTCGTACAACTAACTTCGGTACCTCACTCGCACTCACTGCTTTCTCCTAAATGAATAGACATATTGTTCAAAAACATGAACTTGATACTCTTTATTAAACAGGAGAAAACACGCGCACACATACTACATTCAAAGCATTGTGTCAAGCAATTAATTACATCTTTTATCTATATTTCTCTTATCACTCACAGTTCGCTTTTCGCTCGTTCGGATCACTTCCGACATTAAATGGTACAATACCATCGTTAAATTCAACGGGATCAGTTTCATTTCATCTCCCTGAATGTACCATATAAATCTCCATTGATTATTAGACAAAAATAGTTAACAAGATTAGTTTTAATGGGTCAAACACACATTCAATTACCGCAATAGTCAAAACATTGATCTGAACAAACAAAACATACATTCATGCATTGTACAAATACTCAAAAGAACGAGACTCGATCATGCTTTACTCATTGATTTTACTTTAATTAATCGGTATTCTTCTTTCTAGATAGTTTAGAGATACTTAGTCTTCTAGATTCAATTGGGTTTCTTACCGAACCATAGAACCATAGATACTTCGGCTCTGGTAAACCAGAAGCTTCACAAGTTAACGTCGCCGTTTTCTTTTCGATCGCACATGGATTTGCACACGTTACACGTGCTTGACTGATTAGCTCTAGCAGATAAAACATTGATCATACCTTATCTTTAAGTACATGAGAACGTTCTCAAGACATACTCGAAACAACAACAGTGATTGGATAGTCTCTTGACTCTCCAGTTTCGAGGACGTCGGCACGGCACCAAAATGTATCATTATCAGACATATTAACTCGATTGATACGCAAACCATTAGTGACCACTTCATATTTAGGTGATTCTAATAATTGAATCCACTCTCCAATGTTTGTTCAATGATAAGAATTGACTTACCTATGCGAAGTTTTTCGGGACCTTTGAACCATGAAATTTCCGCAACTGGACTGGCTTGAACATGACATTTAATGGTAGCTGCTTCTCCTAATGCAATGTATTGAACGGGTTCTGCATGGAAAATGGCCGGAACTGAAAATAAAATATTTTGTTTTCTGGATCAGATTTCACGTAAAATAAATTACCTTTGACAATCATTTGAAATGACCTTTGCATTGCCTGACCATTTACATCCGTTCCAACACATTCCCATACGCCTATTTGATCATCAAACTAGATTTCGATTCGTATTTGTCAAGCAAAATACCTTGATCATCAGTCGTCAAATTTCGAATTCTCAACCGAAGTCCATTCATTTGTCGTTCAGCAATGATTCTGTTAGAAGCAAAGATTGAAAAACATGCTTTAGAAGATCTCTAGTTACCGTTCATTGTCATTCTCAGATACATCCTTGTGTTGTGGTGATCGCCATGCAATGATCCGATCAGTTGATTCACCCGTGCACAGTGCAATGAATGATTTATACTGATCTCTCGTTAATGAGGTATCACTTGGTTTAATAACCAATTCAGCACGGATTAGACAGAGAACTATGAAAAAGAATACAACAGATCGAACAAGATACAAGTCGTCTTAGTTAAGTAAACATATACTTACGAATATTCAGTAGTAATATGTAAAACATAATTCAACTATTTCAAAGAATTTTGTCAATCTGAATGCAGAAGCAAAACATCAATTTGAATACCTGGATCGATAGATGTACGCAATCAAGAGTTTATATACGTATGCGTGATTGTATATATAGAAGTCGTATTATGATTAACTATGAGATCTTTACCGTCGTTTTGATGTAGAGAAGAAGAAAAAATGACAAGCGTTTGCCTTCACACGTCCGGTAAGAGTATCCAAGCGTAATTGTTGGTATTGTGAAAAGAAGAGAGAATAAGAGAGAGAGAGAGAGAGAAGAAAAAGTAAGGCGACGAATGGACAAGTTTTGTTCAAATTACGCGCATTTCTCCTTCTGCTGCTGAAATCAAACCTCGTCATATCTATTGCGTAAACTTCCATAGCTATGCGTGAATACATTGTACACCCCAATGTCTTAAAAGGAATCAAGGATATCATTTATAAAAGAGGAAAAAATGAAGTTTATTTGTTCATTGAAAAGCTTCACTGAACGAACGAAAAGTAATGAAGTCTTTTGATAAATGATAGATAGCGTGGCAAAAGGTAATCACAGTCATGCACTGGCTATTAACTTTTTCGACATGATGTATATAATTATGAGCTATGAAAACAATTTTCAATGGAAGCATGTCACTTCTACCTGAACTCATCAGCCAGAGAGAGTGTAACATATGTTCAATAGGAGATCGTCGATCTTTCGAATAATCATCAACTCGCATATACGCGGTAGAGATCAGCGAAACAATGTGTATCTAAGTGCTCGAATAATGAATTATTGATCAAATCATACGATGGACAAAAACGAACGAACTATGTATGTTCACATCATGAGATTAGCGTTTATGTCTATATGTATAGAAAGGAGACAGAGAGAGAGAGTGCGCGCAAGAGAAGAAGAAAAGTGGTGTATTGACACACGAAAAAGAGAAAAACGACATGTATTTTCTCTTTCTTTTTTTCATCATCCTAATCGCAGGAGATGTGTGTATAAAAAAGAACTTACCTTGATAAAGAATGAACTTTATTTCTCCTCCTCTATTGTTTTTTTTTATAGCAGAAGATTAACAAGCAGGTGTGCGAAGCAAAACGCATGCTATCTATCTGTTCGAAAAACAACATGTACATGTCTTGGAGACAAAAGGCATTATTAAGACTTTTTCTTCGCTTTCACTCGCTCTCTTGTTTCCGTCTTGTGCACAATCGATACAATTAGCTAGCTTTAGAAATGTTTGATCCTTGCTTGAAGACATATGGTATTATGAGCGTGCTCAGTACGCTTGGAGAAATCAATGCTATTGAAAAATCGGAAGTTCGAATAAATGCTAAATGATTAACGTTCGTCTTTAGTAATCAAATTTAGCATATGTTTTAATACGAATAGTCATGTTGCTCGAGTTGTTGATTGTCGGTATGATAATTACTTTGATCTGATCAACAGTAGATTATAGGAGGAGAAAGTAAACTCAGAATTTTTTTCCAAAATAACAAGACGAGTTACCGACTGTCTAATCTAACATGCGACATGCCGATAAATCTCTTCACCTGATTCGATCATTATTTTTCCGTCTGAAAAGAAACTAATCTACTTCTTCCTCTCATCATTCTAATTGACAATTTCAATGAGGAAGAAAAATTGAGAACGAGACGAGTAGAAAAGTTCACAAAGCATTCTTGGACAGCATCAAGAATCGATGAACAGACGATGAGGAAGTTTAATTTGTCTAGTACATGGAAATCAAATTATCCAAGTGACCTAAGAAATCTTGATTGATGTCATTCACAATACCAGATTACATACTCTTTTTTTTTCTCATTCTCAGTAAAGAATGGCAATTATCTTTAAGTGTAAATCTCACAGGACTTGTCATCAGAGACATTGTCTTCAACAATATGAAGTGCTAATTTAATCAATGATCCATCCCATCCACACTCCTGTTCACTAGTCACAGCCGTCGTTGAAATAATATTTGCATAACGTGATCGACTTTGTGTCTGCTGCCACAATTCATCGCTCCTTCTCTCCCTTATTAATGCGTGTTTGTTCGATCAATTTGAATATTTTTTTTCGCAGACCTTTGTCTCTACAGTTTACAGACAGACACGAGGAAATACTATTTTAATAATGACATTCATCTTCATATACACTCGTTATTTCCTGACGTGAGGAGAGCGAACACAATTGATATATATTCTGTTTTCAAACAAAACTAATCTGTCACTACTGCAGGTGTTAGCATTCTAGTAATAATAATAATAATGGCAAGAGAGAGAGAAGGGCGTCATCATCACGACATATATACTTGAATTTGAACAACTGTCCGATAGCCATGATTTTTTAACACGCACATATCAAAAACATCTTCAGGCAGGGAAAAGAATCCAATACATATTGACATATTGAATCGGAAGACGACACGAATATGTTTTGATTAGATTATATCATATGTAAACATTATCAATAATATACGTACATGTATACATCTGGACAGTCAAAACAAAGGTTAACCAATGATCATTCATTGGATAGGATTCAATTTTTCTGTCTCAAGTAATCGAAAGTATAAGCTAAAGATAAACAATCTATTGTAAGCCGAAAAGTTAAATAAACTTGTAGACAAAACTTACTTTGACTTCTTCTAATCTCATTTGATCAAAGCGATTCGGTTGATTTCAAATAAAAAATCATGAAACAAATATGAACTCACTTCCTCGTCAGGTGATGTCATAGTTCCTTTTTTAATTAAAAACGTATTTTTTTCATCACTTCCCTCATGTAAGCAATAATACACCAAACAACATACCAGTATTAAATCACTCAAATATAATATGAAGGCCGAACGATACTTCCCATGATCTACCCTACTGTGGGATGCAAATGACTCATACTTGGATAAAACAGACACTTTGTCGGATTTTGCCAGTCATTCTCGCGTACACAGACGTATTACTTATTCTATTGTTTTCGTAGTCTGAGTCATGTATGGATAAATTCATGGGAACCCATCCATTTTTTTGAGAGTCGGTGCAAAAGTTTAGGTATGAGTGATGTGGACAGCACAAAGCTACAGTATGTAATACTGGTTGTTGAAATTTAGTAATTTAATACTCGTACAAAACTTATCATCTCTACACTATACCAAAGAGGATTTTCCATAGGATAATGTTGTTTGTTTTTCGATGGTATTTTCCAACACACACACGTTTTTTATGTAGTATATAAGTGCGCAATTTTCTCTTCGGCAGCACTCTTGCGATTCACATATACAAGAAAGGAGTTACGACGATGGCTATGGATACTCTTTCAAGAAGCTTTTCGGATCACACACTCAACTTCGATGGAGAAGATAGTCACAAGCGCCGAACATCTGAGCATTCTGATAAAAAAGTATGTAACTTATTCATTTAATATTGCTGATCACCATTCAGATAGCGAGAGTATGACTAGTGACCTGACAACATGAGAGACAGATGGCAGTAAAAGTCACCGTTAGTATCTTTCTGACAATGAGCATGATGCTAAGCGAAAAGATTAGTTCTAAAGTAATTTAAATCTTCAAAGAGAAGTCTGGCGACGATGTTAAATTTCATTAATTGAAATATTCAGTTCGTTCTTGTAGATTTTCCAGAAAGGTATGCACTGAATTTTCCGTAAACATATATATTACGACATGTGTCAGCATCGTTCTGTATATTGGGTCTTTTCTCAGACAGTACACTATATATACCTATGTCTTCTAGACACGTTTCATTTTATTTCTTATGACACTCAATAGACGAAACTTATACGATTGCTGCTTACTTTGAATCACGAATACTCAACACTATCTTTCTTTTTAGAGTGATTTTGAAGAGATCAATATTGAAAGCAAAAGCAATGTGTTGGAAAACCTGACTACGTGTCCTCTAGCCGAATTTGGTTGTACTGGAAAGTTTACATCTGATTGTGCACGAGAACATTATACTACTGAGATGCATCAAAGAATATTGACGGATTTAGGAGAAAAAAGTATTCGTAATACGCATAGTCTTCTCGGTGACACAAATAAAAAATTAGATTCAATGAATTCAGATCATTCGAGCATAAAAAAGACAATTCTTTTAATTGCTGAAGGAGTCTCATGTTTAAACGATGATAATTCGCAGATTCATGCGAGTATGATTCGATCACAAGCTATCATTACGGAACAGCAGAAGGAAATCGAAAACTTAAAACGTTCGATTGAAGAAACATCGCAAATAGTTAAGTTTGCGCAAGTGAATAGTCACATGTTAAAAACGGATTTGGACACAATAAAGGAGATAGTGACAAATTCATCAAGTTCGTCATCTTACAATGGTTCATTTTTTTGGAAAATTACCAACGTTACTGAACATATGGCGAATGCGAAATCAGATCAACAAACAAGTATCTATTCGCCACCGTTTTATTCTTCACCAACTGGCTACAAAATGTGCATGAGATTATATTTTAATGGGGACGGAAATTCTCGAGGAACGCATCTCTCGCTATTCTTCGTTTTAATGCGGGGAGAATATGATATGATCTTGACATGGCCATTCTCTTATAAAGTTAGTTTCTGCCTACATGACTTATCGGGCAATCAACATCATATTATCGATTCTTTTCGACCCGATATAAACTCCAGTAGTTTTCAACAACCTCAAACTAATATGAACATCGCTTCGGGAATTCCAAAATTTTTTCCTTTATCCATGCTTCAAGCGACGGATAATCCATACATACGCGACGACACAATGTTTATTCGATGTATCGTTGATTTTGATTCAATACCTAAAACTTGCCTACCGTATGTGGCTAATCTGAATCCTGCGTTGCCCGTAATGGTACAGAAAAAATTGATCGAAAATGAAATTGAACGACGCCATAGAGAAGCATCAGAGAAAGCTCGTGAGAAAACGAACGATCTGACCGAGTCTAAATAAAAGTTTAATCTGTAATTATTATAGCAAAGCGACTCACATGTACAGATAAAACGACTTATATACTTTCTGCGATTAAAATTTCGATACCAGTGACCATATAACATTTTGTACGCCTTTAATCAAGATTTTGCTGTTTGGAGCGTTATTAAAACAAATTTTTGTATTTTCTTACTTTTGGTTTTATTTAAATAAAAAGTTTCCGATGATAAAAAAAAAAGAAAACTAATTCGTTATCGATGGTGAATCCTGCTGCTCGTCTTTTGAACGCATCGGATTCACCACATGTTCATTGAGAAAGTGTGCACCCGCTTCATATTTACTTACGCCTATCAAATGTTTCGCGATTGTTTCACGTGTACCACCATGAGTATAGTTATGTTCTTCGGCAAATCGTTGCTGTTCAGGCTCTAAGACTTTCTCGTTATACTCTTGTATCTTATCACTTGCAGCAACGACTGCATCTTTGACTAATTGCGGTGCAGTGACAGCGATTTCTTCCAGAGCAGAACCGATTTTTTCTTTTACAGCACGAACTGGATGCATAGCTGATACGTAACGTGACACGTTGTTGTAAAAAACCCAATATTGAAAAAAGATAAGGTATTTCTCTTTCATATACTTCAATGACATCATGTTATCTGATAACATACATGAAAAAAAAAACAAAATCTTATGAGTATGACAAGCTTTTCTTTGAAATATCCAATGTAAAATAGAACACACACACACCTAATTCTTTTTTTTCCACATAAGCAATGCAAAAACAACTAATAAATGTCTATAAATAAATGAAGGTAAATGTCAAAACAAACTAATGTTGTAAAGAATAAAGTTCCAATGCATATTGTCGACCGACTACTAACCATTTTCTCTCGCTGTTTATTCGCAATGATCGAATAAAGTTGTCTTGATGAGAAAAAAGTAGTAAACGAAGAATTTGTCCATCCGGTGTGATTAAACAATGGCCGATGTCGACATTTGGTATCGACGTCTTTGCAAACCAATAACCATGAAGATGTAAATCAACAGGATAGGAAAGATTTTCGTTGGCATCTAGTTGAATACGATGAAGAATTTGTTCAGTTGACAGTTGTACTAAATCAATCATTTGCTTAGCTTGAATTGATATAGCAAGAGCTAAGATTTTATTTGAATTTAGTCGAATTGTAGTTACACAGATGTTTTTCTGGCCTTTATATACACATAGCGATTGAAGAAATTCGTAAGTTTTCAGAGAATAACGACAAATATTCGATCCAAATGAACGATTGATGATTAAATCAGTCCCATTCACTGCCATAAACGATTTACGTTGACCTTCTTGAATGAACTAAAACAGTCTCTTGTGAACTTCGATTTTCGTTCGGAAAAATCTCACCTGAATTTGTTGAACCGGTTTTAATTGCATTTGATCAAGTTCCGTTTGATATAATTGATTTGTTGTCAGAACCAAAAATCGATTTAAGTGTGTTGACCAAACGATCTCTTGAATATCCATTGATACTAGGATGGATTTCGTGTTCGTTGTATTCATATCAATCAGATGAAGTTGATTATTATCGAATAGAAGTATATGTGTTGAAGAGACATCATAGAGAAGGCAAGTTGAAGTAAATTCCAATCTTTTGACTAGATTTTCCTCCTGACCATCGAGTATTTGTTCGAGATTGAATGTTTTTAGAAAAGATGATGTTTTCCAACCGTTGGATTTTGGATGATGAAGTCTTTGTGAATGAGATAGGAAAATTTTCTTTTTCAGAGCAATTGGATTGGAATTTTTCACGACTTTCTTTGGTGAATTTGGAGAGGAGGACGAATGTCTACAGCCCATGTTTCTCTTTAAACGAAAATGCGTACAATAATATAGTTAGAGAAGATTTCATTGAAAGGAAAAATCGACTGTTAACTGTGTATACATAAGAGATGCTGAACGAAGAAAGAAAAGCGTAGTATACATTCGATTTACTAGACACACGTACACATCTATGAAGCCTGGAATAAAAGAAAGATGACTCATTTTGAAAGTGTTCTTCGTTAAACTTGACTGTCATATCTAACGCGGCGAAAATTCGATAGAAAAGATGCCAACAGATCGCAAACGATCGCGCCCGTGCCAAAGATTCCGAGAAAGGAACCAATGCTTGTTGTCGTTTGAAATAAATCAAATTGACCAGCTTCGCCAGTAACAGACACAACGATATGTATGTTGTAGATTTGAGTATGTAGACGATGCAATTCTTGATCATTGGGTCGAAAGAAGTGCCGAGAAATGAGAAAATTCGAACCGGGATCGTACGGATTGGAATCATAAGGTCTGACATCTAATCGTTCGAAGTTGTAAGTCGGCTCGCAATATTTGAGCGGAAAATCTAAATTACATTTCCAACTGATACGTATTTCAATTAATGATCCGTAGAAGAACATGGAATCGTATTCATCCGGGTCAGTGTTGGTCATTTGTAAAATTTTCAACAGACGAAATTTTGGACATAGAGGATGGTCATGTTGATCATATTCACATGTGTCTAAATACTCTCGGCTGAGTTGTTTCGAAAGAAGATTATATCGTTTCACATCTAATTGAGTGAATTCAACAAAATGTTTTATGAATATTATATAATCCAATGCTTCAAAATTGAAATGAGTACGTGATGTTGGTAATTTAAACCAACAGAGACGATTGCGATAAAATAGATTGCGTTGACGATGGTATGGAGGTAGGATACAACGCGACCGATGGAAGCATTGGTGTTTTGTCGAAGGATATAACGTAGAGTTTCTTCGTAGAGTTGCATTATGACAAGATTTGAGTACATGTTCCATTTCAACAACACGTGTTGTGATCGTTACGGCAGCGTTTTCGGTTGCAGGAATGATGAAATCATTAACGTCATAGGAAGTCCTTGTACAAGTTGAATTCAAAAAAGAATTCAGTTTTATATTCGTACATGAATCCGCGTGTTTCACTTTGATAGTCACGGTTGAAATTGGTGAACGATCGAAGATTTGATAAGATGAACGTTGAAACATGAGACATAAACAAGCCACAGCAAGTAACAGTCGAACCAGTAATGATAGGAAACCAACCCATTTGACTTCGAAACGTACAACTTTAGGTGCTAAATAGAGAAATTCTCAATGTTAATTCGTTGTGGATTACCATACGAGGAGATCCCCATGTGAACTCATCTAAATAATAAACTAGCCGCTTTCAGATGTGTCTGTTTGACAAATTTAATTATTAAAAATGGTATCGTGCTCATGTTAACTTTTATTCTAGTTGTCAAGTCCGAGGGGAATGCGAGCTGCATTGTTTGCGGAAAAGAAATGAAGATTCGAGCACATAGAGATAATCCTTTAACGCGTTGGGTTGACTCGAATTCGTCAAAATATTTTACTTAACAAAATTACATATTTCTCTACATCAGGAATCACATTTTATTGTGATTTTTCATCTATTATCTGGAAAATTTAGTACGGTCAATTTGATTTTCGATTTCGTTGATTATCACTCGAACCAACGCATAGAAATCCAATTGTCTATACCAAATTTTTCTTTTAAAAGGACGACTCCTTTTACAAAAGTCTCCGTTAATGTCATTCTCCAAAATCTATTCAAAGGATCGATTCTTACTTTCGTAATAGGTTAAATTTTCTAAAATACAATTGAACAGACAGCAGCGTTTATTCTGCGGTATCGTTGTTCTGGATATAACTTGCTTACTATGGTGCATATCTAATACTTTGCTTGTTATTATATTCACTAAATCTTATGCGACCGGAAGGTAGTTGGCATTTTATCGAAAGAAAATGTTGCCGATCGACGTGCTGATAACTCTTGACAAATGTTTGTTCATGGATCGGCAAGTCACTATGCGACATAACGCTAATAGATTCGACATCAATATGGATAACAGATAGACACGTCTGAATGATAGACCGATAGCTGGTAATAGTTTGTCTTCTTTCTTTTTCTTTTTTCTTTCTTCCTTTCTTTCTATTCGCGTTGAAAGGTTCCAGAGATGTTGATGTTAATGATGATGAAGAAAAAAAATGAGAGTATGTCATTGGAGAAACAGAAGAAAAAAAAGTCAAACTGGCGAATATTTATTAACAATAGTAGTAATCAACTCAAGAAAAGGAGAGAATATTTGTGTATTATTCGCGTTTAATGACATCTTCGCTTTACCTGACATCAAAGGATAATTAATTGATCAGAGCTGCAACAGCATTAGTGCATCGAGAGAGAGAGAGAGAAAACGATTAAATAGGTTTGACAGTACTAAATAACTCATCTCTGTATGATTTATTCCCATCTATTCAATAAAAAAGAAATATATGAATAGCTGTAGGTGAATAATTCAGCGGCGGAACATGATTACAACCGATTATTTTGATGAAAGAGTGCGATAGAGAAAATAATTATATTGATCGAAATCATGATTTACTTGAAGAAAATAAGAGCAGACTATATAAATTAAATGATATTGTGAATATCAATAAGAAAAACGAAACGGGTATGGAATTGGCAAATAATTCATCGAGAAAAACAGCTGAAAATAATTCATCTGGACAGCAAAGACAAACACTTCATCCCTGGTGGATTGTTCTTCCGGTAATTGTTGTATCGATGACAGTCGCTTCAACTGATCCAATTCTAATGAATGATCTTATGATACGACGTTACCGACTTGAGTATGGAGTCACCAATATGAGTTCACCAGCGAGTGAAACGGCTTGTAATTCGGATGCTTCTCAAAACGATTCGACACTTTTGGAGAAAGCTACCGAAGTACAGAAAGCAGTAAGTCGTTTGAATATATTAATGGCTGGTGTCGGTGCATTACCAGCGGTGCTAACATACGTCATACTTGGTGCTAATTGTGATCGAATTGGGCGTAAGCCTCTTATACTTCTTCCATGTATAGGACGAATCATTCGATTTATAATTCTTTTATTACTCGTTGAACTCAATCTTGGTGACATTTGGTTTATTATATCGACTGTTATTGATGGTTTATTCGGCTCAAATAGTGTTCTTTTGCTAGGCGCGATTGCCTATATAACAGATTGCACGACAGATAGTCAACGCTCACGTGCGATGGTACTGGAAGAAGCCGCTGTGGCTTTAACACGTATCTTTCCATTATTAGGCCTGGGATTTTGGTTACAAAAGCACGGTTATACATTGCCAATGTCAGTGCTGTTGGGTTTGAATGTCGCAGCATTGATTTACACGATACTTCTTCAACCAGAGTCACATGGTGATAATCATCAAAATATTATTCAGGTTTTCAAGAGATTAGCCGACATACGTCTATCGCCGATACGTGGAACGTATCGAGTCTTTCTCATAAAACGTCCTGGTTATGATCAACGTAGAATCATCTTATTAACATTAGCCCAAATCGGACTTTTTATTGTTTTATTTGGTTTTGCAAGTATCCATCCACTTTATCTCTATGGTAAACCGTTATGTTTCGATGTATTAGCCTTAGCGATTCTAACAAGCGCACAATTTAGTTTGATGATAATCATATCGATTGTTCTGAGTGTCTGGAAGAATCCATTTACAAACTCATCGTTATTACCATTTATTGGCGTTTTCTTGTACATAATTCATTTAGTTTTATTCGGTCTTGCTCAGAAAACTTGGTTTCTCTACGTGGGTAAGTGAAGAAATTCGTCTTTGCAAGGTGAAGCAAAAAATAAACGAAAAATTCATTTTAGCTGTCTTTATTGGTTGCCTGTTTTTTATTGTTATGGCTGTATTGAGATCACATTTGACGATATTAGTGAATGATACTGAATTCGCTTTGGTGTTCATTGCCACTGGAATTGTCGAATCAATCGGCTCGTATGTTGTTGGTATTGTTGCTAATGCGATCTACGCAGCGACGATTGATGTGTATCCAGGCATAATCTTTTTCATCCTAGCTGCTATTGCCATTATTCCATTACTGATTACCGGGTCAGTATGATAAATGTTATTGATCCTGTCTTATATGTCCTTGCTTTTAGATATCTACTCGCTTGGCCATTGTGGAGACGAATACGTAGGATACCAAGCGAACGTGTTGAAGAAGATGTACAAAAATCGGCCATGGATATTGAAATGAATACTGACAGTCCGGTTTTTGAAACAAAACTTTTATAGGACCAAAGAGTCCATATGTATGAAATATTAATATACTTCTGTTCGTTAAGCACATCTTATTTGTTGACAAATCGCTTAAAGATAATGATAATTACGACATAAGACTATAAGTAATTAAGATCGAGTCCAACATTTGATTAATACCCATCGTATGGTTGTATGTTGACACGAAGGATACAAAAGACAAATATCTGCTAATCGCTGATATAATCAATTTCTAGAGAGCACTCTTTCTTTTACAGATATCGGAAAACATCATTCTTACCAAAGAAAGATTTTTTGTTTGGAAAATACACAGAACTTGTCGACCTACTATTTCAGCGTATAAACACGGATACATTTGTTTGAAGTTTCTTTTTGTTATTTCCGTTAGAAAAATCCATTATAAATTATTTAGAATCATAAATTTCTCAAGAAATTGACTATCATAGTTTCGTTCTTTGAGTATGATGTGTTTACATCTCTTAAGAGTGCTTTCTCCTACGTCATTAAATAGTAATAGAAAATTAATTATTTTGAAATCAAATGAATGACCTACAGGCTGTTTTCCACAAACAGATGTCAACTTAATCTACTTCCTTCTGATTCAGTTTTGCGTTTTTAACATAAAACTGCATCTCATTTGTTTGTCTCTTTTTTTGACATACGATACACGATGTTAACATGATCACAAACAAGCAATGAAGTGCAGAAACAAAATATGATTTCAAAAGCATAAACAAGACAAAAAAGAACACCGAGATAGTTTTGAACCGAGCTGTGAAGAAGTGAATACAACGAAGATGCTATCTTAGAATCGAGTAGTCTGGGGATTTTGATCATTAAACTGAGCAGGTTGAGATGAGCAAAACGAAGAATATCTATCCAAGAGAATGAATTTTCAGTTGAGCAAATGAACAATCTTCAAAATGACGACTCATCAGTTAGAATATGTTTCGAATTGGCTGAAGAAATCGTATCTGCGTGATCAAACTGTGAAAGAATCCGTGCGGATGACGAATGTTTTTCATCGAGAGTCGGGAGATGATCGGTATTGGATGTGGTGGCTGAATATTGATTCGAATATATTGGCGGATTCTCAATAGCGAATGGTGAAGGTGGCAGTGTAGAGTTTTGATTGTATGTTTTCGTTTGCGACGATAAGTTATCGATTTCCATTGTAAAGGACACGTCGCACGCATCCTGAGCCTCGAGCATTTCTAATAGAAGATCAGCCTGTGGTAACATATCATTATTACGCATATCTAAGAACAATTTCATTAATTTTGTGCTTAGCATCTTAATATGCGGTAACTGTAATAAAAGAGTGAAGTGACGTAACGAATTGTCATGGTAAACACTTGGGTTTGCATCACATGTGTATTGTACAGTTTGATAGATTTGGTTTGTTAGAACACGAAATGCTTTTGTTGATGAAAGCGTGGCTGGAATTGAATTTATCAATATCGTCGCTTTCAATGCGATAAATTCATCGTGTGTCGCACGCGACTCTTTAAACACTTGAAGAATATTCAGTAAATATGTACATATTGAACTTAAGATCGGACTTGATAATTCACGTTGACTGAATCGTAAGATAAAACATGAAATTCAATAGATTAGGTCAAAGTCACGGCAACTTACCGTGGGATGATAACATCAGGGGCGAATTGAAGTGAATCATCATTCCGCTCGTGTGAACGTTCAATTATATCGAGAATTAAAGTATCCAACCAACTATGTTCAATCATTGTTACTTGTTGATCAAGTGTTAATGTCTCTGTGTAACCTTTATAGCAAAGAAAACAAACTAGAGATTGTGAACATGAAAAGTAAAAATATCTACCTGGTATTGCTTTTGCCCAATTGATGAGAACAACTAATTCTTGGTCGAAAATTTTCGCTAGTAATTGAAGGAAGTATTGATCATCTAACGGACGGTTTGGATCGATTTTAGCCGGTAGATTAAGACGTGACGCTTGTGACAAAGTCATGAGAAATTCATGAGTTTTGATCGTAGACCGCGCTGGCTCCGGTGCCGACTACAACACAAATAGACATCTCTGAATGGATCGATCGTACAAGTATCATTCCTACCTTGGCGGTTTGTAGAGATTGCGGTGAAACAAATGCATTACTATTGTTACTAGTAGTAGGATTTGGCTGAGAAGCAGACGGCGTTGTCGTTGCTGATAATCGTTCGTGAATTGTCGATAACGCCTGATTCTGATCTGGTTTATTTGATGTTCCATTCGAATGTGATGAAGTCGAGGTTATTTTACAAACCGATACAGCTTTCTTTCGATACTTTCGCTCCCGTCGCGCTGTACCTTTAGTCATTCCAACTTCATAGCATCGTCGTAAACGACATGCTTGGCAACTCTTCCGACGATGCTTATCGATCGTACAGGTATTTGTCGCAGGACATATGTAATCATTTGTACCTTGTATGCTTCGTTTGAAAAATGCTTTGCACCCTAGACGTCAAGCGAAATAAGCAAACAGTGTACTTTTCAGAAGTAGTTACCTTCGCAGCTCCATACACCGTAATGGTAACCAGAAGCAACATCACTACACACCGCCTTAAAAAAATCAAAATAGAAATACGTTTTACCGGTTTGATTGATCAATTCTACATACGCATTGACGTTTTTCTTCGTGTGATATTGAGCCTAAACAAAACAAAAACAACATTCTAAATTTAATGTCGTAACAGAAAAAAAAACAACGGAGTTATCGACTTTTCTATGTATGCAAATCTTGCTATTGTTTTCTACAAACCTCTTTCACTGTCATGTAATAGCATTGCTGATGAACTTTCCATAGGATTATTCCTCGTCGATGTTAATTCGTCATTTTCTCCCGTTGATGTCGACGAGCGGTAATGATGATATAAATCATTCGTGAATGAATTATACGGGACAGGACTAAGAGATTGTTGTTTAATACTGGCTGACATGTTTCTTTAAGGTTAAACAAGCATTGTTTCTAGTTCTTTTCTTTTGATTTCGTTGGATAGACAACAATCTAAGGTGATTGTGATATAAAAATACGTATGTTGCACGAGTGTAGCAATGGCAACAAAGAGAGAGGAAAGCGACCGAAACCGAGAGAGAGAGAGAGAGAGAGAGAGCGAAGTAAATAACAAATGTATAATATATATACTCGTGAATGACGTTGTCTATTTTTTTCCTATTCGACAGTATTCTTTGTCGGTTTGTTTTTACAATTACATGTAGCGCGTCTATCAGCTCTCCAAAGTGTTTTTATCTTTTCCGGAGTTCTTATGAATGACGGGAGAAGAGAAAAAAAAAGAGAATTAAATCTGATTCACAACGAAATTCCGTTGTCTAACGATATTTTTTTCGAATGAAGACGGAGGAAAAGTTTGTCGATCGGGAAAATATTCGACTTTATTTATATATATATGGGTGATGCACGAAAAAAAAACGCGAGATTCCATGAGCGTGCATGCAAATAATATAGTTTCTATTATGAATTGCGACGTGAAGGACGATGTCGACAACGATAAAAAGAAAACTGAAGGAAAAGAAAAGGAGAAAAAGAATGTGTATTTGTCAGCAAGCTTATTTCTTTGATTTTTCTTTACATATTTGTACCCAGCAAAAGCGCATGTATATATCTAGTGGAGAAGTCATCGTGTTCTTTGCCCTGTATCATTGTACAGCTGAATAGCGTCTGTATGTGAGATGCCGACGATCAGAAGCGTTAAAGGAAAGAAATTATCGACAAAGAAAAGCCATGTGAGCGGTTTTTTTTTCTGTCAATCAATGACAATTAGAAGAGATTTTTGCGTGGTAAGAAACGCATTTGCTTACCCTTATTCATTTCGAGTGATGCCGACGTATTTTTCAGTTTTCCATCTGATCGAATTTGATGTACACGATTATTTCGATCTGTGTCCATGTGATTTGCTGCTCCACTGTCAGAATCGATCAGAGCGTGATCTCGATGATTCATTTGCGTTTCATGATTGGATGTATTATGAGAATTATTTCCCATGGATTCATTAATGAATTCAAGCCACGATTGTTTCTTCTGAGAATAGTCCATTTCCAATATCTACAAAATCTCGATACAATGTTGTGCTCAGTAAAGGCAAGTGTTCGAAAGTACAGCTCGATTAATATTTAACGGAAAGTTCTGCAAGTATAGAGATGAATAAGTCGAATGAATGAAGAAATGAATGAAACGAATATATATTGTAAAACTGTCGAAAAAGATAAATACATAAACATCACAAATATTAAACATAATCTTACTCATTCATGCAGAGCAGCGAAATGTAAAGAAAGAGGCGAATGTAATTATTCGATATTTTGTACATGAAAGAAAAGGTATGATGACAAGATTAACTTGTCGTCATAATTTGGCCATGAAACGATATTACTTGTATATTTTTCATTGCAAACGCATATTCAGATTCGAAATATTTCAGAAAATGCTTCAGTCGCATATCGATGAGTTATCAATCATTAACGCATTTATTTATTTTTCTGAAATTAGAAGAGTTTTCTGCGTCGATACGGTCACTAGGTTCTTTCTCATTTTCAAGTTATACCTATACGTTGCAAACCATTCGAACATTTTTTTAAGGATAGTTTTACGTCATCAACGCAAAATAATCGTACTTGTTTTTTTGTTGTCTCGTACTTTTCTCTGTTACCTGTAGATCATAGGCTACAAGATGCATGTAACACGAATGATTATACTTAAATTATAAGAATTGGAGGGAGGAATAACTGAATTATGATTATCAACAAACAGGATCAGAGAGATTAGAATGATGGCATTAGTTGTATTGCTTTCGCATCTGTATTCATCAAGTGTTGTTCATTTTCATAAGTTTTTTGTTCGAAAAAACACATCTGATACAATGATTAAAATTAGCATGAGTGGTGACAACCATCTCTACATTCCATGTCATTAGACTGGATGACAGGAAAGAAGGAGCTAAACCTTGCCGAGTGCTATTAGTAAGGATGGTCTCGTTGTATGTTTGCCTTGACTAATTGACAACGAGTGAAAAAGAGAGAAAGAAACTATTGATTTCGTTCTTTCGTTCTTTTTTTTTTTCATTTGCTTTGCTTTTTAAGACGCTCTAGCGATATTTATCAGTACATTTTCAACTTTATCACACCGTGACACTCTCTATGGTTTCGCTTCAATAGACAGACGAAGTCTATGACGTGATTTTTCCAAATAACAATCAGTACTTACTTTTTGTCAACAAAGAAAATTATTCATCCGACGGGCAACATCACCCTTTCTTTTAGTTTTATTCCAGATTCCAGAATATTTTTCAATGAAATTCCCGCAGAGTTAAAAGCTCTACTATCGTCGAATCCTGTGTATTATTGAAGGAAAGAGCATTATCAGCAGTACTTCAAATAATACTGAATAGTTGAAAAAAACCAGGTGCAAAGGTCAAAATAAAGCCACTCGATCTGCAAGGAAGGATTACGAAGAGTACAGAAGTACTGGAGAATTTGAAAACAGCCGAAGACTTGACTGACACAAGCGATAATATTGTCTTAACAGGAAAGGTTTTACGAGTCTTTTGTGCTTCTATCAGAAGAATACGACAAAAAAACAAGTTTTGTTTTTACACAAAACATTGAATGCCGAGGGTTACAATAAACCAAATAACCACTTGCCACATTCAATGGCAAGTGAGAGTATAAATACGATTGATGTGTCAATGACCAATTTGTACATCTTCTCGAATAGCAAATGCGGAACGAAAATAATGACTTATTATAGAATGTATATCCTTTCTGATTAAGTAAATCCATGAATTCATATCGAACAATTACTTGACTAAAATCGAAAAATATTCAGAACTTTTTTTTCTGTCATCACAGGAGAAGAACGTCTTTGTGCAAGTTTTGAACATCCTGATATTCTTTTGGTTTAGAAAGTCAGGTATTTTTGTCTCAACTGATTGTGATAACACAACCATAAAAAAAACTATCACATTTATAGTTCATCTTTTGTTTTGTGAACATAGCAACTGTTACCTTTGCAACATCCGAAGTGTATGCCGAAGAAGAAACAAGCGATGCTTCTTTTTTCCTCTTCAGCTATCGCAATTTTCATATGAGCTTATGAATAATTAGTAAAGTCGACAAGTTTCCCACACTGAGAATTAAAATGGCATTTTGTAACGTGTTGAATATACTTTTTGAAGCTTTAGTATCAATCAATTTTCATCAAGAACTTTTGGATGCACTCCTGATTTTTGCATCCTATTATATAAAAAGATAGGGTGTTGTAGTATTAAAAATACCTTGTCAGGATTCATTTTCTATTCTCGAATAATCTTCTTACCGTCACCACAACAAATCTTCACATGAGCACCTCTTCATTATGTTGATTAGTTTACATGACAACCGGGCGTTTCAGCTTGTGACGCGTCAAACAGGATGCTTCCTGTTAGAAACACCGAGGAGAAATGGAAAAGAAGAGAGAGAGAAAAAACAGCCGAGTCATCACAATACAAAATATTTCATTTTCTATGTGTCTTCATTATTATAATCATCAAAGAAGAAATGTCGTCGTTAACATCCAAAGAAATACATCAATTATCAGAAGAAACTGGCTTTAGCAAATTAGCCATCCAAGATTGGTACAAACGCTTTATTTACGACTGCCCCACTGGTAGTATCTCAAAAGAACGATATTTGAATCTCTATCGTTCATTTTATCCTCGTGCACGTAACTCCGACACTTATGCTCAAATCTTTTTTACAGCTTTTGATGAAGATCGTGATCAAGCATTAAATTTTCGTGAATTTTTACGCGTCGTTGCTGTTACGCAAGGTACTGATGAGAAAGCCAAACTTGAATTAGCTTTTAAAGCCTATAATCGTAATCAAGTCGAGACTAATTTACCACGGAAACAGCTACGTACTATGATTATTGCGATATTAGATCTTGCTGAAACTTCTGATGAAGATGAAGAAGGTGGATATGAAGAAAAACGCGAGAAAATTATCGAATGGACTATGAAGTGTCTAGGTTTGGATGAGAAAGCTGACATTTCGAAGCGTGAATTCATTCGTCGATGTCGAGATGACGTGAACTTATACGAATTTCTCTCATTTCGATCTGTACCAAAACCGAACTGTCCAGATGGGGATTTGAAAGGAAAAGAAAAATACAAAATTTCGATTACAACAGGCTCCGAAGGAAAGAAATTAGCTCGAAGTAAATCGTCCGGCACTGACGCCAATGTTTACCTAGTTCTTCATGGTGAAACGAGTAGTTCCGAATCCATTCATCTACAACACTCTCAAACATACAAGGATTCATTCGAACATGGTCATACCGATATGTTCACACAGTTTTTGCCTGCATTAGGAGAAATTAAAGGTGCAACACTTTGGCATACAGGTGACAAAAATCAAGGATGGTATGTCGATAACATGCTAATAACAAATGAAGCAACAAACACGACGACATATTTTCCTGTCCAACGTTGGTTAGATAGCGACGAATATGACAAAATGACAAAGGTCGAATTGATTCCCAACCAACCACCTGGTTATGCTGAAGTGAATGACAATTGAACATTGGAATATTGTTTTCCTTTCTTGCTTGTTGTATGCATATCTTAAAAACTGGTTCAATTTACTTCTTTTTCTGCTTAAATAAATCATTTCTCGGCAAATCTATTTATTTTGATAACTACGTAATATACAGTTAAATGAATGAAGCCATACTAATCAGGCAACGAACTTTTTTGCGTGTATGAACAGAAAAAAACACAAAGTTTTCAATCGAACAGTTAGTTGTGACTAGGAAGAACGGTTTTTTAAAGTAGATTTTGCTATTTATAATTAAGGAGATCATTTTCATTCTCTTCGGCAATTGACATCAATGTAATTTGTCGCTGACGTGTTGAACACGTTCGATAGCGTGCAGTGTAGTGAACTTGAACATGCGTTTTAGTAATACTAGTTTGTTGTTCACGATTCTGACGAACGGATCCGCGTCGAGTGTATAGTTTTGCGCGACGATTCTCGTGTGGTGAGTAGTTTGGAACAGTTTGATTGAAATGCCAGAGTAATTTCGAGAAAAATTTCCATATTCGCTTTCCAGCTGTACATTTATGCAGCTTGACTAATGTTCTACAAACATACAAGTCGGATTGTCGAAATAAGAAGATTTTTATCTATATTTTCATACATACAATTTCGAATTCGATTTTGTTTTATGGGGCATGATTGATTAGCAACTCAAATTTCGTAGCAAACTGAATGAATCAAAAGGAAAAAGAAATTTAGTTTTTTATATGTGATGCATGTATCGATGGCACACATGTAAACATCGCTCACCTCTTGATGTACCTCAGCTTCAAAGAGTTTTGTTTGCTTTTGAAATGCACTTCTGAAAAAAAGAAAGGATTCGTTTAATGTTTTATGTCCTTATATGACGCTCATAGAAAACGTGGCTGTGAAAAATGAAAGAAAAACAGGGTTCTGATTTCTTTCATCTTCTTTTTTTTTCAAGTTTTTAATGGCATAGTCTTGATTTTGCTGTGAATGAAACGACCACGCTTGGCATTTCCAGGGCAGACAAACAAATTCAGAACAAAATGATATATATTTCAAGGCAACGGATTAATCGCGAAGGAGAAAAACAACAGAGACTAAGAGTAGACGTAAAATCAAACGCCTGAATAAACAGAAAATGTGCATTTTTCGTTTGTTTTTGAGTTGTCTTAGGCAACGATATACATACTTAGTTGTGAAGATGGAATTTGTGCTTTGTATCATGTGACACGTCTACGAAATACTGAGTGTTTGGATTGAAAGAACGAAAGGCTAAAAATGGGTTTAATGTAATAATTTTTACCGTATGCGATAGACACGAAAAAGTCAGACATGATGGAATGTTCTGATATTAATACGCTGCCTCGTTAGTTTATCAAAGCGATAAAGTACAGGAATTTTTATTTTTTTAAAAAAAATATTATATTTACAACAAGTACTATTTTCATCATGTACAAAATTCTTTAAACAACAATATGTTTGACAGTATGAATAAAAGCTAATGACAAAAAAGTAAGTAGAATAGCCGAAATCAATTGCTGTGCAAGTTTCAATCTAAAATATAGAAGAATTGTAGTAAAATTTGATATTCAGATCGTTTCATACCTGAGATTTCGTTCATAACATTGTGTCATTCGATCCATATCGTCTTTCAATAAGTACTTTTTCACACCAAGAACATGATTTCGGATGTATTCAACCCAATTAAGATCTTGTACGTCGAAATTGAATAACTAGAAGTATTTACAAATAGAAATTTAGAATTCTAAATCGAGCGAGATCTACCTGACGATCGATTTCATTCGTACTCATAATATCGAACAATTTTTCACTATTTTCACTTGCAAACGTCCAATTGTTATTGGAAAAGAAGTCGAGAACTTGTAGAGATTTCGTCATTTTATTCAACAGACGAACGAAACTAAAACAGCCGAGCATGCCATCGAGTTTTGACTTTAGGAGAAAGAAACTTACATTGGTTTATTTTTCGTGATGATCATAATGAGATCGAGAAGATAAGCGAATATGACTTCTTGGAAGAAATGTCGAATTCCATAAACATATCTATGTACGAACAAAAACAAAGGTAGAATTATCGATCGAAAAGACAAGAAAAACTTACTTGTTTGTAATCAGAGTCAATTCAGGCCATCGCAAACATCGTTGAAAAGCAATTTTATGTGAATCAAGTTGCTCAGCAATAATATCAACTAGAAAACATCGGATGAATAAACAGGATGAAATTGTCAGAGGATCCTTACTGTATTGCTGACTAGAAACAGATTTGTTGTTACTTCGTCGTCCTGCTGCACAGCAATGAATGACCGGTAACATATCGGCTTTTTGTCGTAAGGGTTGCCTCGATGCTTGCGTTGCTGTATGCCAGGCAAGAGTTATCATCGTATTGATAACAACATCAGCTGGAATACAATTTGGTTGGATTGTTGGATTGGCATTCATCACACGCATAAAGCCAGAAACAGACTAGAATGAATCATTCCGGTCTCGGAAGCTTTGTTCAACAAAGAATCAACTTACTGCAACAATGATGCCAGTGTAACCGCTGTAGTTATCGATAAAACCCTAAAATGAAAACACGATGACTTTGACAACAATAGAGGAAAGAATGCTTACAGGAACTGGTTCTTGCCATGTAGGGCCAATAATTGATGGGCGGAAAATAGCTGAAACGAATGAAAGTAAAATGAAACGATTCATTCATTTGAATAAGGAAGTAGCTTACCAAGAGGTAAATGTTGAGCATGTGTATTAAGATAGGCTTCAGCTAAACCTTTTGTGAAAGTATACGTATTGGGTAGATGACGGATCAATTCTGGGGTGATTAAATCTAACATTGACGTATCCATCCATTCACATGCTTTTAACAGTTGTTCAGGAGCGATTGAAGTGGGATAGACAGCTTCCTCAATATGTGATTCATTGCAATTAGCATATGCTGTAGAAACATGTATTACTGCCTGTGATGGATAAAAAAACGAATTGAGTATGATAAACATGTCTTGTCTTTTCTATTTGTTACCTGAACCGAAGCCATTTTCGTGCATAATTCGATGAGTTTTGCCACAGATCCGACATTGATTTGCATCGCATTTCTAAATTAGCACAAACTCGAAATGAAGTAAAACATATCATTGCAAAAATTTACCTCAATGGTTCATCAAATCGAATAGTTGCTGCAGAATGAAATACAATGTGACATTTTTCGATCAGGAGTGCTTCATCAGTTTTGCTCAAACCAAAATTAGGTAACGTCACATCGCCCTCCATAGCGTTGAATTTTGATGCAAAATTAGGATTAATCAAACGAATCGTATCGAAGAGCTAGAAAAGAGAAATATTTTAACAATTAGGACACACAATAATTTGTGAGATTACGTACCGGACAACTGCATAATTTCGTTAAGCGTTCTTGAGGCGTAACATTGTGTTTACCTCTGATCAATACATGAATACGATCGATGTCTAAAAAAAAGAATCGATTAAATATTCTTTATGAAGAATCTAGTACATACCAGGGCATGATCGAACTAATTTTTCTAACAAACACTTTCCAACAAATCCGGTCGCACCAGTGACGAAAATAGTTTTATTGGAGAAAAATGTTGCAATAGCACTAGTGGAATCTTTGTGAACTAGTTCGCTCATATTTGGAGCCATTTCGATTGTTTACTCAAGGGGTTTATTTGCTTATTAGACACAATATGATAGATATATATACATATATATATATATGTATTTATAGGACTCATAATCATATGACACAGGTAACGCACGATGGGAAATCTGCGCAATTGTCGGCTTTGTAAATTATAATGCGTTCGTATAGCTGGCTAATCCTGCCTACACATATTTTTATTACGCATCACAAATGCCTAATTACATATGCGCTCATGTGAGACCACACAAAATGAAAGCTATATATATAGATGTCTGCTCTTATCGTATCAAAACATGAGCTAGATATTTATTATTGTCATGTTAGCAATAAGCGATGTCCTCACTATTTCAGTATTTCGAAGCGATTATCCAAATAATGACACAAAATTCGAGATTAATCTTACAAAGATCACGAATTTTAACTACACCAGCGTCCTTAGCACTTTCTTAATTTGGACATTACGTTTACTAATATTAATTGGATTATATGCAATGATGTGCACAATTGCTTTAATCGAATTCCATAGTGATTATCGACCAACTAATCAAACATTTACCATGGTTGATATTGGTTTCAGAATCACTCAAAACCTACATGATTATTTAAGTGATCACTCGACTCTTCATCATTGGTTAGCCTTTCTCAACACCATTGGCGTCGATATCTTGTTGGTATATACAGTGATAGCAGTGGGTTATTGGCAACGTCGACCGGGTATCGTGATCGTCGAAACCACAATGTTCCTTGCTCGACTGGCTTGTGGATGGCTAACACAATTACCTTATGCCAGTGACTACCTCCCAAGTGAACATGATTTTCCAGATTGCTTAACCAACAGATTCCGAGATGCAACATCACTTAGTGATCAGCGACAACACGCTAGTTTCTTCTACTTTTTCAGCGGACACGTGGCTCTAGTGAGTCTCGTTGCAGCTCATTTTAGTCAATCGAACCAACGAAAATCAGCTAACTTATGTCATCTATTCAACATCCTACAAATGATCAGATTATTGGCGACCAGAGGCCATTACACGATAGATTTAATCGGCGGTATAATAATCGGATCTTATGCACATAGTTTTATAGAGAATGTAGATAAGATCTTAGCATCATATCAGCTCGTTGGACATTTAGTTCGAAGAAAATATGTGAAAATGAACTGATAAACATTTTTTGTGGATATGTGTTTTTTTGTACAAATTAAATATAAGCTATTCTGTTTTTTTTTCAGATATATACTCAAATATTTACTATGATTTCACTCGTTCTACTTGCCGTAGTCCTCGGACTCTTCATCTATTTACTATATCAACCAATTTGTCGCGTCATTTATCAGAAGAGTGTCTATTCATCCACGATACTCTGTCCACGAAGTCATCCAATCTTCGGGGTTTTCTTTCATCTTAACGGACGAATTTCTAAAGCTGGTAAGTTTCTCTTTGTTTACTTTTTGCACTGACAAATATGCAATTCTTTTAGAACAATTTCGACGTTTACTTTCCTACTGGTACGAACATCCGAATGAACCTGTTATATGCCTTTGGTTTTTCATTTGGCCCTTCCTCCTTATCAATCGTTCAGATTACTTAGAGGTAAAAATTTCTAATTTTGAAATAAGCTGAAATAACCACCTGAATCGTAGCCGTTCCTTGGACCAAATACCAAACATATCACAAAATCAGTTCAATATTCATTGTTTAATGACTGGTTGAAAACTGGTCTGTTGACAAGGTATATGCGAAAGATACCTTGAAAAATAGAACTTATCGACTGTTTGTTTTCTAGTACGGGTGCGAAATGGAAAGCACGTCGACGTCTCATCACTCCATCCTTTCAAAATACTCACGTCCTTACCAATTGCTTCACTATATTCAATGAACAAATCGTTACTTGCATGAATCGTTTGCAACGTGTAGCTGAAACTGGTGAACCAGTGAATCTTTTCGAATACGTCTCAGCATGGACACTCGATGTCATTTGCGGTAAGGTTGCATCAGATCTATCTTATTTCGAACAAAATATTCTCTCGTTGTAGAAATGGCTATGGGTAAAAATGTCAACGTTCAAACGAAAGAGTCAGATTATGTCAAAGCAGTCATGAAGTAAGTTTTCATTTGAATATGCCTGAAATATTAAATGAAGACCTGTCGCTTTATCAGAATTACAGATATCATTGCCCTTCGTATTCGTTCACCTTCACTCTGGTTTGATCCCTTCTTTGCATTGACTGCTATTGGTAAAGAACACGCACAACAATTGAAAGTTGTTCGACAATTTACTCAAAAAGTGAGACGAATTACTCTAACGTTGACCAAGTAAAAACTTTTCTCGCACTCATAGGTGATCGAAGACCGTTTTGAAGAATTTGAAAAAGCTGAGTTCGAACCAACACGTATGGCCTTTCTTGATACTCTACTTTCAAAAATGAAAGATGGAACATTGTCATTGGAAGATGTACAAGAAGAAGTTGATACATTCATGTTCGGAGTACGTTGTCTTGTATTCATACAAAGACAAAAAGCATTTTCATGATTTTTTTTCGAAATTTGTAGGGCCACGAAACAACTGGTACGGCATTGAATTTTGCTTGCTGGATGATTGCTCTACATCCAGATGTTCAAAGGAAGTTATACGAAGAAATGAAATTGATTTTTGGTAAATATTTCATTTTTCTCCTTGTGTTCTCATCGAACATGAATTTATTTTTATTTAGGCAATGACATAACACGACCATGCACATTAGAAGATACGAAACAAATGGAATATCTCGAACAAGTCATCAAAGTAAGTTCTGATCTCTTCGAATGAATTTCTTTTCCTAAATAATCGAGTCAACTTTAGGAATCACTTCGACTTCTTCCTTCCATACCCGTCATTGGACGAGAAATTCAAGAAGATTTTGAATATGGTACTATTCTTTGTTGTTGCATTAAACAAATTTAAATATTGTTTTCTTTTCCTGCTAGATGGCAAGAAGTTTTTGAAAGGCACTACAGTAATGATGTTTCTCTATACGATTCATCGCGATCCACGATATTTCCCCGAACCCGAAAAATTCGATCCCAGTAGATTTTCGCCAGAAAATATCCGACAAATACCACCCTATGCTTATATTCCATTTTCGGCGGGAGCGCGTAATTGTATCGGTAAGGACTATCTGCTGATTTTTGACAACCTAATCTTCTATTTTGCACATTTTAGGACAACGATTTGCTTTGCTGGAAGAAAAGGTGTTTCTTTCTACATTGCTCCGCAGATATCACGTATCGACGGATCAAACTTATCGTGATTTTGAACCAACCGAAGAGATCATTCTTCGATCAAGCAATGTGCTCAACATCAAACTTTCCCCGCGAAATCATTTCAATCATTGATATTCTTTTTTTTGTATATACACTTTGCGTCTAGTCATCGCTTTTTTATTTATATATTTATTAAATATACTTGCTACATATAAATCTCACTGTTTCGTGTTTATTTTGAAATCGACAATACTCGTAACAAAAGAATCAACATAACTAACAGACTCAAAACCTACTTGATCACAACAATTAGTTTGTAAAAAGGAATTCGTTGAAAGTAGCTGAGAATATTATGATTCACACGTGTACTGGCAGATCTAAAAGATCGACAAGAATTCGCATTTGATGTAACATCTTTAAAACAAGAAAATTTTTCTCAAAATTCCGTTATAAATGGTAAAGATGTGTCTGCTAAAACTGGTATCTTAGAATTCGCGTGATATATAAAACAATCCTTCATAAACAATCTATTGGCTCGAAGACATGTATTACATTCGGAGATTCAGCTAGTGGCGGCGCCCAGGGGAGAGGAGGCGAGGGGCTGAGCCCTCCAGAAATTATCTGAGCTTCACCCCAGTTTTAAATATTTTATGCTTAAGTATGAGGGTTGGGCCCCCCCCCCCCCCCCCCTCAACACTCACTCAAAATCCTGGTGCCGCCGCTAGATTCAGCTGGTGAACGAAGCATACATTTGTTATTCCAATAATAGTATCTGTGTGAGAGTTTATGCACAAATCTGGCGATTCCTCTGTCTCCAAGGATTATTTTCACACACATATTCATTTAGAAAACCAGTTATGATTTATTCAGTTGCTTAGAAATATTAATTACGAAAGTCAAAGTCAAATATCATTCCATGATTCATCTCAAATCTGTTCAAATGCATATCCGGGTGCCTGTCTTAACACGTTCTGTCGAGTATTAAAACGATTAAAGAGATCATCTTCTGTATAAAACATTCGCCCTCGTCCTTCAAGAAGATTGTACATCAGTCAGTTCATATTTACTCGAACCTCACATACGTTCAATAAAATTGTATTGAATATAAAATCTTTGTTCAGTGAGGCACAGACATTCTTCTAATATTCAATTTTTGGAATTGATTTTCTAGTCACCCACACCCTGCGTGACTGTTGCTTTTAAGATTCATATTTCACTCGAACGAAACTATCTCAGACGACGTACACGTGGTGATCGGACCATAATCTGGATATATGATTATAATCACTTCACCATAGAAAGAAAGAACGAAGTCGTCGGATGCATGATTTTATCTAGTCGTTTCTGGCAATAAACATAACGATGTAGTGACGATCATACTGTCGATATTTACATCGGGTCATACACAACGTTGTGTATCACATACAGATCTATCAGATACGTTACTGCAATTATACATCTATTCGTTTCGAACGGCAAATAAAATAAATGGAGCCTCCTCGAAAAATTCCCACAGCTTTCTTTGAAATTCGCCGAAGTAGATCTCATTTTCGTCACCGGATTTAAACATTTCGTATAGGAAATTTGTGGAATCGTATTTAATACCTTCAGATGGATCCATCTATTCAAAAACTTGAGTCAGTAGTGATTGAACTTATCAAAGAATGGTTAATGCAGGAACCCAGGTCGATCATTCCGGTGACTGGATCCGTTTAAACCTGAGTCGATTTCAGTCGGAATTCGGCGGCAAGGAAGTCGTCAGAAAGTGAACTTAACCGGGCGGAACCGACCGAGCCACAATAATCTGGGTAGTTAACGATGATAATACCTCTAGGCCAAAGAGGTTTGATTGGTCAGTTTGTATTTTAATTATGTTCTTCGGACAAATGAGATATTTATTCCATTTATCCTTTGTCATTATAGTCTGTCGTCGATATTTGAGTAAGTTCATTCCTTCTGCTATGGGTCAACAACGATCTCCGACAGCTTTCAAAGTTCGTAGACTACTAGTTCTGTGATACTGTTAGCTAATACATCTGTGTAGTGCTTGATGGAAAGAAATGGAATATTTCTTCGGTTTTGTCACTATTTATCACTAAACATCGTGTTTTAATTTTAGGTTTATCGTGTAGAACATGAAGTGAATGCGAGTCCTATAGAACTGGACGATGTTGGCGTAGACAACACGTCATGGACTTACGATGATTCAGCAGGCATTCGTGATTATTTTCGATTTTTTCGTGGAAATCATCTTGCGGCGCGCTTAATTGGTCAGACTTTTATAGTGACGTCAAGGTCACACTAGGTGCAATTATGATCCTTCTGTGGAGTTTTCTGTTCCTAGTATTTTCTTCGTTGAGTAAGGTCATGAAGAGAAATTAGTTTTTTGTTAAATAAAGATACTATTCATAAGAGCACCAAAGATTATCAAAAGAATCATGAACATCTTTCTCATTTCTTTTGCAAATTATCGGTTAACACGCCAATCAAGCATGTACAGCTAGAAATTAGAAATAGTACTCATTCTGATCAGACTTGAACAACGTTAAGCTTCACCATTAGCACTGAGTTTAACAAGAACTAAACTGTATTTTTCGATCGACTAGTTCACAAAGTCTTTACGATTGAAAACTATTTAAACAGGTACTACTTGTAATTGCTATTGCTGCATTATTCGTCTGCTAAAGAAAATGTAGTTATGTTTTGTGTCATTTCGTCCGCATTAGCATGTGTCGAGCGGTTTTCTCTTTCGCCTATTTCTATCTCAACACAAGGTAAGTAAAGTTTGCATCATATTCGGGTGTTTTTGAATGTTTTAATTTTCGAAGGGGATCACGGGAAGAAGAATATAATTTTGCCAGCACCTCAAAATAATCAAAAATTAACGAATCAACAAATATTACTGTTGAAAGGCTTTTTTTTATACTGAGTGGGCTTACTTGGCCGTAGGTACAAAGTTGTCTTAGAGTCATTTTTGTAAATGAGTTCAAATAATTAGATAGAGTTTTCAAAAAATTTATTGACTATATACAAAATTACATATCAAAGGGAATAGCATAAGAGAAAACTATAATTGAGAATCACCTAAATCTGTCAATTGTCGTCGGACCAATTCTTGGTAAACACCATTCTCGATTGCCATTAATTCTTCGTGCGAACCTTGTTCGACCAGTTTGCCTTTACAGATGACGAAGATTCGATCGCATTTTTCAAATGTGCTCAAACGATGTGCTGAGATAAGTACAGTACGTTTTTGTTGATTGTTTTGAACTAATGATTCTTGAATCTGAATGAAAATACGAAACATTATTCGATTTTTGCGTATAAAACTCAATCATGAAACTCACCAAACGTTCACTAATTGGATCTAAAGCAGATGTAGCTTCATCGAGAAGGAGAATATTTGGTTTACGGATAATCGCACGAGCAATTGAGACGCGTTGTTTCTGACCACCAGAAAGTTGAGTGCCCCGTTGGCCACATGGTGTGTTGTAACCATCGACGAGACCACTGATGAAGGTATGTGCATCTGCTTCTTTCGCTGCCGATTCAACGATGGCATCCTGTTCCACGACTGCAGCTTCACTCTTCTCTTGATTCTCGTCTTCGTTTTCATCCATGGCGTAGAGAATATTTTGACGGATTGTTCGGTTGAAGAGAATAGGTTCTTGACCTACCAAAGTGATCTGAAAGAAAGTATTGCGATGAATGTTATGTTTTTTTTCGGAAATGTCAAATTTTACTTTTTGATGAAGATATTTATGATCATATTCTTGAATTTCATGACCATCAATCAAAACCTTTCCTTCATTTGGATCATAGAAACGTTCCAAGAGATTCAGACACGTCGATTTACCTAAAGAGAAAGATAAGTTATTCAAGATCATTCGATAAATTCGAAATCTTACCAGAGCCAGATGGTCCAACAAAAGCGTATGTTTTGCCGGGCTCGATTCGGAATGAAACATTCTGTAAATGCACAAGAAGAAACATAGAATAACACTCGTAAACAAAAGCGTCAACTAACCGAAATGGCTTTTTCATTGGGTCGTGCAGGATAGGTCAGTGTCACATCTTGAAATTCGATTTCACCGCGAAATTCGTCTGGTTTATAATCTCCACTCGGTTTTTGTTCTATAGATCGGTCAATATATTCAAATACTGATTCACTTGCACCAGCAGCTGTTTTCAACGATGAATAGATTTGTGAAATATCCTATGATATACAATACACAACTCATAAAGACACAATTTATCCAAGTGACACTTACTGAGAGAATAGGGCCGAGTGCAAGTTGACACATGATGAATGATAACATGTCAGAGCCAGGTAATCGATTTTCACGCACTAATTTAGCACCGTAAGTTAATATTGTTGCACTTAGACCGACACTTCCCATCTATGATGTAGAAAAGGTAAACGTTTATGAAGAGGGAGAGAGCTGAGATCGATGGAACTTACATCGACAAACCACTTTTGTACGGAAGCTAATCCTGCTTGAGCAACGAGTGCTCCATAGGCTTGTTGCAGAATACTCGTATATCGTTTGATTTCACCATTTTCATTTGCAAAACTGCGTACTGTTCGAATACTTTGAATGGCTTCTTCGGATACTTCCGACGAATCAGCCGTCAGATTTTGCACTTTTTCCGACACACGTCGACTTGTATTACCACTTAATTTAATAACGACAAGAATAACAGGAGTGCCAACAATACAGATCAATGTTAGATAAGCATTCAATTTGAACATGACTAATATGATACCGACTAGAATAGAAAACAATTCTTTCATAAGAGTACTAAAAACATACAAATCGATGTCTTACTAAATTTGAACACGGAACCAATACATTGCGAAACATTATTTGCAACAGTTGTACTCATGATTTCTGTGTCATGATTGAGACGCGAAAGTAGTTTCCCACTTTCATGTGTGTCGAAGAATCCAATTTCTTGTTGAAGGTAAGTCTGGAACAGTTTTGTACGTAGACGAATACTCAAACGTGCTACACAAACTGAAAACACCCATAGACGAAATCCACCGAAGAGAATACTAGAAAACAAATCTTTAACAACTAGCTTATTGTTAGATGATGACGTACCCAATAAAATATGCACCAACAAATAGAAGAAGGTTAGTACGAAACTTTGGATATGGGTCTTTGTATGCCACGCTTGATAGGAGACGACCAGTCAATAGTGGAACGAAAACTTCAGCTAAATAGAAAGAACAATGGTATTTATTCGATCCAGAACACATTCTTCCAATCGGCTTACCAGATGATACGATGAAAAGAAAGAAACTACCCAAAAGAATTAATTTCCAATCAGAGAACGAATAACGAAAGAGACGGCGAAGCACACGTTGCTGTGGATTAGATTCCTCAACGACCTCTAAATGAAGAAAAAACAATGATATCATTACCTGAATTATTTCACCTTCAAATGGCGATAACGATCATAGGAATAAAGCTTACCTTTGCTCTTCTTCAATATTTTCACTATACTAGTTAATCGGGTACAAGCAAATACCATTTTTGATATCTTTTTGAGAATACTATGAACAAGCCAGTGAAACAGTGTTCATATATATATACGATTTAAATGCGTTGTCACTTGTGCAGTTTGGGAGGATGGGGGTGTATGATCATCAAAGACTGAGTCAGTGGGGACATCCACATTTCATTGATTTTTGTTCTTATCCTTTCTTCATACGTCACATGACTAATAAAATAATTTACGCTAGATTATTATTAGAAGCTGCATTGTCAGGTAGTAGGCTTTTTTTTTCTTTTGCGTTTTACATCTTTACCTTTCACCCACATAAACCGATCTGTATATATATATATATATATTCTGCATAAAACCAATATACATACATTACATTGAGTTGCGATTCGTACCATCATAAGCTAAAAATATCTGTTTACATGGATACTTTCGGATTACGTGTTAAACCATGGATACAAGACATTGATGGTCTGTATCATCCACTAGTGTTCGATTTCGAACGTTCATTTGGAAATAAAACTTTCGCAAATTCCATTGGTGATTGGATGAATCAATGGTGGTCGTCGAGCATAGTGCTTGCAATTGTTTATATTGCTTTGGTCTTCTACGGACAAGAATGGATGAAAACAAGAGAACGTTTCGAATTACGCCGACCACTTATTCTCTGGAATGCCTTCTTAGCATTGTTTAGTGCTTTCGGAATGATTCGATGTGTTCCGGAAATGTTGTACAATTTGAACAAGGAAGGTCTAGAATATACGATCTGCAATCGAGATAATATCTATGGAATCACAGGATTCTGGTATGAAACGACTGATTGATGTGTATGAAGTTTTATTTTGTGTTACTATAGGATTACAGTCTTTTGCTGGTCAAAATTGCCTGAACTAATCGATACACTATTCATTGTTCTTCGTAAACAGAAACTTATCTTTCTTCATTGGTTTCATCATGCAACAGTGATGATCTATGCTTGGTACAGGTACGTAGTTCCCTCAAAAGAAAAAGATTCTTTCTCCAATAATAATCTATTATAGCTATCACAATTGGACCGCAAGTGGTCGTTGGTTTGTATTCATGAATTATACAGTACACGGTGAGTCGATTCATTGAGTAAACGTTCTCATTTACCTTTATCTGACTCATTTAGCCATGATGTATTCGTATTACGCATTTCGTGCAATGAAATACCGCATACCAAAATGGATGCAGATCAGTATAACTATTTGTCAACTCTTACAAATGGCTGTTGGTTGTTTTGTAAATTACCAAGCTTACACATACAAACAACAAGGTCACGCATGTGATGTAACCTACTCTAACATCGGCTGGTCATTTGCAATGTATGCAGTCTATTTCGGACTGTTTCTTCACTTCTTCTGTCTGGCGTACTTTCCCAAGAAGAAAGCAACTGGTAAAGTCGAGAATAGAACTATTGGAGAACAGAAAACTGTTCACAAAGAATCAACGGTTGACTTTCTTGGTCAGATTATCCCAATTGGTCTGTTGATGGTTTCGTTAGTGTACAACATCCTGTATCCAGTATCATCCATTCTGAAATATATGAGTTGGTTTATTTATACGGTCATTTTAGTTCTTTATGTCAGATCACGAGCAAACTCAAAGGAAAACTCGTCATCGTCACCTTTCAGCTTTTTATTAAGTAAAAAATCTCAATAATGTAAATAATTTGAATTTGAATAATAAAATTTGCACTTCAAACTAATTTACCACAATCTTTTGCAAATCGAACGACTAAAGTAACAATCTAAGCTTTATATCTAGATAAGAAGGGAAAAAAAGCAAAATCTTCTCTCATATTTCATTTCGATTAAAAACGAAACCATTTCCTTTTCTTATCTTCTATTCTCCATTCAATTCATTCACTAAACGAATACCATGGATTCGGCAACAGCAGTAAGTATATTGCTCTTCAATAGCGATCTTTTCGTACATTTCTCTTCTAGCAATCGTATTATACTGGTTACAGTTCATTTGATCGCTTTCTCACTATTTCTTTCATGCATAATTATCTTCTAACATGGTCATTTGCATTTATCTGTTCATTTATACTTCCTATATTATATCTTTTCGCTCCCGGATCTCTTCGAACGACGCGCTCGACACATTTTCTCCTTATTTGTATTGTTGCACTATCGTACACGTTCGCTCTCTATTTTCAAATCTATCTGGTCAGTTTTAGTGGTGATTTAAACCTTCCATACCATGCATGTCGCTTTGTGATTTATATATCAACCTTTGCCAAACCTATGGGACTTTATTTAACATTACTATTCAGTTTCGAACGAGTATATACAAAGATTCTCTCGAAAAACTACTTGCGTTCAAAATTAAACCAACGATTATTTCAAAAAATATATCCATTGATTACTCTCGTAGTTTTAATTCTGATCTTCGGTAAGCGGCTATACGATGTTTTCCAAATCTTACCTCATAATCGGACCACAGTATTCGAACAAACTATTGACATATCCAACAATTCATCAAATGATATTCCCGACGTGAATGATAATTCCACCGATCAAAATATGACCATTTCGTGCTGTTTCAATACATTGAATGCTCAGGCATATTCAAAAATGCTCACATTCCAAATTTCACAATACTGGTTTGAATACGCAATAGTAGGTATATTATTCACTATGTTTATAACTATTCTTATCCAACAATATTCGTCTCGACAAGGCAATTCGTTATATCAATTTAGCGTGAATACAAAGTTTTACTTATCTCTTTGCTCATGTGTCATTGGCTCGGAAGCTGTTTTGTTCGTTGTTCATTTCATCATTAAAAAGGCAGATAACACTAATACAGAATCGGCATTGATATCCATTCAATGGATGTTATTTACGTTTCATCTCCGTTCTATTTTTCTTCCTGTTATCGTTTGTATTCTTACTTGTAATCCATTGAAAGAATTTCTCTATGAACTCTTCATCACTCGACCTTACACAGAGAATGTTGAAGAAACCGATACAATCAATGAGCGTACCGATCCATTCTCTTCGTCACAACGACCGAATGGACATTTACGAGATAGATTTCGTCGACCATTTACAAGTCAGCCGAAAAGAAACGAAACACAAGATAACTTATAGTTTGACTTTTTTCCAATAATCTTTTTCGAATGAAATTTAACGTCAATAAACATATTCGTATACGATCTATTCAAATCTGGAAATATCATCTGTAATGGAGACGATTAGGGTTTGTCTGAAGAATGATACATGCTGAAGATATGTATCAGAAATGACATGCCATTACTCAATCCTTTATTTGAAAAAATAAACATTTTTGCCGTGATAAATGATGGTCTAGCTAGCAACATATATCGACAAGCCGTTTCTCGACATGAGCATTTCTAACTTGTCCTCAAGGATGAATCAAAACGGTAGAAAACCATATCTATTCGAAAAATCTTACACTTGCCAATTGATGACTTGAAAATGCAACAAAGAACGCTATCTGCGTCAGTTTAACTTACGATATACAGAAGCCCGGAAAGTTCCTTCTAGATGAGTCATTGAGTAAACAGACAACGATTTCCATTGACAATGAAAGTCTTCTGGTTAAGTTCTTTAGTAAACATCGCACATTTTGGCCATGTCTTAAATCTACGTCCACTTCTGAGTGCAACGCTAACAATCAACATGTTTGACTAGTGCTGAAGATCTTGCCGAGGATTCTATATCAATAGTAAATAAATGTCGTCTGCTAATTTCAAGTGTCAACTAATTTTTGCTTTTCAAACATTAGATCAAATCAGGAGTTCCCATTTGAAATTGCCGCGTCGAGGAAGAACATATGTCATGCGCATGAACGTGCTGTAATAGAGACAGATTTATTTTCAAATACAAGACTATATATCTTCCGGAATCTTCCGCGTTGTATTTAGTTCGCATAGGTAATTGATTATTGTCAACCGTCATATGTTTTTGTTTCAATTTGGTCTTGACATTGAAGGAAAGATCTTCATTTAATATTATTAATCAAAACTGATCATCGCATCAATCAAATGATAATGAAGAAATATGATGATTAGAATTATGTCAATTGCTATACAATCTCTAGTTCGAAAATGAATAGATGGTTTCTATTTATTTGTTTGTTTTAATGAACAGAAGATGTTGCCGATGGCATATGGTCGATCATTGGATGTCTTATCCTTTAGTCGCTTGCACCCTGATGTGTATTTGCTCTTCTTCTTCTTCTCTATCAACGAAGCTTCTCTATCTATAGAACAAGCGTAAAGATATTGAGTGATAATAGAAACCATTTTCTCATTGACATTTTCAGTGAATTACATATTATTGAACAGACATATTGATATCTCTATCTTCTGTGATTGGAAAAGTCAAGATTATCTCGTACTGCAACTCTTCACAGCACTCTAATGATGATGTAGGTATGTTGATATGTTACATTCTTAAACAGAATTTCTCGTGTAGAGTCTAATAAATTTCACCTAGAATAATAAAAATCAAGAAATTCTTAGAGAAACATCGTCGCATAGAAATACACAATAGCATAAAGAGTAAACCGATAAATATCACTTTCACTTCCACGCAGAAATGTAATTTAAGCGCAGAGCAAGTTAGTAGTCATCATACTGGCAAATAAGTAATTAATTAACATGAATGAAAGAGTCTTAAAGATATAATTAGTGGAACTTCTCATTCACCTGAAATTAATGGGAAGAAAGAGAATGTTGAACAGATTTTCTCTTCAATAATCTTCTTTTCGGTATGAATGGATATATTTGGAGAAAAATAGAAAATAACAAAGTCTGAATAATTCAGTGTGCGGTACCCGACCTTCTTCTGCTAATAGTATTATTCACAAAGACAAAGTTCGATCAATCATAAGAAGAAAAGAATTTGATCATAATCACCTTTTTCTCCTTTCCGGTCTTTTCTTTTTAAGATCTTGATTTGCTCCTTCTTTCTTCTTTTTCCGAATGCATGAAAAACAACTAGACTATTGAATTGAATGCAAACGTGCACGTTGTAATCGATCCATCGATGCAACTGACATCGATCAATCCTTATACATTTCTTTCTTTGTTCTTTTCTTATTCGCTCTACTTGTAACTCTCACCCTCTGTTCCTTTCCACCCACCCACCCCCCTCTCTCTTTTTTTCGTCGTTTGTTACATTTGTCGTTGTGAGTATCCACTTAACAAGAACAAACGAGGATGTATACGCATGAATCGCGTTTGGATGATCGTGTTGGATGGACGATTGTTGTTTTCCGCTGTCGTCCGTACCAATTCGACGACAATGATGACAGGAAAAAGCGAGTGAGAAAAAAAGAACACTAGTTGTGTTGACGAAACTATCACGACGTAAAAGGAGTCAAAGAAAAGGGAATTTGACTGTGTGTGTGAGAGAGAGAGAGAGAGAGAGAAGAGGGGAGAAAGCGATCATTAGAACAAAGCCTTTCGTTGCGTGACACAGTGACGAAGAGGAGAAAGAGAGAGGGAGAGAGAGGAAAAGACCATCATGCAATCGCTGGATTTGATGCTGAGGAGTTAAAAAAGGGAACCAAGGCCTTTCGTAGGCAATTAGACAAAGCGGTGATAACAAAAGCAAAACAAAAGGACAACAGAGGCAGTTTTTGTTGTCTATTGACTTCATCTTTGTTTCATGTTTCGCAATAATAGATTAAAATAAAAAACTGTGACTATAATCAATAACAAGAAACGAACCTCTGACGTAGTTTCTCTTTTGTGATTCTCTCTCTCTCTTTCGCTGGCTCTCTACGTCTCAGTTTCTTTATTGATAGAGGTATTAAAAAGAGGAAAAGATGCGTATGTTTTCATATGTAAAATCTTGTATGTAATAGGAAAAAGGCTCATCTTGCTCGTTCTTCTATCAGAACTCTTTATGGGATAACCACATACACACTTTCTTTTCTTTTTTCTTTCGACAATTTCTTTTTTCCTTTTCTTTCTCTCTTGTTGTCTCGCTATGTCTTTCAAATAACAAATCATAATAACAACCGCAGACCGACCGACCGACCGCATTGATGATTAAGAGCGACAACGGCGAGAAAAACCTACCATGTCGCAAATACCACTATCAACATCGATCGACAACTAACATGACAGTCAAGTTTCATCGACGACAAACAAGCAACCAGACGAAATTGAGCAATCAACAATTCAAACAAGTATTAAGATTATCATTCTAGTCTCTCTATTTTCATCTCCTTAATCAACACAATCAAATATACACAATAAATATTTCGTTGGCAGCATTGTTCTCATCTCAACAGCAATTCCGTGTTTTCTTCTCTTTTCGTTTCGCTTCTCGGTGCGCATCAATATCAACATGCATCTTGAATTATTTCGATTCTACCAGCTAAGGTCCTTGATCCATACAGTGAGTAGCTTTACAAAAAATTCGATTGACACTTCGAATGGAACTTAACACATGCGTACTCGCGAGAGAAAGAGAACGAGAAAACAGAGAGTTAACAAGATAATCCGCATAATGGTTGAATATACATGTCGAAACAGAGGTGTCAAGCATCTCTTTTAGGCAAATTATTTGTCTGTCAGCTATTTGAGATAGACAAAAAATACAATATACTTTCCTCATTCTCTTCCAAAGCAGAAGATAAATGACGACAGAAGGCGATTCCAATAAAAAGATCTATGACGAAGGTAAATTTTCGATTTGTTCTTTTTGCTTCTTTCTCGATCGACCGAATATATGTACAACCAGTGAGTATTGATTAGTATGTGAAGCAGAGTTGAACGATAAAAGAAGAACTCCTACGAACGAAAGAGGCAGAATAAGAATTCCTCAAGCAAAAGAACATTAAGAGAAAACTTCCGTTGCCTTCATTAATCTGATACTTCTAATTATTGACATGAAATCTGAAACAAGGTTTTCCTACCTATACATAAAGATCTCTCTCTCTACACTGGCAAATACAGGCAAAACAGAAGAAACAAGAAAGAACCTCGAGATTCGTGTTCAGTCATTCGCACTGTTGTTTCTATTCGGATGCTAACAGGAAGTAACATTCGTAATGCTCGATTAGTCTTTTAATGTTGAACGCGTGATTTCTAATTAAGTGATTTTCATGGTTTTCTAATTCAAACTTCTTCAACTATTTGTCGTTCACTTGTAAAGCAGTTCATTAGTTTCGCCGATTCTCCTCACTATATACCTAAGAGGAAAAGAAAACTACATAAAGAAATAATGATTTAATAAGCAAAAGAAAGCAATGGTGTAATATTGCCTAGCGGTTTTTTTCTACAATATGTTCGATCCTTCTGTTCTTCTCTTCGCTTTTCCTTTGTGCTATTAATAGCTTGCAGTTATTGATGAACTTCTTTTTCACTCGTATGATTCTTCTCTTAATTTCTTTCTATATCTTGTTCTTAAGAAGGAGAAGAAGTCAAGGAACACACTTATTGTTCTTATGATTAATGCTCTTGGTGTCATTTACTCTAACTTTACCCATTTGCTTCTTTTGTTCCTTCTTCTTTTTCCCGTCTTCATGGAAAATATTTCAGACCTAACTCATTTCAAACATTTTATTGTTTTAATTATCAACCCTTGACGAATAACCTTTCACTTCCTCTCATGTGAAGACACATGGAAATCACACTGTCATCTTGAGAATCCGTTAGTAACAGTGAGAACATAATTCAAACCATACATCGATGCTCAGTTCTTGTTGATGTAATTAACAGAATAATAATAATCATATACACATTTCTTTCTCTCATCTAACGATACATTTGTACCCAGATACTACAATAGATTGGATCTTCTGCCATAATCATATTGATTTCCGATATTCTTACTGATAAACTATTGACATAATACGTGTTTAACATCGAACATGGCTTCTCTTGTTCTGAATCCATTCGAAATAATCTATTATTAGGCAATGGTTGATGTCTAAATACGTAGGCAATCGGTCGGAACTGAACAAAATCGATTTTTCCAAATTTATTCATTTTTCTTGATATTTGACAAGCAGAACAAAAAAAGAAAGAGAAAGAATAGAAACTTGCGTGACAGACGTACTATATATTCGTTTATGCGTATGTCCGACTCAATTAACTTTCGACTTAACTTCCTCTGACATATACACAACTCATGTCTGGTTAATTCAGTTAGGATTTCAATGATTGCCATGTTCTTGTTGCATTATTGAGAGAAGGTTTTTTCTCTAAAGGTACTCTTGTGCGAGATAGTCAACATCTTGTTTTCGATCTGCTTACAAATATTCGGTATATACATATAGACAGTTATGTGTATGTATTTATATGTATGTGACAGTCGACATCAATCTAATTGGCACTGATGTTGTTTTTCTGGAAGATAAGTGTGTAGTTATTATTGTGAAAAATAAAAAGAAGAGAACGGAAGCCAAATGGTACAAAGGAAACTAAGGCAAGTTGAATAAATTCTTCTAATCGCTTTAAAATAGTTTAGATTATCGAGAGTATGTTAGGGATGTATTCATCTGGGAATGACACATGACCTTTTGTTATACGCTCTTGTAGCCTTGAATAAGTTTAATGCGCTTGCTCATACTTCTTTGTATTTTCTGAATACATTCGCCTGCGGGTTCGATCAAGAATTGACATGAGACTTTTCTAAATAGTGTCTCGATCGAAGACTAAATATTTAGATTTCCGAAGCGATCTCTCAGATTCGTTTATCAATCTTTTATTAGACATGAACATACGCTGAACTTCATTGTTGATCTGAGGCAAATATTAGACAAGTTCTCTTCGGATGCACATTAGAACATACTACAAATCAGAAAGGTTTTCTTTGTACTTCATTATGCATTAACAACTCTCCTTAGAGATATTTCGATCATAATAAAAATTAAAATACATGTAGTTTATCTTCTGTACTGGGAAATAACAGTGAGATAGGAAGATGAAATCCGGAAGGAAACGACAATATGTGAAAGATTGAACTCATTCTTTTTGAAGATCATGATGAATGACTATGTAAAACCACAACATAATAAGAAGCGAGATTCGTCGTTGTTTTCATTGCTGAATGTATATATATATATATAGGCAAGAAGTGTCATTGACAGCGACGACAACGGGGTTTCTTTTTTTTAGATTTTCATCCGAATAACACTTTTTCTTCTCTTTTTTCCTCTTCATCATCTATCTGGTGTTTGTTCGCTCGTTCGATGGGGGGAGAGAGCGAGAGAGAAAACTAGAGTATCTATGTGTGTGTGCGCGACGTACGCATACATAAACTCGCTAACAGCAAGCAAGAGAAAGTGCAAAGAATGAACGATTAAATAGATGTAATTAGATGTTAATAATAATTGTACGACGAATCGATCGGTCCTTGTAGATTTTTTTGTGTGCGTCCATGTACCAATTTCTATACGAAACAACAACTATATCGAACAATATTATATTCAATTGACACATGGAACAATTAATATCTATTTTCTCACGATTATCTCATTTTCTCTATTTGTGTCGATTTGATCATTTCAATGATCGATTATTGACAGAAGAAATGTTGAGCGTGAGGACGATATGAAATTGTTATTTTTTCTTCGGATTAAGATTTTCACAAAAGGTATGTTTGTTCGTCGTTCCTATTTCAATTAGAATTACACAGCAGTGTACCATTATAATAAACAGATTATAACTTAGAGTTTCTTTCCCATACTATAATTTACTAGAATATTAATATTCACATCGTTGAATTTCTGTTGTTTTATTTTCTTCTATATGGAATGCCTCGAAGAATGTCTTAATAGCACTGTTTAAAAAAGGTAGAAGAAAGCTGAGAAGAGAAGTAAATCGCAATAAAAGGTTGCAGTAATAAACGATTATATGAGAAAGACGAAGGACAAGAAATACAGAAAACCTACGACATGATAGAACAAATAAAACAATCATGTTACTAATGAATGCATACAATAGTTCGTCATACTAGCGTTCGAAGCCACCTTTTCTTTTCGCTTCGACTAGGAATTGTTAACGATCGATTAAAAAGAAAAGAAAAGATGAGACACTATGAAGAAAATATTCTTGAGAATATGAAAATGGAATGCTAAGTATTTGCAATCCACTTCAAATGTCATTCATGGTTTATAGAGTCGTAAAACGAGAGTCTTGTTCCATATCAGTGAGCTTCAGAATTTCATCGATTGAATGAAATGCTACTTGGACTCGCTGCGAGCAATTTATTGAACAAATCGAGCGATTAGATTGGTTGCAAGGTAGACAAGAAAAAATGTGCGATCATCAATAGAGAAGACGATTTTTTCTTTTCTCGTTTAAAATCTGATCAAAAGAAAAGGAAGACAGGGGGGGATTAGGAAGAAAAATCAGATTTTCATGTCAAAACGATGGTCAATCATCGACATTGATTAATCGGTCAGACTTAAAGGTAAACGAAGGAAATAGTAATCAGTCAGTTTATTTGAATCAGTGGACACATGAGTAACAAGCGACGGGCCATGGCGGTTTCTTCGCCGTTTTGTCTAAGGTGAGATTGAAAGGGAGAAAATCAACATTCATTTCCTGTATAATTGTTCTTTTCAGTAACTAATGGATCATTTATTTTTTTTCTCTCTATTTAGAGCTAATGAACAAAGCTCCTCGACAGAAACGAGCTGAAATCCAGCGGTATGTTGAAAAAGAAACACTACACAAGCTTGACAATGATTTGTACTATTTGATCATTTCCCTTTTAGCTTAACTAGTATCTCTAATCTCCGAACAAAACAATTAAGCAGTAGTGCAGTTGGTAAACGAGGCCACGAAGAACCAGACCGTATCGAACATTTCGATCTTGAACTTCGACCAAGCAAATTACACGATCTTAAAGTTGGCGAGTTTATTAGTGGAGGCGACAGGTAGGCAAGAAAACAAAACAATAGTTGTCTAGGATTGACATCGAGGAAAAAACTACATTACGCCAAAGAACCATTCATGCTTCCGGTAAAATATTTATATATGCGATCTTCAGACAAGCGCACGTTCGATCATCGTTTTTTCTCTTTCTTAAGTTCAACAATAATGGTTGTTTAGAAGTCTAGAAAGAAGTGAAGAAGAAAAAGATTGGAAAAAGCATGACAGAAGGAGAATAATAAGAATACGAGTAATCTTTGCTGTTCTTTACATATGGGTATTTCTATCTTTCTCATGACAAATAGAGTTGCAAAAGCGTTGACAATGTAAAAGAACAAAAAAAGAAGAACGAGGAATAGAAAATGCACGACTGGTTTCTTCGCAAGACGTTTGACGACAATAACATAGACCAATCTTTCTTTCGCATATATGTTTCTAACGGTTCTGCTAGCCAAGGGTGTTTCCCACACATATGTGCGTGTGTGATTTTTGCCACGTTATCTCGACTCATCACGATGACACACTGTTGCCGTCATATCGTCATTGCTATTGCATACGAATAGTAAGATAAAGAAAGTCCAATCACCGATGGAACGATCTTCTAATTATCATCATCATCATCCAGATAAATAATGCATTCACTTTCGACTCGAACATCTGTGTGAGTAATTTCTCTTCGTTTCATTTCTCGTTTTTTTTTACATCCATGTATGTGACGTAAGGTAATCATTGGGCAGAAGCATGTCAGGTCAGACTATCAAATGCAATGTTTTTCTTTTCATCGGTGAAGTGGACAATGGATGGACATGAATATTTTAGCAATTACATATCTTTATCAGTCCTGTGCTTCCTCTTCGTTTTTTTTTGTTGTTGTTATGATCGCGCCTGTTGATGAGCGGCGGCAGTACAGGAAATATCGGCAGAGACAAAAGAAAAGGACATCATAACGAAAGATCACTATCTATTTAAACAACGGTCGCATTTCTCAAACTGACGTCTCTCAGAGAAAAGAAATTCACACTAGCTAACACACAGGAGAAGACGATGTTCTTATTTGTTTTAGTAATGGAATATTTACTAAGTAAGTTAATTTATTTGTCGAGCTTTTTCTGTAGATAAATCACACGAGAGCGATGGGATTTAAATTCGCCTTTAGAAATATCTGCGAGTCATTTTCTTCGTCTCGCTATCTTTCTCAACAAATAGAAACTCCTTCGAGGGCATCTTCCAAACCTTTTTAATCTTCAGATAAATAAAATATGACGACTCAATGAATCGATGTTATTCATAAGGGATTTACAGAATGAGAAAGCTGACTTGGACTTTTTATGAGCCTTTTATCTACTAACAAAGAAAACCGTTTAGAGTTTAAAAGAGTCTTTTCCTTTCCTTGCCTATTGAATTCAAATTGAAGCGACTTTTTTCTAATCTCTAATCGTAATGAAATTGTAATTCATTCAGGATAAATCTAATATTCGACGCTAATCTCGACTAGATTTTCTGGTTAATAACATCTCATTAGTCAACTGATCTGATCTCTGATCGATACGCGGCCAACGACAACTCGATTAGTATCGTTGAGAACAAATCCGACTATGTTAATCTAAACGTTATTTCTCTGTAAGTGTATATGCTCTTGACAGATGTTAATAAAATCTTGCTGACTTTGTCATATTTTATTCGTCGTCAGAAAAACGACGCGAACGACACTGACATTGATTTTATTCCTACTGTTGCCTTAATTGAACTCGAGTGGCACGAACTAAATAGAAAACTGATTTTTATGATTTTTTCAACCTTCTACTTCTCTCATCTCGTTTTTCCTATTTATTATCATTATTTGCTCATGTTGTTCAATCACTACAGAACGAGTTTTTCCTCAACAGTGAAACACAAAGCGGGTATTAATAGATTTTCTTCATTGTTTGTTGACAAAACGAGAGAAAGCAAAAACGCGCGCACACACACACGAGAGACAGCGCGAGACAGAGAGAGAAAGCGAAGAAAAGAATAGAAAAGAAAACTAGAACTCGATCCAATCAATGTACTTACACACCGCTTGAACAAAACTGATTCTTGTCATATGGGAGATGAGTGATGTTTCATCAATGCAATCGAAAGATCAACTTATACTTCAATTGAGTGATAATCACCATGATTTACAGTTTTCACAGGTAAATATTTCGCACATAATTTCGTTTTGCGTGTTTTCGAAGTGCATCTAAGGCGACCTTGAAAAAAGAATTGCCAGAAGAGGATAGAAATTGTGAAGGTGTCAACTGATGAGTAAGATTTCGAACGGCTAATAAAAATAATTAATACCTTTGATTGAAAGAGGAAATGAATCACGACGTACGTCGACTGAATGAACGAGAGATAAATTATTATTGATCGAAAGGCGGAGAAAGGAAAGAGATTCGTTTCCTCTGTCTATATATATACATATCAAAGAAAACTCAATTAGAATGTAACGAAGGTAAGGAATATCTGAGAATGAATAAGCAAGATTAAATAAGAAACAGATCCGTTTTTTGTTTTGGATTAATTCTAATGAAGATGCACGCGGACGGATGAATCGAAGGTTTTATCCGAGAAGAAAGAGATGCGTTCTATCTTTTGATGAAGCTTTTCACAAGGCAAAATGGAAGAGAACATTCTCGTCGAAGTGTAAACATTGACAAGCTTGAAAAGCAGACTTCGTTTCATTACAGAAATGGAACATTCCAGTAAAACGACAATTTAATTATCATTAAAAGTATTTCAATAAATAAAATTAATATCTTTTTCCATCGTTTTGTTTAGAAATAAGAAGAGAGAGAGAGAAAAAGAAACTTTCATTAATTTGATCAATAGTCTAATATAATATGTTAAGAGATTATGACGCTGTAGGCTAATTGTTCACTCTGAACAGATCATATTCGAATGGGAGTAATATTAATTATTCTATTGTTTAAATATTTATCTTGAAGGGAGAAAAAGCGACCGTTTAGCATCTATTCAGTAAAAGATGTTTATAACTGACTGATTCTTTTCTTCTCTTTTTATTTCAACACGAAGAAAAAAAAGAAAATCGAACGATGATAAAAATATTTCCCTGTATGATAGCATGATCTCTAAGGTTTTATTTCATGTCGATTCCTAATGTTGACTATATTGATCTTCATAACATTTCTCTTTTCATTTCATTTCCAGTATGGTAGCGGGCTTTCTCGATGCCATCGCCAAAGTACGCCAATTTCGATTTCATAACGATGACGATATCTACGATCGACTATCCAGACGATTTTCCGTGGTGTTACTTATGTTATTCACCGTTGTTGTATCGACGAAGCAATATGTTGGCGATCCGATTGCGTGTTTTGCTCCAGCACAATTTACCGGTAACGTTTAACATCTTGAATAAATGATCATGTTTAACGAAAATCTGATAGAACTTGAACAGATTAACGAGCCTTTCTCAATATTGATCTATAATTATAGACGAGAAATGAAAAACAAACATAAACGACATAAAAGAATCTATTAAACACGCAGAGAGAGAAAGTATTCTATTTCTAAATAAAGCGTCGAGTGAGCATCCGACCGGATCCGGATTTGAATGTGTCGAGTTCGAGTGTATGGAAGAGAGAGAGAGAGAAAAGGTTGAAACATGTACTTCCTGATAGCATATGACAACATTTCCTCTATCTAGGTTCACATGTTGAATATGCCAATTACATCTGTTGGATATCGAATACTTACTATGTCCCATTCGAAAGCACATTACCAGCTAGACATGATGAACGACCCAAACATATTGGTAGGTTATCTCATTATCGTTGATATTCGTTGTAAGAACATGTCGATGTTTCTAGCCTATTATCAATGGATCCCATTTATATTACTTTTAATGTCCGTACTTTTCTACATTCCCTCCGTTTTATGGCATGCTCTAGCAACAAAAACAGGTTTTGATATTGCTAATCTTGTTCGAACCTTACATACGATGGAGCAATTGAATCCTGATATTCGAGATCGAACACTCAGATATATAGCTAAACATATTGATCGTGCTCTGGAAATTCAACGTGAAATGGGCACAGGCTTTTTTTCTCAATTCAAACGTATTATACGTCGTCATTGTCCATTTCTTGTTATCGGTCGTGCTCAAGGCAACTATTTAACTTTTGTCTATTTATTTGTCAAACTATTGTATATTTCGAATGTTATTGGTCAATTATTTTTACTTAATGTAAGTTATGCTTGCTATGCATTACTGTGGTTGATTTCATGAGAATTTCATCTAGATTTTTATGGGTTCAAATTATCATGGTTATGGTATTGAAGTGTTAAAGAACTTCTTATCAGGTCGTGAATGCTGTCGCTCAGCTCGATTTCCTCGAGTTACAATGTGTGACTTCGAAATACGAACGATGGCTGATCATATACATAAACATACGATACAGGTACATTCAAACAAGCCGATGACTTTTGTTTATCTGAACGAAAGATTTTTATTCTCTTTCATCTAGTGCGTGCTTCCTGTGAATTTATTTAATGAAAAGATTTTTATATTCATATGGTTTTGGCTTGTCATTGTTTCCATCCTATCTTCATATGGTTTTCTAATATGTATATGGCAACAAATCTTACCATTCAATCGTGAACATTTCCTTAAGAAATACCTGAAGATCATGAACCGAATAACGCGTGAGGCGTTCGATAGGAAATTATTCAATACATTTTCGAACAAATATTTACGACATGATGGCGTATTAGTCCTACGTTTAGTTGCAATAAACACCAATGATGTTATCATGGGAGAAATTATGGTTGCATTATGGGATAGTTTTAAACGAGCACAAGATGCTGATGGTGGAATATTTGTGTAATCATCAAAGTATCTAGTCAATAATTTAAGCCGGCCAGATTAATATAATTCTCTCAGGAAATTAATCATCTGTTCCTAGTCAAGAAATATCTTTGTTTTCCTTGTTTTTCTAATAATCGATATCTTTTCTCTCTCTCTCTCTCTCTATCGATCTATCTATCTTCTCCTATTCAAATCGACGAGTTTCTAGTCGTGCAATCTACACGAAGTTCTATTTTTTGTTCGTTTCTTTTTACTGTGATATAAATATCAAACAGACAAGAAAAGATTTGTTCGCGCGCGAATATGATCTTGATACCTCCTGACTATAAAAAGACGACAAGTTAGTATTAGCAAACTAATCTCCTCATTTTCTTTTTCTCTCACATTTTCTTGCACTTTTTATTCCCTATTTGAAAACTGATGACATGTCACTGTGTGCGTGGTTTCTCTCTCTTGTTTGTATGTAGGTGTGAGTGTTTATTTTATTTTTCACTTTTTGTTTTAATATCACTGAACAGCAGAATAACAAAGAAGATATATCGACAAAAAAACTAATAAAATTATTGAATAACTCGAAAGTTCTCATTTGATTTCCAGTCAGGGACATTATATATATATATATTATGATTTCCCAAGAATATTCCAAGATGTTGGTTTTTCTCTAATCCTCAATGATTTGTCAATACATTCACGGGGGGATTTTCAGGAAGGTTTCGGAGTATAATAGAACAGATTAAATATTTAAATGATGTTTTTCGTACGTAAATAACGAGATTAAAGGTTTGGGAAATAAAAGATAGATTTACTCAATCCAGCGTGGGAAGAATAGATACTTTACAAATAAATCGTTTCAGTGGGATGTTAACTATCAATTAAACGTACTTCACAAATATGGAAAGAGTCTTCTTCCTCTGTCAATGACATAAATTTGATGAAACGAAACATACGAAAACCATCAGGAAACAATTGTGTGCGAAAATAAACGATTTTCTTTCGTTTTTTATATGTAATACCTAATCGATTGTGCGCGGGAAGCGTTAACCACCGATAGCCGTCAAGCGAGATGGAAATTTGTAAGCGCTTTTGTAAGGATTTTCTATGCGAGTATTCAATAGTGAATGCTAGATCACCACTGATTTGAATCGTTTGAAAATCCAAGCCATAGAAATCGCCTCGCTCGACTGGATGCCGAGTTTTCCAGCACGTCTCTGTATTGTTATCGACAGCATTGGCTGTGCTAAAGTTTTCGAAAAACTTATGCTCGTAACGATAGGGACAAGTCGGCTCATTCGGTAGATTACTTCGTGTGCCGCGTTTGATATCGGTGGTGATATTGAATGGAATTTCTTCAACATCGTCGATAGGTAAACAGTTGGTAAAGAAAATGAATCGATCATTGTACGAGCAAGGAGATTTCGTATAGGTGACTAACGAATTTGTGGCACGTTTTCGTTCGAATATTTTTGATTGTGGAGAGAATCTAAGTGTCTTTTCTAGAATTTCTATGGAGAGAATCGACGCCCGATGTTGAATCATGTCGAAATCGTAGTTTTCGAATGAGGACATGGCACCTTCGTCGGAGTGTATTAAACGACCATTAAATTGAGCTGGTATTTGATTCATCCAAATGGAAAAGAATTGATCGCCTTGTCGAGCAAGATCTAATGAAAACAAGTCATTTCATCTTCAAGGAAAATCAACCTTCACTTACCTCGATTTTCTTCACTGTCTAGAAAATAGTCTAGATATCCCAGATGTCGAATGGCATTTTCTCGAGAAAATATCGATCCGCAGCCAATCCAGCTGAAACCTGTATGTAAATCGATTTGCGTATCAAAAAATGTCCACATCACATTTGTGAAATAGGTAAATTGATCGGTCATCGCGTGCAGAATCGTTGGCTCAAGCAGAAAACTTGAATATAAACTTCGAACATACATTCGCACATCCCAGTCATCATCGGCGTAGAAACAAGCGTTCGTTTTTGCTAATTGACATGCACGATACTTCGCTTGATCTTTAATATTTTCGGGAGAGTTAACAATTTCAATACGATCACTTGACTCGACTAATAAATCAGCAACAGTTAAGTTTTTCTTTGGATTGTTATTCCAGATGATTATATGAACGAATAAATCGTCGAAATCAAGCATAGTTCGAAGAAGATCCCGAACGCCAGTCAAACGCTGCCAATGAAGGATGATACCAGTCAACTGATACCGCTCTTTCAATTGTCTATGTTGATGTAATTCCGATAAAATCTCATAATTACTAAAGCCACTCTTGAACAACGATGTTATATTGACCCCAAAGGAAAAAACAAGATAAAATAGTAGAAAAATAGTAATAGCCGAGAGAATCTTCGATTTCGAACGGTACCAATATCGCATGTAGTTCATTTTAACATGATCAAAATCTCGCGAGGAAAAGAACGACCGAAAATGAGAGATATCTCCGTAAAACAATGACTTTCTTTGCTGCACCTTCTCCTTATCTTCAAAATGATAATCATAACGTACAGAGATATTTACTACCAAATGCAATTCGGTATATCATTCACTAAATGCAAAACGCATTTTCGCTATTTGAAAGTGACATTTTTATGATGATTTATTCATCTTTAACAAAGTCATTTCCAAACGTAACTAAAGTTTAATATGACAAATATCTATTTTTCTTCGAACTAATTGTGTTGTATGCTTGCATGCGACCTCTATATTGCTATAAACATTGAATGTCTTCATTGGTTACCATAACTAGCTCTTGAGTCATATAACTTCGATTATTTATTTCTTTTTTTCACTTCATTTATTCATTATTTGGACATAACTCAAATAAAGATGGTGACAACTACGACTAACCCAGCTACATCAGCGGTTAATCCTCGCGAAAAAGCTCTAGAAGATTTCCGCAAGAAGATCATGGAACATAAGGAAATCGAAGCTCGATTGAAACAAAGTAGAAATTACAAAGACTAAAAGGATATTCGACATTGTTTGGTATTTCGTTTAGTGCGTGAAGATCTCCGTACGTTAACAAAAGATTACGATAAAAGTGAAAATGATCTAAAAGCATTACAAAGTGTTGGACAGGTAATTTAACGATTCGCTGAACTCGCCCATATCTTTCAAACGAGTTATTCTAGATTGTTGGAGAAGTACTGAAACAACTAACTGAAGATAAGTGTAAGTTCAAGGATACTATATAAGAGCCGTGATTGGTGATATATCTTGTCTTTTTAGTTATTGTTAAAGCAACAAATGGTCCGCGATATGTTGTGGGCTGTCGACGACAATTAAATAAGGCAAAACTACGTCCCGGAACTCGTGTTGCCCTTGATATGACAACACTAACTGTTATGCGGTACTTCTTAATCAAATTATTTTGTTGTTCGATTCATTGACGCTTTTTAGCTATCTACCTCGAGAAGTTGATCCTTTAGTTTATAACATGTCACACGAAGATCCAGGTAACGTTTCTTATGGTGAAGTTGGTGGTCTAAGCGAACAAATTCGTGAATTACGTGAAGTAGGAACTTGAGTATGATTATTGAAAATGTTTATCAATTGACATTTAGGTTGTGGAATTGCCATTGACTAATCCTGAACTATTTCAACGTGTTGGCATAACACCACCCAAGGGTTGTCTGCTTTTTGGTCCACCTGGTACGATCAGAAGGACTTGCAAATCTAGCTTTATATTTAATTGAATATTTTCTCTTTATTCTAGGCACGGGAAAAACCTTACTAGCTCGAGCAGTTGCCAGTCAGCTTGATTGTAACTTTTTAAAAGTTGTGTCAAGTGCAATTGTCGATAAATATATTGGCGAAAGTGCTCGAATGATTCGAGAAATGTTTGCGTACGCGAAAGATCATCAGCCATGTATTATTTTTATGGATGAAATCGATGCTATCGGTGGTCGCCGATTTTCAGAAGGTACATCAGCTGATCGAGAAATTCAACGTACATTGATGGAGGTTGGTGTTTTAATCTTGTTGATCTGTGAATAAATTTCATTTTTAGTTGTTAAATCAAATGGATGGTTTCGATACATTAGGAAAAGTTAAAATAATTATGGCTACCAATCGTCCCGATACACTCGATCCTGCTCTTATGCGACCTGGTCGACTTGACAGAAAAATTGGTATGTGTAAAAATACACTCTCATTTCGAGGAAATGCTCGCATTTTTATTTTGTTCAGAAATTCCATTGCCAAACGAACAAGCTCGTCTCGATATTATCAAAATTCATGCAGCACCAATCGCAAAACGTGGTGATATTGGTAAGCATAGTCTTATTATTCTCCTCAAATTCACTGTGATTATACTTGCTTCTAGATTACGAAGCTATTGTTAAATTGAGTGATGGTTTCAATGGTGCTGACTTACGAAATGTCTGCACTGAAGCTGGTATGTTCGCTATTCGCGCTGAACGTGATTATGTTCAAGAAGAAGACTTTTCCAAAGCAGTACGCAAAGTCGCTGAAAGTAAAAAATTGGAATCGAAATTTGATTATAAAGCCCAAGGCACTTCTTAAAAGACTGTTTCATTCGTTTTTTTTCTTCTTCTTTCTCTTTTCCTCCTTGTGTGTATGCTTTATGTTATTATTTTACTAAAAGAGAAAAAAATCAAGAATAAATTCTAGCAACCAAGGAAACTCATTCGTAAAGGACGAGAAGATCTAGATGATGAGAAGGGAAAATGCATTTTATATTAATTCGACACGGACGTCGGTCAATCGCGCTTGATTTCTCATTTCTTTATATTCATTTGAAACAAACAGAAAGAGAACGCACATCGCCATTCCCTTGATTATCATTTGGTTGGTTAAAAATAATGAAGGGAAAAAGGACGTGCATGTTTTGTCTAGGGAAGAAGGAGGTCATGAAGCGGTCAGCACTAGTAAACGACGTCCTTTTTTCTTGTTCATGTGTTCATTTGCTACTTTTACAAAGTTCAGTCTACGCACAATGCCTGCTCGTCAAGCAACAGCTCGTTATTGCTTGTATCGGACGTTCGTTGATACTTATATGAAAGCACATGCAGATGTTCCACGAAAAGTAAGAATGAAATAACTGTACTGAACGTATTCATATGTTGTCTTGCTTATTAAGATTTCTCATGCTGAAGCTCAAGCAGAATGGAATCAAATCAAAAGCAGTGAAAGTCGTGTCCAAGAGAAAATTGATGAATATATGGAGAAATTTAAGTCAAGCAGCGCAGCTGGCTTAAATTTTGATGATAAGGTGGACGATGCCAGTGTTGAAGATGATGATAAGGACGATAATGGCGATGATGATTATGAACCGAAGAAGAAAAAGACTCGTGGACGTAAGAAAAAAGGTGAATCAGGTGTTGATTCGGAGAATGGTGGTCGAGTAACGAAAAAACGTCGAAAACGAGCCGAATCATCAGATCCCGAATTTGAACCCGAAGAACCAGCTATAAAACCGGCAGAAAAGATTCGAACAGCAACTGAAATTCTCGCGAAGAAGACTAAAGCACCGGCGCAAGACAAAGTCTCGAAAGAACTGCATGAAATCAATGAACGCATTATTCAATTAGTTCAAGTGAAAAATATGGGCATGGCAACAAACGAGCAAGAGAAACAGTTGAAAAAACTCCTGGTCGAGCAGAAAAAGAAAGCCAATGATTTGAAACGGTTGAAGGCGGAACAAGCAGCGAAAAAGCGTTATCGAGAAATCAAAAAAGTAATGCATAGACTTTGTCTTTTACAGCTTAAAAATTCTAAAGAACTTTTTGATTTTGTAGAGAAAGATCGAAGCATTGTGTGAAAAGAATCCTGAATTAGCTGCTGAATTAAACAAGATCTATCGGCCAGTGATCGGTCGACCACCGATCGAAGAAGATTGTCCAGATTTATTACAAATTATCGAAGAAATTGCCAAAGTTGGTGGTGCTGCTGATGATAATCGACGTTCCCAAACCATTCGACCATGTTTGACCTTAGATGATTTACGAGAGAAAATCAAAGAACGTGGATATGACATCAAACGATCCACACTCTATTATCGGTAAGGCGAATGTCTTCAGTTAACCATCTCTATTTCGTTTGTTTTGAAAAAGACTATTACCACATCGCGCCAATTCAGTAGACGGAAAGAAACATGTTCGAACAGTTCCCGTCCGTTTGCGAAAAGCTCTAAATGATGAACATGGTAAACACGAAGGTTAGTTCGAAATGATTCGCAAAAGATTCTCCATGTGCAACTTGACTTTCTTCTAGACGGTCATTTCGCCACCGCAACGATTCGTTACATCAAAGATTTAGCCGGTATATTCGGTAACGACGTTGTTTTCTTCCTGTCACAAGATGATAAGTGTAAAGTACCGATTGGATTACCTGCTGCTAAAATACAAGCACCTATGCTTATGCATTTGGACTATCGTGTTCGTCTACCAGATCACGATTGGACTGTTGCTCCACGCCATCAACTAACTCCGAGTGTTTATGCCGGATGTATGATCAATGATAATAATGATGTTGGTTATTCCGGACCGACATACATTGCTATTCGTTCAGCCAAACACGATCGAAGCGATGCAAATAGTCATGCATGTGATTTCGATCGCTTAGTTGGTTTGAAAGAATTCGAAAAGTCAGCACGAGATTATACCGGACAAGTCAAACCAATCGTTATTATCACAGTTGATGGTGGTCCAGATGAAAACCCTCGTTTTCCCAAAACGCTCGTTGCTGCCATACGAAAATTTCGAAAGTATAATCTCGATGCACTATTTGTCTTAACACATGCACCGGGCCAATCAGCTTACAATGTTGTTGAGCGACGTATGGCACCGCTTTCACACGATTTGGCTGGTCTTATTTTACCTCACGATCATTTTGGTACGCATTTAAGTGATTCAGGTGTGACTGTTAATCCCGAATTGGAAAGAACCAATTTCAAAAAAGCTGGAGAAGTTCTCGCCGAAGTTTGGTGTGGGTCAGTTATTGATGACTATTCTGTTGTTGCCGAATATATTGATCCACCTGCGTCAACACCCGATGAATTGCGTGTAATTGATGTCAAACTTGTTATGAGCAACATGTTAAATCAGTAAGCTAGTTCTCCTTGATGACTTCTACCTATACTGTAATTATATTATCTGTTTTAGGATATGTAAAGAAGAAGAAGACGAAGAACCAATCGAACGTCGAGTTCGTCAAAGTGACGAATACTATCAAGAACAAGCTCGACCGCCACGTTTTATATCTGAGGGTGAACCAGTGAAAGATGCACCGAAATATGATATTGATGAGTAAGTTTCATGTGGTGGATGAGTCTGAATTTTATTGTTGTATGTAGATATTGGTGTGCAACACATGTTCTTCAAACTCAATACACCATTCAAATCGTTCGTTGCAATTCAATTTCATGCTGTGGACCATGGCGATCGAATTATATTCAAGTCTTTCCTCACCGTTTCCTTCCTGCACCCATTCCGTTCGAACGTACACCACGTGGCATTGCTATGGCTGATCGTGATTATCAAAAAGGTGTTTTCTACGGTTCATTAATTCAGCGTATTCAATTCCACGGTGTTGTAATGCAATTTACTCAAAATGATATTCTACCATTCGATTATTGTTGTTCGAGTGTGCGCAAAGAGTTAAAACGACGCGTGTGTTCGATTTGTAAACAATATATTCCTTCAGCGTATCGGATGAAGAACCATTATAAAATCCATCAAGAACAATATGCATCGAATTGTTTGGAATATGACCAAAATCTTATGTTTAACGAAGATGGTACAGTTAATGATGATGATGATGATGAAGGAGAAATGTTAAGTGTTCAGCGACCATTGCCAGGTGTGACAGATCCGGCCGCGAATGGAGTTGTTATTTTCTCTGATATGTTAGATTGGCTCAAATCTGATTTCGAAGAATTGGATCTCAAAGAACAAATACTCAAAGAAGATATTAAGAAAAAACAAATGCGTTAAAAACAGTCATTCACTTTTAAAATCTTTTGTTGGATATTGTGTATATTTCTAGGATTCTTTTTTTGATCCTTTTCTTTCAATTGGCCGTATATTTAGTTTCAGTTTTTCTTTTATTGTAGTTGTTTTAATTGAAACAAGCAAAATATATGTCATATGTGAATGCAGTAAAAGCGAAATGATTTATCAATCTAGAGTCAATTGATCTCTGATTGCATCGTACATCATATGAATGTCACCAAAGAAACTGTACGTCGGATAAATGAATGCAGCTGGTTTATTGTGTTCGAAACCGAAATGACCAATCCACGAAAATCCGTATCCCAGTAGGAGTGGAATCGCTGTTTTGATGAATGAACGTGTTAGAAGCTTTCCACTGAGAAAGTAAACTGTGAGAAATACCGCTACTTCAGATAGACCAGTAGATAAATGACGAGAGAATGGAATGGTAGCATAAGCAGCTAGACCACCAGCAAGAAGTGAAATGGAGAGAATCGGTGTTGTAAGAAGATAAAGAAAAAACAGAGTTGTGCCTACGTAATGAAATTGTCGAGTCGTTTTTTGACTATGTTCAGTCAGATAGAATGGATAGAATTCTTCAAATGTAGCATATGGTTTTGTAGACGAAATATTTTTAGATAAATAAGTGTTTAACAGAGGTGTATTGTTGTTTTGTATACTGATGCCGGCTAAGATAATTACAGCAGTGCAAAGTATACCGCCATACATTGAAGTCATGTTTGAGTTCGTGAGTAATTTGATTCGTACGAAAAAGAACGATTTCTAACTTTTTTCACTTACAGGTAAAAAACGTTTAGATTCGGTTTACATATCTTATCTTTGATATGATACCAAGTGTTTTGATGATACTGGGTTGGCCAGTTCCGCTCTGAGGTCGTTCTCGTCGTCGAATTTTTTCTCACCTAAATAATTAGAAAGAGAACGAAAGAAATGGTAGTCTGTTGGAGCCAAGTCAGGAGAGTAAGATGGATGTGGGAGTGTAATCCATTCGAGCTTCAATAATTTTTTATGCGTTAACTTTGCAACATGAGGTCTAGCATTGTCATGCGGAAAATAAATTCTATCCTGCTTCCCGTGAAGTTTTGCTACAACTCGGTCTAATTGCTGACAGTAGAGATCAACAGTGACGATGCAGCCAATAGGAAGAATGTCCCAATGAATAATTCCCTTGACAACCCACCAAACGCTCAGCATAATTTTCTTTGGATGAAGTTCATTCTTGGGCGTTGCTACACCTGCTTGTTCAGCTCCCAGCCACTGCCGCTTGCGCGTATGGATCACATACAATACTCACTTCTCATCACCAGTAAGAAGAGTGTGGAGCCATTGGTAGTTGCGTTGAGATGTCATCAACTCCATATGAGCGTCAACCACGAGTTGGAGCTGACGTGGTGATAACTCATGTGGAATCCAAATACCCTATTTCCACGTTTAGCCCAATTCTTTCAGGTGTGTTTCCAGTGTAGTACGAGCACAACCGAGTCGCTTTGCTAAACATCGTGTAGTCAATCTGGGATCTTCTTCGATGAGCTGCTTCAAAGCATCCATATCCACCTCTATTGGTCTTCCGGAGCGAGGTAAATCATCGAGTTCTAAATTATCAGTCCTGAATCAATTGAACCAATGTTGCGCTGTATGAATGGCGGGTACATCCTTGCCCATCGTGCTGCATATGTTGCGAGCTGCGCCCGTTGCTTTGTGACCCAAACGAAATTCATGAAGCAAAAGTACTCGCAGCTATCTACGAGATATCTTGAATTCTAAGTGTTCATCAACGTCCATATCCATGATTTTGTTATCGCTCGGAAGAAATTCGTACTCCCTTTATATACTCACAATATTGAAACTTCAAGACCTTTCTTGACAATTCTAGGAAAATTTAGGAAAAAACGCAAAAACTTTCTGACCAACCTAATAGATCCACCGTTCTAATAAACGTGATTGACGTCAACTTATCAATATGGCAATTTTATATCAAATTTTTTCGAATCCCAAATCTCAAATCTTTGTGCAACTAATGGTTATCGAATCCAACTGGATTTGATAACGAATTTTCGGTTCCGGATTTGGATTTAGTACATGCCTGATAATTCATCCTACCACAACGACTAACTAAAGTATGATGATATGCACATGCGCATTTGTAGACGTTATCTAGAGAGTCTTACAACATCCCGACGCATTCCACTGACATTTTGTATACTTTTCTTTGAAAATTTTCTCTCCCGGTTTGTGCGGTTTAGGCTACTGATGATTTATTTCACTAGTACAAAAAATAGGCGTTACACTCTTCCTTCCAGAAATTTAAGGTTTCTTTTGTACTTCAAAAGATCTGGATGATTCTCTGGTAATGACTGTTCCGCAATTTGTACGCTATATTCACAAAACATATGAGCTTTTTTGAAATCATCCTTATGACAGCACACCAAACTCATATTGCTGTAGCATATAGCTAAACGAGGATAATGTACAGGAACGGATCGCTGTATAATTAAAAGCGCTTGCTCGAAGTTTTCGAGTGCTCTCGAATAATCGCCCATTTTTTGATACGCCATGCCAATATTGTTGTAGGAAGCTGCCAAGTCAGGATGATTGGGAGGGAGTGATTCTTGTGTAATTGAAAGAGCTTTCTGAAAGTATTCGAGTGCTGTCGAGCATTTACCCATTTTTTGATATATCGTACCAATATTGTTGTATGGAAATATCAAGTCGGGATGATTTGAAGGGAGTGATTGTTGTATGATTTGAAGAGCTTTCTCATAATGTTGAAGTGCTCTTGGATAGTTACCCATATTATTATACACGAAACCAGCGTTATTGTATAATGGGGCCAGACTCGGATGATTTAGAGAAAGCGATTGTTGTCCAGTTAAAAGAGCAATCTTGATATATTCGAGTGCTGCTGGCCAGTTACCCAGTTTTTGATACACCATACCAATATTGTTGTAGGAAGCTGTCAAGTCAGGATGATTGGGAGGAAGTGACTGTTGTCTAATAAAAAGAGCTTTCTGAAAGTTTTCGAGTGCTCTCGAATAATTACCCATTTTGTGATACACCGTACCAATATTGTTGTAGGGAAATGCCAAGTCAGAGTGATTGGGAGAGAATGATTGTTGTCTTATTAAAAGAACTTTCTCAAAATACTCAAGTGCTTTCGGATAGTGACCGAGTTTATCGTGGATTGTACCAATATTGTTGTATAAAAATGCTGAATCAGGGTGATTTTCAGGAAGCGACTGCTGTGTAATTGAGAGAGCTTTCTCACCGTAGAAGAGTGCTTTTTGATAGTCACCTATATTCTGATACACCAAACCAATATTGCTGTAGGTAAACGCTAAGTCAGAATGATTAGAAGGAAACAATTTTTCCTTAATTAAAAGAGCTTTTTGGAAGTATTCGAGTGCCATCGAATAATTACCCATATCACTATGCACTGAGCCAATGTTATTATAGGAAAACGGTAAGTCAGGATGATTTTCAGGTAGTGATTGCTGTGTAATTAAAAGTGCCTGCTCGAAGTATTTGAGTGCTGTCGAATAATCACCCATTTTTTGACATGTCACACCAATATTATTGTAGGGAAATACCAAGCTAGGATGATTTCGAGGAAGCGATCGTTGTTTAATCAAAAGAGATTTTTGAAAGTATTCGACTGCTTTTGGTCTATCACCCATATTGTAATAAGTCGAACCAATGTTGTTGTAAGACGTGGCTAAATCAGGATGATTTACAGGAAGCGATTGTTCATTGATCAAAAGAGCTTTCTCATAGTGTTGCAATGCTTTTGGATAATCTCCCATTCTATCATACAGCGAAGCAATATTGCTGTACGATGTAGCTAAGGCAGGATGTTGTGGAGAAAGTGATTGTTCATCAATCGAAAGAGCTTTCTCGAGGTATTCAAGTGTTTGCTGAAAATCGCCCATACTATAACAAGTCAAACCAATGTTGTTGTAGGATATCGCTAAGTCAGGATGATTTACAGGAAGTAACTGTTGTCTAATTAAAAGAGACTTCTCATCATACTCTATTGCTTTCGAAAATGCACCCTGGCTGCGTTTGATTGTAGCAAGTTGGCTATAAATTGCTGCCGTATCAATATCATTTGAACTTTCGTTTAATAACGTTGTGTAAATCTGCTCAGCCTTCGTATTATCATTCAGTAGTACCAATAGATACCCTATTTCTGCCCAACCATTCCGACTTGAAGAACTTCCTTGTCGAATGTGATCAGCAAGTGTGCATAATTCTTTGTCAGAATCATTGGTAAGTGAGAGATTTACCTCGTAGAATGTGTGATTATGGTTGATACATTTTATATCATGGACATGAAATACAGTATGCATAGAAAATAACATTTCGTCTTCATTGGAGAAATTGCTAAATTCGGAAATATGCGCAAACGGTGTTGTTGACTGAGCTGGATTGACCTGTATATTGAAAAGAATTCCCACTAAATCAGGGTCATCTGCGCTAGACTCACCCCACGGAGAAGCTAACTCCCGTTGTCTACTAGTAGACAAGAAGCTATTGAATGACATCAATCCACCCTTGGCCTTAGTAAGTTGTTCAAAATCTGATTTAGACAGACCTTGTCCACGGTAAACCGTAAATACATTAGAATAACATGTATCAATATATTGTTTTTTGTGCAATTGTTGGATTTGTTGGTGAAGCTCTTTGATGAAGAATCCCATTCGCACGATTATATTACTGTTCATCATTCGCAGGGCATGGTTCAACATAGAATGAAGAGAGTTTCCTCTGCTATACCAATAAATGGGCGTCTTCGTGCGATAATCATGCACAAGCTGCTCAGTATTATTGAGTGGTTTGTTATCGATCCTTAAAAGAGTAGGATAATCATTGACGAATTCTTCAATATGCTTATCTTCAAAATCAATGGTTAACAGCCGTTCTTTGAGAAGTTGTGTATACATAAATGATGGATCTAGTTGATCCCGTTTCCTTCCAGGTGGTACGAAGCTCATTGGTATTGTATTCTGCTCATAGTGACCAAACATCTCGTCAACAGCTTTACAGACTGATATTATATCAGTGTACACGCCTTTTATCTTCACCCAATTCTCCACCCATGGCTCATTACGTTGCTCGTTCTCGCAAAAGATGAAAATCCAATATAATTGAAGGATTTCATGTACACAAGGTACAATGCGTTTCCCAAGTGAACCAGAAAGAATTAAGCATACTTTAGAATGATCGCAATTCAGTATGAATTCGACACATTCATCACTATCCGTAAACATATTGATACCGGTAGCAATGAGTTCAAGTTGTTTAATTGGATTCCGACAATCTTCATTTCGATCATCAATATGGTTGTCCAACCAGATAACAATGAAATTTTGAATCTTCTCGACGTCAGCAGACAGACAACTCTCTGGTTTCGTTGAAGGTATGACTGTTCTTCTAGTTGACATCAATATTTTAGATTGAATTACTTCGGGATGCGCTTGGTTAATATACTAAGAGAATGACTTAGTTGGTAAGTTTGTCGGCTTTTTTTCCTTTTTAAACATTGATAAGACTTTTTATCTTCAAGTTTGAGAGAAGACCTCATATAATCTAACGGAAAATGTCCAAATTATATTGTTATCACCAAAACAAATATCTTGAATGCGTTGGAAAAGTTCACATTCCTACTTTGAATATGAACGAAAAAATCCACTTAATATATTTTTCTAACTTTGAAGGAAATATAGGCTAAATCCGGCGTTAGCTTCGAGAATGATTCTTAAATAACTTAGCGGGATTGAAAAGCTATCTGCTGAAATGTCAAGCAGACTAGCGTGCATTACTAACAAGAATTTGATTGGTTCATATTTACGACGTATGATAAAAGTGTTCAATTCTTATCTATCTATTTCTGATGCTCAAAGATATTCCTTGCTTATCATTCGGAGTCATATTGTATTGCATGATCGTAAAATATTTTGTGGATACGCAGAGTTTATTTCAATTTAGCTATAGTCCCAGAATACCATGCGAGTTATTACCTGATAAATTACATTTTTTACTGTTTGATACATCACATTTTCAATTCATACTGATCGAGGATGTAAGTCAAAATCAAGTTCGATTTTGTAAAACCTATTTGTGTTGAGCAAACATCGAACTGAAATTAACGTGACATTCAGTAGCCATGACTTCAAGGGTAACCTTGCGCCAAATGTAGTGACACCTCTTAATTCTATTCTTTTTCTTTCATAACAACAAAAGCCACCGCTCTCTACTAGAATGCATGATTATTAACTCATAGTTATAGACTGTTCTCTAACAAACAAAGAAAGCATGATTTTTTTACCGTAACCCTCGATTGTGTAAGGTAAATCCTAGTCTCTACGCACTAATGTATATTCATCTACATTGTTATCGACATGATCCATATACAGAAACACTTAATATCATAAGTACTCATGCATCCCGGCGTCGTTCATCTAGTTCTTAACGCGTCTTGCACCAAGAGTTAAAATTACTAATACTTCGTCTAAAATATCGTCTGTAAGTATTTAGTTTCAGATGATTAATTAATAATCAATTCTATTTATGGCCACTCATACATTAGGTATCAATTATAGCGTGTCCTAGTTTCCTTTCTTAATCAAATTTTTTTCTCTATGTCGTAGTAACGTCTAACCCATTAACTTTGAATGATTCATTACAAAACTATTTATTATCACCAACATTTTTGCCAAATAATGTTTGGAAAACAACATTTTCACCATGTTCACAATATCTAGCCATCCCTAAACAAGATATCTATGGCGGAGACTGTATTGTCATCATTCACTGTCAAGATTGGCATACAAATGAAAAAGTAGATCAGTTCTATATTTATGAGCGATTCGCATGCTCGTCAGCTGTTTGGTCACTGGCATTCGGCCAGCGGATACTGAAATTGGATTTCTCTGAACGACAACGTTCGACTTCATCAGTAAATCGTCGCTTTGATTTTACCAGAAACTTATTTCTAGCTGCTGGTCTAGCGGATGGAAAGATTAATATTTGGAATGTCGAGTCAAAAGAATTAACTTTAACTCTAAATGATCATCAATCAACTGTATGTGGGTTAGCGTTCACTTCTTGTAGCATGCAATTAGCATCCTGTTCACATGATACAACGATCAAACTATGGGATTTACTAGACGATGGTAAATTCTTCGGAAGAAAAGAATCATGGTTGAAATATTCTCGTTTAGGAAATATGTATAAAACATTGAAGAATTGGACACATGTTATCAATACTGTCAAATGGTCACCGAATGGAAAACTTTTGTGTGCAGTTGGTCCACATCAATTAGTGACACTTTACAATACAAAGACATGGACTGAGATGTTCAACTTTGACGGACATCTACATAATGTGGTGGATTGTGCTTTTTCATCAGATAGGTAATCTACTTCGAAAAACATAGTTTCATTACAATTGATTTCTTTTTTGTTCTTAGCGCTCTTTTGGCGACTGCTTCGTTTGATACTCATATTCTGCTTTGGTCAACGGTAACTGGCGAATTGTTGAAGGAATTTTTGCATATAATCCCTAAACCAATGAAAATCTATGCCGGAGGTGAGAATGGTTCATTCGTTCGATCGGTTATCTTCACCAAATTCGATCAACATATCATCAGCACATGCGACGACAAGTAAGAAAAAGCACAATTTACCTTTTGAGATCTATCACTAACTCTTGTTTTAGTTTTGTTCGCTGGTTTCCTGTGAAATCAGCATACCGAACCGGTTCAATTCATCGACAAACACAAAATAATGTTCTTTGCGTGTCGACCACAACTGATGGCAAAACGATGGCTGTAGGCACACGCACGGGTCAAGTGCATCTTTGGTCCATGTCTGCAACCTGTCAGCTACCATCATTAAAAAGTTTTTGTCGAATTCTCATCAATCATCAATACAGCAACATCATCAATTTACCGATCTCACAATATTTAATCAGTTATCTTTTATACAAAGATATTCAAGTCAAGTAGATGTATATAATCTTTTGTTTGCCCTTTTTATCTTGTTATTACGAAGTCGATAAATTCGAAATAAACATTGCTTGAATACAAATTATCTCCGTGCTGAAGTAGCTGTACTTCAACTACTAACAGAAACGTAATTTCGAAGTAAACTCTTATTTATAGACTTTATTTTCATATATACACTCATATACAACTCGCTTCACATAAATAGAAATACAAGTCAAATGACTGACGAATCCGATCGGTTAAGTCCATGTTCTCATCAGTTTTTCAATCATCAACTGTTGAATGAATGTATTCAGTTGTCCTTTGTATACACTTTTATCCAATTTTCGACAAATAGCGTTCCGTCGATAATGCTTTCCTCGTTTGCAGGCTTCATATAATGTAATTTGTTCAATACATTCATCTGGAAGATAGTTCGCAGTTTCTTCAACAGCGTCATCCGATTCATCTAATGAAAGATCATCGAGACCAGGAAGAGCTTTTGCAAGACATGCAGGAATTGTATCATAAATTTGTTCGAAATCAGGCCATTCGAAGTTATTAAATGTATCATCCAACGATGACGAAAAGGCTTTGTAATTTTTACAATGTATTGGTAAACCTCGATTCGTATCTTCACGTCGTGTTTCACATTCTTTCGACGAACTAAATCGACGTTTCAGTTGCGTACATAAATGTTTCAATCGGTTGTTTGTTTTCGGTGGTGGAGCGCGCTCTTCGTGACATGAATAAGCACGAGTCGTTTTAGTTACCAGAGCCGGCGGTGCCCATTGTGAAGAAAAACGAAACTGATTTGTTGGGTAACTGCTCGAAACTGTGCCAGCAGTTTCTTCCGTAGTTGAATTCAGCGTATTTTCTGTAATAGATTGTAAAAGTGGAATATGACGGGATGATGTTGTCGATGTCATTAAGCAAGTAATGGTTATGAGACACTCACAATGATTATATACTTCTGTAACGATGCATTGTCTATATATAATAGGGGAGTCTTTGAAGAACGATCCAATTAATGTAACTAATCAGGAGGAGCAGAACATGGTCGTGTTTAAGATGTTTAGTTCGAGAAATGTCGTTTTTTTGACGTGAATAGATTCTCTTCGGGGACAAACATTGATATATTTTGCAAACAAATAGTTTTCAAAAGAAAAGATCGACTTGATGAGTGCTTTTTATCTCACATCATTATAACTATTGATGCAAATACTCAGTTTTATTCACTGGAAGAAACGTTCGTTTCATATTACGTTAATGAGGCAGAATGTGAAGTAGAAAAAAAAAAGAATCGTAGATAGCCGACACTATTTATAGTTAAATCTTGGCGCAATTGTAGTGTGATAGATAGTCTATCTTCAACTAGAGTTCAACTTCTTTTCTTGGTTGCGAACAAATCTTTTTTTACACAGAATTACAAAACATAATGACAAATATATTTAAGTTTTTTGTTTTTTCCATAGTGGTCCCATATCATCATCGTCGTCTTTCTTTTGATGTGTATCTTCAGTCGATGAGGCGAAGATAGGCGTGGGTTGGTTAGCTTTATATGCAGGTGCCACCCAAAATGGATCTTGCTCACATTTTTCTTGATAACTAAGTAGAATAGCACGGGAATCTTCCTTTTGGGCAGGCGGTTTTTGCAAAGCAATATTTTTCACGATGTACGATGATAACGTGCCACCGTGAACACCAATACGACCACCTGAACCGGCACCGCTAATTGGTAGATCTGGCCGTTTAGATTTAACCTAAATAAAAGAAAAAAACAACGTTGAAGTCATTTTCTCACGAGAGTCGGTTAAGTAAGACATAGTTGCATGAATACAATGCTAATGATGTCTTAGAAATATCAGAACCGATAAAACTTTTAACTCTTCAACTTAAAGATGAACGTACACGCGAAGATTTCTGTTCCGAAGTATCTGAGAAAAAAAAAGGAAACTTCTACTCACTGGATCTTGTCGATTCTTTTTACGTATAACGGACAAATTCCGAATTCGCTCTTGTCGATACATGGGCAAAGCATGTGGATTAATAATATTCATATTAATAAAATAATCATTGGCTTTCTTTTGTCGTTCTTCTCGATGTGCAAATAACAGTGCACCTTGTTTGGAACAAATTGGATCATAAAATATTTTAATCAGACCATTGCTGGTTGTACACATGATTTGATTCAATTTTGGATGCCATAATGTTTTAATCACACTTGCTGTTTCACTCACTTGAATTTGTCCTTCAGGTTGAGCAAGATTCTCACGATTGAAGAAGTAAATTGCTCCGACATTTGTTGGATCGCGAGCTTTATCATCGGTTTTCTTTTGTGTTGATGTACCTGTGATTAAAAATCGATCGTCCGGTGAGAATGTCACATCAGTCATTGAAAATCGATTATGCAAATCTTTGTATTCTGATAGGGGCTGTTTAAAATTTCGTATATCCCATAATTTAATTGTGTGATCAGTTGCACGCGACGCCAAATTTCGTCCATCATGAGACCAACGTAATGACGTGATGGAAGTGTCATTTTCATGTGCACGTCGGTTCATATATGTAACATTGACAAATGGCCGACGACGATCCCAAATTTGTATACTGCCATCGTCACATCCAGCAGTGATTAAGTATTCGTTCTGACTTACGTGAGTATGGTAAGTGTTGTATGTACATGTAGTTGCCGCGGTCTTTTTGCCTTGCTCAGATTTGGTTTTGATGCAAGTGACGTGCTCTGTACGACGAACTAAAGACCAAAGACGAACAGTACCATCGTCCGAACAAGTCATAAATTCCTAAGAAAAGGAAAACGTTGTTTGCTAAGAAACGATTCAAATAGGAATTGACTCACATTAAAATCTTTAGGATTCCAACATGCACGATTCAATGTAGCGACATGACCCTTGGTTTTTTGCATATCAATGATATACATATCACCTCGAACGCATTCGTATACATTTCTCCCTAAAAAAAAGGCAAAAGGAAGGTTATTTTTAATCTCATGTTCCACATTCTTTATTTACCATCTCGAGAAATAACTTTTCCTTGACAGCTGCCACTAGCAATAACTAACATGTCGCTAGCTGGACTGAACTCGATTGAACGCAGCTGATGAGATTCACATGGGGATATCGCGCGAGATGATTGAATGCTTTTATCCATATCATGAAAATCCCACATTTTAAGTTCATAATCAAAACCACCGGATATTAAACGTTCGCCTTTGGAATCGATGGTTAAACAAGAGACAGTTTTTGTCCCATGTTTCAGTTCTACTTCATGGGTGACAGGAAAAAATGGTTGCTCATCGTCATCCAATCGATCAGCGTCTCCACCAGTGGTCTCCGAAGGATTCGGATTATCATCATCTTCCTCGTCGTCGTCGTCGTCGTCGCCGCTGGTCTCGTCTCCATTGTCTGCATTTGACGCTGTAGCCAGAGATATCGATGGACCGAAGTCATCGTCGTCATCATCGTTGCTTGCTGTGCTATTAATCGTTGATTTTTGCATTTGTTTTGCTGCTTGGTCCGCTTTGAGCTTCATCTCTGCAATACGTAATTCATTTTCTTCTTTCGCCTTTTCGATTTCATTTGACCAATCGACATGTGACCGTTCTTGCGCACCGGATCGTGCTTGTGCTACCATCGCATTCAGATCAAATACCCGCGCGGCTTTTTTCGAGGATGCTGGTGGATCTGCCATAACAGTTCCTTTTCTAATCAAAATCTAGAAAAGAAACAAAAAGAAAAGAAAATAGGTCTGTTATGTTGTTACTTCTGTTATAACTACAAGTGACAGAAAAACGAATGTAGAAACAATGTAATCATCATGACAAGATTATATAAAAAAAGAACAAACGACGACCGGGCACGAACAGAACGAGATTTGAAGACATATACAAAAAAAACAAACGCTTATATACAGTCTTTTTCCTTGTTTTTCTAAGATTTTGTTTTAGAATATATTTGTATTGACTTGATATTCGCTTCCAACCGATAAGAATTATTTGTTGGCCTCATCTAGTGGCGTATCATCATTGAATAACTCATCCACATCGAACTCAACATCAAGTTCGCCATCATCTTCAATGGAATCTAGGGCATCCTAAACAAACGGAGACTTTCCCATCGAACTATCGACCAAAGTACAATTATTATTTTACCCCTTGTAGCGATGCTGAAGGTTTATTTGTACCATCATCAGCGCTCGTTGTGGCCGTTAATGGAGAAGATAACGTCGATGAAGATGATGCTGGTGTTGTCGGCGAAACCGAATTTCCAGCGGTACCGCTTGAATCGGTTGTTTTGTTCAGAAACCTGACTGTCGGTGTTTGAATCTGTTGAAATTTCGTTTGTTGATTTGAAAGGCGCGATGCTAGACGAACAATAGGTGGTTTTGAATGATGGGATGTTGTTGATTTGAGATGCTTGTTCGAATGCGAATTGTTCGTCAATGACAATGAACGCTTACGATTCTAAAAACAGGAAAATTCTTTCGATTCATCCTTCGAAAGAGAAAAAGTACCAAATCTGATGAATTCATTCGATGCTGTGCCTTGTGATCAGATGTTGATTGTTTGTGATCATCGTTGACTATAAGAACAACAAATCATCGAATAGAAATATCCTATTGACAGTAAAAACATCTTACTGGGGGATGCTGTTTGCCTTTCATCGAGAGTTTTCTTCATTTCTTCGTTTCTTTTTCTCATATAAATCTTCATTTGATCTAATTTTTGTTTCAACTTTTTCGCCAAACTTTCGATTTGTTTCTTTTCAGCTGAATTAACTTCACCTTCGACCAACGACAATTTCTCTTCTAAGCATCTGATTTCCGTTTTCATGGTAATGTAATCAATTTGTAGATTCACTCGACGTTCGTGTTTCTTCAACGCATCCAGTTGTTGTTTACGTCGAATACATTCGAATTTGAATGACTTTCGATCTTTCTCGGAGAGATGATTCGACATCAGTTTCTTTTCATAGTTTTCCACTAACTGTGTCACATCGAGAATCTTCTTCGACGCAGTTTGAGTTTCTTTTTGTAAGAGAGGAAGTATCAATTTCGGATCACGATGATCAGATAACACTGGATATGGAACTTTGACAGATGAATCTTTTGTTGCAGTCGATGAAGCTGAGGTCTCAGCTTCGGAAAAGTTTATCAACAATGACGATGGTGACTCCGATGATGAAGAACATGAGGATAGGTGATTGTCGTATCTGGACTCGTAATTTAACAATGGGTCAGTTGATATTAACGATGAATCATTAGTAGGAATTGAGTTAGTCGCAGTAGCCGTTGACATTCTATAAAGAAAAACCAATAGATAGAAAATGTCTTTCGAAAGACTGTTACCTGATTTGTATAGGAAGAATTAGTTATGCAATTACATCATATTGGCTGATATACATCTAAAAAAGGACAAATGTTCAATCGTATTTTGGACATCATGGTTATCCAACTAATGAAAATCTTTCGATGGGATAGAATTTACGTTTGATAGGCACACTTTCACCTATGAAAGTTTCTTTTGGACATTTTCTTTTCAATATCTCGATGATGAAGATAAGTTATTCTTTCTTTGTACTAATAAACAACACTCCATCGTCAAACTAATTGACGATTGTGTTGTTTTGCAGATATCTAAACGCGAACTCGACTGATCATATCATACAACAGTGAAATAGGTTAGAGGAAAAGTCTGTCTTACTGATTTGAAACGATTTTTGTTAACTTCGATTGAATGTGACGATGTTTGAAAGTATATTACATTCCGAAAGTCTACGAATGAGACATCTGTCTTCCTTATCGTTGGTTGCGTACATCAAGCAATCAAACGAAAGTAGATGGCGATTTTATTAGAATAAAATGAAATAAAATATAACAAAAATAAAAAATAAATCAGCAAATTTCTCACGAAAATTTCCTTTTTCTTAAATAAACACTTTTATTTGTTCTTTGTTTATGTGATGAGCCAATAGGAAGCCATTGTTCCAGTTTGTTTATCAGTTTCATTATTTCGTCATTCACGTATTTGTTGCTAAACGTGTGTTTGTTACAAACTCGAAATGTCATCGATTCCTGAACGTCCAAGTAAACGTCAACGCACTGTTAAAACAGGTCATGATATCGAAGCCGTTGATTTCGAAACAAGTGAAGATGTGGAAGTATGTCCAACATTTGATGCAATGAATCTAAATGAAAATCTTCTTCGTGGAATCTATTCGTATGGATTTGAAAAACCATCCGCTATCCAGCAACGTAGTATTCGTCCCATCGTCAAAGGACGTGATGTCATCGCTCAAGCACAATCTGGTACTGGTAAAACAGCTACATTTTCGATTGCTATGTTGCAAAAATTGGATACAAACATTCGCGAAACTCAAGCATTAGTTTTATCCCCAACAAGAGAATTAGCACAACAAATTCAAAAGGTTGTTTTAGCTATCGGTGATTTTATGAACGTTCAATGCCATGCTTGCATCGGTGGTACAAATACAGGAGAAGATATGCGTAAACTCGACCATGGACAACATATTGTCAGTGGTACACCAGGCAGGGTTACTGATATGATCAACCGAGGATCTTTACGTATGTATTTTTCAGTCAATTTTGCGGCTAACTATGCTGAATTTGTTTAGGTACACGTCACATTAAAATGTTGATATTGGATGAAGCCGATGAGATGCTTAATCTTGGTTTTAAAGAACAAATCTATGAAGTTTATCGTCATTTACCACCACAAACGCAAGTTGTGCTCGTTTCAGCTACTTTACCACATGAAATCTTGGAAATCACCACGAAATTTATGACTGATCCAATTCGTATCTTAGTCAAACGTGATGAATTGACACTTGAAGGTATCAAACAATTCTTCGTTGCTGTTGAACGCGAAGAATGGAAATTTGACACACTGTGCGATCTTTACGATACGCTAACAATCACTCAAGCTGTTATTTTCTGCAATACCAAACGAAAAGTCAATTGGTTAACTGAGAAAATGCGTGAAGCTAATTTTACTGTTTCGTCCATGCACGGTGACATGAAACAAGAAGAGCGTGACGCCATTATGAAAGAATTCCGTGCTGGCGACACACGTGTACTTATCACAACTGATGTTTGGGCTCGAGGTAAAATTGACTTGGCGAAAAAGTAAAGAGATAAATGCTTCGTTGTTTCCTACTCAGGTATCGACGTGCAACAAGTCAGTTTGGTTATCAATTATGATCTTCCAAACTCTCGTGAATTGTACATTCACCGTATTGGTCGTTCAGGTCGATTTGGTCGTAAAGGTGTTGCTATAAGTAAGTCAAATGAGACGAAAATGCTGTTTATCATTCAATTGAATTTGTTCTCTTGTAGATTTCGTTAAAAATGATGATATTCGTATTCTACGAGATATTGAACAATATTACGCAACACAAATTGATGAAATGCCAATGAACGTTGCTGATCTCATTTAAACATAGAATTCGAAAACGAACTGTTTCATACCTCTTGAATGTTGTTTCTCTCTTTCTTGTCTTTGTTGTCGTTCGTTTGTTTTGATACATGCCCATCATTCTAATAAAGAAAAATATCTCATACGAATAATGAGCTTAAGAAGGTTATCTGGTGTGGAAGATATTCGTTGCCGATTGCCCAATCATATAGGACAAAAAGAACGAGATGTTACGTGTACTCTAGTCGAACATATGCGTCTGTTTTTGTAAGAGTAATAGAACAGAGCAACACATGACAGAGTACAGGCATTTACTTTTTGATAGGAGACTCGATGATTTGATCGCAGAGTACGAACCATGTAACCGAGTGCAAATAAAGCATTATATTTTCTTCTGTTCTGTCGTTCGTATGTAACACAAGAATAGTGCACTACGTGCACAGACAACGCGAGGTATAAATACTCGAGTCGAACTTAATATATTATATCAGAACGAAAAAATACACATACTGTGTGTACAAAGAATGCTACAATTTTTTACAAATTTCTTACCTCAATCTGACTTAATTATGGCGATGCATTCACCAAATCTTCTTTCACTCATACACAATACGGGTATCTATGCTCGGCCTTTCGATGAAGTCGTATTTATCCACGATTTATCGTCTACAGCTCCTGCGACCATGAATGATGAGCTTTGTCTGATTCCAACTACAATCAAAGATCCAAATACTTGAACATATGCCTAATCTCGCCGTATGGTGTGTGGTACATCAAGTTATACGATCTCTGGTACGGTGCACTACAGCTCCGCGACTGGCCAATAGTTCAATTTATAGTCCAATTCGACACTCGAAGATTTCTTACGAACACTAATGAACTTTATTGTTAAAGATATAAATGTATATAATGTAAAGACTCTTTGTTTCAACTGTGATACATAAAATAAACACGCAAAAAAGAAGACAACTTAAATAACGCTACATTTCGATTGTTTGATAGAACTTGCTTGAGAACAATGAAATACTAACGAAATATCGTCGTACAGATAGGTATTGTTGAGAAACAATTGATAAGCATTTGAATTTTGACAGTAATTATTAGCAGTGTAATCAATGAGAAAGCGTTTTATCAAAGAATTGGCACTCATAAATGGCCAGAGATATTCGTCGAAAATAATCTTGTGATCATATAAAAAGGATGTGCGAAATAAGAGATAAGTTATATGTTCATCATTTGTATCCACTGTTGTCGAGTTTGAATCATCGAACGATTTGATCAAACATTCGATATAGAAAGGATTCGACTGAATCGTTTGAGAAAGAAGTTTGAGCAGAAACTTGACTAACGGATATTCAATCGAGTGATTTGATAGGTAAATAAAGCCATATGGAAGAATCAAGGTATGATTCATCGGATTATAGATTGGTTCTGTCGAATATAGATAAGCTTGATGATCCGAGGACATCGATGCAAATAATTGCACGTAATCGAGATAAGACAATGAATGAAGACTAGGAAGAGTTGTAAGAGATAACGATGGATGTCCAATGCTGACTTTGATTTGGTTTAATTGATCTATTAAAACCGTTTTTTCTTGCATATACAAATGATCTGATTGTTCGATAATCAATCGAAAACGATTAATCAGATTCTCCACAATAATCCTTATTGATTCAACAGAAATCTATATAAAGAAATCAGAAAGTTATTTTTATTTTCCTTATACAAATATTCTCTCTAAAAAAGCATTCAGTTCAATAACCCCAAGTAAGTATATGCAAAGTGCATTTTTACGAATATACTCAGGTCGAGTTACATATTTCTTTTTCCTGTGTATCATGTGTGGAGTCAGATTGATTAACAAATTATGTTCTACTCAATAAAACTTGTGCGTAAAAACAACAAATGTTGCCAGTGTTATACTGAATGTGTGTCGTTGGCCACACCCTTTCCTTTTCGTTACCAAATTTATCCCTGACGTCAGCGAATGCATTACAAATTGTACGTGTTGAGTTCATTTACCTGGCTTTGTTCGACTAGCGTCTGAATCATTAACGATGGATGATAACAGTTCAATATATCGAAACAATTGTTTATCGAACAGGACAGATTCGTTTGAGTTAAAGATTCGTTTTTATATTCAATCGAACGGTGAATATGTGGTTGATAATATGGATAAATCAAATGACGATAGTAATCAAAGAAGACAAAATTAACAAGTATATGCAGTGGGGCAGGTTTCAGTAAACGATCATATAACATCATTATATAAGGCCAATCGTTTGACATGTAATATTTCAAAGTTGAGTTTTCGGAGAAGAAATCTATGTTTGGGGAGAGGTCGGAGATTGTCATACGTCTGTCAAGCAATTGATCGAGTAGATGGATGATGCATGAGCAGTTATCGTCATTGGATTGATCTTCGAGTGGGATGATTTCTTCGAGAAGTTTGAATTCTAATCGAATACGTCGAAGATGTTCGACAAGTGTGTGGTTGTTGGTAATTTTGTCGAGAATACGAATTTGTTTATCAACCATTCTTGTATTAAACTTATGTAAACGTGTCTGAAGGAAATAGTTTAATAATTGAATCAAGTTTTTTAAACCACTTGTTTCATTCAATGATGAAAGACACAAATGATAATCAGCGAATAGAAATATGCGTTTGATGATCAGAGAGTTCTGATTGTATTCTTGTTCGTAGAACTGAACGGTCTCATTGGCCTCTTGTAAAAATGTTTGATAGTCATGATCGAATGTGATCAGATCCGCCAGGGCTGTTTGATTCAAAACATTCGAATTAGGAAGAACAAGTAAAGGTGATGGTAATGAGCGATAATTTATTCTGTGGATGTTGGTAAATGAATGATTGAGATGGTTCAATGATGAAGGAGTCAGTTTAAAAAATGGATTATATTGGAAGTAAACGGGTGGAGTCGGAGATTCAATTGCTGGTGTTTGATTAAAAAGAGTCGAATAGGATCGATAAGGTTCCTGTTGAATAAGTAGAGCAAAATAACGCTCGACTTCGTCGAGTAACGAAGAAGGAGGCTGTGTTTCACATAATTGATACAGAGTTAAAACTGTTGCTGAAACATTGTCTAAATGTTCAAACAAAGATTATGATTGAATGATAGAGAGAGTTATCAAACATACTTTGATTGGATTTTGATTGATCAGTCGTGATATTAATCATAAGTTTGTCATGTATTTGATGTCGAATACGTGTCCATTGATGTTTCGACGTATCTTCATCATCAAGATCATCATGATATTTGTCTCGTTTTCTCTCTTGTGTCCATTTATCACAAACGAAATCATAGAAGTTTTCACAAGGATCGATGTTTACATTAACGAAATCTTGCAACTGACGTTTTCGTGCTATTGGCACAATATCATGATTTGAATGAGATTTCGATGTAAACGAAACATTTCTACTGTTCATATTATAGATGATAACTGTTGTAAGGATGAGAATGAATGCCAAACAAAATCCGCAGAGAATACAAATAAGACAGTGAAATAATGACGATGATGATGACGAACTACTCATCGTTGGACTGTAAAGGTAGATATAAGTGGCGCGTGATTGCCGTCGACAACAACAACAAAACTGTCGATTTAACCATGAACAACAATTGGACATTTTATTGTTGAATGAATATACTAATGAACAAGAGAGAAGAAGAAGAGAAAAAATGTGTCTTGATGAAATTTTTGACAGAAATATGAAACTTACATTGGCATATGTGCACATAGTTGTGATCTTTCGGTACTCGAATGCCTATCACGAGATTTGGCTTGGTTCATATTGAGACAGCAATGAAACTATCAATGTTAATAAAGATAATAAGAAAGAATCGAAGAATGAAAAGAAAAAAGACCTTCGAACTAATCGATTGGCGATGATGTTTTCTCTTTAGTTAATATCGCACTATGCCGCAAGGGTACAATGAATTAATGAAACGTGCTTTTGCATGTATATATACACTCTCATCATCATCATTATCATTCCTTTCCCTTTTTTTTAACTACCCAAGCTATTAGTTTATACTCTAGGCTATTAGACAGTTACTTGTACGTTCCAATACAAGTCTATGCATGAGAGTACATATGATCTGACCAATTAGGGACTTACATATGTATAGAATAGTCATTGGTATTCGTTCATGAGTTGTCAGTTCATTGTGTATTCCATTATTTATTCTAACATCAACAAAATGAGAACGACAAAGGCAAACTTAATGGAATGACACGAGCCTAGATGGATAATTTTCAAGTCGAATGATCATATTCAAGCTAGAATCTGGTCAAATTTCATTAAAAGCACTCACACTTCGACAAGAAGTTGTATGAAATTTGTTTGGAACAATGACTAATACACGCATATATACATATATGTGTCTAATAGCTCAAAGACATTATTACTGATTCCTTTTCTTTTCAATTATCCATTAGGTAGGCGGAGAGAATGAAAGAAAACGAGTAAGTATTACGGTACCATCAAACGTTCAAATAATTCTTATGTTCTTTTATTTTATAATCGTTTTCTTTTTCTGTTGAAACTAGAGGCCGCTTTTAAATAGATATATACGAAGAAGGAAAAAAGGGAGAGAGAGAGAAAGAACAAATTATAAAGGACAAGAATATACAGACAATATCAACATACCATTAAATTGAAAAATTTGTTATATCAAAGCATTCGTTCAAGTGCAGACTTGACTCGATGTTCAATTCAATTGAATTCAGTCAATATTCGTATAACTTGTTCGTGTGTGTATATGTACATCCAGATGTAAAAGTTAAGAGAGAAACGAGATGAAAAGAACTCGAATCAAGCTCTTCAATTTTTTTTTTATTTGAACTGAATTTAGATAGTAATTATATGACGTACGTAATAGAAAAAGAGAGGGAGAGCAAAGGCAATGTGCGAAAAGGAAAGGTGTAATCACACGAAAACAGCGTTGAGTTCTTTGTTTTTTTTCTCATCTCGTCGTCGTGTGATGACTTGTCAAATGACAGAAAGTGAGTCGATTGGAAATATAAGATGAGAAGATTTTAATCATTTCTTCGATTAAATAACAATGAGAACGGAATGATTAGTATATGAATTATATATGAACTTTTAATAAACTGATGCTGTCGCCGTCTCATATAACACAATGAGAATGAAAGCGTGCTATTTAACAATAGTTCACTTTCATTGTCCAGATGATCATTTTCATATACATTAAATAGAGTGATTATTCCATCGTTTTCTTTTTATTTGCACAAGGAAAGTTTAAGTAGATGATTATTTCTTCAAAACCCGTGTGCATCCGGTTAAAACAATGTTAGGATTGTCTATTGGTGTAGATAAGATTTGCCGTGAATGATCACTGACACCTTGGACAATGAATACTTGACATCCGTCAATTTTCCTGACAATTTCACTGGCGATTGTGACTTTGTTCTGCATAGAACCTGTCACGTCGATGGCAGTCGACTGGGAATTGAGTTCGTCAAATTGATTTTCATCTATATAAAACTCTTCGATCACACTTCCGTCCGATCGAAGAATTCCGGGTACTGATGTCAAAAATAGACATTGCCGCGGTTTGAAATGTTCAGCTAATTTTAGCAGTAGATCATCACCACTGTATATTCGCCAGTGTTTGCTTTTATCTAATAAAACATCACCATGGAGAAGCGGAACAAAACCGTAGGAAAGAAGTCTTTCTAGATGTTGACATAGATGTTGGAAATTTTCATTGATTAGCTCAAATTGATCTGAAGCAAGGAAATGAAAAGGTGAAACGCCGACAACTGGAATTTCAGCAGCGAGTAAAGCGTTGAGAAGATATTGATGTAGACGCCCTAGTGATCGTCGTGTATCACAAACACCCCAACGACATTTGTCATAATCATTCGTTGCAAGATAACCCTGATTTAATTTGAACTGTTTCGCTTGATGGTGACTAAATCGAGATAATTGATAGGTCTTGTAAAGAAAAAAAAGTCTGCTGTTACCCGAATGATCCAGCACCGTGAATTAAAATCAAATTTTTATAATTAGTTTTAAATAAATCAACAATGAAATCAATATTTGCCAATCGAACTTGTTCAAATTGACTTTTATCTGTGATCGATGCACCTCCAATCTTAATAATACGTGTGACCATATGAAAAAAAATACAAAAATTTCTTATTATTTCAATGTTTCACTAGCCAATTGATTTGACTATGTCGCTTTAAACCATATTGTTCTCTTCCAAGTATTCGTTTTTTATTGGACGCTCTAAAATACCGTTCACGATGGATGTCTAACCGTCGTGTTGTCGTTATTGACGAAAAAAAAATGATGATTTCTATTCTTTGATTTTCTATGTGACGAAAACCATCAGTGATTTCTGAGATGAAGTTATGCACAATACTTATTCTGAACTTTTTATTGTTTTCTTTTTGTTATTGCCATGATCTGAACCATTTAGATTCAAGCACCAAGCATGCTGGTAAGTTGAAAACAATGAAAATGATAAATTACTTACTTTCAATTATTTTGTGCCAGAAACGACGAATACTCATGAAAACATGGACCACATTCAAACAAACATCCATGTACCTGATAAACAGCCGATTCATTTTACACTTCCACCTGCAGATACTGTGTCATCCACTCAAATACCAGTCGCTAGATCAAATGAGTTTACTACGCCTCAAACGCCGTTACCTACAACAACAGCAACAACAACAGTGCAACAGCAAACAACTGCAAAACCTGTAGACAGTCAAATAAAAACGAACATTCCAGTCTCGAATGATAACTTGAAAGGAATGGATAATCGTTTCCAATCTCAACAGCAGCAAGAACAAACACAGCCAATTCCAGAGCGCATTCCATCTTTCACAAGTACACAACAAACAATCTCAACTACAACTCAACAGAGTCTTTCAGATGTACCAACATCCATTTCACCAAGATTTACAGAAGCCAGTACCATTCCTACGACAACTATGTCAACAGAATCTCACATTCCGGTTACGACACCGAAAATTCCTGTGCATCCTCGGCACATACCAGAAACAACGGAAAGTCCTGTGAAAACAGCTACTAATCCAACTGAAAGCACAGATCAGCGCACATTTCCTACTGTTTCTTCATCTACTACTGATCAACGTCGACAAGTTGTGAATAATATTGATCTACCTAGGCACGTACGCATTCATCGAACATCGAAATTATTGAATCAACAGGCAGCAGTAAATGCCTTACCATCCATGGAAGCTTCAACCGAAGATGAAGACGAACCAAATATCACGACCGATGATTCTACGAAGGTACATACCTCCACAAACAATGAAACGAAGATTGACCATGGCAATCATTCAAGTATGCTGAACGTCAGTATAGTATCGAATAGTACAGGTAAAAACCGACAAATCTGTTGGCGTTTACCGAAACGAGTCGAGCCAAGTATTGAACTATTAGAAAATCAAATTTTTGGTTTCGTCAACATAGTATGTCATGTCATTTTCTCAAAAGTTTGCTATTACTAATGATAGAAATTTCTAGTTGCCTGAATTCGTTCAAACAATCTTTCTCGATCGCATTGAGGATCGAGAAGTTCTGATGAATACCATGTGGTTCGGGTCGGTGTGTACAATGTGTGGTTTATTCAGTTTCCTATTCCTCTCGATGGGGACAAGACGATTAAAACAGAGTAAAAGTGAAAAAGAAATACGTGCTCGTTGCCAACAACTTCAACAATATAACAATCAACTCGAGCTCGAACGTGCAACATTTGAGAAACAGAACCAAAAGTATGTTTTCAACGGAACGAACTATTCAACAATTCTGAGGAATTCTTTAGATTAACTGATGAGATTGAAGAGTTAAAAAACATTCCTGTCCGAGACTCCGATGAAGATCTATTTGCATTACGTGACGAATGTTTCCGGTTCCAAGAAGATTTACAAACAGTGCGCGCTGATCGAGACACCTTAAAACAAAATATCGAACAAAAACAAAATCTCATACAAAAACATGAATTCGAAATGCAAAGACAAGTTGAAGCTGTTGCGTACTTAAACAATGAAGTAAGAATAAAACGATGTGAATAAGCAGTTTCTCCATTGAATTATTTAAGATTCTGCAATTGAAACGAGATTTAGAGAAAGAACGAGCAACAATCAGTAAATATCAGTCGAACGACATATCATTGGAACGTTTTGAAAAGTCTCAAGAACTAATCCAAGAATTGAAATCAGAAAACGCAAAATTAAAAGAGGAGAAGTTCACGCACAAAGATCAACTTCAAGAGATCCAAGACCAAGTGAATAAACTCGATTTAGAGAACAATCAATTGATTCTCCGAATGAAACAATTGAAAGATCTACTTGAAGAACGTGATCAAACAATCAAGCATATTCAAGAGAGAATTAACGAAGAAGGTAACATTTCATCATCCTCACTTTTCTTTAAGTTATTGTTTTCTTCTTGTAGAATTCGAAGATTTGCGTTCTTTGATAGCGAACAGTTCTTCGAATAGAGATCAACGACTTCTATCGACTGTCGACAATGATCTGGAAAAATCCAATCAGCATATGCGTGATTTACAACACGAAATCGAAGAGAAAACATCTCGAATAAAAGAACTCGATTCACTGTTGAAGCAAGAGGGAGACCGAGCAAAAGAAATGGAAACGAAGTTAAAAGTCGTCTTAGAACTACGCGAGCGTGATGCTCATTTACACATACGGCAACTAGGTCAAACAGATGCGGAATTACGTAAAGCAAGAAACGATACAGAACGTGTGCGAATTTTACAACAACAACTTGATCTTAAACAGTAGGCTTTTCATGAGTTTTAATGCTATTTCTACTCTTGATTCATTGTAGACAACAATTAGATGACGTGCAAAAGGTTCTTACAAGTGAACAAATGAAGTTCAATGAAGAATGTAGTAAACTACAACATGATACTCATGAGAAATGGATGGAAGTTAAACGATTAACCCGTGAATTAGATATTTCGAAGAAAGAATGTGAAGGTCTACGCAAACAGTAAGCTTCCACTCCGAATGTCGTGTCGAATGTTAAGTTGAGTTGTTTGTAGAATTACGAAATACGCAAGTTCTACGCAAGAAAAGACAATGATTAAACCAGTACCGCAACATTATGGAAATAACGGTACTTAAAACGATTGACTAAGAAATCTTCATAAAGTTCTTAAATTTTTTCAGCTGAACTCGAAACAAATAGTAATTCACCTAATTCCTTCACACAAGGAGAAAAGTATGTTCGCTTATCATCTATCAAACATATTGACTTTCGATCTTTGTAGCTTTCGACCTATTGATCATCAGCGTAATGAGTCCGGTGCTACAAGTCCTACCGAGATGTTCATGCCAAGTAAGTTCGCCTTGTATCAAGCGATATCTTCATCACTGTTTCTTCATTTAGGACCACCTATGTTCGGTCTCCCTCGACCTCCATTTTTTCCTACGCCCTTTATGCCTGTTCCACCTCCAAATACATTTATGATGCATCCAAGATTTCCCATGCCCGCGGCTAGTCCGCATGGAATGATATCACCTGTGTCGCATTTACTAATCAATAGTAATGATATGAGCAATTCGGAAAATATCGATTCATCGAATATAACTCCAAATTCAACCGGTTATGAAAGACAGTCAAACGGAGGAGTTCTATCACCTGTCCCGGAGAGTAAGTTTACCTCTTGATCGTGTGATTTTTATATTGCAAAAAATCTACCTTTTGAATAGATGGAAAACAAACAAAGACGAAGAAGACGAAAAAGTCGTCGAAAAAGAAAGGCGAAACATCACTAGTGAAAGAAAACGTATGATAATTATCTGTTTTTAAAACTCTTACGTTTATTTTAATTCTTCTTACTGAACATAAATTTGTTATTTATATTTCCTATATATATCCCTTGGGTTTTGTGTGGACCATGTCTTATTCCCATTCTGTCGAAGTGAATTGGCAAACAGGAAGATATTCTAGTATTTTATTGTGCTTATGTGTGTAGTTTTTTCGAAGCATATATATGTTTTTTGTTATATGAAACATGAAAAAAACCTGTTATATCATTTTTTGTTAACAGACAATTTTCTTTTCGCTCTCTGTTACTTATTTATCAAGAAAATAAAATGATGTAAAGAAACATACTATCTTGAATGTGATAACCTTTATCGCATAGAGAAAGAAACTAAGTTTATTTGACATTTTCGAAACATTTTATCTGTTTTCGATCCTAGAGTTAAACGTTGTTTGTCTTCAAAAATGGACTATGCACGAATGCCGATTGAAATCGAATCACCTGAACAAATGGGTTATGAAAATGTGAAATACAACTTAACGGAAAGTTCGGTAACTGATATGAAACTCGGTGATTTGAATCTAAACTTACAAGAACTTATTATTGCCTATGGAGATCATATTGGTCATCCTAAATTACGGGAATTGATTGCGAAAGATTCCGGTGTAACACCAGAAGATGTTTTGCTTACTGCAGGTGCAGCTACGGCTCTGTTCATTGTTTCGACGACACTTCTGTCGAAAAATGATCGCATTCTTGTCGAACATCCGAATTACGCGACCAATATCGAAACACCACGTGCTATCGGTGCTCATGTTGATTTTCTTCAGTTACAATTCGAAAATGGATTCCGTTTGCCACCTATCGATGCTATCGAAAGTAAAATCCAACCAAACCAAACTAAATTACTAAGTATTACTGTTCCAAACAATCCAACTGGTGTGGTTATATCTCGTCAAGAGCTTGACAAACTTGTTGATCTAACCAAAGAGAAGGGAGTTACTTTATTGGTCGATGAGACATATCGTGATATGACTTATACAAATCTGCTGCCGGTCGCTGCATCACTTGCTCCACATGTTATATCGGTTTCGTCGCTGTCGAAAACATATGGTCTTCCAGGAATTCGAATGGGATGGTTGATTTGTCAAAACAAAAGTTTAATGACGAAATTTCTTGCTGCTAAAGAACAAATTATGGTTTGTGGCTCCGTTGTCGATGAAGAAATCGCTTATCGATTCATGTTAACGCGTAATCAACGCTTACCATCGATTTTAGATGAAATTCAAGTGCGATTGCAAATCACGAAAGAATGGATGAGTCAATCGAGTAAATATCTCGAATGGGTAGAACCGCAAGGTGGTGTTGTTTGTTTTCCAAGAATAAAAGTTGATATTAATCCTGAAGATTTTTACAATGTGCTGAACAACACATTGAAAACATTCGTTGGACCAGGCCATTGGTTTCAAATGGAGAGAAAATTCATGCGAATTGGATACGGATGGCCAGCAACACATGAAGAATTAAAACAAGGCTTACAAAACATCGTATCAGCAATCGAAACTTGTCTGAACAAAGCTTAGAGTTTTCTTTCTAGTAGTTTTATATGATCAGTAATAGTGAAGCATTTGTCGGTTACTATATTTAATTATACGTTAAAATCCAAACAAAAGCATGAATGTACAAGAAAAATGCAGCACACATATACTGTTATATAATGACATAGCAATAAGTTTATGACTTAATGATCATCTGCGAACTTTCCCATATCTTTCTAACATGGTATTGTATCTAGAGAACGAAAGAATCAATAGATGATTGATGAACAATAATTAACATACCTTTTGCTTCTCCCTCAGATATACTGATTGTCTGGAGGAATAACTGAAGTTTTTCTTGTTCAATAGCATCTAAGAAGTCTAAATAGTCACCGCAACATTTTCCCTCGTGAAAAATTTGCGGTAAAACGACTTTTCCATCTTCTGACTTCTTTCCGGTGACAATAACAAAATCTCGTTCGGTTTCATTCTCCGGTGCCGCAACATCGACCGCTTCATAATCATATTTCCATGAGCTCAGTACGGAAAAAACATGAATTTGTCCTTTCCGTATATCACGACGTCCAGTTGTTGAAATGAAATAGACACGTAGTACCATAGCGTATTTTACGTCATTGACTAATAATCAGTCATCAGCGGAGGAACATTAGATTGTACGCGTGTTTGTTTACTCGTTCGAAGACGAATGATCAACTAAACACAGCGCTACAAAGAAGTAGAAAAGGAAGGAAGAAACGATAAGCAATGACCTTCCTTTTGCTTCTTTATTCCTGTTGATATCCAATACTTGATTGAGAAAATGCAACTTCTGTTTTCTTCCTTTTTCATCTCTTCTAGTGAAAGCAATATTAACTCGACCGCATTTTCCCATATGTATATACATGGCGAATGAGACACTACGTAATGGTATTCTTTTCTCGTCAAGGTCGAACGATTGCATGCTCATATTTTGAGACCCTAGCGGATATGTATATACAGACTAATGCGTCTGCTCGATAAAAACTGTTGTGCGAGGAAATATATATTGATTTAGTTATGAAAAAAGTGTTCACAATTCGTTTTCAGTTCGTTGTTTAGACACTGAGTTCGATTTCACTCGATCTTCCCATCGTAGTCGTTCACGTTTACAACTACCATATTTGAAATTATAATGATCCGCTGGTGAACAGGTCCATTGTTGTAATTGTCCGAGCCATTGGATAATTGCGGGATCAGATTGACCATATATGGTACTTATGTGTAATGATTCCAGCTCTTTTTCAGTAAATTGTTGATTTTTATCAAGGTTTTCTGGCGTATACAAACATAAGACACCTAATTGACAATCGAGTTTAGGGATAGGATCCAATATGTGTGCAAAATTATATATCGGTGATATATTTCCTTGTTTGGTTTGACTGGCAAATAAATCAGAATAGTAAATATTGACGATATCATCAACACCCGTGGCCGAAAATGTAATCGCTGGCCAATTGAAATATAAACCCAAAACAATCGCATACAATCCGCCTGCACTAAATCCGCTAAAGACGTATTTAACATTGGCTCTATCTTTATAATGCGATTGAACTTGATTGAATATTGCTATTGCTTGTGGTAAATAATCGAGACCAAGTCGTTGTCGTACAGAACGAATCATTGATGCTACTACTGATGCACCAAATGCTTCTTTATTTCCTCGTTGACGGTCGACCGTGGCTGCTGCGCCAAATAAACTCATCATTTCGTTCATTTCGTCGGTTAGTATAGATTCATGTTCCTGGTGACGCACAACAATAAAAACATATTGATTTCTCTCGAATACTTTGACATGCAAACCTTTAATACCTAATGATGGGTAAGTATTGGAGATAAATGATTCATCGGTATGATCATAGACTAATCCATTGATTTGTTTGATTTCTTTGTAATTATTGAACAGTCGAGTAGAACAAATCTGACTTTCATTTGCTACTAGTTTATATTTCGAGGGAAATGTGTTGGTTAAACAGGCAAGGTCGATAACAGATTCAGGAAATTTCAGTCCAGTGTCCGACTCATATGTCGAAGGTATTTGCTCATATGATGAAACACAATTGGATGTTAAGAAAGCAGTAAAAGCCGCAGTGAAGACGTATTTAATCTTATGCGTTAGACGAAATGAACCCGAAGCCATTAATGATGATAAAAGCGTATTAATGATATTTTCGACGTTACATATTCATTGGATGAATATTTAGTAATAATGATCAAAGACAATTTCTTGCTAAATTTCATACAGATGACGCTAGATTGAGCAGGTGAAAAATTTGAAAATGCGATCGTCAAGCCGTATTTACACTCTTAATATGGTTATCGTCTTTAGGATAAGGGTGTTCCGTCTGGTGGTTCTTCGGGTTGTCAAGGACAGCATGGAAGTAACGCCCGAGCTGGTGCGGAAAGATCGAATAGTCAAGGCGGACGTTGTGGAATCGATGATTCTATTGAATGTACAGTTGTTGATTTAGACGGTAACATTTTCAAATGAGAATCTGATAAACATCATGCGAATGTTATGGGTCATAAGATAAACGATGCCAAAAATAATGGAATCTACGAACCCGAGTCAAAATTTTTATTAGTTCTGACAAATGGCATAATAATGATTCTGTGACGTTACTACCTTCAGACTATATGTTTAAATCGAGAATTTAGTGGTAGTGAAATGTCTACCGAAACGTCATGTCAATATCCAATTCAAATCACAAATATTCAAATTTCAACTTACTTAGGTCCGAATGAACGAGCCGTTATTACTGTCAATTTCGCTAACATATCTAGACGATCATATGGTATGTATACAGATTTGGTTGATGCATTCGTTCTTGAAAATCATCGAAATGATATTCGAGTTGTACCTGTTTTTGTATCAAATATTCATACCAATGTACTTCTAATGACGAACTCTCGTGTCGAACGAGTGGAATTGCTTGCATATTAAGATCTATTTCGCTTGTTCAATTATACAAGTTAAACATGACCACTCGAACGCTACCATGTATTCCATCATTCAGAAATCAGATGACTGAGTACGACTAACGTGATCATTCTTTTCAGCTCGTCTTCACAATCAACATTGAACACAATTCAATTCGATTTACTGCTACAGTATTTGAAATCTTCGAGCAAAACTAATTTAATTTGCATTGGTAATCACCAACCAGACGAATTTGATTTCATTCTTTTCGACTACAATACTTTACAATACCTAAACGCTAAGGAGCAAGCAGAGACGAAAGCAACCAACCATCAACAACCTTATTCGACTCACGATCACAGATTTGACCATCAAAGGGCATAAGGTTCGCCGCGATTTCAAAATTCAAGAAGATCATCGACTTCTGTATCAATTCGTATAAGACGAGTCGATCAATTGTAAATCTGCACGATTTTTGACCGTTGTGTACGGTAACAAATATGTTTACAAATCTATTCTAACTTCGCATGATGAAAATCGTTTCGATAACAAGCGCTCAGCCATAGCAAGAAATTAATCCGGATTCATATTTAAGTAGATTGATATGTGCAATAATCTTCTATCAAGATTTTGAACAAACTTATCATATGATCAGTGAAAAATTACATTTGATAAATTACACGTTCTGTTTTCATCAGTTGTTAGTTAGTTTGACTACGTCAATCATTGAACGGGAATACGATCGAGACAGTTTACAATTTCATTCAACAGAACGATTAATGATCAAAATAACCAATGTAATCAAACACGAGAATTACATGAACATGAATCACACAATCGATGCTAACAATTGGACATGCTTATTAATACAATAATTGCATGAACATATCGATAGTGAATTTTACAACTCTCCTTCATGGTGCGAGTGCACAACGAAAGCAAAACAACGTCATAAATTGCAAGACTTCTTGGTCGATTTGCGCTCGCTCATAGTTCGTTAGATTCTGGTCAATAAACAAGTGTATTCACAAGCGCAAGAGCTACGAATCTACAGTTTCCAGCAGTTGATGAATGAAAAGACACTGTTGCAAGGCTGAGCGAAATTGAAGCATGACAGCAAGAATGAAGTATTCGAGGAATAGCATCAACACCGCGCCCAACCGATAAATATTAAGAACTGTTGCTATTGAATTATGACATCGATGTTTTTTCTTCTTGTGAATGCAGAGCGAGAATGAAAATAATCTCAGAAAGCTTCCATTATGACTTTTCGGACCGAAGATCATAAATTCTTTATCAGTCGGCGAGAATCAATGTGTTTTCCTTTAATATTGACATGAGCAATATTGGAAATATGGTCGTTTTGACTAATAGGAATCTATTTTCCAAAGTAAGCAGGCGGCATATGTTATATTTCACGATCGATATAAAAGAAAACGATTGGAAATTCATGACTTATGAGAAAATATTCAACGATCCAAATACTTTTTCGGTACATGCGTGTGCGTTCGTTAAAAATAGCAATCGTAAGTATATCAGTAAGGGGTCATGTAATTCGATGTGAAGATGATACTGGTGTTTATTTGATATCAAAACGAGACCTATCATTGCTAGTATCATTTCGATTTTCCATCATCCTTGACCTTCCTGAAAGTGATCCTCTGACAGTGATGATTGAAGGTAGCATTCAACCGTCATTAAAGTAATAGAGATCTATGCATACGATTTATTCAACATCCTTCAAATAGACCGAGAGAATGTGTATATACATTCAGTTATTTGATTGTCTTTGCAAACACAGATCATTTTTCATTATTGAAAGACATTTTTATTCTGACTATAATCATTTGAAGTGGAACTATGTGGAAGAGAAATAGTGAATATCAATGTCCTGCAGTGGAATTGGTTCATCGCTGGAATGAAGAAGTGTCAATTTCTTTTCTTTTCTTTCTTTCTTTCTTTCTGCGGAATAGATGTGTCCGCACATGTTATTTTTTTCTCTATAGCGTTTAATTCGTCGTAGTAGTTAGCAGAACGGTTGTGCTCTATCCAATTCGCTTGACGTATGTCTCTGTATAATAGTGACTATCGTTCAACGAGGTCAAGCAATGAACAATCGATAAAAATTCCTTTTTCTTTCTTTTTTTCTTTTTTTGCCTTCTTTTCGTTAACATTCTTGTCATTGATAAACCTTGAATCAATTAGTAAGTGGATAAGTTTTTTTTTATTCTATTCCGATGAATCCGATTACTCAATCACAGAAAAAGGAAAAGAATGTGCACAAGAGTAATCGATATTCATTCTGTTGAAAGATTGTATAGAAAAAGTATGAATTAAAAGTGACAGAATGAAAATATTGTCACTGATGTTACAATTACGATGATAATGACAAAAAGACTCGTACTCTTGAATGGTAGTTTAGTATTGGACACACGCTTTACATTTCTGTCCTTGTTCTGTCAGAAAAGTTGGTAAATGATAGGAAGAAGGAAAGATCTACGTAGGAATAATTGTCAGTCAACTAATGCATAAAAATGGATGAAACATCCCGATAACGAGCATTCTCTATTGATCGACAAATCGATCGATTCTTCTGAGAAATAGTGAGAATAGGTAAAAAAACGAGCGATCTCTCCGCCATAAGTATGGAGATGTATATGTAACTAGCATCTTAATCTGTTTGTATTGTATAGTAGATGGCCTGTGTTTTGTTACCAGATAAATATCAATTACATAATAGGAAAAGAAAATGTATCGAATGAGATGATTCTGTTTTTCTTTCTACTATGAGAAGTGGCTCGATGATATACCAATAGAAGAATTTAAATCGAGAAAGTGTCTGTTTCTGTTCAGTATATGTGGTCATTTTACCTTTTTTTTAACGTCACAGATTTCCTCTTGTCTCTCCCCCTCCCCTCTCTCTCTCTACTAGATTGCCTGAAGTCTTTTCCGTTCGTATATTTCTTTCGTTGACATTTTGCTCTTTTTCTCTTTCCGTTTTTTTACTCGATTGCACAATTCCAATTGTAAGATGACGAGGTAGACAGAGAGATATAGCGAGAAAAAACCTGGCTGTAAGTAACAGAATCGCTTAAATAATGTAAGAGAGAGAGAGAGAGGAAGAAAAACGATCGTTGTTAGTCTCTATATCTTTGAAGAGAATAAGTGATTAGTATTGTTTAGACTAAGTAGATTTCAAATGTTGTTATTTCTTTCTACACTTTTATTTTAATATAGTTCTGATTATACGTACATTTGCTATGTTTCCTTTTAGTAATGATGCTTGCGTAACATAAATCGACGATTATGAGTCTATTGGTTAAATTAAAAAATAAACTCCAAGATCCAATACTATACGAAGTAAGTCGCTTTTGTGTGAGTTCGTGTTTCTGATGTTTTGTGATTGTGTCTCAGATGAAAATTCGTGAATTTGATGAATGTATGCTACTGCTCAGAAATGAGAATGCGGAATTGCACAAACGTATTGACCAGCTCGAGGCACTGGTAAGTCAAAACAATGTTCGGATTATTGGAATTTGTTTGTGTTTGTTTACATCAATTAATAATAGTGTCGAGCAAATGTTAACACTCAACGTACGTATGTGCTTGATGAACGTATTGGCGAGCTAGAAGAAGAGAATGGAAGATTATTTGCCGAAAATCAATGTCAACGACAAGAATATGTACAATTTCTCGATCAACTATCAACGATGGTTATAAGAACAGCAGTCATGCAAGAAGTGAGTCGAGAATCATTGACGGACCGTATGGTACATAGCTTTCTCCTTAATTAACAACAGATACAGAAAAGGCTAATCATTAGTTTTTGATTTCATAATGTGCTTAATAGTTATTGGCTAACTGCTTTAGCAGACTGGAACGGCATCATTGTTTTGTTTGATACGAGTAAATGGTGTGCGCGCGGTCAACAATCAGAGATTAGGAATAGTTATTGTTCCTATCGGGTAACCGGACATGACTTCTTCATTCCTTCTAGTCAAAGTCTATAGACACTTTTTTCGCTTGTTTGATTAAATAACAAAAGACAAGGTAATCTAATATTAACCATTGTGCAAGCTATTAGAATGAATTAATTCAAACTTGAAAGACAATAGTGATAGACCATTAAGACAATGCCGACGAGACAACTCATCTTTTGTCTAATACTCTGTGTCATCTAGTTAGCGCACACAACTCGGATTACCGTCTGTCATTAGACGAGCCATAGTATCATTTTTTTTGAATACATGATCAGGTACTACTTATCTCAATCTTAGTTCATTTTCAATGACTTTTTAATTCCTTTGGGATTGGAATATTTCTTCGTGACTAGTTAATGATGCATCCTATCGATTTAGAATATTCGTAAAGAATGTGCATCGATTTATCATGTCATTGGAAAGTTATCATCGTTAACAACTAATGCCACTCAAAGCAATCATCTGTCGGAAATGGTAATGAAGGAAAGAAAAACTTTAGCAATCGATAATCAAGTACTTCATTCATCGTCAAGTTCTTCCTCGTCATTTGATAGTTGGACATTCGATCGAGTAAGTTTGAAATCAATTCCAGTTCAATAACATACATTCGTTCCTTTTTTTTCTCTAAAAGAATATGAATCAAACATGTTTGATTAAAAACAAATCAACAGGTAAGATCGTATGGTATGATCGTCATGGTCATTCAATAGAGATTTCTTGGTTTTGTTGAGTAGATCAACAAGCTCTTCAACGATCAGAAACATTTATCATTTCGAAATTACCTTCTTCACCTCCACCTGTAGCTCTTGCAAAGCAGAAGCTCGATTCAAGTCGAACCTCGCAGAAAATGACAACAACATCAACGGTGCTCCGTTCCTCACGGCTTCCTTGTCGCCGTCCAGATTCTAAAGTACAATCACCAACTATTTCTTCCGCCAATCGTTCATTATCAACACCAAAAACAACCAAGGTGCCAATACGCACAGTAGCATCCTTAAATCGAGAAAAAACTCCAATGAAAAAGCCGACCATCTCAATATCGATTGCATCAAAAAGTTCGACAACAACAAAGAAACCCATACGTGCATCTTCAGCTATTCAACCCACAACGAATAGAGCTCGAACAGGTGTGGCGACAGCGACAATAAAAAAGAATACCAACAATCAGACATCAACTCCATCGAATTCGAATAAATGTACGCATACGATATCCCAGGCGATGAATTCAACATCGAGTGAATCAAGTATTGAAGAGCAACAAGTAGAAATGAAGGAATTACTCCCCATTGTACAAGACGAAGGATACTCAACATGGTCTTCGACAGATGTCAAAGATGACGTATCGAAGAACAGTGTCAAGAACAATGAAACTGATGATAGACAGAAGAATATTGGACTTGTCAAAGTTTGGCTAGATGATAACGCCAACAATCAATTTTTAAATAAGCCGGTGACGGAAGGTAATGATGTGAAGATAGTTTTCGCAAACAATAATATTGATTTAACGAAAATAAGACGTGCTATCTGCTGATTAAGATAATCAATCAAATGTCACAAGTGTTTTTGATCATGTTGTTTTCCTCAGCATGGATAATATGATTCTGACATATGACTTTCACTTAGGACTTCTCTATTAATTAGAAGAGTACTTATTTGACCGAAAGGCTTTCGTAAAAGCCTTGAAATTAGTAGAAATAACATACCTACACATCTACGCGGCAGCGGATTTTTAGACAAAGAGGTTGATTGTTCTTTCGGAAAATATCCGGAAACTAGATATTTCTAACTAAATGAATTTCTTCGTTTATGTTCTAGTTGAAAATGATAAATTGAAAGAATTTACCGAAGAATTCTCGGATGGATCACTATTTCTTTGTCCATTTGTTCGCAATCGGTATTCAAACATTGCTCCAATCCCTTTAACGTCAACACCAGTCATATCTCCACCTAAAGATATCTCACTCGACAGTCTCGACAGTGCAAATGCCAAACAAGATCCACATAATTCCTCATCATCGTCTTCGTCTTCTTCTTCTTCATCATCATCATCCATATTCTCTTGCCCGGAAGCATTCGAAAAGATTCTAATTACTCAAGCTGACGATGGTGCTGACGATACATCAAGTTCAGCATCGACCACATTTGACATGTCTGCCTATATTGAAGATCATTTCATTGACGACAATGACAATACTAGTAATGAAACATCATCGATCGAAACAACGGTATTCGATGAAAGTAACTCATTGAAACCGCAAAAGCGTCTTCTATTCCCTGGTGTTTTAAATCGTTTGATATTTTTCCGACGAATTCTATCGGATTCTGATCTTCAACGGAAGGCGTTTGTTTTTCATGACAATGAACATCAGTTACATGTATACCATGCGAATACCATCAATGAACATTCTGTTGAAGTACATTTAGTCAATACTTATGGTTCAGATACTGAATTACAAGTTTGGTCACATGACTGTGCTGAGCAACGACGATTTCTTGATGAACGACAGCAGCAACAACAACAGTCACAGCCATTACATCAAGAAGTCGAAATTCAATCAACTGACGATCAGCAACTAGCTGTCGAACGACAAATGTTACTACAACAGATATTCGAATATCCCTGGTTACGGCCAGACAATGATCTCGATCGACCCACATCAATAAATAACGACTTATCATTGGCATCACCCACCAGTGATCTGATGGTTCCATCGCACAACCCAGATTTTTATCAATTATGTGCATTGACAAATAGTAGTTTATTAGCTTTATCTCCCGACCGTAACATAGAACATAATATTGCTCCTACAACATCATCTAATGTATAATATGAGATATCTACTTTTTTTCTCTTCTTTGTCAATTGAATATGAAGCATAATTTCATATAAATAAATGTTTTGCAGAAAAAGATAAAACGACACTATCTGGCATTTGCTTATACTCGCATGCAAAGCGTTTCCCGTAGTTCTCAATATAAATAGCATATTGTTTAGTCTACTCTTTTCTATTGAATGAAATAGAATGTCATCAGAACTTAATTGCGCGTGAAGGCGGAGGATATTTTAGTCCTTGACATTTCTTATATCATAAAATGGTGATCAAATCGACTGGCGTATGTTTGACTATATTGCTTCCTAAATATTTTCTTTTGCAACCAAAGGTGCGACAAACGGAAGGAGAGTCATATTGAAAAAAGATATGAAGATTATTTTGAAATCACAAGGTTATTCTTCACTACTGAGTCTATGTCCCTGGCGATGATTTGAATTTTAAATTTCATGAATAGGAAAGAAAATACATATTGACTGATGTGTTTTTGTTCTGCTTGTCTACTTCTGAGACGAAAAGGAAGAATTATTTCAAACATTAACTATTACAAAATCAATCTTTCGCGACAATGTTACTCGTCTTCCTCGTAGTTTATCTTCGAACGTCATTTGCACTTTTGCGTTCAACTGAAGATCGAATATCTACTCGAAATATAACTTGTCGACACGATGTCGGATTGTCAATAACATTCTTAACGAATTGTGAAGCATGTTTAGTTACTTCGCGCAATTATGCAATCGAAACAACACTGTCTCTAACTGGCATCGGATTATCAGGTTCGTTTTCCAGTTGTCTTCAAGTAAACGAAGTTGAAATGTATCATGAAAACCTTGTTCGTGAATGTCATTATTTTCCTCGAAATACACTCAATGGTTATGATGATTTCTGCATCGCATCACCGTATACAATTTTCCGTGGCTCATATCGCGCTTGCATTTGTCTGACAAACCTATGCAATTTCAATTATACTGGATGTCTTCGACAAATCAAGTCAATTTGGAATCAGAAGACACCGTTATTCAGCAACACAATTGTCGAATTAAACAACCGAATAAGATGCTACCAATCACCTGAAGGTTTTACAGAACCAGCTTCTTCAAGTTTGATACCATTATGTTCGGAGGATGATGACATATGTAAAAGTTATTTAGCTAATCAAGGTGTCCTCTGTGCTATTGGTGTTGATCGTGCAAATAAAACAACGCAACAAACGTTGACACCGTCGACATACTCAACTTATTTGATAAAATACAAAAGTGAATTTTGTAAATCGTACACGTTGACATCGAAAAGTATCCTATTTTCGCAATGTAAATCGGAAGATACCGTATGTATGTGTGCATTTCATGAATGCAATAAAGATCTACAAACCTGCCGAACAAATCGAGGGATCCGTAATGAAAATGATTTCATTTTCACTCTGCTTGTGTTAGGATTTTACTTTTTTAAATAAAAAAAAACTGGATTATGCAAGTTAATGTACAACGTTTTTCTGTTCTATTTGTCACAAACATCAAATCAGCTTTCGGATGACTTTCGAGCAATAATGTTTAACATATCGATCCTCTAAATTCGTTTGTCTTTCTATAACCAATGACGGAATTATGAATGTGTCTATATAAAGAATAGAAATTCATCGATTATCGTATAGAAAAATAAAATGCCTCCTAAGACACCAACCAAAGGTTCAAAAATCATCAAAAAACAATCGAAAAGTAATGCAAGTAAATCTGGTGCTGATGGCGAGAAAAAAAGCAATAAACGAAAACGTTCGTATCACTTTCCTATCTCGGATTCTATTCACTATTTTCAATATAGGTAAAGAAACCTACTCGATTTACATCTACAAAGTTTTAAAACAGGTAAAGACTCTATTCAATGTTAATTACAAGGAAAACAAACCTCGAAATTAGGTTCATCCCGATACGGGTATTTCGAGCAAAGCAATGTCGATTATGAACAGTTTCGTTCATGATATTTTCGGTATGGTATTCTTCATCATTTTGAAGCTCGTATGTTAGTTTGTATGTAGAACGTCTTGCCGGCGAAGCTTCACGATTGGCACACTATAGTAAACGTCATACAATCTCATCGCGTGAAATTCAAACAGCTGTTCGACTCTTGTTACCAGGTGAACTGGCGAAACATGCTGTATCCGAAGGCACCAAAGCTGTAACGTAAGTAAATTCATTTCGTGTGGAATGTTATCTGCTTTTTTTTCCTTCGTAGGAAATATTCCAGCCAAAAATAATGAATAATTCTTTTCGAACTTTTTCTTTCGTTGTATTTAAATATTGATTTGTTCTTATCTTATGCTAAACTCGATGATTTATTATAATCTATGAAAATAAAACTAGAATTTTGTGATACTTGACGTACTGTTGTGGGCGGACTTTTCGTTTATGGAAGTCGTCACTTGCAGTGGACGATAACGATGTCGAGTGTAACGATGTTCACTCGAATTTTTCTCCGATACAGGAGGTAGTGAGAACGTTCGACGAAATGGACTAATTGGAGGTGTGGGACGAGACTGAGATCTTTCTCGATGCTCACTCAATGCCTATAAATAAATAAGATCACAAAAGATAGTGTCGAGAAGGCTTGTTTTACTCGTAGGCAATCGTAACAGATTATTTTTCCTTGATTACTTGTCGTCTTTTGCGATGGTTCCTTTTCCTGCTCGATATGCACCGCTGATGGTTTGAGTAAGGTTTGAATTTGTACCGGAATCAGTATTTTCAAAGACGGTAATGTAAAGTTGTAATATGAACATTTTTTACACATAGTTTGTTGACACACATAACAAGTTTCACGGTTATTCGCTTGAAAAAACAACGGGATAAAGAAGAATGAATTGATCTTCTTTCGACATTGAAAACAGAGAGTTCCATTCCGAAGTTGTGAGCATTGCTTATCAAGACTTAATGTTGTTTGAACAATAACACGACGTATATGACAGATTTCTGTCAACGTTAACCAGAGAACGTTGCTTAACCTTTCACTGTTACGATTTATCTCCTCAGTTTCGTCTGATGACGAATCTAATAAACAATCGACAACAGCTACGCGCTTTCGACCAAACGAATCTCGACGTTGTTCATCATCTTCCTCATCGATATCCACCATCGGTCGCACATGTTTTCGAAGTGAATATGTTCGAGTCAATGGTTTTGACATCAATACGTTCTTGCTAGCCGACAAAATATGATCAGTTAACGTTCGTGTCTTTTCTCACATATATAACATATACTATTCACCTTCGATTACTATTCCTTTTCGTTCTTTTAGTTTGATTGAGAGAGAAAAAATGATTACAGTCAATATACAAAATAAATATAAATATGTTACGAACTAATCTAGTCATGTATATTATATAAGGTGTGTTCGGCATTGAGTTAATTCCACTCAATAAATCAAAGGATCTAAGTTTTCAAGGTTGACCGTTCAGTTGTGTGAAAGGTATGAATTATTATAATTATTAAGTCTCACTCGTTTGCCATTCGAAAATCAAAATATCTATCAGAGCATTTTAGTATAGTGCTGAACTGCTCGCAAGTCATTCGTTCCTATGTAACCAATCTCAGCGATTCTGTGTCCCTCTATTCCATCATGCATAATTCATTCGTTCTGAGCATCTCACAAATATAACATCTGATCAGAAATTTTGCTAAATCTCTTCATGCGAATCAAAACAATGATATTTTTTCGATTAATCATCGTTGATATTTATCAGAGCTAATGAGTCACACAATAAACTGACAGATCAGATAAACTTTATTTCTATTCATTTATTTAGAACTGTTGAGTTCGTCTAGTTCCATGTCATATTTCGATGGCGAACAAGGTCGCACTCAAGCCGAAACAATGGAGATTGCCGTTGCACTCATATGTCAACTTCCATTGCAACAAGAGAATTATTTACGAATAAAAAAGCAAGTCGACCAAATTATTCATCGACATGAGATTTTATTTACGGGAATGGTTCGAAAACTTGATTCACTATCGAAAACAATCGACAGGAATGAAATGAACCGGCAAGATATCATCGATGATCTTCTCTGTCGCGATTTAACAAGAATCTTTAATTGTTTAATTCAAAACGATAATGTCACCTGGGGCAAAATTATTACTATTTTTGCATTTAGTACATTTATCGCAAGAAAACACAATGATATTGCTGATAGAATTGCCTGTGTTACAGGCCAATATGTAGTCAAACGTTTAACAAGTTGGATTCGAGATCATGGCGGTTGGGTAAGTCGAACAAGTATTCTTCGATTGATATCGTCGACTATCTCACACGTTCTTTTAGGACAGTATGGTTTTTATGGATTGTACAGCTGATACTGATAGTTTGAATACACTTTTAACGTTTTCTTTGACTTGTATCGGTTTAAGTTTAATTGGTTTATTTCTCGTCTTGCGCTAGTCTTATCATACATATCTCGCTATACATATGTGTATTTGTTTCGTGAGCGGTGTCGTCAGATGATAATAATCTTTAAAATAGAATAAAAAATAATACTTTTGCTATGTAAATTTTCAGATTATCTGATAATTGATTCAAATTCATCGACATGTCGGGTATGAAACACTTTACGTTGAATTATGATTGTTCATAATCTTTTTTGTTTATTGTCTTTCCAATAGATAAATTAGCTTTCCAATTTAAAATGCAGACAAAAATGCTTGAACGACAAGCAGCTACACACGATAAACAGGAAAAAGTCGAACGTGATAAGGTTAAAAAGGCATTGACCAAAGGAAATATTGAAGCAGCGAAAATCCACGCTGAAAATGCTATTCGACATCATTCGGAATCATTGNTAGGATGATGGTGATTTGAATGTATTGAAGAATTCTCTTCCACCATAAACGATGGAGATATTATAATACAATGAGACATTTGGTTTTGAATGGAATTATTGTTATGTTGATAGTGATGATTGGTTGTGGAATTCGACGCATTCGTATTACAGTTATGATTAATGTTATTGTTAACATTATAGTTTATATTTTTCGCGAAGGGATTCGCCGTTGTAATCGATTGTCGTTCGACAATGGGTGGTGGATGATTCGAGTTCGAATTCGAACCTCCAGACGGACTGGTGGAAGCAGAACCAGGCGATGATGACGATGAACGGTCACCACCATGGTGAGAATTATCTGGTTGTTGTTGTTGTTGTTGTTGTTGCTGCTGTTGATGGTGGTGGTGATGGAGATTAGCACCGGTGATAGTCATACTATTTTCAGATAAATGTGGATCATCAGATACAGGTAAATTCGAATGTCCATAGTGAGCAGGATAATATTGAACAGTGATATGCTCGTCATTTTGTATTTCCACTTTCATCGATGATGTACAATGAATTCCACCACGTAATGAACCTTGAACTTTATTCCGACGTAGACCTTGACCATCTGTTTTATCTCAAACGGTTGCAAATTTTTCAAAGAAGATTTTTAATTGATTACACTCACAAGGTCCTGTTCGGTTACAATAGTAGTATTCCGTTGTCTGATTATCAGATTTTCCTTTGGCACCACAGTTTTTCACATACTTCGAGCCGGTACTCGTTTCAAAGGAAATTTTCCAATCAGTAAAATCTATGAAATAAATCTATTGAATGACAGTTCAAGCAATGATCAATATTTACCTGCAAGACTGGTGAATTTTTTCTCTTCTGTACATTTGTATTCAGGTTTTTGATGATGATTAGCAAGATGATTGCTAAATAACACAGAAAAAAGGTAATAATAAGTGATTTATGATAGCGTGCTCTTTTTATTAGTTGATATGTACCTCCTCATCTCTAGCAACGCTTTGAAAAATGGCAGTCTGCCCTTTACATCAAAATCTAGTAATGCAATTGAAATCTTACCGAAGATCAGAGATAGCTAACATCTGATATCCACAGTCGAATTCTTGGCATTTGACACGATGAAGTGCCGTTGGTTCTACCATGCCTTCGCCAACAAAAAAAGACAAGAAACAATTTCATTAGCAAATATGTTCAGATGAAACATTCGTATATTCGTTGTTTTCTCGTCGAGCACCTAGTCGATTAGGACTAACTTACCACGATGTCGTTTGCGTTTATGATAACGTAAGCCAGCACCTGATCGATAGACTTTTGAACACATCGAACATACATATCGAGCTGTTGAACTTCCAGTATCAAAGGAACTCGACGGCGACGACGCTACCGATGCACTTTTTCTAGTCATAATAGCAACAAGAATAGTATCTAAAAGAGAAAATAAGTAATCATACATATATAATCAATCTCTTCCGATACCATTCACTAGTCGCTTTCTTTTTCTCAGCTGTATTCGAAATAAAAAAAACGAACGAACAAAACTTTTGGAAGAAGACGGAGAGAGAGAGAGAAACGAGGAGGCATCGCTACAAAACAGACAAATATGTTGTTGATTAAAGAGTAACATAGAAATAGTGAAATACACAAAAAGAAGAAAAAACAGAAGTGACAAAATGAATGAAAATGGTTATCAACACAAAAACCCAAAATGACGGTGCTTTTATTCATCGTATATGTATATACATATATCCACGGGGAAACGCACGCGTGCGCATGTATGTGTACATATATGTATATATATCCATATATAATTAAGAGACCGGGTGTTAGATGCAAAAAATGTACAAGAAAAGTATATCTATATTTTCTTCTCCTCTTTCTATTGTTTGTGGATTTTATACGACGTAGGTTTTCACTGTTAAACGACTCAAAAGGAACGGATCTCGGTTTGTCTGACTGAGTCGGGAATATTGTCGTATTAATCTATTGTTCGTTGTTCCATGAGAGAGGAGAGAAATTTCGATGGTATATATATGTATATATGTTACACACGAAAATCACACGCATTTGATGATGGTTGTATTTACCTACAAGACGAAAGTCATGTGAAAGGATGAGTATCAATGGTTTGATTTCTTTTCGAGAAAGACTAGTTGTCAAACACTTACAGGTGCAATATTGATGATGATACTTGATGTTTGGGTATGATGTTGATGTTGAAGTCGTACACAATGATCCGTAGTTGTTTGGGTTTGTTGAACGGCCGCTTGAACAACGGTTTGGATGGACGGGATGGTTTGTTGTTGAACAGATGATTGTTCGATTAGTTCATTATTCGTCTTTCCTACAATAGCATTTGTCGCCGTTGCAGGAGCTTGCAACGGCGGTTCAGCAGTATGACCATAGTGCGTGGGATAATACTGTACGGAGATTTGATCATTTCGCGCGATATCGACTTTCATCGATGATGTACAATGTATTCCACAACGGAGAGAATCCATACTTTTAGAGTTACGGCGCCAGCCTTGACGAGTTTGTTTATCTTAAAAAATATGCGGTGCATATGAACCTATAATTTCGTATTGATAAAAGCAAATTCACTTACATAGACCAGTTCGATTGCAATAATAATATTCAGTTGTTTGATTCTCGGATTTGCCTTTTGATCCGCAATTTTTCACATATTTCGAACCACTGGTTTGTTCAAATGCAGCTTTCCATTCAGTGAATTCTGGACAAATTGAATCTCATGTCAGAACTTGAATGAATGAAACGCGGAATCGCTTACCTGCAAACGAGTTGAATTTTTTCTCTTCGGTTGTCTTATATTCGGGTTTTAGATGATGATTAGCCAAATGATTTCTCAGGTCAGATATGGCAAGCATTTGATAAGTACATCCATTTTCCAAGCACCGTACACGATGCAATTGAGTTGGCTTTAGCATACCTTCATCTAAATGTTCACGAAGAAGGAATAAATGATGCCACCAAGAATTCTAATAGATTTTTTTTATTTCCGTACCTCGATGTCGTTTCCGTTTGTGATACCGAAGACCGGCGGATGATCGATAGATTTTATTACAAAGACTACAGACAAGTCGTTCTTGCGTTGGTCCTTTTGTTACTTTAGCTTGGTTTTGTGGATTAGCTGGCACAGGGAGAGTCCCAATCGTAGGTGTTACAGATTGTTGTTGTTGGTTATTCATTGTAATGGTTGGCAATTGTTGAGTAATTATAGAAGGAACAGCTAAAGGAAATTTTTATGCATTTTTATATAACAATTAATCTATCTTACCTAGAGGAGTAGTGATAATCATAGGTGCTGCATTATTCACGGCAGATAAGACATAATGCTGTGGTTGTTGTTCAATCAAAGTTTGTGGTTGAACAATAAGTGTACCATTGGTTGATGTTGTAGTGTTCCCACCACCCGACAGAGTATTAATCTGATCGTTTTTCTTGGTCATTAGTCTCGAAAATAGGAGTTATTTAATAAAAAGAGGATGGACGAAAATGTTCTGTGTTCTCTTCTCAATCAGAGAGAAAGCGAAAGAGAGAGAGAGAGAACGAGAAATTAAAGAACAACGTTGTCAAAGACAGAAACAACTATCAGCGTACATATCGTTCGGGTGATAGTAGTGGTAGTGATTTTTTTATTCTTTTCTTTTTCTTCTGTATGTTCGTTGCGCGCAAAGTCCTGAGGAGAGAAAAGAGGAAAAAAAAGAAGTGATCGCTATGAATGGGCCGACGTCGATTTGAGTGTATATGTGCATTCGAACGAGCGAGAGAAAGAAAAAATAGAAAAGAAAAGAAGGGTAGGTGGAGAAACAAGGTCGACGGACGACAGCAGCTAGGCAAAGAAATAGATGATGAAGAGAAAAAGAAGAAAAAAAAAGAGACCAAAAAGAAAAAGAGAAGAAAAAAATCTAAGCTAGAAACACTGGAAGCAACGCAGCGGCAAGAAAGAGAAAAAAAATGTCAGAGAAAAAGTAACAAGAATGAGCCTATCTGTTCTCCAATAAAGTTCTATTCGAATAAATCCACGCGACAGATGTCATCGGTTATCAAGGAAATACAAACGAAGAAAAACGCGTTATTTATCAAAAGACTATTTCCAAGGATAGTAAAGCATACATTTGAGTTACGTTGCAAAAAGATATTGCTGATAGCAACGCACACTGAAACTAGCGATATTAGTTAAAATTATTTCAAGGTATAATTAATTTGTGCTTGCATAGCGAAGAAATAGTTTGATTGTATCTCGAAATATTCGAGAAAGAAAACAGATTAAATTTGATGCCAATGGTACTCATAGTTCAAGCAAATATATCTAATCTACACTCAACTTCAATATCTCTGAAAGTACTTTATATTCGGTGTTTCAAATCTATCAAATACTGAAGTGACTTTTTTCGGACTTCGTATGACAATTAGTAGTCAGACTTTCGAAATTTTAACGGGGATAGTTTTGAAAGTCGTTTGTGTAATGACGCCATCTATTGCAACTCTTACTCTCGATTGGCTTATGGAAATTACCATGAGTAGATAAAAGATGAATTTTCTTTCGAAGTAAATAATTTACGAAAGTCATTTTCACTTAATTTTCGGTTTAGAATGGCATCATCTCCAAAATCTCCTTCGTCAGACGATCGTATGAACGACGCGTCTTCGACAGATGATGAAGAGGCCGATGCTCGTCGGACAACTGATCTGCGCGAGCGTGATGCATTCGCCAAACGACTTCGTGAACGTGATGAAGAACAAACGAAAAAAAGATTCAGAACTGAACCTGTTGCACATGACCCCGATCGATCGAAATTGTCGGTTCAAGACTTACGGAATAAATCTCGTCGTGTTTATCTAGCCAATCGAAAAGATAAAAAATTGCAAGAACTTGAAGATGAATTGGCCGACGAAGATTATTTATTCAAAGATGTCAAACTATCCAAACGTGAACAGCAAGAAATCCAAGCGAAGAGATATGCTTTGTACCTTGCACGTGAACATGAAAAAGCTGAACAAATGGAAAATGTCGAACGTTACCATATGCCAACTGGCAAAAGCGAAGATACTTCGAAAGCTGATCGATATCGAGAGGATATGCGTTCTGCGGACAATAAATCTCATGCACAAAATTCAGATCAGCGGCGATGGGAAGATGAAGTGATTCACACTGCTATATCACATTATGGCTCTTTAGATAAAGAAGCGAAAAGTAAACAACCGAAATATGATTACATTCTTGATGAGGAGATTCAATTCGTTCAACAACTGACAATTCCTGGTGTGAATGAAATTCTGCAACAACAGAAAGAAAAAGTTAGAAATAATGACCAACAAGAAGACGAACATAAACGTAAACAGCGAACATTACAAGAAACACGGAAGACATTGCCAATTTATCAGTTTCGAGAAGATCTGATGAAGGCAATATGCGATCATCAAGTTTTGATCATTGAAGGAGAAACAGGTTCCGGCAAAACAAGTAAGTACATAATCAACTTGCTTTTTTTGTATACGATTAATAAAACTTGTGTATCTATTTCAGCTCAATTGACTCAATATTTGTATGAAGAAGGTTATTGCGAAGCCGATATCGAAGAAGATGAAGAGGATGAAGATGATGATAACGAAGTTAATTTACCTGGCATGAAGAAGAAAACGAAAAAGAAGATGATGATCGGTTGTACTCAGCCTCGTCGTGTTGCTGCTATGTCCGTTGCCGCACGTGTCGCTGAAGAAATGGATGTGAAATTAGGTCGTGAGGTTGGTTATTCAATTCGTTTCGAAGATTGTTCATCTGATCGTACTGTGATTAAATATATGACCGATGGTATGTTGCTGAGAGAGTTTCTTGGTGAACCCGATCTTGCTTCATACAGTGTCTTGATTGTCGATGAAGCGCACGAGAGAACTTTACATACGGATGTGCTATTCGGACTAGTGAAAGATATCGCACGTTTTCGACCGAAACTTAAACTACTGATATCATCTGCAACATTGGATGCGGATAAATTTTCGCGATTTTTCGATGATGCGCCCATTTTTCGTATTCCCGGTCGTCGATTTCCTGTGGATATTTACTATACAAAAGCACCCGAAGCCGATTATATTGATGCCGCTGTTGTGACTGTCCTACAAATTCATGTCACTCAACCATTAGGCGACATTCTCGTTTTTCTTACTGGCCAAGAGGAGATTGAATCTTCAAACGAAATGTTACTCGAAAGAACAAGACGACTCGGCTCGAAAATCAAAGAATTAATTATCCTACCAATTTATTCCGTTTTACCCTCGGACATGCAGGTATGTTATCGCATGTTAATTCGAACGAATTTCTAGATTTATTTTTGTATTTTTAGGTGAAAATCTTTGAACCAGCTCCACCCGGTGCGCGTAAAGTCATTTTGGCTACTAATATCGCAGAAACATCATTAACTATTGATGGAATTCATTACGTTATTGATCCAGGATTTTGTAAACAGAAAACTTACAATGCGCGAAACGGTATGGAAGCATTAACGATAACTCCAATTTCGAAAGCTTCAGCTGATCAACGAGCGGGTAGAGCTGGACGTGTCGCTCCAGGGAAATGTTTTCGATTGTATACAGGTGAGTTTCGATTCTTTCTCACTATTGTTTAAAAATTACATTTTTCTTTCGTTTAATATCAGCTTGGGCATATCAGCACGAATTGGACAATAATACAATACCTGAAATTCAACGAACAAACTTGGGCAATGTAGTTCTACTACTGAAAAGTTTAGGTATCAATGATTTAGTTAATTTTGATTATATGGACCCTCCACCCATGGAAACATTACGTCTAGGTAAGTTCAGCACGTTGTAGTAAATATCTCATTGATCATCTTTTTCTCTGTCGTAGCATTTGAACAACTTTATGCGCTTGGTGCATTGAACCACAAAGTCGAATTAACAAAACTGGGTCGTCGTATGGCTGAATTCCCACTTGACCCAATGTTATCCAAAACGATTCTCGCTAGCGAAACATATAAATGTTCGGCAGAAATTCTAACGATTGTTTCTATGCTTTCGGTCAATAACTCAATATTTTTCCGTCCAAAAGACAAAATGCTTCTAGCTGATACTGCTCGTCAATCATTTTTCTCACCGGGTGGCGATCATCTGTCATTACTGAATGTTTACAACCAATGGAAAGATACAGATTATTCCACGCAGTGGTGCTTTGAGAATTTTATTCAATTTCGTTCGATGAACCGTGCTCGTCAAGTTCGCGATCAGCTCGAAGCTTTAATGGAACGTGTCGAAATCGATATCCAATCCAATCCAGCTGACACTGTCGGTATCCGAAAATCCATCTGTGCTGGATTTTTCTATCACACAGCGAAGTTTTCGAAGAATGGAATGTACAAGACAGTTCGTCATCAGCAAAGCGTCTTGATCCATCCAAATAGTTGCTTATTCGATCAAATTCCACGCTATGTTATCTACTTCGAACTCGTTCTTACCACAAAAGAATATATGAGACAGTTGATCGAAATTGAAAATGAATGGCTACGCGAAACGGCACCACATTTTTATAAGACGAAGAAGTTAGATGATGACGAAAGTGTGAAGAAGATGCCGAAAGTTATAGGCAAAACGAAAGCAGAACTTGAACGTAGATATGACTGATTGTTTCTTGTATATTTTTGTTTTTCAGATTGAAAACATAACTACTCATGATTTTTGATCGCTATTTGTTCTTATTTTGCTGTTTCATACGGGAAAATGTCTGCTCGAAAAAATGATCAAACTAATCATCTGTGTTTCAGATTCGTATATTTTAACTTAGAATCATGTCAGAACGGTACGGATTTTCGTTAACAACATTTAGTCCATCGGGTAAACTTGTTCAAATTGAATATGCACTCAATGCTGTCAATGCCGGTTCGCCAGCTGTCGGTATTAAAGCATCGAATGGTGTTGTATTAGCGACGGAAAAAAAGAGCAAATCTTTGTTACATGACGATCGAACAATTCATAAAGTAGAATCAATTTGTAAAAATATGGGTCTTGTCTATAGTGGCATGGGTCCTGATTATCGGTATGGAGAGGAAAGAGTACCTTTGTATGGGTTTAAGGAAGAATATTGTCTTTCAGATTACTTGTTCAAAAAGCACGTAAATTAGCTCAAGAATATATGCTTGTTTATGAACAGAATGTTCCACCTACACAATTAGTTAAGCGAGTAGCTGATGTCATGCAAGAATACACTCAATCGGGGTTTGTTTTTTCAATTTGCGATGAGTTGCGTCTAACCTTGGAATGAATTCTAGTGGTGTACGCCCATTTGGTGTATCGCTACTTATCTGTGGTTATGATTACGACGAAGATCGTCCATTTCTGTACCAATGTGATCCATCCGTAAGTTCAATTCTGGCTTCGATTAAAAATTATTTCATTATCGTATCGTAGGGTTCATATTTTCCATGGAAGGCGACGGCTATTGGCCGTAACTTTGTGAATGGTAAAACTTTTCTCGAAAAACGGTACTGCTCATCATGTTTTTATTGTTTACTAAACATACTATTATCTTGTGTATATAATAGATATTCTGATCAATTGGCACTCGAAGATGCAGTTCATACGGCTATCTTAACGCTCAAAGAATCATTCGAAGGACAAATGACTGAGGATAATATTGAAATCGGCATTTGTGATAAAGAAGGTTTCCGTCGTCTAACACCTGCCGAAGTCAAAGACTACTTGGCACAAATAGCTTAATTTATTTTAAACAAGTGGATCAAATATAGAACAATTGTATCAGCATGATCTCATTACTTTTCGTTTTATATTTGTTACACACATTTTCTTCTCTGCAAACACAGAATAAACATGAAGTTCCTTTTTCGTTCGTCTATCAGATTCAAACCATTGAAAGCAAATGTCTTGTACTCTATGCGTAGTTGAACAGAAAATTCTCGTTTGAAAAATACGCAGTCAGATGACCAGTCATAAGTTCGGTATTAACATTTCGATTCGTTCATTTTCGTTTTGGAACGAAACTTCACCTAAATTTGTATGGTAAGTTAGATATCTTTGTTTGATATCATTTTCGTAAGCAGTTATCTATCATCATAGCTACGACTAGTAACAAAGAGAGCCAATCGATTCTCTTCAGCTACTAATCATGATAAGTTTTCTTTTTTTCTAGCTTCTCTCATCATAGACGTGGTATATGGACGACTCTCGTGGTGGGGTCACATATGCTCGTGATCGCGTCGTTCTCTTTCCTATTCTTTCCTTTGCAGACCCCTCTACCAATAGATGTACGCATTGATCACGTCCTGTTCATATTCGTCTCTAGTAAGGGGTCATCTTACGGTCACGTCGTCGTACGCGAATATTTTCTTCATGTGCACAGTGGTGATCATCAAATAGTGTGCTTGCATTCGATTTTACTATTCTCGCATTTTTCTTCTGTTCATTTGCCTCGCGTTCACTTCGTACTACATACCACTTCCATATCGGTCATCGCGTCGTCGTTGTTGGATAGGGGTCCCTCATCGTTTTTTCGTATCACATCAACTTAGTTCACATATCATAAGTCGAGAGAACCATGGCTCACAAAAGTCCTCGATATTGTTTATATCGAGAGTTTGTCGATGCTTATATGAAAGGCCATCCGGATATGACTCGATGTGTAAGTACTTTTGAACCCATGGTTTCAGGCGAGTTTTCATCTATATTTTACTACTTAAGACATCGCATCATAGTGCACAGACTGAATGGAATGAAATAAAGAAAGACGAAGAGTTAGTTCGAAAGAAAATCACGGAATATCTTGACATCTGGAATAAGTCTGGTGCACCAGAGTTAACTACTGAAAAGAAGAAGGCAGCGTTCAAGGCAGATTCTACAAAGAGAAACGCTCGTAAACGTACACACTCATCTGAAGACGAAGATCCAAACTATGATCCAGACGTTGTTGAATCAGAAACACCAACATTCAGCAAACGAAACTCACAACCAATCGAAGAGATGGACGAAGAAACTTTAGCGAAGGAGAAGCCGTGGATCGCACGATCGAATGCCAAAGCCGCGAAAAAGAAAGCACAAGCGAAGGCTAAAGCCGAAAAAGAAGAAAGTGAAAAAATTCGAACACCTGCGCAAGAATCTGTTTTGAAAGATCTGAAAGAAATTTCTGAACGTATTGCCAATTTAATTCAAGTGAAAAGTATGGGTTTGTTGACAGCAGAAAATCAGAAGACATTGAAGAAATTGATCGAACAAAAGAAACAACGTACAACGGACCTGAAACGTCTTCAATCGAAACAACGTGCATCGACACGGTATCGAGAACGTAAGAAACGTCGCGTCGAACAGTTGTGTGCGGCTAATCCAGAAGTTGCTGCTGAACTTTCGAAAATCTTTCGACCATCGACAATGAGAATGCAAATCGAAGATGATTGCCCGGATCTCTTACAAATTATTGCCGAAATTGCACGTGTTGGCGGAGCATCGGATAACAAGGGCAAAACATGTTTATCGTTGGATGATCTCAAAGATAAAATCAAAGAACGTGGCTATGAAATTCGCAAAGCATCACTCTACTACCGGTACGTATCACGAGTAAATAAAAATAGCGTTTGACATTCGTTCCTCTACTAATTTAGTCTTATGCCAAATCGTTCATTGTCTCATGACGGAAAGAAACATGTCGTTACCGTTCCTGTTCGACTTCGCCGATTACAAGGAATTCAACCCGCTGTGAAACATGAAGGTCTGTTTGCAAATCTTTCTTGTTTCGAAAGAAAATGTTGACTTTCGTTTGCTTGTATAGATTCTCATTTTACTTCGGCTTCGTTACGACATATCAAAGATCTAGCTGGTATCTTCGGCAATGACTGTGTGTTCTACTTAACGCAAGATACTAAAGCTAAAGTCAAAATCGGACGACCGGCAGCAAAAGGTCAAGCACCGCTTATCATGCATATGGATTATGAAATAAGTTCAGTTGAATCATCGATGACATCAATCGGCAATAGTCGCCATCAATTTACGCCATGGTAAGCAGTCTGTTTCGTGTTTGTTCAATCCGGTTTTATCATCCTTTGTGATTAGTGTCTATGCAGCATCACTTATCGATGAGACCGGTTTAGTTGGTTACGTTGGTCCTACATATGTTACCATTCGTTCGGCTAAACATGATCGAATCACTCATGATAGCCATTTGCTTGATTTCGATCGATTAATTCAATTAAAGGAATTCGAAAAATTTGCACGTGATCATCTCGGCCGTGTCAAACCAATTGTTGTCATTAATGTTGATGCAAGCAACACGGAAAATAACACACGTTATCTCAGAACACTAGCAGCAGCAATTGAGAAATTCAAGAAAAACAATTTAGATGCGCTCTTTATTCTCAACCAAGCACCAGGTCAAGCGTTGTTCAATGTCGTAGAACGACGTTTATCACCATTATCACATGATTTAGCTGGTCTTATTCTTCCACACGATCATTTTGGTACACATCTGAATGATTCGGGTGTAACTGAACATGCCGAATTAGAAAAGAACAATTTCAAACAAACTGCAGATGTTCTAGCGGAAGTCTGGAGCATGAATGTACTTGATGAATATCCTGTGGTCGCGGAATATATCAATCCATCGCCATTAGTTGATGAACAACTGAAAATGGCTGATAGTACACTAGCTCTAGATGGTATCATTGATCGGTAAGTGAAAGACAAGGAGGAAGTAGCTGATCATTTGTATATTTTTGTAGAATTTGTGCGGAAGAAGAAGAGGAAGCACCACTTGATCAACGTGCCAGTCAAGCTCGGCCGACTCCGACAATTTCAACAGAAGAAATCAAGACCGAATACGACATTGATGAGTAAGAATTTCTGTATTTGCTTAAGATGAGCTGACTGAAGAGCACTAACTTTTCTCCTTAGATATTGGTGTGCAACTCATGTTCTCCAAACTCAATACACAATTCAAATCATTCGTTGCAATAATCCATCCTGTTGTACACCATGGCGTTCAAACTATATTCAAGTATTTCCTCATCGTTTCCTTCCACCACCTGTACCATTCAATCGATCATCACGTGGCGTTAAAATGGCTGAGATTGAATCGTCGTCTGCCGCAACTAATCCTGTTTCACCATTTTACGGCAATCTTTTTCAACGTATACAATTTCATGGTATTGTTATCAATCGTACACACAACGAGCTTCTGCCATTTGACGCTTGTTGTCCATCGTTACAAACAAAATTACCTACACGTGTTTGTTCGATCTGCAAACAATATATACCATCAGCATTACGTTTACGAAATCATTATAAAATTCATCAACAACAATATGCATCGAATTTCTTGGATTATAACAATAATAAAGAAGAAGATTGTCTTGAAGATGATGATTTACATGATCCATACGAAATGTCTATGGTACAAATAAAACCAACACAAAATAGTGTTTGCCTCTTCACTGATATGATCGATTGGTTAAGATCTGATTTTGAAGACGATCCAGTTGTGGATGTCAAAGCAAAATCAACCGCAGCGACAGCATCAGCTATGATCCGAAAGGATAAACAAATGCAAGCCGCCGCCGCCGCCGCCGCTGCTGCTGCTGTTCAATCAACAACCATCACAGCAACAGCGGCAACTGCTATTCAAGAAGAACAAGGCATGACGATGACAACCCGAAGTAGAACTGTTACCAGAGAACAAGTGACAACAGTAACAAGTGGTGACACACAAATATCGACGACTACAATGACAACTGAAACCCAATATCTAAATGAAACCCAAACAGAAAACGGTAGCATGTTAGATGCTTTGGAACAATTAGGTGTGGGCGATGATGGCACGAGTTCAATTGGAAATGGTCCAAGTCAACAAAGTTGGGATGATCTTGACGACCTTATCGACAAGATTTAAGTGTGTGTGCGTGTTTTGTAAAAATGAAAACTTTTAATCATTTTTAATCATATTCTAGTGTTTAGTCATATGTATCGTGAGTGCGTCTTTTGTCTCACCGGTACACTGTTGTTTGTAGTGAATTTTTCTTGTTTCTATTGTGAATAAAAAGTTCCGAGAAAAACAATTAATTTCTATCATACTGTAAAATTCATCTTACATCTGATAACGAGATTAATTTTTACAGATGTCATCGTTCTCTAAAAATACGATTAAGTCTTCCTACACAAACTAAAAACGCATTATAGCATCATTAATATATTTTGTCAGTTCATTTCGAGCATTCAGTTATCTTATAATGATATATTCTTATATATTTGACATGTTAATTTATTATACATGAATAGTGCCCTACTATTTCCAGCATTCTCTATACTTAGTTCACATACAAATTAACAAGAAATATGCCTTTGCCAAGTAATCCATCAAAATGTAGTCAATCAAGAGAGTACATCTTTTTCCTGGATGTATATATACGATACTTCGTAGATGACGCATGATAAGTAACATTGAAATCAGAGTTACCAGCTTACATGACGTTTGCATCATGGTTTTGCAACTAGCGTGTTTTCCACTCATATCTCAATCTTATATTAAGCAGTATAAATTGTAGAGAAAAGATTTACAATACACGTGTCAGGGCACGTGCGCGCTTTCAGTTGTCAATCAAGTGAATCTTGAAGTATTATTAAACAATTATATAATCAAATGTACTGTATGGAATTTATTGTAACAGAATTAAATCATGCAGAAAAGTATTTCATAACGAGAAATGTATATTTTATATACAAAGAATTTCAATCAATTAATGATAGTTTTGATAGATTGATCTCGATCAAAAGCGAGAACCAGTTGTTGCGTTCTTATTTGATGTATTATGTAGAGAAGGTGGAGCAGCACTTTCGCCTCGTAGCACCGGCTCAAGAAATGAAAAATCCATAGGTTCGATAATTTCAGGTGGACGACTATAAATTTCCAATGAATTGAATAATTCTGTTACTGGTAATGATTTCGTATCAGTTAATGGTCTCTCTGAAGTTGATCGTTGTTCATGTGTCGACAAAGAGGTCGATGGCGATGGACTTCGATGCCGATGTCGCGACATTGAACTTCGCCTTGATGACGATAAGGGTAAAATGACTGGCGGGCGATTATCAGGTTCTTCAAGCACAATTTGTACAAATGATTCAATGGGATCTTCGACTGTTTGAGTGATTGCATCGATAGGAGTCATCAAATCAAACGGAATCGTTGGTGCTGACGGCGCTGACGGTACGCGCCCATCGTAAATAGTTACTGTACGTTTTTGTTCTTCGTACGATATATTTGATATTGATGAATCGTTGGAATTGGCAGCTCCTGGAAACAAATAGAGTGAGCCACTGTTGCCAGTTGCCGACAGTTGAATGGTTGGATCGGGTTCACCGCAGTATGAAGCTCGTCGTACAGACCCAAAAAGACATTGAAATGTGGTGGAAGCCGTACGCATCATCGAACTTGTCGAATCCAGAAGCATGGATAGAGAAGAATTCTTTTGCTTTAACATGCACGATTCACTCCCACCGAATTCGTCTGGATAATGTATGTTGTAATTGGGTAAACGAAGTAATGGGGTGTCGGATAAACGACGTTGATCCGCCTAAATAATTGAAAAATATATTCATTTCTTAATACGCAATGACATTCTCATTCTTAAGCCTCTTAAGAGCAAAATGTCGGAATAAACTTCTTCTCACTTTCATTCAGCACACGTGTATTAGTATTATCGATTATTCATTTCTGAACGAGCCATATATCATGTATTCAAGTGAGACAACTGCCATGCGAACGAATATATTCTCACATTGTTGATATGATACTTTAATCAGATAAATAGACTTCTATACTTACATTAAGATAATTAATATGTCCCGAAGCATCTGTTGTATGGAGAAAGTCAGCATATGCAGACAGTCTTCGTTGATCCGTTGCAAGAGAATTATTCATGTTGCTTTTCTCTTTTGAACTAATACTGATGTGCGTGTTTAGGAAAGATTGTTGTCGAAAAACTTATTTGCAATATCCTGTTTTATATAGTTGAGAATAGCTATTTTTGTATCCGATGTTGTTATTTCGTGGTTTCGATGAAAAGAGAAGAGCATGCGCACAGGAACAGATGAATGAAAAACAACAAAACTCGATCTAATCATTTTTTTCGCCTATTTTCTTCTATTCCTCTTCAGAACAGACAGTTCCTTTTTTTTTCCTTCGCATGTTTCACACCATCTCACTTTGGAATGAAATATAATGAGAAAAAGTATAACACTGAACGAGAATTCTATATTTGTATTTATAAGTGTCAATTTTATGAACACAACATAGGCTTTTGATCTTTGTATACGAAAATGTTGATATATTCTTCTCACTAACAAAAAGAAACTTGTTAGTCTTTTCCCTTCTTCTACTAATTATTAGACACTTTCTGTGCAGATATCTTGTTTAGTCGGCAGTTTATTGCAATAAACCGTCGTTTATAGGAAATAACATGTCAGTATCTGTGCCATACATGACTTTTTTTCTATAAATAGATAATTAAACTAGAAAAAAATATATGATGCTATGACTAGTAGCTTTTTTTTCGAGATTATTCTGATATATGACATGTCAATCAATCATAATTATTCTTTTTTGAGAGTGGACGATAAATTTTAGTATGATCGAGTAGATCACGTGAAAAAAAATAACAACTTAATTTAACTTGTCGTTAGTTTGAATTGAAGATCATCCATCTGGATGAACATGATAATAACGAACTCTGTGAGGCCGTTCGTCGACTAGGAATATTTGACAATGTTAACTAATTGCCACCTTAATAAGTCAATTATTTACGAGCACAATTCTTTGTTGCCGTTTGAAGACAAAGAACATCTATTTTCTCTTAACGATCGTCTCGTTTCCTTAGGAGAAGTTTGGAAGAAATGCTTTCGTTATTGAACATACCTGATTATCAGAAGAAAAGGCGACGTTCGGTGTTGATTTGTAGTGAGCATTGTTGATTGAATTTGTTGGAGATAAAGTTTGATGGTGAAATTGTTGTTCATACGGATTCGGTGGTATTAAAGATGCATTACTATAAGTAAACATTTGTGTTTTTCTTCTTCTTTGTCACACACTCAAGAATCGTAAATGATAGAAGACCAATGTTGTCTACAAGAGATATTAAACGGAAAGTAACGAACTAATGGTTAAAAAAATATATAAATGAATGTAAGAGTATTTCTACGAAATCCTCTTGTTGATGTTGCCTATTAGATGACTAGGAATATTTCTATACGAAACTCATCATTATATTGTATTGCCTCATTTCTTACTTATAATTGTGCATCAGATTACGATGAATGTCTCGTTTTCAAAGCTTGTAGAATACAAACTAGACACATGTCGATGAAGAGAAAAGAAGGAGAGGGTGCATGATTAAGAGTTTTTCCACAACGTGTCGTCCTTTTTGTCTCTCTTATTATTTTTATATGAAGTTCTTTACCTTTTCTCTTTTTTTCATCTCGTCCTACTCTTGACAAGTTAACTAATGAATCGATCCTATACGATTGTTTTCGGAAACGTTCTAATGAGCTGTCAAAAATACAAATATGCTCTCCTGAAAAAGTAAACGTCAAAGTCATTTAAAGACAAAGTCTTATTAAAATAAAGTCTTTTATATTCACTCCGATGCACGCGTGTGTTCATTTGACGACTAAGAAAAGGAAAAAATAACAAAGACTAATAGATCTAGACCGAGCAAGAGGGAAATACACTCGTCTATTATTAAATGTAATTATTCTCAAATGAACTATTCGGCGAGATCAACTATTAAGTGCAAAGAACGGTTCTTCTAGAATTGTTTCTATTGGCAAAAAACTCCTCGCAAGTAGTCTTAAGAAAATATCATAATCCCTTTGGATAGTATTCTTTTGGAACAGCATGACACTCGACGTTTTTGACAGACATCTTTTCACTAGATAAAACTGCTGTAGTAAAACGAGAATTAGCCCTTTTATTTCGAAAACAAAGCAGAATATTATGTTCTTAATGAGATTGAACTGAATTTGAGCTTTTTCGCGTGAAAAATCCGTTTGAACAACCGACCAAGAAAAGTTTTTTTAAACTTATGCATGTAGCCCTTGGAAGGATAGATATAGATAAAAAATGTTATCGTTGGTGGTAAATAAACCAGAATATTAAATGAAATGTGCATGCGGAGTAGAAATGTATCACGAGCATCTTCACAAATGTCTTTTAAGTGAAGAATTAGATACGGAAAGTTCGATAGAACAATAACGAATGAAGGAACAAAGAAATGTTTTCGTTTGATACATTCATTAATCAATACTCGAAAATAATCTTCACGATCATAAAGAAGTAGAATCCGTCGTGTCATACTATTGAGAATACACACCGTGACACAAAATTGTATGGTACATGGTATAACAATATGGCATGTGCGGAGTACTTTATCGATAATATCTAACGGTAATGAATAGATAAATATGCAAGAATATTTATACGAGTTCGATGGATTGGGTAATGGTCTTCAAGCGATAATTTCATGAAGATGTGAACCGATATTGATGATAAAACAAATGATCGACGACAGAATAGAAAACCGCCGTGTACGATAAATGCTCAAGTTAAAACATTCTAAAAGAACAAATTCTATTGCTAATAATGTACTTAACCACATGCAAATATCACCACCGACAATAACTAAAACCGGTATAATATTACATGCTATGTACCGATACGAATATGCTTGTATTACATGATCGAATTCTAACATAGTCAACGTCCGTATTTCCATGCCAATCATTGTGATTACACCCATAAAGCAATAGAAGATTTGGAAGATACCACAATTAGTTAAGCGTATATCATGCAAAAAGAATGTTTGTAAACAAGCGAGATTATTTATAATAGACACCATTACCATCAGAGCAATTGTAAATGTGTAAGCAAATGCGATGAAATTATATTTCGACGTTGCCGATACTCTCTGACTATCATAGTACATGGCATATGTTAAGGAAAACTTAATTACATTCATACTTATATCACACGATGGTCCTATATAACATGGGGGACATAAACATGTGTTATTGAATAAACATCTACCACCATTTTCACAGTCGATGGTGCATGTCATCTTGTCAGACATATCAAACTTCGAAGTGAAATTTTTTTATTCGTCATAGTATAATGATATTTGTGTAGACATAAATCGTTTTGTAGAGAGTAAATGGTACACCGATCCTGAATATTAGGGTGTAATCAAGAGCGAAAAAGAAAAATATGATTTTATTTCGTATAAGAAATATCAATGTTGACAGAAGTTCCATAAATAAAAACAACTGGAGAGTTAAATACAAACGCTATAGCTACTGAAATCAAAGTGAAAGAAATTTGGGTAAAGTTCAGTGTAGTACACGTTCATATTGCTCGAAATAAATAAATTCATTGTAGCAGAATTAGCATATATCTTTCTATTCAAATTACCTCTCTTTTAATTAAATGAATACGCAATAGTTATTTATTCTGTCGTAGCATTCGGTAGCAAATACATATTTACAAATCGAATAAATATTGGCATTATGCCATGACAAGTGTCTGCTAATATACACAATGAAAAGGAGTTTCAAGTATGACTGATCTGAATATACACGATCGAGAGAAAATAAATCGCTGCTATTCCTCTAGAAGGAAAAAGTTTATTGCCGTTTTTGTTGGAATGAAAATGATTCGAGTAGATGAATGATAATTTGTCAGACATGTTTCGAGATGATTGAAAAACATGAAAATGAAAGACAAGCGGTTTTTCTCCTAGCTAAGCCAGAAATTGTCCTGAAAACATGTTTCTTAAATATAATCACTGTCGACATTCGATCGTTATTTTTTCTTTCCTTTCCGTTCATTCTCCATTGAAGCATATGATCTTCAGAAAATGAAATTTCCTTGCAAAGTTTGTGCTCAGATTGTTCGAGACGCAGAGAAAAAAAAATCAATATTTCTCTTATGAAAACAAAATGTACACTTACTATTAAGTAATGGCTTTTTATATCTGAAGCAAATGTAAAACTAGTGCTTCTTATTTTTGTATTTTTGTCTTTTACTTCGTCATCGTCAATTGTAAACAACGGAGAAAAATTTTTTATTCCTTTCTTTTTTCAAAAGCAAAGTTTTTTGCTTTATTTATTCAAATAGACAAGAGAAAACACTTTGAATACCTCCACATCGCCCATCATCAATTCGGTTTGTATATTAGAAGAGCTTTTTTTCTTCTTTTGAGTTTAATCAAAAACTACAATGGAAATTCTTATTAGAAGAAAGTCAACAAAAGAAGAAAATAACAATCTTTTGCGAGACAATCACAGCAGTTCAAGCGAAAAGACGTCGAGAAAGCCAGGTAAGAACAAAGAAATCTTTTAAAACTACATGCTCATAATGTTGTTCTTTTGTTGAGTCAATACATGAGAGGACAAAAACTTGTAGTTTCTTGTTGTTTCATACAGACATTTGCATAGAAAAACACAGAACAGGTAATGTATGGCATTAATGTATGAAAAAAAAAGGAATTTTTTTTTCTTCTGCATCATCCTCAAAACGGCATCGTGGCGTTAGACGAATTCCAGTGTACATAAGAGTCAATGCGTAAAGAATTCAGATCATGCACTTTGACCAGTTTTTTTTTCTTTTGCTTGTCTGAAGGTGTAGAATAAGCTTATTTGTGATGCTTTCTTTCAATAAATACTTGAGAAACTGCAATAGACTAGGCTGATCGACAGATTCTTCTTTCAACATTTTCCATTAGCAGAGAGAAAGTACGCATGAGTATAAACTTCTGAACTATGTTTAACAGCAATTTGTTTTGACGTCATGAGTCGAATCTTTTGTCTTCTTTTTTTTTCTGTACCAGATTTACTATTCTATCTGTAAGTTTGACTACATCTTGTTCGATCCCCAAATGAGACTCGTTCAAGTGCTGTCTACTGCTCCATACTTATGTAGGACAACGTCAACTATCCCAGTTTTGCTGATAACGATGACAACGGAAGGAAGGAAGGACGGAAATTTCGGTCCCATCACATTGTCGTCTTCACTTCTTAAACGTGTGGCAAACTACATTATTTCCTGAGATGCGTGCATGCATATGCGAGCAGGAGACTATTGTATCATAGGGATCGATTAATTAGTTAATCAATTTTTTTTGCTTTTCGTTTTGTAGATTTACTTGAGTCTTCGTCGATACTCAATGACAACATCAAGTTTATCTAACTATCAGCTGAGATCAGCAGCGAGCAATGCCAGTCAGACATCGGAATCATCGTCTGCAAATAATAATTCAACTGAAAGCGAGACAGTCTTAGTTGCGAGTAGACTCAGTCATATCAGCTTGGCTGAGCGCGGAGAACGACAACAAGCACTTGATCGGCTGGAAATTTTGAAAACGGTAAGGCAACTTAACGAACATCATAATATCTCTTACTTGATTAAAAAATAAATCCAACTGAGTGACCGAGTTCTCATTCTATCGAATGACAGAAAAGTTGATTAGTAAATTTTCTGCGAGTGTTAGTATGAATACCTTCAGATATATTTAACATGTCGTTTTTATATGTAGGTAGGCACAGGCTCCTACGGGCGTGTACTTGTAGTTCGTGATCGAGATACATTGGTATACTTTGCACTAAAAGTCTTCTCAATCAATCATGTCGTCGAACAACGACAGGTAAAGTTCAACTGGATAGAAAACGGTCAATCCTGTGTTTCTTAACTTTAGACAGAACATGTCAAAAGCGAGAAAGATATTCTCTCAGTGATCTCTCATCCATTCATTGTTCAACTTCATTGGACACACCACTCGGATCAATTTCTGTACATGTTATTAGATTATGTTCCCGGCGGAGAATTATTCAGTTATATGAGACGAAAAGTTACGTTCGATTTGAAATCTGCATTATTCTATATCTGTGAAATTATTCTTGCCTTTGAATATCTTCATTCGTTGCAAATCATCTATCGTGAGTATCGAGAAGATGCATTTGATATGTTTAATGTGTGTTCTTGTGTTTAATAGGTGATTTGAAACCAGAGAATGTTCTTTTGGATGCCGAAGGTCATGTTAAACTTGTGGATTTCGGTAAATAGCAAAACCGTTGTAAAAATCGATCTGGACCATTCGATTTTTTCTTAGGTTTTGCTAAGAAAATCCAGAATAAAACATTTACCACATGTGGCACGCCGGACTATCTCAGTCCAGAATTATTCAAAGGCACAGGGCATAATAAGAGTACAGATTGGTGGAGTTTAGGTATATTACTATTTGAAATGTTAACGGGAGGTATGAACAGAGGAATTTTCTTATGAAAAATTTCAGCTTTTCATTTTGCGATCCTAGCAACGCCGTTCAATCCTAATCAGAATAACAATGAAATCTATCCACGTGTTTTAGCCGGTAAAATCGTTTGGCCACGCACGATTGATGAGCCGACGAAAGCATTTATCAAGAAACTACTCACTCAGAACAGCGAGAAACGTCTTGGTTCAGGTCGGAATGGTTCACGCGAAGTGAAAGAACAACCAATTTTTGCATCTATCAAATGGGATGATGTCTATGCTAGAAAATTGAAACCACCAATTGTACCATCGGTTACACATCCAGGTGACACGTCGTGCTTCGATAATTATGAAGAAGATTGGCGATCTGCACCGTTTGCTTCGGATAGAGAACTGGCCTTGTTTTCCAATTTTTAAAAGAACGAAAACAAACATCGTATTTTGTATATGTTATACGTATTAAACGTATGGAGATTTAGTCAATGACTGAAGAATTTAACTGCGACTTTCTTTTTTCAGCTATTTGTACAAATAAAAAATATGATCACATAATGAGTATGTTAATGACCTTGCTAGTTTAACGAATGATTCTCTACAAGTATTGTATGCTCCTCAATGCTATGCTTATTCGTTCAGTCAGACCGACGTTTCTGAAGTTCCTTGTTTGCATCTTAATCTTCTTAAAAGATTTGTCATGTGCAGGCTAATTCCTAGTTTTTCTTCGTGTTTTGACAGATCGATTCACATTCAGCTCGACATAGTTGCTTCTATTCCAGAAAGGAACTGATTTCCATATGCGGAAATGCTATGAACTCTGCTTTACATATACGCATCTAGAACGGACACACTGGCAAGATCCTTTTTTATTGGTGTGCAAACGACACTAATAAAGAGCTAATAGATGCCTCTATAAGACTTAGTGGGAAGTCTTCTCTTAGAAAATGTTATATATTTTTCTGAAGATGTTGTCTATGACTTCGATCTGTGCTTGGTTTGTTTCAAAAAGCAATAGGATAGGCAACATGCGATCAGTGAATAACCATTCGAGATAGATGTCGTAGCAGAAATCTCCTATTCTATTTTATTATTAACCAATCCATTCGATGTTGTTGATTACGTTCTGTTCTGTTCTGTTTACGTTTTTACTACCCGTCATCGGCAATGTACTTTTTTATCCCTGAGATTCCCATTGATATTGTACTACGACATAATTTCTTAAATTTTAGAACAAAGAATGAGTTCTGACGAGATCCTCGGCACAGACGAGGCCGATGATACTGCGCTATTGTCTCCTACTCCTACAACGACACTCGAATACAGTCGAACAGTATCACAAGATCTAAGATATTTGGACGATGGTTTAACGCACGCCATCGATCAATTGACAACATTCAATAGTGAAACCATGTCCGATCTTTCGCTAAAATACGAATTAATGCGTAACAATGAAGTAAAAATAACTAGGAAAATCATCCTTTCGCTAGCTCATTTGCATATTTTCTTGTGTAGAGTCGTGTTATTGGCTTTTTCGCTCGTCAGTTAATGGTATTGCAAAGACAAAAATTGAATGGTCAAAATGGTGGATTTCACAGCGAATACTCCAAACTAGACCGTTTCCTCTCTGTTTTAAATATGAATAGAAAATCTATTGAAGTATGTTTTTTGACATATTTTCTTCGTTAAATCCATTCTTTTTTTTTTCTTTTTCAAGTACATCGCACAACGAATTACATTTGATGATTTACTGAATAGCAAAGTAACAGTACGAGAACAGATTCTATATGATGCCGGCACAATCGAACCTGAACGAACAGATTTTCGTAATGCTCTCAATGCATTGAAAGATTGCATTGGTAAATGATTTCTTTGTCGTGAAATCCCATGAAGACTCATTCGTTTGAATAGATTATTTTTCTCACGGTGGTACAAATGATAATGGACGTTTTTACTGGCATAAAGAAATGCCAGCGACGCCATCAGTTCGCCAACATCGTCTGTCAGATACTGGTAAAGAAAACTTAAGTACACGCTAGAACTGTTTCGCACTCCGGCGATCGTTTAGCTCTTCCAACTCCACCAATAACTGAACCAATAAGATCAACATCTGTGTCTTCCTCGATCTCAACAGAATTCACGAATCCAAATCAATCACACCATCATAATCAAGTACCGATACCATCGTCGCCTCAAACTCGACGAAACAACGGTGAATACAAGTTGAAAGAGTGATAAAAAATATTTGACCTTGTCAATATTTTTAGTCTCGCATACGCCGCCACCATCACGTTTGAATCATTTATGTGTTAATGGAAAGGGAAGATGTGAACATCCGAGTAAGAAAAGCTCAGCTCATCCATCAATTTTTAATACGTATGTGTATAATAATTCTCTATTAACATTTAACTCTTAAAAGTTGACCGTTCGATTTTCTTTTTCTTTTAGAATAAATTTTTCTCACAATATAGATTTACAACTACCTACTGATGATAATTCATCTCGTCGAAGTTCATACGGGTCAGATTCGGAGAGTCGTCTAGCGTCTGGTAAGTGCATAACGGACTAATTCAACGACGAAGAAGATCGTTTCGTACAAAGAATAAAATTCTCTATGCATGAAGTGTATTTGGCGAGCAGTGCAACATTGTGGATTTATCTTTTATTTGTATAGAATTTGAGCACAGTCTTGAGAATGAAATAATCAATCAAGCGGATCCATTGGCTGCGCGTAAGATTGCTCTAGTAACATATAAATATCCATCGCAGTCTAATACATCATCGTCATCTATTAACAAACAACGAAATGTGACTGAAATGTCACCACAAACCAATTCGCCGCTTGACGATAGTAAATCTCCATCGACATCAAGAAAAAACTTTCGGTGGAACCATAAATCAGCTTCAAAGGATGGTTAGATTTGTATAGAATATTGCTTGGCTAGGATGTGATTGATATATGCTGCTATTGCTATTGATTGATTGACTGACTGACATGCAGTGGAATACATACAGTTGTTCTTAACTTTGGCTGTATGTTTAGGTTCAGCAACACCCAAATCGCCGACAATTCGTTCACCTACGATGTCAGGTTCGCCCTTTGGATCAGCGCAAAATAGTGATGCAGAAAACGATACTCGAATACCAGGTTCATAGGCTATTGGTGGTTTTCTTTATTTAAAACTTCATCTTCTTAGATGCCTCTATCAATAATACACCTCTATCATTTCTGGGACATCGGATGGCGCACAAAATTCAGCACAAGTTCGTACTCAATAGTTTGATATTTAGCTTATATTCACGCTTCTGCTTTTGTCGTTGATATAACATTTCCATCATTTTGTTGGTGTGCTTCTCCTTCTTCTTCTTCTTCTTTGTTGTTGTTGTTGTCGTACCTTCTCGTCTTAGAAAATAATAATTATTTAATTGGATGTTGTTCGACGTCGTGGCCATAGTTCATGTTCATCTAACTAAATCCTAGCAACAATCATTTCTTTTTCTCTCAGGTGGAGTAATCTCATAAAATTATCGACGTGTAATGTATGCGCGAAAAAGATGTTCTTTCTCGGTATCAAGTGCAATCTTTGCAAGTAAGAACTATTGGTATTTGTATCTTATTTCTGAAGGATGTACATCTGATTTTCTCTATATTCGCTGACTTTCGACTACCGGTATCTTTGCTTGAACTGCGCGCGCTCATCTGCGCTCTTCTTGTTGTCGTCATTGACGAAAAAGAAACAAAACGAATTATTTATTCATCTTTCTAGGTTTGATAGAACACGTGTATTCAAATTTTCCTTTTGTGACGTCTGTAGGAAACAGGTGTTTCGAGGAAAAGCATGTCTTCATTGCAAGTAAGACACTAGGAGAATGCAGCTTGCAAATGGAATTCAATTGACATAGAACAGATTTCAACCATTCTTGCATGATTCTCTTTCGACTGAATTGAATTGCTCTATTATTAATCTTGTCTTACATACATTTGATATTGATCTGTTATTTTTCTTTTCTACAAGATACAAATGTCACAAGGAATGCGTGCCAAATGCTCCACCTAACTGTGGTCTTAGTGAAGTGAAGTTGAGACGAGTTATTGACAATACTGATATTCAAACTGCACTTGGTAAGCGATGGATTGACATCCATCGACTCATATGTTCCATATTTCCTCTTGTTTTAGCTAATTCCAGCCCACTATCACGAAAATATCCTTCTCCACGTATGTATTGACTGAAACCTTATGTATAGGATGTTGATTTTCGTTAAAAATAAATTTAGCATGGGATAATGCAAGCCCATCACCATCGGCTTCCGCATCGGTACCAGGTTCTCCAGCTATGCACAATCAAATGCCTGGATACCATTTTACTCCATCCATTACTGTTCGTGAATCGATTTATTCTAGTAAGTCAAAGTTATTGGTCAGTTTGGAATTTCTGAATTGAAAAGAGTTCCATCGAGACAAAGGGAATCCATTCGAGACTGATACCAAAACGTGTGAATTGTAATTCTTTTCTCTTTAGCTCAAAATGATCCGGATAGTTGGGTCGTTATAGAAACTACTCCTAAATCTACACCAGGTAGGTAGTTTGAAAAAAGAATTATATGGTTGTGGGATGAAAATGTTGTTTTTTTTACATCGATGTTGTCAGTACATTTATTTGTTTCCGAAAAAAAAGAGAAAACTATGCATGTAATTAATTGGCTTTTGATGTGGTGAACTGTTAGAAGAGGATTTTTTACAAGAAGGATCGGTTATTATTATACACTCTGCTTTTTTTTTCTAGAAATTCCGGAATCTCAATCTGATAGTGATACTAAGTATGTTTAAGGACAGGAGATTGTCTGTCTTGTTCAAGTTCTCATCTCTAGTTCAACAATTCAAACGGAAACAGGAACAAATCTCATTGATTCAAGCGCGACAACTACATCAAGCAAACTTGTACGACAACCATCTCAGGTAGCCCATCCTTTACATCGGAGGATCGGAATGAAGATGTTCTGTGTTCTAGAGTGAACCATTAACACATCCTCGACGTGAAGATCTTGCTAAATCAAAACTATTCGATATCAATTCGTTCGATGACGATGAAGTCGATCAAGAAAAACGAAATGCTAATGTAAATATGATTTTCTTTTTTGACGAAGTGAAAATATCTTGTTTTTAGCTGGCAACTTCTATACAAGATTGGGTAATTGTTTTTAATAACATAAAAATAATCGAAGAATTGCCACGTTCATCTGGAACATTGATGAAGTATGATGAACTTTGAAATTCAATTCAATGTACAGGAAACATCGTTCTTATAGAGCTCACTGGCACGGCGAAATAGCAGTTCGAATGATTAAACCCAGTTCTAAAACTAATCAAGTCGATTTTCTCAATCAATTCAAAAATCAAGTACGAATCCGAAAAGATTTCACAATTGATATCCACCATACATATATTTTCATAGGTATTTCGTTTACGAAAAGTTCGACATGAACACTTAAATTTATACACTGGTGTTTGCAGTAAGTCTTTACTTCAAACATTTTCTCTCATGATGATACAATTTCATTTAGTTGAAAGTCCAAATCTCGCTATCGTGTCAAAGTAAGCTTTTTCTTTGTCTTAAAATTCTTTCGAATAACATGCGTTATCTTTTCTAGTTGGATTCGTGGTCCGAACCTATTCGAAATGATTCACATTCGCAATGATTCAATCCCATTAAATGTTGCTGTTCAGTATGCTGCCCAAATCGCTCAAGCAATGAGCTATCTACATGAAAAGTCTATTAACCACATGTCTCTCCGAACAACCAATATTTTTGTACAAAACACTCGGATTATTCTAACTGATTATGGTCTCGTCCCACTAAGTAAATGCTATCGGTTTAATGATCAACCAGCGATCATCGCGCCACGTGGATGGTTAAGTTACTTAGCGCCTGAAATCATCCGAAAACTGGATCCACGTGATGAACAGTCGTTCTTGCAATTCACACCACAAACCGATGTTTATGCATTCGGGTGAGAACCGATCGATAAATGCTAAACTTTTTTTTTGTATTCTATGGATCATTTTCTAGCACTGTTTGGTATGAACTTCTATTTCGGGAATTTCCATATGCTAAACAACCAGCGGAATATATTATTTGGCGAGCAGGAAATTCACTCAAACAGCCATTAAGTAGCGTACATATCAGTAAATACGCTAAAGTAAGAAGAAAAACGATTCATACGATGTTTGGACATTAATAACTTTGTTTAGGATATCATTAATCAATGTTGGTCATTTGTTCCTGATGATCGACCTGATTTCGCAATGTTATGTAAATCATTGAGTAAAATGCCGGGCAAACGACCATTAGTGCGATCGCCCTCAACACCTCTTCAGTACAATACTCGACCTCACGTAGAAGCACAATTTTAAATCGAATCCTCAATTTATTATAGCCATGAAAATTTCTGCATTCCTCTCCTGATCACAGGGATCTATTCTTGTACATCATACCTCATTCAAAAAAAAAGAAGGTATTCATAGCGTGCAATAAATGAGAAAAAAGACCGTATAAAAAAAAACATGATGAATCAAAATTATTCATACCTATTTTTTCTTCTTCTCTTTCTTTCCAATGTGTTCTCTCTTTTCTTATGAGCTGATAAATTTCGATGTCTTCACTCCCCGTTGTGAATAATCAGTGACAGTTTCTTTCCCCCTTAGTTATTTTCTACGCACGCAATTTCTAGAAGATCAAACTATTCAATACGAGCCAGTATTCAACTAAAACAGTGTATATACATATATCTAAACATCTGAATATATTTATTATGATGAGCCATTCTTCCTTCAGTACCTCTGTTCGTTATTTGTCTTCGAAATCTTGTTATTTATATGAATGTCTTCTATGAGTACAACTCATTTTTCTAATCAAATCGTCTTTGATGTATTTTTGTTTTGTTTTCGTATTCTATTTTCGTTTTATCATTTAACTCAACAATATATCGGATCAATGTGATCAATATCATGTCAATCTAACATTTATTCATAACAGAAGAAGATTACTGATTAAAATAAGGCATCTCAGGATAGAGTGATGATCGTTGTTGTTTGTTAGTAGTCGGAATTTCTCCATCAGCCGGACGAAAAACACGTTCGAAGAGAAATTCTTTAAATCGTCTGGCATAAAAATCTGCTTCAACTATTGAACGCTCATCGACAACATCACGATTTTCAACTGTTTGATATTGTCGTTGCATTACTTTGCAAATGTCAAATCTGTATGAAATGCAAATAAGATTAGATCAAAAGTGAATGTAATCACTTACGTTTGTAAAATATCGATAATTCCCAGGAAAAGAAGTAAACGTTCACCTTTACCATTTATTGCTGGTATACCTCTATTAAACGTCAGGATGAACTTATGATTTGTACTACAGATCAGAAAGTCTTACCCGAATTCTTTTGCGTATGCTACATCGAATGTTGGAATTTCCTCGTACAGAAATCCTAATGCTTCATTTGGTTTCTTCAATTTACAGAGATCTTTTGCTTCAAAGGATGGCCTTCTCTTATTTTCTGCACGCTGTTCTGTCATACCAACAAGCAACGAATCACGGACTGAGCCCATTAGTGCTTCTAATGAACCACTACGTGTTGGTCGGACTGGATTATCCATATTATGAATAACTAATACGAATAAGGAAAATTTAGAACAATGAACTTAATAAAGTGATGTTTTCTTACTTAACAATAATGAATAGTCCATAATATTGAGTTTTTCAAGAAACTCCGAATCACTAGTTAGAATTTGTTTCAAGTGCTGATAAATATGTTTAGGGATTTTTAAGCCATCAGGGTGTATTTCACGAAAATCATTATCTTTGAACGTTGCAGAAGCCTTGATTCGTTCACTGAAGTTAGCATCGCGTTTGTAGGATGAACCTTTGAGATCGTATTTTTCATGAATATCAAGATTAGTTGGAATTATATTTGAAAATATTCCAAAACGTAAAGTAAACGAATCAACAGTGATACCATGTTGTTGGGATATATATGGTATATATCCGTAAACACCCAATAATTTGGCAAGAAATGTTCCTGGTGTTTGTTGAATATAATGATAATACTCTTGAAGAAATTTTTGCTGGATAAATCTTGCATCATAGTCACGAATAGTTTTGATAAGATATGTCGCATCAGACGTTAAGTATAATAGTGAACCGGAACTTGATGGATTTACGATGTCTTTAAGTGCACCAGTGCATATGTGTCTTCGTAAAGCATCGGCACTGATACCGAGCAAAGTTAGTAGAGAATTAAATGTATCGAGTCCGTAAGCTTCGATGTCAAAGTCAGGGATCGCATGAGGTGGTGTGATTCCACCTTTAGCAGGAAACTTTTGTCGCTGAGTATAAGCACTACACTCAGAATGTTGACAAGATTGTTGATTAAGAAAATAACCGATTCCTATACAAGAATAACAATATTATTACGAGGTCTTTTAACATGGAAAAGAAAACTTATTTTCTTAGTGTTGATAAATAGGGAGACCTTGTCAACAACTACACAGAACAACTGACATGTATAGATTTGAAAATATCGAATTAATGCATCATTTTTCTCCCGCATTCATGACTATAGCATGTCACCTGTAGAATCGATCTCCTTTCGCGATGTAGAATTGATGAATATAACGCTGTATTCGTACATGAAAGAACACTCTATTTTTTTGTTGACGAAGACAAAAAAACATGTCCTGATGTACGTGCGTTGTTCCTATATGTGTTAGTCAAAAACATACCGATCTGAAGTGCTTGTCGAATATGTTCACTTTGAATAACGCCAGAGGAAAATAATGTTTGTAATAATTTTTGTTTTGCCAGTGCTCCTGTCATATCTGTCACGGATGATACATGTTCCTGGACTGTTGTTACTAATTGACCACTTTTTTCCTTGACGAATCCTACAACTCGATCGGTCATTTGACGTCGTCCATCACTACTTTGTAATGACTGAGTTGTACTGCTTACACGAGGATCATCCAATATTCCTGTCAATTTATCTTTAATTGTACGTCTCATATCGTTGTTGACTGATGATAGCGTATATGACAAATACATCTACTAGCATTCTATATATTGCTATTTTCTCCAAGTTTTGATGATTCACGGCATCTCTATACTATATATAAATACACTTTATAGCAAAGAAAACGGATGGATATTTATTCTTTTTTCCCTTTCTTTCTTCTTTTATCTACGATAGCTCATGACTCACGTTATGTCTCCCTTCATGATTCATAAGAGAACAGGGAGAATAGAGGTATAGTTGAGTCAACGAACGGTATAATGGCGGAAAAAGAGTAAGAAATTAGGAACGGATAAAGTATAGTAAGAAGAGCTCAATAATGGGCGATAATGCTGCAGCTCGATTTTTTGATACAACAGGCTGTTTGAATCTATCGCGACCGGCAAGCGGTACTCGAGTTGCATCGGTAAAACAACATCAACGGCCAGCTGCAGCTTCTGGGTTAATTCGAGGCCAAGTTAAAATTGATCTGTACAATTTTGACCATATTGACTTTGCTGATTCTAAATATGTTCTAACAAGTCCACGTTCGTTAGAAGCATGTGCTCGTCTTAATATTAAGGTAAATGAAATTTATTTGCGTTCTCAATGTTGAATGTTGAAAATGACTTCTAGCCGGCTACATTACTTCCAGGAAAATTATCAGATTTAACATCCGATAAAGTTCGATTTTCCACATTAATAGATATTCGTGATGAAATGGAAGTAGAAAGATTAGGTTAGCGATTATTTTAGTAATACAATCGTATGAATAGAGTTGATTTTTAGCAAATTTACAACGTTGTCGAGATGAACGTGAAAAAATTATTCGCGAAGAAACGATTTCAAAGCCATCATCAGTATCATCATCATCAAAAAAAGTCAATAACAAATCTGCATCGCACCGGTAAATAGAGAACTATTTCTGTGTATTTTCACAGTTGTGATGACGTTTAGAACTCATGCACCAACAAAAGATCATCGACCTACAACTGTACATTTTGCATCGACGCATGTGGATCATGGTTCTCAACTTCCACCGCGACCAATATCGTCTACTCGTCTAGCATCTGATAATCGTAATGAATTACGAAAGTCATCTTCAACAGGATTTTTAGATGAAGTCTTACGACTGGTGAATGACTCAATTGAAATCAACAACGAAACGATTTTGTTTTTAGGATAAAAACCTTCAACGTCGTGGAACAGCCGATTCGAAGAAGAGTGAATCATATGTGTAAGCAATCCATTTTGATCCACGATAGAATTATTGCATTGATTGTTTTAATCTAGAAATGGTCTGGAAAGTGTTAAACATTTAATAGAACAACATGTCGCACAAGTGCCACAACCGAATGACATCGAAAGTCTAACATTCGAGAAAAAACAACACGATCTCTTACTGTCTCAGTAGGTACCATTTCTCGTATAGAAAAAGAACATATTTTGAAAAATTTACTCTAGTTATGATCATGAATTAAAACTTCAGAAAGCTAGAGAAAATGCACGGCGAACCGAACGGGAAAAGGAAGCAGAACGTTGCGATTCGTTAATGCATGATTTCATGGTAAGATGAATGTTTTAGGAGATAATTCTCTTTTTTCATCACAAATAACCTAATGAATAGAGTCAAACTATGGCTGAAGAACGTCGCCAGAATGAATTGCGTCGAAAGCGCGATCGATTGCATCAATCACGACAACTGTACGAAGTATTACAAGCCAAAAACCATGAAATGTAAAAGTCGTGAAACTTCTAATATTTTCGTTACTTTCTCTATGACATTTGTAGTCAAGCAGCAGACACTGAGAAGCGACGTGCAGAGTTACTCAAAGAAATTCAGCGAAAAGATCGCCGAACAGAACATTTTGCAAAAGATAAACAAGACACTGTGAATTTAGTAAGTCTTGCGATTGGAATCGCTCATCATTACCAATGCATTTTTGTTTAGTTCCGTGTCTTAGCAAAATCCTCTCAAGACATGCGACCAAGGGGGAAACGACAGATTTCGTGCTCGCAAGACTTTCCTGGCACTCTGAGAAATCCGGGATCTCGGCAATCCACCGTTTCCCATTAACCTGATTATTAGTCATCGAAAATGAATCGGACATTATTTAGCAAGGTTTTTAGTTTAGACACTTTGTGTACAATTTGTGCAGTATGCTGCTTTTGATGGCGGAAGAGAAAGGATGAATACAGGTGAATATGGACAAACTGATGTCTTATTACCTGAACGTGACAGTGTCATTATGTCATCTGATTAATTAACTATTTTGTATGGTTTTCTCGTTAACAGTTTTTATCTGAAGGGCTTCTTTCCATAACGAAATAATCAATAGGCTTAGGAAAGACTGGATAAAAACCTGTTAATGTTTTCACCGTCCATCTTTGTTAATTAACCATTTTATTTCAATAGTTTTTACTTTTTCATTATACGTTTATAGATCATACTATACAATTAGTTCTGATTTAAATAAATTTTCCGTTTCTTTTTTCTTCAAATATTCATCCTTATAGTATACAACAACTTTTTCAATAGTATTCCCCACAGGAAGGGATGAAATAATTTGAGTTATGTTCTTTGATAATGGAAACTACAAATTTGAATTCTATTCCTACTAAAACAATGTTCTATGCTCAGACAATGGTATATTTCGTTGAAATTCATGATGTTCTTCTTTTATTTAAAAAATGAATCATATACATGAATTTTTTGGGAAATCGTTCATCTCTAACAATACGATTATAAGTAAAACATTCAAACCATCTTGCATATTCTTCAAGAACTGGCTTGACCCATTCCCAGGTCGAACGATTCGGTACGGAAACGACCGGTTCCACAATATGAATGATGAACAACTCGTTAATTCGACATAAGTATTAAGCTTCTTCTTCGAGTTGTGAATCTCTAAACTAGGAATATTAGTATTCTACTTGTTAACGTTGTTGCCTACCGCATCACCTTTACTATCACGCAAATATAGTAAAATATGCAATATAATATATCGAACGGTTTATGTATCGAATCAAGAATGCTTCTGGTGTCTTCCATTTTCGCTCGGGTCAGACTACTAATTGGAAAGATGATAGTAATGGAGAATCTCTTACATGGGACTAGGCATTAAGTTGTTACCCTTATTAAAAGCACAGTAATCGGGAGTTGAGATCTTTTGAAAAAATGTCATATGAGGTAAATCAGCCAATGTACCATTTCCTAGTCAGAAAAGCGCACAATTTCAAGACTTAACACTGCTTAAATTTCTGTCAGAACGTTAAAAATGCGTTAATAACCACAACTTTACGAATAGTACTGCGTCAAATCTTACAGGATAATGCACTGTTACAGAGAAAATTTGAACACATTAAAATAGTCATACACATAAAAGAAAGCGGCGAATGTCGTGTTCTAAATGATCTGCGATTCTGGGAATCCACTATTTCTCCCTTGCATTCGACGATATGTGGGAGAAACAAACGTGAATTTCGTTCAGAACATGGAAAAAACCGAATTAACAAGCAGTACTGTAGTAGCAAACCTAGAGATATCTGCTAATCGTCGACATTTGTAACCATCAATTAAAATCTGAATTTTTTCTATTGCCCTCTCGTCGAAACAGTGTACTTCTTTTCCACATTTTTGCTTCTTCTGCAATAAATACTCATTGATACAAAAGCGTGTTTTCTTTTTCTTTCTTCAATTTCTATATTTCTTAGTAGAAATATTTTATAGTGAAGAAAAAACTGTCCAGTTGAGTGAGCAGTGATTAACATTTTTTGCGTGTGCGTAGACAATGTTAAGCTTATCTTGTTTTATCGCAATTCGTCAACATAATACTTACCCACACTAAAGTATGTAAAGTCAGTCGAGTACGGACGAGAGAGGTACAGAGTTTTTTCGTTCTGTTTTGCTATTGTTAGTATTATCTAATCTTACCTTTATACGAATACTACAAGCACATGTAGATATGTGATGTATAAAAACGATTAGGTTTTACAGTCTGCTATAGAAGCGACGAATATTTATCTCTTATTAATTGCTTAAGATATCCGTCGATAGTTATTAAACTATGGCAGCACCCGTTCCACAATTTCAGACATTCATATCGGTAAATGATCTCGTTTCAAAGGTTCGATATTGTTTACGAATAATTATATTTAAAGGTTAAAGAATTTCGTGAACTTGTTCAAAAAACTTACGAAAGTATGTTGCAGTGTTATTCTCGGCGTCGAATTAAAATTTGTTTTCAGAGGAGATCGCCGAAGATGAAAAAATTGACGCCCGCGATCTGCAACGCTTCAATGAAAACGACGACTACACTTTGCGATTTATTCAACATGGTCAACATGGAACTACTTTTGATCAAGAACGTGCACTACGCCTTTTCAAAGCATCAATGGAGTGGCGAAAACGACATAATGTCTATGGTAACATGCCATAATTCCTTATTATGAAAACCTTTTCAATCATTCATCACTAGATATTTCTACAAGTGAATTTCCGGCAGAATTCATCACACGACAAGCACTCTTTTTCAAAAATCAAGATCGACACAACAATCCTCTGCGTAAGCAAGACTATGAAATGAATTGTATTTCATGAACACTGTTTTATCTCCACTATTCTTAGTTCATATCGCCGTTCGAAAACTTGATAAATCCAAAGATGATAAAGAAGCAGTAAAACGTTTTCTTACCTATACGTTTGAAGAACATCTTCGTCAACATCCAGAACAAAAAATTGTCCTTGTGTTCGATATGAGCGAAACCGGACTCAGTCATATGGTCAGTTGAACATCGAACTCTCCAACATTCTCTCATTTAATTCATCTAGGATTATGAATTGGTTAAATTCATCATTGCCAGTGCACAACATTTCTATCCAAGATTGCTCGGTAAATCTAGAAAAACTTCTCATGATTTTCATTCATCCAGTTTTTTTTTCCATTTAGCATATATGCTGATCTTCAAAATGCCATGGCTTTTAACGGGTAATGTTTTGACTTCATTGATGATTTGTGGAAACAAGGATTGTTTATTTTAGCGGCATGGAAATTGATAAAGACTTGGTTGCCACCGGAAGCTGATCAATTTATCAAATTTGTTGATGAAAAATCAATTCAAGATTATATTGCACCTGATCAGTTGTCCGAAGCTATGGGTGGTACGGCACGTTATGATTAAATTTTTATCGATGGCTAAACAGTGACGTTGAGATAGCAACGCATTTTTGTAATTTCGATTCATTTTACTTTCTTTTACATTTTAATAAAGGCAAAGAGTTTCGTAAACGAACATCTGTTTCATTTTCTTTTATCATTTGTAATCTATCAAACTATCGTTAATTAAGTTGAATCGCAAGTATGCACAATCAAAACTCTTCAATAAATCGAGCAGATAAAACACAGAAAAGATCGTTCACTCAACCAAGCAAATCCTCACAATTGTCGACGAACGTACCCGTCAACGAACAAAACGATATATCTGTGAAAACTTGTATGCAATCATGCACTTATCGTTTGGATAACATAGATCGTAGTGCTATCATTAAGTAAATCTAAAACGTGCTCATTTCGTTACTTTATTGCATTTATTTAATCAGACGTCAAGAAATAGAATCTTCATTGGAACGTTTATCAAATCGGGATGATGTCTACGGTGTGATTGTTACAGATCTTGATGGTCGCATACTTCACGAATGTGAGACGTTGAAAATCTGGATCCCTTCGTTGGTATCAATATGTTCGTTAGCTCGTCATTTTGTGCGTAACGTGAATCCAGATGATAATCTTCAAGTTGTTCGTCTTCGAACAAAAACATACGAAATTGTGATCACAATACATAATGAACAGTTATTGATCGTCATGCAGATACTATCGAATGGGATTACCAACGAAGTCAAAAATGATGATAATCGTATTGAAGAAGATTGGGAAGCATTTCTCGAAAAGATAAAACAACAGATGAAAAAAGATTGATCACATTGAAGTTTCTATTCGATGTAGTTTACTCTGCAGACAGATGGCAGTAGTGAGAAGTCTAATGACGATTGATAGGACAAACGTATGAGATTTTTTCCACCATACAGAATACAGTAGGTTTATTTTGTGTTTGTGTGTGTACCTCATAGATTCGTTCGTCAATTGATGCTGAAACTAAGAATTACTCTCACAACAAATAATTTTGCTTCAGATTTTGTTTTCCTTATCAATCTTATATCTGTTTGATTTAAAATAAACGAAACGAACATCGTTTGACAATGTGGACTTTATTGACCGGATTCTATCAATATTTAACACAAAAGGATGATTATTACATCCTGATTGTGGGCCTTGATAATGCGGGTAAGACGACTTACCTTGAACAAACCAAAACGAAATATTGTCCAAATTACAAAATGATGAATCCATCAAAAATAACAACGACTGTTGGCTGTAATATAGGCACGATTGATATCGGTAACATTCGCTTAAATTTTTGGGATTTAGGTGGTCAAGAAGAGTTACAATCGCTATGGGATAAGTACTATGCCGATTGTCATGGCATTATCTATATCATTGATAGTGCGGATCGTGAACGTCTGGAAGAGTCATGGCTAATATTCGATAAAATGATTCAATCCGAACAGTTAACCAATGTTCCATTATTAGTTTCGTGTAACAAGCAAGATATCGAACAATGTATGACTGTTCCAGAAATCAAACGAACATTTAATCGCTCAACAGCGAAAATTGGTGTACGTGATTGTATGGTTTTAGCTTGTTCGGCTCTGTCAGGTGATGGAATCAACGAATCAATCAATTGGATGAAAGATTGCATTGTTCGAAATTCCATGATGCGGCCACCGAAACGGCAAGATATTGCATAGAGGAAAACAAACAATGAAAAGAACTACTATTTTATTGATATTGTTGTTGTTATTATTATTATTATTATTTTATTAATATATTCAATGAATCTCTCGTTTTATTGATTGAATACTGTACGAAAATAAAGGAAAAAAGATAGTGACGTCAGTGGCGCAATCTGGTATACAAAATGCTTTTGCAAGAAAAAAGAAGTTTTCAAACTGACAATATCGACAACTTTTTGAATGGGTGTCTACATGCGTACCTTGTGGGCGCACACCCTCGAAATTTTACAAGTGAGAGAGCTAGGCCAAATGATTTTAAACTGCGAAGTTAAAAGTCCGAAGTATTTCCATCTGTTACTTTTTCTTTGGAGATAAACAATTGTCATATAAGAGAAGAACAGTCAGACAGACTCTAATTATTTAACTGATTTATCGAAACAGTGTTACAATTATCAGTTGAAAACATTTCCAAAATGAATTCTATGAATCTTTCAATCTTATTAATCATCGGATGCCTCTTCTTTATTGTTGCAGAGTCTACGCAACCAATGAATAAAGGCTTAATTATGCATCAAGGTACGATCGATTCTATTTAGTGCTGTGCAGAGAATGAATTTTTGTTTTTAAAGGCTCATGTCCTCAACCACCATTTCACATAATGTGTCGCCGTATGGTTTGTTTGCCTCAAATGGTAGAAAGAACTTGTTTAAATGATGGTCAATGCAAAGAAAATGAAAAATGCTGTCATGTACCATGCTCGTGTAAAATCAAATGTGTTGCAGCAGTTTAAGAACAACACACCAATACGACACGATTGTTTCTCAAAACTGTCATCGATCTTTTCTACGATCCTTAATAAATATTTGTGACGAAGTCGATTTGCTAGCTTTTAATTGCTTCATCTTCAAGATAATCAATACTCTCTCGTTAGCAGCAATATTGTTTGCTGTTTTGAAAAAGGTGTAATTACTATTTACATATGAAAAATGTAAATCAAAATTAGAAAATACTATTATGAAAGAACAAAATATTCTCGATATCGATGATTATCAGAACTGTAGAGTGAACAAAATTTTTTTTATTACACAACGATTAGTCGATGATGCACTGTAATACTTATAATCACGCTCTTTTCACGTTTCATCCCACTCCATCTCTATATGATTTCACAAAGGAATCCAGTCATCATGCTTCATTCTCACAATCGTCATTGATAAAATTTTTTATACCTTTGACCACACATATTTTTAGTAAATGGATTTTTCTCTTGAGAACGAAAAAAAATCATGTTATTAGCAGTATAAATAGCAGATACATTGTGGCTTGTTTTAGTTAATCATATGTGTGCCTGAATGTTAGTCTCGAAACGAACAGCTGAGCCCATTCGTAAAACTTGGAAAAATGTAAGTTTTGCTTATGATTGTTACCCCTGAAAATATATCTTTGCTTCTAGCAACCCGCATCATCGCTTGGTAAAGCCGTTCTCAAAGATTGATTATAAACAATAACCTATTGCCCTATCGAATTTTCAATTATCGTTTATCATACCAATCTCATTGTCCGACATTCTTAGCTATTTTGATCAATTATGTCTGACTCTGGCTCTTGTTCAGGGTGCGTATATTCGATCCTAATCATGTTGATTACAATTGTCTCTTCTTTCTTGATTAGAAGTAGTGATTCGGGTAAAAGTTCCTCGCCGGATATCTACACAACAGATTCATCAACGTGTTCTACTTGGAAAGTTCAATATCAACCGTACACCGATTCGGGACCAAGAGGAATATGGGATGGGTATGAAACAAAAGAAGAATTTGCATCGATGCATCTGCGTTAACTGATGATGAAATAATCATACTTCGTTTCCTTTTTCTTCGTGCTTCGCGTCTGATTTATCATTTTAATCAAATATATTCTGAAGTATTGTCGTAATTCTTGATAACGCGAAAAGTCTTGAGACCGTCCGTCAGCTGACTAATTCAATGAATGAATATCGCTTGACGTCAGCAGAAAGGTATTTGAGATAATGACAATCTTCAATCTTGACATTCATATTTGCACATGTGATATCATTAGTTTCAATTGAGTGCAGCAACACAACTGAAATAAACAATGTCTATCCGCGATAAATCAGTCATTGTTGGTATTTTCTATGGGCACATGTCGATCACGCCGTCACAACGTGTTGTTGTTGTTGTTGTTTTGTTATCTTTCTTTTCTGAAAACTCTCACATGATTCGATCTGTATATAAACAGCACGCATACGGTTCTTCTCTCATTCATTCGAAAACATATCATCTTTCGTGCAAGTCTTCGTAGCATATACATTTGCATACCACTGATTACCATTCCTTTGGATTATCTTTGAATGTTTATATCAAAACGAGTTGCTGAACCCGTTCGTAAAACTTGGAAAAACGTAAGCATATCAATGAATTGTCGTTCGAAGAATATATTTTTTTGTGTTTCTAGCAACCTGCCTCATCACTTGGCAAAGCCGTTCTTAAAGACTGACCTGAACACTTTTCTCATTTATCATCATGTGCGATATTGATTCTTTTCTGTTTCCAAACAGACCAACTCATTCAGTTCAACATCTGGATGTCACTGATACTTTATCATCGATTTCCGTCTCGCCATGCTCTTCATCGTCATTTTCAAGTTGGAAAGTTCAGTATAAACCAACAACTCGAAGATCTCAATCGAAGGGTACTTGGGATGGTTATGAAACAAAAGACGAGTTCATGACAATGCACTTTCGATAATCCGCCCATTTGATTTATTCTTCGATGTGCACTATAAACATGAACTGCACGTTTTCTTTTTTTTCTTTTCTTTTATTGTGTTATTTCAGTAGTTTCTGTAGTGTGTTGATCTTCATTAGAGAATAAAACGAAAACACTATATCCACGGTTTGTTGTTTTCGACGAACGCGCAAGAGAGAAACGAAATATACTGATCTAACTCGACGTTGTTCGTTCTCTTCGGTACGAAGATCATCGTGCACTATATTAACTAACTATACCATCCATGACCGCATGTTCGATTGTTGTAATTCTAATTTTACTTGGTACGATCGTAGTTCATTGCCAAAATGAAACTGAACAAAGTCGAAGTCATCATCTCTGGGGTAAAATCAAGCATACACTGGCATTCGATAGTCGTCAACTCAATTCAGAAGAAATGCTCCTTTTCCCCGATGTCGCATTTCAATCAGTAAATGATAATCGTATATGGAGAGTTATGATACATGGTTGGAAGTATCGAACTAATCGTGGAAAATATTGGTTAGGATCTCACGCTACTTCATGGCTTGAACGACTTGCCCGTAATCTTTTGAATCCAAGTGAAATAATGTATCTCAATGGATCAATTAATCATGATCGACTTCGACCATTTTTCGTCACAGATCGAATGAATGAAGATATTCAAATTACTATTGGAAATCAAACACAAACAATACGAACTGATCAGAATGGTGAATTTTACGATCAAATCGAAATGACCAACGATGCTATTCAAACATTAAAACGCGAGCAGCGCAATGATTTTCTTAGCTATGAAGCAAGAGGAAATAATCGAGTAAATGCAACAGGTGTTATTCAACTCATCGAACCATCGGAAGGTATTTCAGTCATCAGCGATATTGATGACACAATTAAGGTTTCGGAAGTGTTGGATAAAGTACGTCTTCTTGCTAATACATTTATTTCTTCATTTAAAGCAGTACCAGGTAAAAATAAAGTTTAAATCAATATTTATCTATGTTGATTTTCCTCTATAGGTATGCCGGAATTATTTCAACAGTGGAAATCGAAGAATATCAATTGTACGTTTCATTATCTATCTGCTATGCCCGATCAACTGTATACCTTAACACAAGAATTTATCGATGAGAATCAATTTCCAAGTGGTTCTTTTCACATGCGACATTTTGGTTGGGCTGCAGCTTCTCTATTCAATTTTCTTCATTCGAAATCAACTTCAGCGCATAAAATTAGCTATTTACATTTCTTCTTGTCGAATACTAATCGAACATTTGTTTTAATCGGCGATAGCGGAGAAAAAGATCCGGAAATCTACGGAATCATTACACGAGAATATCCAGAACGTATTCGCGCAATATTTATCCGAGCGATTAAAGGTGAATCATTCAATGATCAGCGCTTTCTCGATGCCTTTCAAGGTATAACAAAAGAGAAATGGTTGATATTCAATGATCCAAAACAGGTGCCAATAGATTTGTCACGAGCGCCAAGAACGTCGACGAAATGAAACTGAGGACTATATCTTCTTCTGAATTTAATCAATCATTGACGTCAGAGACAAATAATTTTTCGTAGAGTGTATTTTATAATCAAATATTAACTGATCTTGATCGATCTACGGTCTATTATCTTTTCAAAATGTAGGTGTAGACTATTGAAAAAAAGTAGCGACAATGAAATGAATGTTGAATATATGCTTGCACATTGTTATTGGACAACTGTATAGAAATAATGAAAATTCATTCGGTAATCATCGATCCAAGTCATGTTGTTCATCGATGGGTTTGGGATTTCGAATTAGTATTTTTTGACCGAAAAACTCGTTTTATCGTTGGACAATGGATGAATTATTGGTGGTGGTTGAGTATTCCGTATGCATTAGCTTATATCGTCATTGTATTTGTTGGTCAATCGTACATGAACAGACGAAATAAAAGATATGAGCTACGCACAGCACTGATCATTTGGAATGCGTTCTTAGCACTATTTAGCTTCTGGGGTGCGTGTCGATGCGTACCTGAACTCATTCATTCTGTAAATCAACATGGATTGCAACATTCACTTTGTAATCCTATTTTGAAAGAAGGAGTAACTGGTTTATGGTCGATCGTTTTCATTTGAGAATAGGAGGTTCACTTCTGAATTTGTTTTCTTTTTGTTACAGGTTATGGTTATTCATTATTTCTAAAGTTCCAGAAACAATCGATACTCTGTTCATTGTTCTACGACGACAGCAATTGATATTTTTACATTGGTTTCACCATGCATCCGTGCTGGTTTATTGTTTCTACAGGTAATTGTCGAAAAATACACTGGAAAAAAATAATAAAGCCTTTTACTTAAGTTACGGTCATTTTGCACCATCGGGTCGTTGGTTTACATCTATGAATCTATGTGTGCATACTATCATGTACGGATATTTTGCTTTGCGTGCTGCGCGTTTTCAAGTTCCTCGGTGGATTCAACAATCAATCACATTTCTTCAACTTGTTCAAATGGCCATTGGTTGTATCGTGAACATTGCTGCTTACAAATATAAACAAGAAGGTCACCACTGTATGACATCATACAATAATATCTTTGTTTCACTACTACTTTATCTGGCTTATTTGTTACTTTTTGCATACTTTTTCTATTCAACGTATGTACGGAAAAACGTAAAGGAGCGTACAGAATAAAGTAGACTGAAATTCGCAGCTTGAATTGAACACATATATTTGCTTTTTTCGTTTCTTGAAATAGCAAATGATGGAGGCGTACTCAGAAGCAGAGACAGTCGAGATAAGAAAAAGAAATGACGTGATTGTACTTTTCATTTGACGCGTTACATATTTGCCAAGAGAGTAGAAACCAACATGTGAGAGAATCGGTCGATTACGTACGGTGTAGGTGGCGTAAAGTACGATTGCTGAGCAACAGAATAAAAAAATATGAGTTGAAAACAAACGAGACTCGTTTTTCATTTTATAATGATAATCACAACAGAACCACAATAAGATGAAAACAGTCACAGACACAAATGGTATTACTCATTCGTTGGTTTGGGATTTTGAATTATCATTTTTCGATCAACAGAAGTTCTTGACCATCGAAAAACTTATGTATGACTGGTGGTGGCTAAGCATTCCATATGCTCTTTTATACATAATTGCAATCTTTGTTGGTCGTGCTTGGATGGTTAGACGAAATGCGAAATTCGAACTGAGAACATCACTGGTCCTTTGGAACACATTTTTAACAATCTTTAGTTTTTGGGGTGCCAGCCGATGTGTGCCTGAACTGATACATAGTTTAATTCATCATGGATTTTGGTACTCAGTATGTGATCCAAGTTATAAGGAAGGAATAACTGGCTTATGGTAAGGACTAAAAGACTTGTTCGACTGTTTTATATTTCCAAATATTGCACATTAGGGCATGGTTATTTATGTTATCAAAAGTTCCCGAAACGCTTGACACATTGTTTATTGTTCTTCGCCGACAACAATTGATCTTTCTCCATTGGTATCATCATGCATCCGTGCTGATTTATTGCTTTTATAGGTAAATGTTTCGATTGTATTTGAAGAATACGCTATCAAATGACTTATTTTATAGTTATGCGTATTTTGTTTCTACTGGTCGATGGTTTGTATCAATGAACTATTGTGTTCATACGATTATGTATGGATATTTTGCATTACGTGCTGCTCGTATTCGTCTACCTCGATCTTTACAACAATTTATTACCATTCTTCAACTGATTCAAATGGTTATTGGTTGTACTGTGAATATTGCTGCATTCTATCACAAACAAGATGGATATTCATGTGCGACTTCCTATGTCAACATCAAAATATCATTAGCAATGTATCTATCATATCTAATACTTTTCGCACATTTCTTTTATACAAGTTATATTTGTAAAAGTTCAGAGAAGAAATCGAAAGAGAAAGATAACTGATTTTTTCAGTTAATAAATTGTTTTTGGTTCGATACAAAACTTTGATAAGAAAGTGTTCTATATTAAGTACTATTCACGAATAGCGGCTTCGATGGACTGTAGATGTTCGGATCGAACATACAAACTAGTAGCGGAAGACAGACCAGTTATGAAAAATATGACTTGACTAACAAGGTTACGAAAGGTTGAAATGTATTCCTCAAGAGAATATTTCTGACGGAGTGTGTTTAACTGCTAGCGTAAGCTATCTTGAAAGTCGGCTAGTTGAAATCATCCCAGGGGAACGAATGGTCGTTGGTTCTTCAACTTGAGGTAGGTAAACCACTGAAGAGCGATGCCACCTACCAAGCTAACAGCCAGCGACCGCTTGTCCTTGTCGACGGTCAAACGAGGCTCCACCACTTCTTCTAAAGCGAGAAACCATCTCTCGAAGTTTTCAGTAGGTGCATCGGCTTGATATGACGTTTTCTGAAAGAACCAAAAGGTGAAGAACTGGATAGATCAGTAGTAGCAAATGAGGACGTAGTGGCAGACAAATGTTAATAATGTGACAAGATAAAAGATTGCTGACCATGCATTTCTTTAATAATAACGCCATTCATCTGAATCAAGCCTAATAGTAAACATTCTAGCGTGCTTCGATTAGCCGACATAGGGGAGAAACATCGTTGCAACCAAATGTTAGGTTTTTATTTTAAAACCAAACACAACAAGACTTCTGTTGTTTATTTCGAAATCAAGCGAATGAATCAAGCACCTAATCTCTAGCAATGGTTTTAATGAACGTACTAGTTTATCTTATACCTGTAAGCAATAATTATCAACATTCAAGATTGGATTGTAGATCGTATCAATTTGCTTTCTTACGATCAAATTGTACTACATGAAGAATACTGATTGCATGGAGTTCGTCAAGAAACTATATCAATAATGAAAATGTCTTATTTCATTTCATTACTTTTTTACATTAAAGTCTTGCTAAGAGACAGCATGACATTCACCTAAGACAATGAAATATCATAGTAATAACAAATTAATTCTTTGAATCATGAACAAATATCTTAATCTTAAATGCAGCTTTTCAGTCATATCCACACTAGTTGTTTTTGATCTCCAGAAAGAAAAGAGTTCTTCAAAATCTGATCTTTCTAAATCATCCTGAAAGTCATAACTTTCTCATCAAAATAGTAACCAGCAATTGAAAATAGTAAATGTAGATTGAATAGAATGTGATTACCATATGTATACAACAAAAAGGTGTACAAGATGAGCAAACATTTGATTACCATTGATATGGAGGAGCGTACGTCTCACTTCATAACATATTTAATTAAGAACATATGTTGAAAATTCTAGTGTAAATAGGTGAATAACCAATTACCTTTAACTGATAAATTCGAACGGGTTTGATAGATGCTTGCAGTACAATGTCCAATATTTAATCGATCACTATGTTCTCAACTTTCACCATTGGAATAATCAAAACTGTCACATTTGCGCGGTATTTGTAACCGATATGATCTATTTTTCCTACTTTTTTAACAACTGAGCTGCAGTTACGTGTAATCGTGTTACAATCTTCCACATTTATGGATCACAGTAGAATACATAGGGATGCATCCTTGTTCGGTTGCTGCAAAACATTCTCTCTGATATGTTCCTTGAGTTATTTTTGGTTGTTGAATTTTCCTGATTTGTCGTTTTTAATAAAAATATCGAATGGAGATCATTCACAGACTTGACAACGACTCTGTACAATAGTATTTCCACTTGATTTTTACGAAGCCGTGCCACAAAAACCATCAGATAACCTCAGTGAAAATAACTTAAACGCGTGTGTATTACTAGTTAATTTTTCAAAGTCTTCAGAATATTATTCACTCATCCGACGATTCTACTCACGTCATTATCATCGACGTCACACGACGTCGAGTATTTCTCAGGTCGTTTTCTATTCTTTGTTCTTTTTTTTCATTAATCGTTTTCTTCTCCTTCTCGTTCCACGTGTGGGAGCAAGCTGTCGTATCTATTCTTATTGAAGACTGTAACACACGTTTGCTAATTGAAGGAACCATGTTGTTTCTTCTCATCGTTGTTCTCATTACGGTATTATTTGTTTACCTGAAACTGAAATATTTTACTTTGCGTGGTTCCATACCAGGCAAATCACCAAATTTTCTCGTCGGTAATCTTTTACAAACAGGCTTTTTCAACGGTCGGTATCTTGGAGATATTGTCAAAGAATTTCAAACTAAATATGGTGATACTTTCCAATTTTGGGCTGGTCCGAATCGAATGATCTTCGTTTGCAATCCAGACGATGTTCAACATATATTTAAACATCGACAAATCTACGAACAAGGAAAGTTAGAAGTCGATCATCATCGACTTCTGTTCAAAGATGCACTTATTTGCAATACAGGTACGCCTTTTTCAAGAGATGATTTATTGAATTTAGTTGTACATACGTCTCTAGGATCAAAATATAAACGACATGCTTCTATTATTTTACCGTTGTTTCGCCGTGCGAAAATAGTTAACAATATAGATATTATCATTGATTGTACGGATAAACTGCTCGATCAATGGCGCACAAAATTCGATCACAATCCCAATCATATCTATACTGACATTGTAGATCAATGCCAAAATTTATCATTGGTCATTTTTGGTTTTATTGGTTTTGATTATGATTTACAAACATTAGAAGAATCTCATATGAGCAAGAACAACAGACTTCGGCAAGCTTTAAAGGATTTTTTATATGTGTTTATATTTACTATTCCATTGCCAACATCGATTGCGAAATTGTATTTGAAAGTTAGCTCCAGATACCGAAGAGCAATAGTGGCGATCAACAGTTATTTGAATGAAATGGTAGAACAAGAACAACGAAAAACAGAAGAACAGATAATGGAAAGGAAACGAACGAGTTTAATTGCTTCCTTGGTTGATTCATTACAGGTAGACGAAGCAGCTGAATCTTTAAAACTGGAACATGAAAAAAAGGGTAAAAAGTTTCGACACGAAAAGCAGTATTGTATTGAGTATTTTTCTTTTACTCAGGGCTATCGCACACCGAAGTATTTCATGAGATGTTGTTATTCCTTGTTTCCGGGTCTGAGACAACTGGCAGTGCACTTGCTTGGTTTATCTTTTTTATGAGTAAGAATCTTCGTGTACAAGCAAAACTCAAAGCCGAACTTGGTAACGATATCCAGAACCGTTTGACTGCTGATCAAATCGAATCGTTCGCGTACTTAGATTGTGTTATCCAAGAAGTTCTTCGATTTATTCCACCTATTGTTGGAACTACTCGAACGTTGACAATGAATGACAGGTTACCTATCAGTGACGTTCAATTGTGTGAAGGTGACGAAATATTTATTCCATTGAATATTGGTAGTCGAGATGAGCGTTTCTGGAAAATTGATCCCAACTTATTCTATCCTGAGCGTTTCCTCAACGAAGATAAAGATCATCATCCGTACGCAATGATTCCATTTGGTGGTGGTCATCGACAATGTATTGGGCAGGATCTTGCTCGATTTGAATTAAAAGTGATTATAACACGATTGATGCAGCGAGTCACGTTTGGTGACGGAGGTTCACAACTGAACTCCGGTGGATATGTTCTGAAATTAGCGATTGTTCCAAAACATACTGGAATTACCATCATATTTGACTAATAGCGAGTAGTTAACAGATATGACAGCCTGACAAGAAACTATTAGCTTGCCAAACAAGAATGACGGATATAAAATTAGAGATTTTTATTGTAATTTTTGTTTTCTGCGTGTTTATTTATTTTTTCTTAGAAATCAAAATCAAAATTACTTGTGCATGCAAGTGCGTGCTAAAATACTAAAACTCATTCGAAAACTTTCAGACACCTTCTTGAGCCAATCTGTAATCAAATAAACTTCCGCGTTCTACAAACGATTGAAATTTCATCTGCTCGGAATCGTACTTGTGATCATCGTCTACTTTTCCATATCCACCTCCGCCAGGTGTGAGTAAAATGAAAATATCCTAATCCATGCACAACATGTTAATTCTCACGTAATCATTCATTTTTATATGACTTACGCCAGGTTGCATTGGTACAGAACATTTTCCTCCCAGATTTACCAAACGTCCATCAGCGCGTTTCAGTAGATTCTTACCACATTGACCATTCTCACCTTCATCGAGACCGTAAGGTTGATGTACACGTCGCTCTGTTAACACTGATAATGTCATCGGACGACGAAATAGTATTTGTCGATCAACACCATCACCGCCACGAAATTTACCTTGACCACCAGACTGTGGACGAAGGCAAAATTTTAATAAAACGACAGGAAACCTTCAATCGGAAGCCAAAATAGTTCAATGTAAAAATTATCTTATAGGAGCTACTCACCGTTTTTCAAGAATTTCGGGGTCGGTTATACGAGTATTCGTCATATGTGTATGAACACCTGATCGACCATGCCATGTAGGACCCTAAAGAAGCACTCGTTTTCGTTCGATATGAATTCCAAAATAGAACGACTACATACTGCACCTGCTCCACCGGCTACTGTTTCGTAATAACTGGTTGCTTTGTTATCACCCCATGTGATGTTATTCATACAGCCCTATTTATAGGTACTCAATAAGATAGAGCAATGCATTGAATAAAACCTTACTTGTGACGCTGCACAAGCGCCAAAAGCTCGAAGAATCACGTCGACTACACGTTGACTAGTTAAAACATTTCCGCCAACGACTGCAGCATCTTTGTGTGGATCAAGTAACGAACCTTGTGGTAGAACGACTTCAATCGGTCTCATACATCCCTACAAGAATCCATACGATTATTCATCTGTAACGGGCCTTATTCAACTCTACTTGATTCAATGGTATTTCATGCGCAATCATAGCACGGAGACAATAGATGATTGCTGAGTAACTGATCGATCGAGGTGCATTCCAGTTGTACCATACTTGTTCGCTCGTACCCGTGAAGTCGAATTTTGCCCTTTGCTACATATTTAAAGAATAGAAAAGAACATATTCATAAATGAAAACTATACTACAATATCTATTTTTCTACTTCTTTGCCATTTATTTCCACATTTAGACAAATTCTAGATCCATCATCCATAAAATCAAATGCTTGCAATTTAGTGTGATCTTTATCAGTTTCATTTTCTTTTTCAGCCAAAGATTTAACGACAGTCTTCAGTAGATCTTTAACAGCAGTCTCAGCATTATCTTGAATGTATCCCATGTACGCTTGTACTACTTTAAGTCCATAAATATCAATTAGCTCTTGCACTAGCTTAACTCCCTACAATAAATAAACGATAGATATGTGGAGAAAAGACAGTTTTTCAGTATCGATTTACTTTAAGGTTTGCAGCGATTTGAGCTTTTAAATCAGCAATATTATGCATTAATGTTCGAGTGCCGGAACAATTTTCTAGTTTTCCAGGCTCATTCAATCGTTCTGTTAATTCTATTCACATTACAACAGACGATTTCTAGCAGAATTTGAATGCATTAGTGTCGATGTGTTTACCTTCTTCCTTAAAATGACCTTGTTCAACAATTTTGAATGACATAAACTGTGCACCTTCCTGCAAAAGAGTTGTCGAATTCGGTGGCATCGAACCTGGCGTTAAACCACCAATGTCTGCATGATGACCACGACTTGCGACAAAGAATACCGGTTTTTCTTTGTCATTCTCATGAAAGACCTAGTTGGATTTTTTTAATCTTAGCTCATCATCAAATAAATGGATGTCACAAATCTTACTGGTGTAATGACAGTCAAATCTGGCAAATGACTACCTGAAATAAAATATCTCTTAGCTCGCACACTATCTCGATTATTCGATCAATTTACCTCCTGCAGCTGGATGATTTGTCAGAATTACATCACCATCACGTAGATCTTTTCCAATTGAACGCATCTAGAGTGTAGTGAGAGAAAAATAAGTAGAGAGCTATGTCTACTTTACTTGGTATTGAACAGCTTCTTGCATAGCTCCAAGATGTACTGGTATATGGGGAGCATTCGCAACTAACCCGCCATCTGAACCGAAGACAGCACAACTAAAGTCTAAACGTTCTTTGATGTTTGTCGAAATAGCAGTCAATTGAAGAACCCTACAATAATGCACCTGTATTCATAGCAACGTTGGATTGAAGAAGATTTCTTACCGTCCACACTGTTCAGCAATACTCATGAAACGATTTTGGAAAATTGATAATTTAATTAGATCCAATTCTGTTGAGTTTGTATCATCTTTAATATGCTCAATTGCGATGCGAATATCACCGCAGTCTGTCACTGTTGCTTCACAGCTTGGTTCAACGAGAATGGTACTGAAATTATATTGTATATCGATCAACAATGAAGAATTCTCGAACAAAATCTTACCAACTAGGATCAATGATAACTGCAGGACCAGATATTTTGTCGTTTGCATACAAATCTTCAATCAGATAAACTGGTGTTTCAACAAAACCTTGCTCAAAATAGCATTTGACTTTCTATCAAGCGAAAGATTCGATAAAATATCTTCAATACGCTATTTTCAAATACCCTTGATTCTTTTATTGATTTATCATTCGGCCGAATATCGATTTTTCGATCAATATCCATAGCTGATTTCGCCAAAGCACGTACACGAATATCATCCGTAATAATAGGTCGACCGGGAAGAACGAAACCAAATTGATCTTTGTACTTCTTGAGAAATACATCCGTAAATGATTCAGGTGTGTCTTCACTACTGGTACACATCAATGCGCAATCCGTTCCTTCGTATCGAAGATTCAAGAACTTTTCAATGACAATAGATTTACTAAAAATACTTCTTCTAAATTGAATTTGTTAATCTAAACATCACAAACCGATCATGGCCTTGTTTGCCAAGTTCTTCTATTCCACAGTTCGAAAGATGCTTCAAACGATCGGTAATATTCGACCAACTATTGGAGTCAATTGTTTTTCCACATGGTTCTTGCATTTCATGGACGACATCGGCAAGAGCTAGACCCAATGCTGAGAGAACACCGGCGAAACTAAACGAAAAGTGAATTTGATCGACTTTTAGTCAAGTTCTTCGTTGATACGAACTCACCGACTAACAAAAACGGTTCTCATGCCCAGAGCGCGAGCGATCTGAACAAAATCTATCTATTGATATTCAAAAACAACCATAATAGCAACATACAGCACAAGCATGTTGACCGCCAGCACCACCAAAACATGCCAATACATGATCGCGGAGATCGAAACCTTTTCCCTAAAACGACACAACTTATCGATTGGCAACAAATTTCTCAGTCTAATTACTTCAGTTAACGCTCGAATCGGACGGCTCATACTTTCATTGGCAACATGGACAAATCCGAGAGCTATCTCTTCGATACTCAGGGTTTTCTTGTTATTCTCTTTTAGAAACGAATTGATCTAGATAAATGAACATATATCCAATCATCAAATAATAGGTAATAAAAACTCAACAGTTTCGGCTAGTTCGGTGAATTTAGTTAACGAGGCTTGAGGATCCAAGGGTTCATTTCCTTTTGGTCCAAATAAGGCCGGAAAATGTTCAGCTATTAGACGACCCAAAACTAAATTTGCATCGGTAACGGTTAGTGGTCCACCCTTTCTATAGCAAGCGGGACCAGGTTGTGCACCAGCCGATTCTGGACCAACTCGGAAAAGACCTGACCGAAAACTTAATATGCTGCCACCACCAGCTGCTACCGTATTGATATCTAACTGTGGTGCTTGAATAGTAACTGATGCAATTGTGCTTTCCAAAACATGATCAAGTGAACCATCGAATCGACTGACATCAGTCGATGTTCCGCCCATATCAAAGCCGATGACTGGCTGAGAATCGATATAGCTTGTCACAGAGTATCCAACCACACCACCTTTTCAATAGAAAGACTCATAGAAATCATCCTACGAAGAAAACAAAATCAAGTCTACCTGCTGGTCCAGAGAGAATGGCTCGAGATCCTGAAAATCTAAAGAAAGGAGATACAGTCGATTCAAATGATTCTTTTCATCTATACTTTTCTACTGGCGTCAAGCCTCCATCCGATTGCATGAACAACACATTAAGATCATCGAGTTTGCCTTTTTTGAATGCATTCGAAAACGTATCAATGTAACGTTTTAAACACGGTGTCAAATACGCATCCGTACACGCTGTAAATGAGAAAAGATACTTAGTTCAATTGAAAACACGTTCTTTCCCAATAAACCTGTATGGGCTCGTGGAACATATTTTTGCATTGCTATAATTTGATGCGATAGCGAAATATTGGTGAAGCCCATATCATGGGCAATTGTACCCACATGCAATTCATGATCGGGAAAACTACGGAGACGATCGAATGAACAGATATGCTTAAATAACAATAATCATACCAGTATGAATGTAGCAGAGCAACTGCAATCGAGGAAATGCCCTTTTCTTTGATGATGCTCAAATCTTTACGTAATTGTTCTTCATCTACAGCTTGCCAGACTTCAATCTACATGAAGACTTCTAGAAATTCAAATAAATATTTTCTATTCAAATACCTTTTCTCCAGTTGTTGTGGTTTTCTGTTCGTTTTTCCCACGCATTTCATTGCTTAGCTTACAGTCATCTCGACAAAGCACCACTCTTTCTTGAACTTCGACAACTTCTTCATAAAGTACATCAGATATACGAATAGTCTATGCAGCAAAAAAAAAGAATGACTTCTCTGGAAAACCAAACATACAGATTCAATTCATATCGTACCAAATCAAATAACTTTGGCCGCGATTGATTTCCAATATAGAGAAGATCACGAAAACCTTTTGTTACTAAAAGAGCAACACGTTCACCTTTCCGTTCCAGTAACGCATTCGTTGCCACTGTTGTTCCCATACGTATCCAATCAACATCAGTTGCATTCAATGGAAACGATTCCTACAAAAATCATTAATTTCAATTATTACGATGAGCTCAAGAACACTATACTTGTTTTAATAATCGACGAATAGCTTCTGTTGGAGCATCTTTATACTTCTCTGTATCTTCCGACAATAATTTCATTGTCACAATTTTACCATCCGACGTGCGTGCTACTACATCCGTGAATGTTCCACCTCGATCTATAGCGACTTGAAGACGTCCCATAATCTCTATCTAAAACAGAACATTCAAATGTTCATTTAATCATCTGTTCGGGCGTATATTGATGTCAACCATAATCTACGATTTCTTCTTTCCCTAATGAATTTGCACAAAGAAGAATTGTATTTCATTGTTGAATCTTTTGTAACCGTAATTCAAGTGAATTTGTAAGTCACAAATGACATACAAAGATCTTTTATTTTTTGAAAATCATATTACACAACGACAGGTAAGAAATATGCAGTGAACATTGAACACATTTAGTCTTGTTTGTCAGTTGAATCTTTTGCTGTTGACTTTTTCTTTCTCGGAATCTCTTCTCGAAAAGCCGCAAACAGAAAAGCGATTAACACAATATGAACAACAATCACAGCAACAATGGCTGAATAGGTATAGCTACTACCATTCGAGACATGAAAAATGCCTTGAAATACATAATCTTTAGCGATGAAAAATGATCCTAACGGTGCAATAGTCATTAATAATGTAAAAAATAGCATTTTACGGAAGACAATCCAGACAGCTGATTCATTGCCAGTATCTTCGACTTGAATCACTGGTTGAACAGTGGATGTTGATTGAATTGTAGATGTTCGCTGCATCTAGAACAACAACACAAGAGAAGTTTTCAGCATCGTCATCAGCAACCTTATATTTGAACTTAAAAAGTGCTATTCATCATAACGCTAATGCTAACCAATAGATAGACAAAGAGAGCTCCTGCAGATGGCAGTGCAATATAAAACTACCGCAAAGAATGAAAAGATATTTTCGTCTCTCTCAATCTCCTGTAGTGATGAACATCACGTAAGAGAGAGAATGAAGACATTCTCATCGCTTACACTAACTTGGTCATCATCTGTAAATGACGGTCATTTAGATAATAAGATTTATTATCAGCATATCTGAATGTATGTCAACACAAGACAAATAACTACATAAATAATGATCGATGATCGTCCATCAACAGCGTTCAATTTCCGTGATATAATATTCAGAAGAAATGGTTGGCTATGATTACTGTACTGCATCAGTCAAGTTGCATTTTTATTAATATCTATTGATCATTCTTTACGAAAAAGAACATAATCCGATTTAAAAAAAAAGAGGGAGAAGGGAAGAAGAAGAAGAAGAAGAAAACTTGTCTGTTGTTCTATAAAAAAATAAATCACTCACACGAAGACAAGACAACCGTTCTATTCATCGCTCCTAACAAAGAGAAAACATACACATGCAAACAAAAGACAAGAAAAGTTTATCAGACACAAATCAGGAGATTTACACATAGTACACGAAATCGTTATTTGAGAATTTTTCATATAACAGATAAAGTAGACATGCAAACTTTTCACACACGTATGGTACACATACGTGTATCAAATTCCTGAACCCAGTGATGATGATCCCATGGAAATAGCTGAAGCTTGTGTTTGTAAAACATTCGATATTTCATTTTGTGGAGAATCTGTCGCCGAGAAATTCGTCAGCTGTGTTTGTGCTACACCTAGTAGAAATGAATGGCCTTTCTCTTTCTCATTCAAATAATTTCGGTTGTTTTACCTTTAGGTTGAAGAAAATTAAAACAAAGAATGGTATCATCGTGTGAACTGGAAACAATTTGAAATTCATCGAATTGCAGGCGAAAGACTCGACCTGTATGTTCAGTCAATGTTTTCATACACAATGCTGATGGTTGCGAACGTGGATCCAACGCAGCTTGCAGATCCCAAATTTTAATTTTACCTAAGAAATGACATTCATAATCTTATTCCTATAAGAATAATTACATACCATCATACGCGCCTGAAACGATCCGTTTGGAATCGAATCGAATACAACGTACGAGTTCATCATGTCCTTCAAGCACGCGTAGACAAGCACCACACTCGATATCCCAAACCTAAAAATAATGAAGTTCTTTTTTTCTTAAAAAAACGAATTCTTTAATTAATCATGTAAATAGGCATGATCACGCAAGAGTAATTTCTCGTGACTGTTCGATCAATGAGCAAAAAACGGAACGTAGATAAATATGTCCTCGAACTATAATTGAAAACAACATTTTGTTTCTTTTTGCCATGCTTCTTTCATTCATCGAGATTCTTTCATGGTCATTTTGTTAACATTTCATCTTGATATTAATAACGATTGACATCACTCTGAAGAGAAACGAAGGTATTTTTGTTCTACCTGTATACTGATTTCAAAACGAACCAAAGCTCACGAAAAAAAAAGTCCTCCGAGAAAAATACACCCGAATAACGATCGATGTCTTACTCGTATCGTGTTATCCGATGAGCCACTAACAACAATTTTGTCTCGATATTGTAAACAGGCAATGCCTCGTTTGTGCCCAAGAAGTGTTCGAACAAATTCACATGTTGTTGTATTCTATAAAAGCGAAACGTTTCAAGAGAAAGCTTCTTCTAGAAAGCGCTTACCCAAACTTTAATTGTTCGATCACCGCTTGCACTAACGATATATTTATCATCGAAATCGACCACATTGACAGCTGCTCGGTGACCAACGAGTACACGTCGAATAGAAATATCAGTTGGTGAGTTTAATTGCCAAACAGCAATTGACCGATCTTTCGAACATGTCACCATTGTTCCATCGATAAATCTCAGATGAAGAACCGCTTCGCAATGATGTAGCAGTGTATTTAGTAATTCTCCCGTTTTGACATTCCATACTCGAATTGTTGAATCTGATGAGCCCGTTATAATCACTTTATCATCATATTGTAAGCAGAGAACACTTCCGTTATGACCTGTTAACACTTTCACGCATTCGAGTGTTTTCCTATCCCAAATTTTGATTGTATTATCACGCAGACCGCTGATAATTTTCTCATCATCATATTGTAAACAGTAAACACCTTTACTATTTTGTGATCGACACGGAATTTTCTCTAATTGAAAATTTCCCGTTCGCCAATTGCTTTCCAGCTGATCGATATCACGAAGTATCCGAGGATACAAGTATCGATAAAATTCGTCACGTTTCTGTTCATCTTTTTGCAGGGAAATCTGTCGAAAGAGATATTTATTCCACCCACGCCGTTGTGATAACCCGCGCCAGAGAATGTCCGATAGGACTTTGCGTTCGATTAGCTTCTTCCATAGCATACCTTGAGAGATGACATGGTACCATTCTCGACAAACAAGTTCAGTTGCTTTCAATGATCGATCATCTAAATAACCGAGAATTTTCTCGGCTAAATGTTCTAAACCACACGATGATAAACGTCCGATAAAATCTCGTTGTAACATGGGTAATAAGAAAGCATTGACTTGGCCATGTTGATGACTCTGCATATTTTTCAAAAGGTTTTCCACAAATTTCAGCTGTTCACAATCATTCCAAGAGAGAAATTTATTGAGAAATTCTTCATGATGCTCTTGATAGTTAATCGTGGCTAGTTTCTTTGGCGTGTCATGATGAACACATGAGGTTTCCTCGGAAAATGACGTGTTACCGGTCGAAGAAAACTCCATCATGAAAGATTTCAAAACTAATGAAAATGTCGAGAAATAATAACTGTTGAAATGAACACTCTAACAATTATCTAGAAATGACAAGGTTGATGTAATAGTTAGTTACAGTTATGCAATCAGACGAAACGAAGAAAGGTGTAAAAATCAATAAAATACGCCTTGATTGACGTCGCTCAATTTATATGTATTTACTAGTGATGTTTGCTTGAAGGACTGGAATAAGAGACGAAGAGAAAAAGCTCAACTTAGCATGCGTATTCACTTCTACGTTTGTTCTCTTCTTCTAGCAGAGAGCGTCAAGTATTGACATGTTTGGTCATGCTTTCATTCTCTCTTTCTCACAAAAACAGTCGATGTGCTTACATGAAACGAGTGGAGAGGAAAAAGGTATGCAATAAAGAACTAAGTGTATCAATTCTCCTCTTTAGCCATCAGCCGGAGCAAGAAGAAAAAAGAAACTGTAGAAAAAAAAACACTTGACGTTTTTTTTCTTCTCGACGAGAAAATTAAATCATCTTATGCTAATAGTTATATGTATATCTGACAGAGAAAAACACAATACAACGATTAAATCGACAAAATGTCAATACAGATATTGAATAGAAGAACGAAACACTGTTGCGAGCACAAAGATATAGCATTTTGATATGACAATGATCAAAGTGAGAGAGAGAGAGAGAAAGAAAAATAGATATACAAAAAAAAAGAAATAACGGATATGTTGCTGGTTTAGAGTGGAAAAGAATAGTACAAATATCTTTGTTCATCATGAATAATTGTCTATCTTTTGCATAGAAAATCAAAACAAATAATTAAATTTACAAACAAGTGACAAACACACGCGTATGTACACATTAATATACAAAGAAATGTCGGAAACACACATACACACACCGGTAAAGAGAGGTTTAACTTTTAAAAAAGAACGAAATTATCGTCTCGTTTGGTTTAGCAATTAAATAAAAGAGTTTTTTCAAGTGTTGAGGTTGGTATTTGACTAGTTTCAGCATTTAGTAGATGATCATCTTGACCAAAGAATGGAATTGACTGTTCGTGGAATCGTTGTTGATTTGACAATTCAGCCATTTGCTGCAAATGATGGCAATATTCTTCATTCATTGTCGATTGAATAATATCCGGTTGGGGTAGATGTTCAGCTGATATTTCATCATTATCTACTGTTAAAATATCTTCATCACCAGTATCACTTGATGAATCTGATTGATAAGATGTCCGGGTGAATGTACTCATCGGTGCGCTCGTCTGTCGTTGACACAATCGAGAACGAACTCGACGTGCACGACGACGATGATAGTGACGATGAGATGACGACGAAACACGACTTTCTGTACATTCACAACTAGAAAAAAACAAATTATCATCATCCAAAACGAAAAGTTCACTCAATCTTCTTGTCTTACTCATTGACATGATAACAGTACTTATCATCGTTGTCACCAAACAAAGACCAGAAGAAATTCATTGCACGATTCGATGACTGATCAGTAGAAGGTGATGTTGGACGTAAGACACTTAACAATCTATTTATCAAATTGTTCATTCCTAATCTGTTGTGACAGCAAAATACTTCACGTACCGTTTAGCACACGCATAAGTCAGATCAATTGGTAGTGTGACAGGTAAAGTCATCAATGACCATATTCGATAAAGATTAGATTCTGTGAAATATCGACCAATAGGATCTTCGATTTTTTGTCTCGCATCAGCAAAGACTAAAACAGAAATGAATCATTTTATTGAGAAAAATTCTTTCTATTCAACTTTTACCAGCAAATAATGGAGTCGGTAATTCTTTTTTGCTTGTAACTTTCTCACAAAAAGGACTAAATACCATCTGGCTATTATCCTTTTCTGACTCATCGTCTGATGAATAATCATAATGAATTGATTCTTCTTCTATCATATCATCATCATCATCATCACCATTAAGGTCAATATCTTCGTATATCTTATCAGCATCCTGTACAATTCCTTCGTTACGCAATTGTTTTTCTTCATCATTTGCCGGTTCGGTATAATCACTTCCAAGTACAGATGATATTGTTGCTTTTGTGCTCAAATGTGAAGATTTAATCATATCTTGAAAAAGAGCAGATTTGTATCGCATGAAAACTCATGCATCACTATTGACTTACTTCTTGTTTGAAGAAATTTCAAACCATCAATGTAACCTCGCCAACAAATTTGCTTCAATACTGACAAATTGGGTGGAAAGAGAGCACGAGTCATACGATAGAGATTCTCTTGCGTAAATGAAATATCCGTACCTTAATAGAATAGAGTTTTATAATCAAAATTCGATAATGATAGATCAATACAATTGACTTACCTCGAAAATCAACACTATAGAATGATCCAGATTCATCTCGAGGACAAATATCACTTTCACCAGCGAATGGTGAAACTAAAATAGTTCCTTCATCAATGATAGGATTATTATTTGTTAATCCACCATCCCAATAGTACTAAAATTTAAAGAAAACATGAATATAATGACCGATTACATTAACACACTGTGTCCATTACCTCTCCACGAAATTTATGCGGAATGATTCCTGACCAATATGGTACGAAACTTGAACAGATAAGTACTTGAATAAGTTCTTCACGACTATGGAATTGACTAATAATCACATTTTTGTTATCTTTCCAACGCGTTAAAGAAATAAATAATCGTCCGGAACAAATCTCATGTGCATTAGGCGGTAAAATTCGTCGTAAACCATTTCGTATGATATCCACTATGCTAAATGTTGGATGCAAAGGTCCCAATGCCCGGCTTCGCGCACGAATAGCTATTTCTAAAGCGTCACTACACATCTGTCCAAGGCAGCATCCACTCATTGCGCATGCCGCAACAAGTGAGCCGGCTGAACACCCAGCCATTTTATTCTCGAGAATTTCGGGAGCATGCTCTTTAAATGCACATATTACACCAATATGATAAACACCTAAGAATCCACATCCAGATAATGATAAGTTGATTGAAGATGAAGTAGATTTATGAATCATTCATAAATTAAACGAAAGAATTTGCCTTTCCTCTAAATCTGTTATCTTTTATTAAAATAAATCTAAAAATAAACAAAAACGGTTTGACTTTTAACGAACGTAAAGTGCAACTTGTTATCTACAAAGATTTTTGATTTGAAAATCTACTATCTGGCCTTACAACAAACGATATGTCTTTGTATACATAGACACGTCCTTTTCGAGGCATGATTTCACATAGATAAAAGCATGTGACATAAAAATATAGAAAAAAAATCACTGCTATGACCTATGTTTAACTCTAACCAGTACATTTTGGTTGGCCTTGAATAAAACAAGGCCAACACTAAAACGAACATGTTAGAAATATAAACTCTTCATTTTTTTTCTCTCTCTTTATTCGATTGGTATGACTCACATGCCACACACCTCTCGAGGGACGGACTATGTATGTGCGTGTGCCTGGGAGCGATCGATCGATCGATGTGGGAAATAGAAAAAAATACATGCCGAATGACCAATAAGAAGATAAGAATCAACCTCTTTCTCAAAAGATGTCATCATGTTCATTTCTGTTCATAATTGATCCTTTTGTTTTCTAGTTTAACTTTCTGGAGTGTCCTCTTATACACGCAACGACATCGCAAAAGTCTTTTTATCATCTACGTCCTATTGAAATAGCTACTCGAGAGTAGGCAATCTATCGTAAAGAGGTGAGATATGTACTATTGAGAGAACGAATTTGGATGATGTAATTTTCACCATATTCATTGATCTTTGATAAACAAATTTCTATTATGAACGAAAACATTCTTCTTTCCAATTGAATTGTTTACAGGTGAGGAGAAAATTCATTTGCACATACTGTGATTAATGAATATATACATAATCATTCATGCAGGTGTTCAATCGAAGTCATGGTGATTTGTTTTTAATGAAAGTTTGATGAACCAATGTATTCAGTCTCGCTTTAGAATTGTTATGAATGAGATCATGGTTGAAGTGACAGTTCTATTGAACGATATATTTCTCTTTTGTTAACGTGAGAAAAGTGTCACTTGTTTATGACAGGCGAGATTTTCACACATATGTTTGATTATTATTATTTTGAAAAATGAATCGAACATAAAAGCGATTTGACTAATGGCATCTACTTCCGCTTAATTCGTATTAAATTAGACTTAAGAGAAAGGATAAAAACAACATCTGCATGTTTTTTTTTCATGTTAAGAACTTTATTTTATCTTTCGTGATTAAAGATCAACATATGCAAAAGAAAAGAAAAAGAAATCCTTTAAAAGTCACTTTCCTATTAGTAGATGTTGGCCACTTATAAATATAAACCTTCTGGTGTACCTTGATTTTTTCGATAGAGAACAGTTTCTTTGCTCTTTCGAAAATCTTCATTTGTGACTTTCATCCGCCGTTCACGTAATGCCATCAAACCAGATTCAGTACAAATAGCCTGGAAGAGAAGATATATTCAGCAAAAAAGAAAAGAAAAAAACTTTTGAATTTTCTTCATACTTTGATATCTGCACCACTAAGATCATCTTTGGCCATGATTAATTCTTCTAAATTCACGTCATCAGCGAGAGTCATCCGACCAGTATGGATTTTAAAGATCATTCGACGAGTTTTTTCATCAGGTAGCGGAAATTCGATCTTTCGATCAATACGACCCGGACGAATCAAAGCTGGATCAAGACTGTCAATTCGATTCGTTGCCATAATGACCTAATTTCAAGGAGAAGAAGTGTAGGTCATTCTGGATCGATCACATCTCGTCTTACTTTGACATCACCACGTGAGTCAAAACCGTCAAGTTGATTCAACAATTCTAACATAGTTCTTTGAATTTCACGTTCACCACCCGAATTTGAATCGTAACTAATAACAAAATTCATAGTTTGCGATGCACTTCAATAAGGAAGAATTTTACCGTTTTGTTCCGACTGCATCGATTTCATCGATAAAGACAATGGCTGGTGCGTATTCTTCAGCAACACGAAATAATTCACGGACGAGTTTTGGTCCATCACCCTAAACTTGACTTATATAATAGTTTTTAATCAATCAAATTCATTTACCAAATATTTCTGAATCAATTCGGAACCAACAACACGAAGAAAGGTTGCTGATGTTTGATTAGCGACGGCTTTGGCCAGAAGAGTTTTACCTACACAGTACGTTAACGAAGAACTCGATTTTAATCGCACAAAGCATATCATTGAATTAAATACCTGTGCCTGGTTGACCGTAAAGAATAACACCTTTGGGAGGTTTGATACCCATCTCTTCATAGTATTCAGGATGGGTCAATGGCAATTCAACAGCTTCCTTGACAAGAAATGAAAAGAAATTGGTCGATTTATGCCTATAAATCGTTCATTACTTTAATTTCTTGAATTTGTGTTGTCAATCCACCGATATCTGCATAGCTAGAAATATTTTCACATGAAGTAGATATGAATGCACTAACATAATGCTTACGTTTCTTTCGGTGCTTTTTCAAGTTTCATTACAGCAACCATTGGATCAACATCATCACCTAACACACCAATTACAGCATGAACCTGAACAATTGCTTATGTCTAGAAAATCAAAACAATAAATCAAGCTCACTTTATGGTTTAATAAAACAGTGCATCCAGGTTCGAGTTGATCTTTGTCAACAAACGACATGATTGTGACATAATGTTCTGAGCCAACGGATGTCGAAACAATCGCATGATTATCATCAATGATTTCTTCTAGCGTGCCAACAGCCATAGGTGATCCTCTAAAATTGGAAAAATATATACGAAGTTTTCTTTGAATATTTGCACCTCACCGAAGATCATCGACTTTTGAGCGTTCCTCCTACGTAGAGAAAGAAAGAAAATCAATCAGTTTTGCTGATTCTTAAATAAATCAAGTCTTTATACTTCATGTCGGTCTTCTTGTGGTTTCAAACGTTCTTGATTCTTAATGAATTCTTCTTCTAATAACAAATAATCCTTAATACGTTCGTATCGTAATTGTTTCAACCGACAACGTGTATAGGGTAAAACTTGTGGGAGTTTATTCGCTGCTTCAGGACCTTTGGTATTCTTTTTTCGCTTTCCAATTCGTGTCGGAATTGGTGGTTCGTACTTTTTCTTCTACAATAACAATCATAACGCATTATTCTTTTTCGCCGTCTTAAACGAATATTTTCCTACTTCTTTCTCTCCGCCTCCATCACCTCGTTTATGACCACCCGAACCTTGATTACCCTAGAAAATGTTTCGAAGTTTGAAATAAAAGTTTCTTCAATCCTCTTCTCACCATATTCAAATCTAGAAGAAAAGAAAGACAAATAGATATGAAAATGGAAATTCAACTTGATTTATGTAGCATGTGATTTTTTTTTCTTTAAAAATAGTGAGTATTTCGTTTGTCATGACAATAAAAAAAAGAAGAGAATTTTGTCATTTGTGTCTTCTTTCGTTCTAGTCGACATGCGTAGAAATTTCTTGGTCATGTACCAATGTATGCGAATCGGATCGTGATGGTCGTCGATTTTCCATGTCATGTTCAACAGCTTCTTCCCACGATTCGTGTTTGACACCTTCGGCTAAATGAAGAAGTTTTATATGTACTGCCATAGGTTTTTCGTTTTTTGGTGGCATCAATATCTTCTTGAATGTTACAATATCGCCTTTCTTTGGAACGTAATCATCATCGATACTATAGAGAAAATCATGGCAGAGTTCGAAAGAGAGATGAAGGAAAAAGAGGAGTTTACTCAGAAACATGAACAAAAATAAGTTCACTTGGATTATCTTTTGGTTGGATATGACCAAAGCCTTTTTCGCGACAAAATTCATGGATTTTTCCTTCGTAAGACGGACTTTGCAAAACTCGTTCACATCTAAATCACAAGAAAGTAATAAAAGAATTCATCGATAATAAATTTCAAAGACTATCTTACTGTGAAAGTGTTCGTTCACGTCTTGGAAAGAATTCTGGTGGAAAAAGATGCTCTTCATGAGGATGAGACATGGTTGTAAATGAAAAGTTTTGATAATCTAGAATGAATTCTATGTACATAAGTATGATACTTAGGATGAATTTAGAAGCGAAGAAAAACGAAAATGTCTGGGAAATGGATCTTTCTTACTAACAACCAATGTTCGATATGAATATGAAATATAACCCTTGATCATTCCGTTTTGCATCATACTGTTTAGTATATCAATGAGTTCATTAACACCAAAGTAATTTTCTTGATCGAAACCAAAATTGAGCAATGTTAATAAAGTCGGCTCGAATGGAATTTTATTGGTTTGCTGTTGATTGATTTGATAGACATATGTACGAAACAAGTTTCTGATTACTAATAATTTCAAGTTTTCGATCAAGAAGAACAAACCAGTGTCGAATAGGAATTGCTCGTATTCGTGAATTTTGTCGATAAAATCTTTCAGTGAACCAGTACGGATTGGTTTGATCAAATCAATCAATTCATTGAGCTCATATTTTTCTAAAATTTCCATATTTGGTGTCGAACCATGTAGCATTTTTAACACAACTAGATACAACAACGATTGCTGCTTGTTTTTAATACTTCCACTTTTGTTCGAATCAAGACAATTGGTAAATACATAATCAAAGTGATCAATCGCTGAACTGTAATCATGCTTGAGAAGAAGGTGTTTACCAAGGAAATAACGATGTGTCAAGACATGAGATGAAAATCGGTGTACTTGTCGGGCATTTTCTTCTTGCATGTATTGTTTTAATGGACGCTCAGCTGAAATGTGAGCATATCTAGTTGGTTTCCTTCAATGTTAGGTCTTACCTTTGGAAATGAAGTAGGTACACAGGTTGAATTTATCCAAAGCATAGTATGTTTTCAACATTTGATTGACAATGATAAAAATGCCGACTTTTCGTAATTTAATTGTTGACGAAAAGCGTTGTAGAACGTTGATTGCTTGCAGTAATTGTGAATTGCACGTTTGAATTGTACTAGTCGAATTTGTACTATCGGACATTTCATTATCATCATTGTCACCTTCGTCGTTACCGAGTAGTGCGAGAAGACGTAATTCATGTGCATGACGATTGAAAACTGGTAATAACCACGACGGATCATCATCGTTGGATGTCGAATTTGTTGGATCATTATCATGATTGTCATCTGCTTGTAGAGCACTTGAACGACCGGAATGATAGTTCAATATTGCCATGAGACAAGAGAACTTTTTTGATTGATGTCGAAATGCACGATCGATATCGTCGAGATATAAATATCGACAAGCGAACCAATGATGTCGACTTAGTTGTTTCCAAAGTGAATCGTGGTCGTTGGTCAATGGTTGATCAAGATTCGGTTCATTTGTGTCAGTATAATCCAAATCATTGATTTGATACATACGTGATACATTCAATAATTCATCCAATAATAAACCATCGTGCATTTTCGCAGTATCAAGCACGGACTCGATAAACTCGTAGGGATTTCGACAGTAGATGAAATCATCCGACATGATCTGATTTTTCACTTATCTAGAATGAAGAAAATTTACTATTTCTCCTTTCTCGATCAGATTGTTTATCAAGTGATTGTCTTAGGACGGAACAAAGATGGTCACAATTTGTGCCGTATTTACCAGCTATTTCTACAATATGTTCGAAGCGAACGAATTCTTTCAGGCACCATTGTTCTTCGTAATCATTCTTTAGAATTTCTTGATAATTCTCTAATGAATGATAGAATTCTCGGAGTTTATCTTGCTCTTCCAATTGATCAATTTTATTGATGGCGAGTATTGCAGGCTTGCGCAGTAGAGTCGGTTCGTACAATTCAAGTTCTTTGGTTAGAAACACAATCGAATCGAATGCTGAACGCAGCGGTGAGCGAAGATCAAGTTGAAATCCGTTGATATCAATGACAAAGAGAAGAATTTTTGATCGAAGAGTATGTTTAAGAAACCGAGAGCCCAATCCCATTTTGATATGAGATCCTTCGATGAGACCGGGTAGATCCGCTATGGTAAACGAACGACTATCATCGAAGATAACCGTACCGATTTGTGGATGAAGAGTAGTAAATGGAACAGGTGATATTGCTGGTCGAGTACGAGAAAGCATCGAGAGTAGAGTCGATTTACCAGCATTGGGATAACCAACGAACCTGGAATAACAATACGTTTCACTTTCTATCTTGAAATATAGGAAACAATCATTTACCCGACATCAGCTAGCAATTTGAGATCCAAATTCACCATTGTTGCTTCGCCGGGTTCACCTTGAAAGAATGTTTTATAACTACCACCCGCACCTCCATGTGCTACGATACATTCATCGTCGATGTCATTGATCTCATCAATTAACTCTCCATTATCACGTAAGATCTGTATCCCTAATGGCACGTGAATCGTCAGATGTGCACCTGCCAACGCGTTTAAACGCGTTTTATGGCTGTGTTCACCGTCCGGCGCAATATAACGTTTGGATAAATTTTTCTCATAAACATTTTTCAACGTTAAATGACGTTTACCACGTATAAGAACATGTCCACCCTGTCCACCTAAACCACCATATTTCTTCAAACCATTGCCACCACGACCTCCCCGAACATAGATGCGAAGTTTATCGATAAATGGTAACTCTAAATGTCGACCAAGATCTTTCTCAGTTATTTTATATAAACAACGTGTCAAGAACATTTCAATCTAGAAAAATCGATAGTTGAAATACCAGTTTTACTTACATGTCTCCGAACAAGACAGTCGATAGAAGTATTCTGAGTTTTGTATAATGAAAAGAAAGAAAAATTATGAATAATTCTGGAAAGAAAGGTTAAAATAAAGTTTTCACCGACAATAGAAAGATAGGAGGACAAAAATCCAATAAGAAAACGAGTGCATTTTTTCGCTTGTTAACTAGTGACACCATCGAGTGTATTCTCGACTCTTTCTGGATTTATTTATAAAAGTAAAATACAAGTTATTTAAGCCAAATAGTCAAATCAAATTCGCTATTCCACATCGATACAGGCCTCTTCAAATCTGACAGACAGTTTCTGTATTCTCTTGAATTATACGACACGTATTTTGAATACTTGAACGTAACACGCGATAAATGCTCAGCGTTTTTAACAATAAATTTCACGTCATCACTGTTTCTCACTTGAACACACAAATGTTTTATATTCGATGTCATCATTGAACAGACGTTTTCCATTGTTGTTGTACAATTATCTGGACCCCAATAGTCTTCTAAAGACAAGGTACAAATATTTACAGCTTGACGAAGTAAATCTTGAGTACCACGAATTATACTCGGCATGTATTCGGAAGAAAAATTCACGATTAAGAACAGTTTAACGAGGTGCGAAAGATTCACAGTAGAGGAAAGAAATCTCAGTGAATCTTTGGGCCATTCTCCATCGATACCCAGTATCAATTCATCTACATTTTGAAATTGCATTTCTTGTCTATCGTTCATCCCTTGTGATAAATTGACGCTGAATCGTTTAACATAATTCATTTCTGCTGAACTTATATTACGTTTTGTAAAATTCGATGCTAACACTTTATCTTCACTAGCATAGTATTGATAATATGTATGACATATCGGTAATGAGTAGAGAACGAGCCTATGCAAATGTAGGATATAATCACATACTATTGAACAACGCAAATCTTGCGACCAAAATGGTGTACGATATAACGAGACCATTTCTTCGATATTCTTCGTATCGTAATGGACATCCGTTAGGACTGATAGGTAGATCTCGAATTTTGTCAATTGTGGAAGCTTTGCTTTGATAATTCGTTCCCAACGATAGCCATCGAAAGCAGAATTAAATAAAGATCCGCGACCAACTAATTTCAAATAAACTAAGAATGGAATCCAAGAAAAACATTGTTCAAATTTATCCATTTGGATAAACCCATCGATACACACTAGTGTTTTTAATCCAAACGACTCCACCGGCAAATGAACAGTTGTTGACGCTTCTTCTTGCGTAATTTCCTCGAGATCAAAATCTTTTAGGATAAAAGTTTGCAAGCAGGGAAAACATTGAAGGATCAAATAGAATTGTTTGAGTGACAGGCTATTCCTGACTCGAAGATATTGCAGAGTAGCGCTGGTAGGCCATCGGAATGTAGAGACATCAATTGAACGTAGGTGTAAATCGAGTTTTTCAAGTTTGAACTGCTCGATCGTTGTGGAAAGGCGTTCTAATTGATGATTTTTTTTAAGACTAAATACAGAATAACCGACTGAAAGCGATCTTAATGGTAGATGCTGAATAAGAATTAGAAGTAATTTTAAATCATCAGGTTTGATATCAAGAATTTTTAACGATCGAAGTCGCGTGAATTGACTAAGATTGGACAGAGAAAGAAATAACGATGTTTGCTCATGAGTTTGATCCCTGTCGGATAATGTTAATGATCGAACTTGTTCCAATGGAATTCTTGTACAAATAAGGTAGAAATTTGCTTTTGATATTGATTCGAAATTGAAATCATAATTGTCATAGGAATTAGCAATCGAATAAAATCGTTTACAAACACAGCGAATTGAAAAGAAAATTGTTTCACAATCGAGATAATTGAAAATCTGATGAAGAATCTCAATAGGCAATACCTCAAGAACTTTGTCAGACATGTATGAATCAAACAAACTGGGTAAAATTCTTTCGTCATTTCTATTGCTCGTTGGGTATCACCAGTTAAGCCAATCAAAAAATTTGGCGAGGTTTTTTGCTTCGCTTCGTTGATTGCTGTAAAAATGTATGCAGACTTGATTTATTGGCAACCGTATAGAAAGAGGTAATTAAGTGTAGCAATCCGTTACATCAGATACCGTTTATAACCCTGACAAGCACCCACGTACATCAATCTATAGGAGTGTTGGGTCTATGTTTGAAAGGTACAATGACGTTAGCAAGGAAAGCTATTTTTCGAAAGAAATATTTCATACACGTGTGCTGGTGACGTTAGATACAAAAAATATCGACTGTGTACCTTCACTTTCGATAATATTTATGTTGATTTGAATACATATTTGTGTTTCATTTGGTTTTTTACTTTCATAACGAGCGACTTGGTAGATAACAGCGTAAGTATAGGCTGATCGTGCAAGTTTCCTGAATATGTTTCCTACCCCTACGCAATAGGAGCGAGTTGTTTAATGAATAATTGTCTCGTCTGATCTAAATTATTTCTGATAGTGTACCTTCCGAACTCGAAATGAAATTAATTTGATTCGGTTAATTTAGATTGAGGAAATAGATCATGTCGAAGTATAATTGTTTCAAAAATCATGAAAAAATACACAGTCATTTGACGTCGCCTTCCCATGCGATCGATCAAATGATATCGTTAGTTGTGTTTGATCATGCCGAAATGAAAAAAATCATCGCCATGAATGAGCCTGAACTTTCACAGCAAAAGTTCGTACGAAGAAATGTCTATTACAGATTTAACTTTTTGTTTTTTAGAACCACTTTCCGTTCATTACAATCACGGCGAAAACGGCGAATAGCACTTCGCAGGTAGGTTCATTGTATGGTTGAAACGCGCATGTAGAAGCACTTTTTTCTAGCCGCTTTTCGAAAATTGATTCATTTCGACGATTAGCATGGAATAATACTAGTCCTAAACAGCTTGAACATGCCGAAGCACAGCTATTGTCAATCTTGAAGACCAAATTCGATGGCCGTTATGTCCCTATTATGAATAATCGAATTAATATCTGGACGATTTTCTCGAATGTCAACTCGGATAATACTCCCATTGTGCTTTTACACGGATTTGGTGGGGGTGTCGGCTTATGGAGTTTGAATCTCGATCATCTATCTTGTGAACGTCCTGTTTACGCGATCGACTTACCGGGATTTGGACGTAGCAGTCGACCAATATTTAGTCTCGATCATGAAGAAGCCGAAAATCAAATTATCGATATGATAGAAGAATGGAGAAAGGAAATTGGATTAGACAGACAGTTCATTCTACTTGGGCATAGTTTTGGTGGATTTCTAAGTTCTTCCTATGCTTTAAAGTATCCAAAATACGTTAAACAATTGGTGCTAATTGACTCGTGGGGTATTGCGCAACGTCCTGATGATATTTGGCAAACAGGACGTTTACAACGTGTGCCTGTGTGGTTGAGATCATTTTCATCGGTTATGATGAAAATGTCACCATTGACAGGATTGCGAGCGGCGGGACCGTTAGGTAATAAAGTTTGAATTGAGTATTGCCAGAAAAGAGAAAACAATCTCTTTTAGGCGTTCCTGTAATCAAATACTTTCGCGGAGATCTTCGAACGAAATTCGAGAAACTGTTCAATGACGATCGCATATTAATATATCTATATCATTGTAATGCTCAACTACCAACTGGAGAACAAGCCTTTCGAACAATCAGTGATTGCTTTGCTTGGGCTAAAGGTTTCAATAGTTTTGACTTCTTTGTCTCTTTTTCAAACTCTCTCTTTCTCTCTTTCAGATCCCATGATAAATCGAATTCATTCATTAGACGAACGAATTCCCATTTATTTTCTCTATGGTGAACAATCATGGTTAACTGCAGATGCATCTCTTGCCATCCAAGAAAAACGGCCGAATGTCTTCGTAGAGACTGTGAAAAACGCCGGTCATCATGTAAATACATTTTTTCATGAAAACTTTGCCCTAATTTCACGTACTGTTTCTTTCTTGTAGATCTATGCCGACGCACCCGTCGAATTCGAAATGTATCTGAAGAAAATTCTCTGCAATAAAGAGTGACATGCTACTTTCTATTTAATAATCTTCTATGAAGGTTATTCTATTTTTTATATTTATTGAACATATGGAAGTAAATAAGTTCTTTCACGTATCTATTATCTATATATTGTTCGTGAAAGTACATTGATTAGAACAAAATCAGATCCGAATTGAAATGAATATTTCCTTCCTGCAGAAAAACGGTGTGACATAGAAAGCCTAATTTTAATTGAGCTGGTTCATTTGATTTCCTGTGTGCAAATATGTACACAGTGTGCTGTAGAGAAAACACGGAAACGTGGGCATCCTCAACCAACAAATAATAACCTGTTATTCTATTGTTGAAAAATGAGAGTCAAAATAATAACAATTCAATATTTATTAATTTATCATAAGAGCGAGAGAGAAGACGAACAGATATAAAAGGAACAAGGAAAATTCTTTTTTTTATACATATTGCTGACTGTACTCAGTCCGTTGATCAGTCATGTGTGTGAGGGCGAGAGAGAGGACAGCGATGTTTTCTTTCTATTAACTTTTGCCAAGGTTATTTCGCAAACAGGATTAAAACATCAACGAAAACCATGAAACCTGACAAAGCAGTCGTTTTGTTTGTGTTTAATGACAACGCATATTTTTCTTCCGTCGTTTGTCAGAATAAAAAAAAAGACACGTTGTTTTTAAACCATTTTCTCTTCCATTTCAGTTCTTGACAATGTCTAAATACGTGCTTGCATCGCTGTTTGGTCTCAACCTGATTCTATTCTCCATGATTGAATGTCGGCCTCATACACAAAAACTCGTTGTGCATGGACATGAATGGACAGTGCCCAACGAACCCGGTTGGGAAGAAGGTATGACCTATTTATCTTGCTGCTTACAAACAATTCGTTCTTGTTTGTAGTTCTTCACGAAGCTGAACCTATTCGCCATAGATTTTTAACAAATTGTGGATCAAGTCGAGAATGCCGACTAGCTGCTGAACGATTGCGTGATGTTTTTCTAAAATATCCTGTTTCTGCGAAATACTACGATGATTCCATAGGCAACGATCACCTCGCGAATGACATTGATTCGATTTTTAAATGGGGTTGAGTTTTGTAAACGTCGTCTAATTTTTTGTCCATGGAATTCAGAACACGAAAGAAAACATCAGATTCATGAAAACAAAATTAACACATTTTGTTCTGATGTGGATTTTTTATTTAGGTTACTTATAAAAGATGAAAATAAGGCGATGACCTAGTTTGATTTCATTCAACAGGAACATATATATATATACTTTTACTTGTCGGAAACTGCTCGAGATATCGCATGATCTAATCAGCGTTGTGAAACATGTAGATATTTTAGAATTACTTTTATGTTGAGTAGTCTTGTGTTTCAAATACCTCGACCGTTGTCTTGGAATCTACGAGAAAGTCACATCTAGTTTTCACATAAACAGTTCGACGCGTTCGAGCGAACATTTTCTTGTAAACTTTCGATGAAAGTCAGTATTTTAAAATGATATCACACAACATGTTTTCTTCCGTCATTGCGTCGATGGCAACTGTTAGTTCATTCGGAAGAGAGAGTTGTACTTACAGCTCTTTCTTTTCTTCTCCGTCTTGATGACGAATTCAGTGAAAAATATGTGTCATGTTCATTTGTATATTTGATTTGCTGAGTGAAAAAAAGCAGCCGAGAAGCAGTGTTTCTGTTTGCTATTGAATAATCACATGTTTATCGAAATGTCAAGGAACGAAAAGAGTTCTTTTCTTTTCAGTTTTTGTTAATTCATCAAAATCATGCATACCTGATTTTTACTATCCTCTTATACGAATAAGATCATTTGATCGCCACTAAAGAATTTAGTTTTACATTTGTACCATTTGACATGACTTTCGAATTGTTATTAGATTCCATTGGTTTAGACAACAATAAATTTGCAATGAAATGACAACATGATCACATATATAATAATTGTGGCATATGGTATAGGCCTATACTCTTCAGCTGAGAGGACATCTTAAATATGCTACTAAAAGTTTTATGAATCGATGTGGATTGGAAGCTAATTGGGATAGCTCGTTGTTAACGCCAGATCAACACACCTGTCCCAACGGCATAAAGCCTTCGATTAACCGAAGCAAAGCTTATAATCTACTTTATTTAGATATAAATGTACTTTTTAACTTGAATTTATTATTTTTTTCTACTAAAGATCTTCTGGATCCACTCAATCGGTTCGAATACCTCGTTATACAGAACAGCAACTGTGGAAGTATCGACGCATTTGGATCCTTTTTGGCGTCTGAAATACGTGCAAACTATTCATATAAAAGAAAAGAACGCTCCGGAATTATTTGACGGCCTATTTATATAATAACGAGTCACTTATTATATGTGCTTAACTCTATGTTTCTCGATATATCTTCATTGTATTACTATTTCTATTACCATTTGAGGTAGTAACATCTACCTTTAGTAACAACGATACTCATCACCTGCCATCCAATGGCACGTGTCTTTCCAAAGATTCAGAACAGGTAGCATCAAAACATCCATCTCTTCTCATCACTTATCGTCTGCTCTTCTTCTTCTTCTCTCACAGCAAAACCTTGTTTACTTTCTTCTTACAAACACTACAAATGGAACAGCCACTGTCAATTCTCTCACTCAATATCTCCAGCTCATCGCCAACTCAACAGTCCCATCCACTCCCAACAACACACTGACCATCACTCAGTTCGACAAGATCTTGGAAAACATCACCAACACTACCATTTCCATCGCCAATAACTTCACAGCGATCGTCGCTAGCCAAATCAATGGCACTGTGGACAACGAAACAGTCATTGGCCTTGCTTATAACACCTCCAACAACACAATAGTGAACACGGTAAACAGTGCGAATGTGACTGGCTCTTTTCAATCGGTTGCTGGTATAGTTCGGTTGGAGGGACTGAAGAACACTGAATATTTCAATATGTTGCTAATTTACAATCCAAACACAGTTGAGAGACTGGGAAACTGGAGCGAGACTGATCAAATAGTCTCATCAGTTGTCGTAGTGTTAGTCGATGATAATGCTACCGCAGTGCTGAATGTTAACTTATATCTTCAAATTCTGAAGCTATCTGATTTAAACAAAAGCGAAGAGTATACTTATGAGTTCTACGACATCAACATTTCCTTGTGGACTGTCACTCGCTGCACTTCTCCTCGATTCAATCCTGAATTTGATCGTTACGAATGTGTTTGCTATTGATCACGAATCTTCCAATTTAGTCGTACGTTAAACTCGTCAGTAGTTAGTTCACGTGTGGTATTAGATGCTGGTGACAAAACATTACTAACATTTTAGTTGATTTCTATTCTGTCACTAGTTATACACACTCTTGCGAATGTCATTACTCGACTTCGTAGTCGGGTTGTGTCGTTTACACTACATGATCTCCTACCGTTCATCTCTTTCGCAGCGATAATACTTCTGTTTAGTTTTCATATGGCACTCAATACGGTAACATATGAACAAAGTTCATCTATAAATCAAACAAATTGTACTCTGAACTCAACTTTTCTGATAATTCTGGTTTCTTTCTTCTTAATCTCCATGATTTGTACCAAACTAAATCTAGCCTATCTCAATTATCTTTGTTTTATTCGTTTATTTCCTCAACCAACGTCACAACGATGGTTTCTCATGATGTTCATTTCATTGATTATCTGAATCATTTCTGGCGTACTCATTCTTATACTTCATCTCCGTTCATCTTTCCAAATTGTCGAACACTACTCATGTAAATAGTGTTGATTCAATCAAAATACAATTCATCATTTCCTTACCACTCCCATTTCTTGACGTACTATCATCAATATGATTGTAGTTATTCTTGTTACAAAACAATTTGTTCATTATATTCGCAAAGTAAGATCATTTGAGAAATGTTCGATACGAAACAAGCGATGTATTCTAATTTTATTAATACTATTTGTGGTTCAAGGTGTTAGTTGGTATTTTCTATCGTTCGTTTTCGTTCCTAACCTGATGGTTAAAAAAAACTATTCCATGGATTTGTAATATCGTCAATGGACTTGACGGCTTTTGGACAAGGTATTCTTCATATACTATTTTGTTTAAATCAAGCACATGACTCAGGAAATGAATTCAATACGAAAGAAATCAGAGTTTCGGCTATCGAAAATCCCGTTTACGATGATCATATGATGCATAATTCGGTAGAATTTCATATTGATGACAAACATCTATAAAATCACTTTTGTTTGGAATTGAAGTATTCTATTGTGAGTTCAAAGATCTTTGAAATTACAATGAAAGAAAAATCATGATTGCTTTCGAAATTCTTTTCCAAAGACAAGGATATGACGCAGCACATGACATAGAAGCGAAGAAATGTTTTCTTCCATATTAATATTCCTGAGATTTGAAAACAAAAAGAAGCAAAATAAAGATTTCAAGTGGAAGCTGTGCAACACAGCGGTTGTTTTTACTGTTTTTTTGGGAACTGGCAAAGTCATAATAAGAAAATGACTGCATCAATTTTCGAATATAATATTTGTTTTCGAATGAATAATCTTTGCAGTAACAGTGAACGAATCAGAAGAAAGAAAGAAAGTGACGTTCGATTGCGAACTTCATTAGATTTTGCTAAAGTAAACGGCTTGTTTTTCTTGTTCTCTTCCTTTTTTTTCAGAGTTCTCAATAGTCGATTGTTAATGTAGTTTTTTTTCTGTGATTTTCGACAAGCGTAAATAATCTTCTCTGGAGTTCGACTATGATTTTTGAATTCTATGGTGTCGTATTCCAGTGTCTTTAGACAGTTGTTTTGATTTCTCTACCTGTGAGCAACTATAATAGACAAAATAACATTTTTATCGTATATTTTTACTAATCAAATAATGAAAATTCCATATTCTATCGCAATGATAAACGAGGGATGTGTTTGCAGATTTGAAATTTGACTAGACTTAACATGAAGAATCCTATGCACTTCGGTCCTATCTATTTCTTAATATACATCTACGCTACAACAATCAGCACTAGCTATGCAACGACGACGGAGGCACCAACAAGTATGTAAAGTTTATATATACAGTTCCTAAACCATTCATCGAGAGTAAAGCATAGAGCTGGTTTATAGAGTTGAGTTATGTTTTTCAATTGAATTCAGACAATGGTTAGAATAAAGTTTTCTTAATTAAAAAACTAGCACCTTCAATATTCCGACCAAGTAGCTTCTAATCAAAACAGAATTATTCTTATTCACACTGTTCCCATGTACAGCGGAAAAGAATCAGTATATGTTTATGAGTATATGAATGATGACTTTACTAATTTCACGTTTTTAAATTGAATGTTATATTTCTATCGCTTCAGCCCAAATGACTACTGACACATCATCGAATCCTAATTCAATCTACATCATCACGAGCTTCACTCCAAACGGTATTCGCTCACAATGAATTTTTAAGCATTCTATTCTTTTTCTTTTGTTTTCCAAGCTATGGTAACTCCTATATATATCATAACAAGCATCACCCCAAGTATGTGTCATTTTATCTTTTTTTATTCCTCCTTATCAGATTACATCTTACATCAGTAACTACTACAACTATCACAACAACAATTACTACTTCAACAGTGACTACAACAACAACAACTCTTCCCTTTTGTAATAACGGTACTCATTACCTCTCATCCAACGGCACGTGTCTTTCCAAAGATTCAGAACAGGTAACATCAAAACATCTATCTCTTCTCATCACTTATCATCTGCTCTTCTTCTTCTTCTCTCACAGCAAAGTCTTGTTTACTTTCTTCTTACAAACACTACAAATGGAACAGCCACTGCCAATGCTCTCACTCAGTATCTCCAGCTCATCGCCAACTCAACAGTCCCATCCACTCCCAACAACACACTGACCATCACTCAGATCGACAAGATCTTGGAAAACATCACCAACACTACCATTTCCATCGCCAATAACTTCACAGCGATCGTCGCTAGCCAAATCAATGGCACTGTGGACAACGAAACAGTCATTGGCCTGGCTTATAACACCTCCAACAACACAATAGTGAACACGGTAAACAGTGCGAATGTGACTGGCTCTTTTCAATCGGTTGCTGGTATAGTTCGGTTGGAGGGACTGAAAAACACTGAATATTTCAATATGTTGCTAATTTACAATCCAAACACAGTTGAGAGACTGGGAAACTGGAGCGAGACTGATCAAATAGTCTCATCAGTTGTCGTAGCTTCGGTCAATCGTACTATAAGAAATAAGGTAGTTATTAGATTACTGTTTGAAGTGATAATACCACCGGATCCGAATGCTCTTGGAAAGTATACCTGTAAATACTTTAATAGTACAACATCTCAATGGAGCAGTGATGGTTGTTTGGAACCTAATTACAATAAAGAGTTTCGTCGCTATGAGTGTGAATGTTATCATTTAACGTCTTTTGCACTTATTTGGTCTCAAAATCTTTTGAACAACAAATTTGAAGAATACACTGCGGAAGACATAGCGTCAATTGTGTTTCTATCGATTTCTATCACATGTTTCGTTGTTGTTATCATTCACGGCTTTTACAAATGTACCTGGGGTGCAGATAATGAGAATGAACGAGATGAAGCTCGACTACCGAGAAACATCATACTATACATAACCTTTGGTGTGACAATGTTGCTATTTCTCTTTTACCTCAGTTTGGGAGGAACAGTTTATCAGAGATACAAGTCACTAGATCTGTCAAATAATGGACATGGTGATCCATCGGCACCTGAAATGAAGCCAATGACCCGAGCTAATACCCTAACAACAACATCAGCAGCATCGGATGACTCATGCACAGCGAACGAACGCGTCTTAATGTACATTGTATACTTTTTTATTATAATGATGTTTTGTGCTAAAACTTTCATGGGATATTACAATTATCTGCATTTTGTAAAAAAGTTTCCTCCACCACACTACTATTTGCATCTTATTATTGTTATGTCTATTTCGGCAATTATTAGCGCGATTGCGATGATTTTAGCAATTGTTTTTAATTCCAATCCACCCAATCAAATAACGCGAACAGTGAAGGGTAAACTTTGTTGGTTCAAAACAGAATCGCATATCAATGATTACTTTTTAACAATACCAATCGTATTATTTCTCGCTTTAAATACCATCCTACTATTTGTAGTTATTATATATCTGTTTTTCAGTACTAGGAGAACAGATATGCCAGAAGTGAAAAATATACGACTCCAACGAATGTTCATTATTCTGCTAATCTCATGTTTCACACAAGGTTTCGGTTGGCTTTTCGGTGTGGTTATTCCCGGCGTTGATCAGAAAGCCGGTGGGGTGCTAGTATGGTTTTTTATTATTTTCAATGGACTGGAAGGTCTTTTTACCGTCATTGCATATGTAATTGGTTTACGCGCAGAACTAGATAAGACAATACCTCGTGGTCCGAATTCTGGCTCAGATTACGAAATGCTCAATGCGATCAATGAATCACCATCGAAAGAAATAAAAGAAATCGAAATCGCAATAAAAAATCTAAAGAAAGCACAACCTCCCAATTTTCAAAGTAGCTCACCTCGTGAGTCATTTGCCTGTTCAAATGATGTGCAGCTAGATTTGGCTCGTTCTGAAGATGACAGACGTGAACCTGATTGCACATATTAACTTGCATATATGGTTATCAATGATTCTCATGAACAAAAACTCCTCGATATGTAACTATGAGTTTGTGTTTTCTTAAATAAAAGTTGTTTACTTTTGTATTATTTACACATTCGTATGAGCTATTTGTTGAAATTACTGATTAAAACGAGAGATAAACTATCAAAATATGATATAAACACCATTTTTTATTACTTCAACATGAACTACTCACCGGAACGCAATGAAGGACGATTATCTGATTGTTTAACAAATTGATTACCTTCTATACATCTTCTACAGCTATGATAAATAGAATATCCAAAACTGTAAATACAAAAGTCAATATGTTGTATGAGTATCGCTATCTCTAACACCTTTATTTATACATATTATGCTAATATTGAGATTTTATCGTGATGATAAAGAAAAAGAATGTCAATGTTTTTAGTCATATATTTATGAATGTTAAGTAATCGGCTTTGCACGATAACCATCTTTAATGAAATAACGGCGAAATTCGATAACTTCTTCATATAGTTTTCATTCACTCTGAGATTTATGGCAGAAACTAAATAACTGCAATTTCTTCTCACGCGCAGAAAGTTTACGCTTATTTGAAACACTTTTTACGCATATGCAAAATAAATGGTGCTACTTGCTGATAGAAGACTGTTTTTAATATCCTTTGTAATCTTTGGTGTACATAGAATCACTGCGGATTTGTATAGACATCTGATATTTCTAAATAATGATAGTGATATAAATTTATTGGCCAACAGCATACATGAGAAATTAGTTGAAAGCATCAGTTATCATCGAGAGTATGAGACGAACGTTATCGAACAAAAAACAATGCTACTGGGTGATGCATCGGGGTCCGGAGATGCCAATGGTAAGAATATACACTAGCCTCTCAGTGATTCCTACACTCTGTTCCTTCCTAAGCGAAAACTACTGCTATTATGCTGTTTTACCCTTTAGACACTTCCACAACAGACTTCACCAAAATAACCATTAATACAACACTTGTGTCAACAGTTTTCTCTACAAGCTCAACCACTGAATCAAGCACAAGCACACTTACTATTCTGTACACTCCTGAAAAATGTGAAAATGCAACTCATGCGAAGTTACCAAACGGTACTTGTGTATCCAAGGGATCAGCCTTAGTAACACATATTTTACAGCATCTTTCTCTCATTTCTCTCTTTACATAATAGACATTTGTTCATCAAACACTCAACTCACCCAATGCAACAGACAATGACAAGGCTGAAGCACTTGCCTTGTATTTTGTCTCCATTGAAGATTCCAGCTCTTCTCCTTCCTCCAACTCAACGATTATCTTAGCCCTTACCGACATAGAACGAATTCTTGATAATCTTACTGATGTTACCGCCAATATCAGTTCATCGGCATCTTTTCTCGTGGCTCAGCCAATTAATCGAACCATTGAAAAAGGAATCATTTTAGGTGCTTCAGTCTACAGTCAAAGCAGCGGCGAGATCGTCACCACCCTCAATAAAGGTCGTATCATATCCAGTTCGAATTTAACAACAGCAGCTATCATTGACAACACAACTCTGGATGGCGTTACTTCACTCAGTGTCCTCATCATCAATCATCCAACGTCCTTCCGAAATGCTGACAACACCACCAACAAAACTATCGCATCTTCACTTGCTATTCTATCGGTTCAACCACACCATTTCATTAAATCCATCAACATCTCCCTATACTTTCAACTTCTTAACGGCTCACGTCCAAGTGACGACCTAGACTATCGATGTTCATACTTTAACACAACTCATCACACTTGGGAAGAGCACGGATGTTCATCAGCACTCTACAACCACATCTACAATCGGTACGAGTGCTACTGCAATCATAACACATCATTTGCACTCATCTGGACACCCAAGATACCACTCACCTCACATCTCGATGCACAAGACATTGCATCACTCGTTGTCCAGTTCATCTCCATTACGTGCTTCATCATTGTCATCGTACATGGACTCGTCACTCAACTGTCCAATCGACTCGGCTCTGTCCAGGCTCGACTTCTTCTTCCACTCATATCCGCTGCAACGACCACACTTCTCTTTATTTTCTACATCGCACTAGCACTCACTGTCTACAAACACACACCGTCGTCGACAACTACGAATCGATGCTTTGTGAGCTCGAGCGTATTGATGTTCATCACTTATTTTCTCTTGATCTTCATGTTTTGTGTGAAGAGCAGCGTGGGATATTTCAACTATCTACGATTCGTGCACTTGTTTCCTGAGCCATCGCATGGCAGACTATACTTTCTGTTGCTGTTATCATTTGTTGTGTCTGCTGTGTGCACATCACTGGCCGTCGGACTGAACTCGAACACTGCACTAAACATCACCGAACTGTATCGATTCAGACTGTGCTGGTTTAGTCGAAGTGTGAACTACTATTTTCTGACGATTCCAGCATGTTTGTTTGTGTTGGTGAATGTGGTGATGTTGATTGTTGTTGGGAGTCGAATCGTGAATCATGCTCGACATGCGACTTCGCATCATCAATCGTACGAGCGAATGAAGCGATGTGTATTGGTATTGATGTCGTCGAGTATCAGTCAAGGCGTTGGTTGGGTGTTCGGTCCGTTGATTGGTATCGATAACAAGATAACTGCGACTGTGTTCGGATGGATATTTGTGATACTTATCGGACTTGAAGGTCTTTGGTCAGCATCAATATATCTCATTGTGCGGCTACAATATTTGGATGAACAAAAGCGTGTGGTGGCTGCTAGGCTGGTTGAGAGAGCTAAATGGTTTGTCGAATGTGAAATATACTCGCGAGAAGGTATTGAGAGTAAAGAACATGGTTGCTATATACCAAGAGAAGTGAAACATCGATTTAGAGATGAAGAAAATGAACCAGTATACCTGGAGGAATCTTACACAAGACATTTTGATAAATTAACGGATACTGATGATGCATTGTTATATTTTTAAATAAAGAAATTGTTACACTTGTGTTATGTGGATATTCTATGGGAAATCATGATACTGGACCGAATGTATAGAATATTGAATAATGTAAAATTCTGTTGTATTTATTCAAACTGTATTGTAAAGATTAGGTGAAATGTGGCGCTATGAGGAACGTTGAAGACATGCGTCAGAAAATTTGAAAGCAACTATTCGTATATATTTGATTCTCATATAGTTTGAGCACGAGAAATTGAAATGCAATTTGTTCTTCGTGGTTTTTGTGATTAATTCAATGGATTTCAAATAAATATTCATACAATACACGAGTCTGAATACATAAGAATAACAAATCATTCTTACCAAACCAATAATGAATTATTTTTTAAATAATAACAAGTAAACAATCAATAAAAAATTTCGTTGTAGCCCCAATGTATTGTATAGCCGAATAGGAACTTGAAAAAGAGATTTTCATGGTCAAAAATAATTTCGATACTTGATCATTTTTTTGCAGAGAGAATAATGTAAAAGAAATTGTATGTAGACATTGAAATTGGATTAACTTCTGTCCTCATACATCTTTTTCTCTATTTGTTCTCCATGTGTTGTCAAGAAGTTGTATAGTGTCTTCCACGGAACAAAATATAATCGATTCATTAAGATTTCATCAGAAAGAAATATATGAAAATTTGAGTCATATTTTAGTGTAACATAGTATCAGATTAGATTGGAATTTAAAACTAAACATAATTGTTCTCCATATGAAAACAAAAATCGATCGGATCAATATGTAAAATCACGATTGTACATCATTTGAATTCAATACTAATAAAACAAATTTCTGACGAAGGCAGCACTGGAAAAAAAGGACAAGAATCATGAGTTTGAAAGAAAATCACACCTATAGTGAAAAAAAAAGAACTAAAATATAACTGCAGTTATCTGGCATGCTTGACAACATGTTTTGAAATATTATACTAAGTACATGTTTTGACTGTAATCCATAACAAACATGGCTGCGTACTGTGATAGCTACAGATAATTGTATTCTTACTTGAATGAAAAGTGCGTGCAATGTTACATATGATTTCTTTTTGTCCGGCCGGGATGACGGATTCTCTCGCTCAATCGGCAATCTAGCAGGTAGCTTCTCTACAAACTTAACTATTTTGGTTTGTATTTTTCACATTATGAAAGTTTGAGTTAGCTTGTATGGTTTCGCGTTTGCAAAATGTTGAATGCATTTATTTGAGCACAAAAGAGTCTGGAGTAGATGACTGAGTAAAGTTAAACTTCGGATGTTTGTGTGATATAGAAATATGAAGAATCTTCATCCAAAGTATGAGAAGTCTTCAAGAGTTGCACGTGTGACCTAAAAGTCGCAGAATTCATGTCATATGCTTTGTCTATTTCTTTTCTCGTAGATTATCAATGAGAAATATTAATAGAAAACTCTATTTTAACTTACTTCTCATCTTCAATGGTTATGTCATTACCACAGAATCATATGGTCATGAAATTTTTTCGAATGATGATACGCATCTAAGCCGAATAATGTATAACGAATTAATTCGAGAGATCGAACATCAGCAGAGACTTCTACGAAGTGTGACTGATATGAGTGCAACTGGTACGGCAGGAGGTAGCCCAGGTGAAACAATAACAGAAGGTTCTGGAGAAACTACAGGTAAGAACGTGTCATCTATTTGCATTATATTCGTTACATATTTTTGTCTAGTTATGGAACTAACGAGTGTTACCTCGTGGATCAGCATAGGCGTCAGCTCTGACCAAACACCCGGTGAATATCATAGTCTTAGCTATAAACATCTCAGAATTTATTTGAGGACGGCAATCTTTGGCGAGCTTATACTTCAAAACATAAATGATGATTAACTTCTTATCACTCTCTTCACATACTCATAAGATTTAGTGAACTCGAACGTTGCCATATCAAAATGATTCTCACCATTTTCCATTTATTTTAGCATCGCCGTCCACGTATACGGATGATGTTTCTTCGGTGTCTATACCTCATGGATCCTATGAATCGGTAACACCCTCAACAAGCAGTATTTCTATCCCTAGTACTACTTCCAACCCTGACTATACGCAACAACCGTCAACAGGAGCTACTTCGCAGAAAGAATCGTATTCAACCATCCTATCTGAAACAACATCTCACTCTGCAACGCCCATCATAGATCACAGTACTGAATCTTCAGAAAGTTCAACAGATATTATAGTTACCGCAATATATTCCGATGAAACTGCACTACTAACCATCAGTCTCGACCAATCTTCTGCATCTTCAGAAGGATCGATGTTTACCGTTACGGATCACGATATGTCCTTAACTACCACAAATGAAACTATATTGACCATCTCCACACTTACACCGGAATCAACAGAATATCAGACAACACCCTTGAGCGCCATATCTGACACCAGCTCAGCAATCGTCAGCGATACTTCTTTGTACCACTCAACAATGACGGCTAACGTTCCTATTACAACCATATCAACTACCACAACCACAGCAACCACCACAACCACAGCAACCACCACAACCGCATCAACTACCACAACCGCATCAACTACCACAACCACAGCAACTACCACAACCACAGCAACCACCACAACCGCATCAACTACCACAACCGCATCAACTACCACAACCACAGCAACTACCACAACCACAGCAACCACCACAACCACAACTGCCACTTCGTACATTCCTGAAAAATGTGAAAATGCAACTCATGCGAAGTTACCAAACGATACTTGTGTATCCAAGGGATCAGCCTTAGTAACACATATTCTACAGTATCTTTCTCTCATTTCTCTCTTTACATAATAGACATTTGTTCATCAAACACTCAACTCACCCAATGCAACAAACAACGACAAGGCTGAAGCACTTGCCTTGTATTTTGTCTCCATTGATGATTCCAGCTCTTCTCCTTCCTCCAACTCAACGAATACCTTAGCCCTTACCGACATAGAACGAATTCTTGATAACTTTACTGATGTCACCGCCGATATCAGTTCATCGGCATCTTTTCTCGTGGCTCAGCCAATTAATCGAACCATTGAAAAAGGAATCATTTTAGGTGCTTCAGTCTACAGTCAAAGCAGCGGCGAGATCGTCACCACCCTCAATAAAGGTCGTATCATATCCAGTTCGAATTTAACAACAGCAGCTATCATTGACAACACAACTCTGGATGGCGTTACTTCACTCAGTGTCCTCATCATCAATCATCCAACGTCCTTCCGAAATGCTGACAACACCACCAACAAAACTATCGCATCTTCACTTGCTATTCTATCGGTTCAACCACACCATTTCATTAAATCCATCAACATCTCCCTATACTTTCAACTTCTTAACGGCTCACGTCCAAGTGACGACCTAGACTATCGATGTTCATACTTTAACACAACTCATCACACTTGGGAAGAGCACGGATGTTCATCAGCACTCTACAACCACATCTACAATCGGTACGAGTGCTACTGCAATCATAACACATCATTTGCACTCATCTGGACACCCAAGATACCACTCACCTCACATCTCGATGCACAAGACATTGCATCACTCGTTGTCCAGTTCATCTCCATTACGTGCTTCATCATTGTCATCGTACATGGACTCGTCACTCAACTGTCCAATCGACTCGGCTCTGTCCAGGCTCGACTTCTTCTTCCACTCATATCCGCTGCAACGACCACACTTCTCTTTATTTTCTACATCGCACTAGCACTCACTGTCTACAAACACACACCGTCGTCGACAACTACGAATCGATGCTTTGTGAGCTCGAGCGTATTGATGTTCATCACTTATTTTCTCTTGATCTTCATGTTTTGTGTGAAGAGCAGCGTGGGATATTTCAACTATCTACGATTCGTGCACTTGTTTCCTGAGCCATCGCATGGCAGACTATACTTTCTGTTGCTGTTATCATTTGTTGTGTCTGCTGTGTGCACATCACTGGCCGTCGGACTGAACTCGAACACTGCACTAAACATCACCGAACTGTATCGATTCAGACTGTGCTGGTTTAGTCGAAGTGTGAACTACTATTTTCTGACGATTCCAGCATGTTTGTTTGTGTTGGTGAATGTGGTGATGTTGATTGTTGTTGGGAGTCGAATCGTGAATCATGCTCGACATGCGACTTCGCATCATCAATCGTACGAGCGAATGAAGCGATGTGTATTGGTGTTGATGTCGTCCAGTATCAGTCAAGGTGTTGGTTGGGTGTTTGGTCCGTTGATTGGTATCGATAACAAGATAACTGTGACTGTGTTCGGATGGATATTTGTGATACTTATCGGACTTGAAGGTCTTTGGACAATTACCTTGTATATCATAATTCGCCTTCAGCACATGGATGAGGTAAAGCGAATAACTGCGCAGAAAGATTTGACAAAATCTACGAAACTCTCATCTGGTAAAAGGAAAGAGAAACTGGATGTGCATGCAGAAGAAAAGCGTTCTCAGCAAGTTCACAGCCCATCAACAGATATATTGAAAAATTCGACAATTCGGGAAAATCGAGAAGACATAAGCCGAGCAAGCATTGACGCAGTGAGACGGTGGTAATAGATTGATTTGTTATGAACTTTGACGATTTTTGAATATTATTTTTTTAATAAACTAAAGGCGTGTCTCTGGTATAAAACTTCCGTTTAACAACATATTTTTACGAAAGGAATAAAGACACTGAGAGTTTATGATCGAGTGATTCGCCTAAAAGTTTAATTCAAAGTAATTTCATCACTGAGGTGCAGTGTGTGGGTGTTTTTATAATTGATACTGCACAGATCATATTGTAATGTAACAAAAATAAGCACGAACGAAAAAGATAATCGATATATACGCATACAGTGTGGTCACAGGATATACTGCCAGAAGCTAGCGACACAGCCACAGAGGCAATATCTCGTATTTCGATTCGTCGATTTTCCTTTTCCAATACACAAACGTTTGCCACGTTTCAATTGAATCTGAGTTCGTCATCACAGATCCATTCCGCATTGAAGTTCATCATTTGCCACATCTGCATTTTCCAATGGCGACGTATCAAGAGTTTATCGCTCAAAATGAAGAACGCGATGGTGTTCGTTTTACTTGGAACGTTTGGCCATCGACTCGTCTAGAAGCTACACGGCTCGTTGTTCCACTCGGCTGTCAATTTACACCATTAAAAGAACGATACGATCTACCACCATTAAACTACGATCCTGTTTTGTGTACAAACAAAACATGTCGATCGATCTTGAATCCATTCTGTACGGTTGATTATCGAGCTAAAATTTGGATATGTAATTTTTGTTTGCAACGAAATAATTTTCCGCCACAATACGCTGGTATAACCGAACAACTGCAACCAGCTGAACTTTCACCACAATATACAACGATAGAGTATACATTGATGGTAAAGAAAAATGAAACGTCAGTTGAACATAAGTTTTGAGAACTTTTTCACTTGTAGCGTACACCAGCTCAACCAGTTGTGTTTTTATTTGTTGTTGACACATGTATGGATGAAGACGATATGACAGCATTAAAAGTAAACGATACTTTCATACTCAAACATATCACAGAAACACATAAAACTTCTCTTTCAAAACAGGAATCGTTACAAATGGCATTAAGTTTGTTGCCAACAGATGCGTTGGTTGGTTTAATAACATTCGGCCGAATGGTACATATTCATGAACTCAATTGTGAAGGTATGACACGCAGTTATGTTTTTCGTGGTACCAAAGATTACACCGCCAAGCAAGTTCAAGTAAATAAACAAATAAAATATGTGCCGAATAAAAACTGCTATTGAAATTCTTTCCGTTTTTGTCTAGGAAATGTTAGGTTTAATGAAACAACAACCGAATCAAAGACCAATGCCTGGAAATCCAAATGTACCACCACAACAAGCACCGAATTTCTTCAGCAAGTAAGTGTCTTTATCTTTCACTTTTCACCGAGCATTTCTATATATATTGTCGACTAGATTTATTCAACCGCTTTCGCAATGCGATATGTCTTTAACGGATTTGCTTGGTGAACTTCAGCGCGATCCATGGCCTGTTTCGCAAGGCAAACGTGCGTTACGATCGACAGGAGCGGCACTTTCCATTGCTATTGGTTTATTAGAAGTAATCAATCGGTTTCACTCACTTTTCAATAGTATAACTTTCTTTGTAGACACTTTATCCGAATACAGGCGCTCGTATAATGTTATTCATTGCTGGGCCATGCACACAAGGTCCAGGCATTATCATTGATGAAGAATTTAAACATACCATTCGTTCGCATCACGATATTGAAAAAGACAATGCGAAATATATGAAAAAAGCTATAAAAGTATAAGAAGCGAAAAGTTCTTCTAAGTCAAATTCGGAATTTTATATTGAATATTTAGTTCTACGAAGGATTAGCAAATCGATCAGCAGTTAATGGGCATGTGATAGATTTGTATTCATCCGCTTTAGATCAAACTGGTTTACATGAAATGAAATATTGCTCCAACTATACAGGGTAAGACAGATTTCTATTGAATTCGTACCATTTAACGATTGAACTCTCCTAGTGGTCATATGGTGATGGGTGATTCATTCAACACATCCTTGTTCAAACAAACATTCCAAAAAGTCTTTGCAAAAGATAATAAAAATGAATACCGAATGAACTTCGGCGCAACTATTGAAGTGAAGGTAAGATCTCGTTCGACAGATTGATGTGTTATCTTTTTTTTTGATTCGATAGACAAGTCGCGAATTGAAAGTCTGTGGTGCCATTGGCTCCTGTGTTTCATTGGCACAGCGCGGATCTAATGTTTCGGAAACAGAATTAGGTATGGGTGGAACCAATGCATGGAAGATTTGTGGTATTTATCCTAATTCAACGTTGTCAATCTTCTTGGAAGTCTTGAATCAAGTAAATTTTCATAATCATACTTTAGATACGATTGAAAATCAATCTGTTTGTAGCAACAAGGAGCAGCCCAAGGTGTACCAGGTGGTCAACGTGGATATGTGCAATTTATCACACAATATCAACATTTATCTGGTTTTAAAAAGATTCGTGTCACTACTGTAGCAAGAAAGTAAGATATTCGCATAAAAGAATTGCAATGATTGACTCTGCCTATTAGTTTGATTGATGCAACAACTAATATGCCAACAATTGCAGCTTCGTTTGATCAGGAATGTGCAAGTGTAGCCATGGCTCGCATAGCAGTCTATCGTTCTGATACTGAAGAAGGTTCGGACGTTCTTCGTTGGCTAGATAAAATGTTGATCCGACTCGTAAGTGATGGACGTTGAATCATTCGGATTTGACCTAATGAAAATATTTAGTGTCAAAAATTTGCCATCTATGAAAAAGACAATCCGGGTTCATTCCAATTGACCGATACATTCACACTGTACCCACAATTCATGTATCATTTGCGTCGATCGCAATTTCTTCAAGTTTTCAACAACAGTCCTGATGAAACAGCATTCTATCGGTAAGGAAACCCATCCACACAATCTCAATTAACTCTCTTTTCCTTCTTTCCTAGTCATTATTTACTTGTTGAAGATTTGACACAGTGTTTAGTCATGATTCAACCAATTCTTTATGCTTACTCATTCAATGGTCCACCCGAAGTAGGACACCTCTTAGATAGAATCTTCATCGTCATTCTTCTCCTTTCTTAGCCCGTACTTCTTGATAGTAGCAGTATACTACCCGATCGTATACTTCTCATGGACACATTTTATCACATATTGATTTATCATGGTGAAACCATTGCACAATGGGTCAAAGCTCATTATCAAGATTTACCGGAATATGAAAATTTCAAGCAACTTTTACAAGCACCTGTTGGCGATGCAACAGAAATTCTTCAAAGTCGTTTCCCTATGCCACGTTATATTGTCACTGAATTTGGAGGATCACAAGTAAGTTAATATAGATAAATAGATTCTTTTCAATACACTTCGTCGATATTTAGGCTCGATTTCTCCTCTACAAAGTTAATCCATCTCAAACTCATGCCAATCTCGGATGGGGACAAGTAAGTCATGAAAAAAAATTCGAATTTGATTTTCCAATTTGTTCGAATATATAGACCACTGGAGCACCAATCTTAACGGATGATGTCAATCTACAAACATTCATGGAACACTTGAAGAAGCTTGCCGTGTCTACAACGACATAAAGAGAGAAAGAAATCTTCTTCGATTTTAGTTCCCTTTTCTTCTGTTATTTTATTCAATAAATCTATTCCTATCTGCGTTCCTCTCATTTTTTGTTGTTGTTTTAAAGTAAATGGTCAAAATTGATTATCAATCTCCGAATCTTTCGATGTTCAACGAACTGTTCAGACCGATATGCAAATGTTTTTTCATGCTTCATTTCTGTCGATCGATGATGAACTAATAGTAGAAATGAGATTTCGGAAAGATAATTCTTCTCGATTGACAACGATTATAAGCACGGACGTCGGAACTATCTCGGCTATTCTGCATCACATTCATGAATAGTTTATTAAGATTATTTCCAATATCTATTCAAGGAAATAGCAAACAAATTTTCCGTCAAGAAATGTGTTTGGCATGTGCTTTGACAATTTATTGAAGTAGTCAATTTTAATTATTCAGTTAATGTATATTAGATTTTTTTCCTTACTAACTATTATTCACATGTAAAGTTCAAATTGAGTTGCGTAGAAAAAGTTTTCTCGTTGAATAATCTTTCGTCATAATTGATCTAGCTGCAGACAAAATGAAATCAAAATCGAATTTCTGTTAGTGTCGAGAGAGAGATTTGTAGCGTAGAACATGGTAATGACATTTTCTCCCTCCCTTTCTCTCTCTCTTCTCTATATTATAGCGTGATCAAAAGTTCTTTCGAAGAATAAGTAATAGTCAATATTTTTCTATCGGATTATTAATTGTTCGGTACCAACGACGAGAACAAAGCTAATACTCTAATTTTAAATAAAGACGAAAGAAGAATAATCAAAGCAAAAAGTCGATACAATTCACGAAGTTGAGGAGAAAAAAGGTCAAATAATTTCATGGGAAAGCAAATCGGAAGTCGATGACGTTGAGAAATGATGAATCCATAAACTTGTTCGTTCTTAATGCTGATTGTGCGCATGTTTCTCTCTTTCACTATCTCTCTCGCATGTTACTCAAACTATGCTGATGAATGCATACAATCCGATTAATAAATGAAAGCTTACATTATTACGATGGATGTTGTCGATGCGATTCTACCTCTCGATCCCTCAAGCAATAATTTGTACATTTGATCGATTTGTCTCGAACTAGCTATGCCTTAACTAAAAACAACAAACAGATCAATGCATGATGTTTATCTATCTCAATTCTAAAGTTGATACCTTGACAGACTTTGCGCACTGTTAGATCTCCGAGAGCAATAAGAAAAAAAAGAAAATGATGATGACAGAATGTCTATAATCACATTTCCTACATCAGCAGACACATGCCGACGAATGCATGTCTTCTCTCTCAACGCATCAGTCAATCAAAAAATCTACTGCTGAGCTGAATACGTACATACACAAGAGAGATAATCGAAAGAGACACTCTGTGCTCTATAGAAATAGTGCCGATGGACTTCATCATCTTCTTCCTTCTCTTCTTCTTCTTCTTCTTCTCTTCCTCTTTTTTTAATATAAGTCTATTCTAATAATAAAATGATGATTCAATTGTCGCTTTATTTTACATACAGAGAAGAAATGAATGTTTCTATTCGAGCAAGCGTTTCTTCCTATCTCTCTCTCTCTCTCTCGCTCTGCGCGCGTTCTCGTAAGGCAAATATTTCCAAGTATCTATGTCGCTATCTCGCTTAGCAATGGAGTTCAAGCGAAAAAAGGAGAGTAGAAAGATAATGCTTTAATCGGGACACGACACTTGAAGAAACGGCTAGTAAAAATCTATCATCCCTCGCTCTCACGAGAACGAGCACGTCGTATTCTACAAGTATTTTCCGTTTTTCTCCCTCCCTCTGTCTCTCTCTCTCTCTGCATATTCTTTTCTCTTCATCAACAGAAGAAAATATAGCAAAAAAAGAGGAAAACTAACAACAATCGAAGCGCTATTCTTCATATACATAGACAACACTGGAGATCAGCCGTATTATTTACAGAATTTGAAATCTGTTTAATTTCATTGATAATCAGAATGTTGATCGTATTTCTAATACTGTTGTCATCGTTTGGTAAGATCAATTTGGCGATTGTATGTATCAATCTTTTAATTTATCGTTTAAGTTAATCTATCTTCCGAACAAAAATGTAATCGTGAACGAATGTCTGTGTGGAACGCTGAGCAACGACTAATTTGTGATCTACTTGATAACTACCAAGTCAAATGGGGTCGACCTGTTAGGAATATGTCGGAAGACGTCGAAGTACGATTTGGTTTACAACTTATTCATATCAGCGATCTGGTACATCATATAAACAAAGGGAAAATTATGATTAATGAGTTTGTCTTTAGGACGAGAAAAATCAAGTATTAATTACAAATCAATGGCAAATTTATGTATGTAAATCTCAATGTACAGATTGATTGTGAATGAGTTTCTTTTTTTCTTCTTCTTCTTCTTTTTTTTTACAGGAATGGGATGATGAAGCCTTGACATGGTAAGTTGTTAGGTGAATGTCTTACTCGTAATGCTCTTCATGTTTATATCTTAGGGATCCTGAAGATTATGGTGAAGATGAAAATAGTTGAATGAAAATAACTACAATTTTTCATTTGTCTAGATAATCTTATGGATATACGTCTTCCTATTAAACGTATTTGGCAACCAGATGTCACGTTATACAACTAGTAAGTTCGTCATTAGAATCCCAAAAGATGAATTCAGTTAAGAAACCATCTGTAAGTCATTCATCTTTTTTTCAGAGTAACTAGCACACAAAAAGAACTAAGAAGAGGAGAGAAAGGCCAATATGCCTTACAGATATCCATTTACCCGACTCCTAGAGAGATCCACATGCTTGCTCATCATAATATTAGCCTAACTTACATAGCTTTTTTTATCTAGTGCTGATACACGTCTTGAAGAGAAACGTGAGGTGCTTGCAACTGTCTACTACAATGGAACTGTTCTTTGGAAGCCAATGTCAATTTTTAAGTCAACATGTCAAATTGACATCCGGTAGAGCAAAGAGGAACGAACTTTTCACTTATTTTGATATGTACTTCATTCTTTTTAGACGCTTTCCGTACGATCGACAGAATTGTACGATGAAATTCGGCTCGTGGACATACGATAGTTCGAAAGTTAACCTTCAATTCTATCGTAATATTCATCAATTTGACCTTCGATCATATGTCTTATCAAATGAATGGGCTATAACATATAATAATGCTTCACGTAATGAAGAGAAATATGGTATGTTTATTTATTAGAATGACAATCAAAATTCCATATAATTTTCCTTGTTTATTCAGACTGCTGTCCGGAAATTTATGTCGATTTAAAATTTAATATTACACTTGAACGACGAGGAGGATTTTATAATTATATTTTAATTTTACCATGCGTTTTACTCTCATGTTTGACATGCATTCTATTTTGGCTGCCGGTATAGATGAATTTTGCTTTTTTTTTCCTGCACATTTAACATGCATTTGATTGTATTTTGTAGCCGGAAAGTCCATCGAAACTCGTGCTTGGTAAGATAATTATTTTCCATTTGGAAATACTTAACTTGCTATCAATCTAGGAATGAACATTTTCACATCATTCTTTGTGTTGTTACTTCTGTTATACAAAAATATGCCATCCAACGCTGAACATATTCCTCGTATTGGTAAGTCAATGATGTTCTCATTTTCTTTTCCCACTGATACATCACGTTCTTTATTAATAAATAATGATAAAAGATAAGTATGCTCGGAAATACAGTACGAAACGTTTCTTATTCTTTACTCAATGGAAGAGATCGCAATAAAAATATAATATGTATATGTGAGAAGAATGTTCCTCCTATGTTTCGTTTTCATTTGTGGGAAACAACGGGCTATCTAATGCGATTTCCTAGTCACACATTGATTTCTGTCAAAGTGTAAACTAATGGATGAATGTTTAAGTATTCAGTCTTTTGTTTGAGTAGTAAACAGAATTAGTCAATGAAGTTCGGAAATAAAGAGGAAGGCAAAGAGGTACTGCTCACTACTGATATATACAAAGAGCCCTTCTTGCACTCAAAACAATGGCTAGCTAAAAGTAGATTTGACAGAACAAGCAATGAATGGATTCATAGGAGTATGACACTATTCGATAGGGAAATTTATTTCTTCACTTGCTTTCTAGGCGCGTACTATTGTTTAAATATGGGCATGATAGCCACATCAACGTTTCTATGTGCCATAGTTGTTCACATTTACTTTCGAGGCAATGGGCCGATGCCGCCAATGTTACGAAGGGTTCGTTGATTTGTAATATAAATTGAGCTTTTCTCGAAACAAAAAACATTTAGGTTTTTCTTGAATGGCTTGCACCATTGTTCCTCATGGTACCACATACAAATATCTATCAGCAACATGCAGTTAATGGATTAGTTCCTCCGATAAAAGCAACTTGTGATGGTGATAAATTCGAGAAATTCGAATTGCTAAAAGAACGCTTCAAATCAGCTGGTGATAAACGTACTGTAACGGCGACGAATAATGATTCATTAGAGACATTAGAGATGATGAATGATCATAGTTCTCACCATCATCATCATCACCATCATCACCCAGTTAGTCAAGAAAACTCCATAGCACAACAAATTCAGCAGCAGATATCCGCGTCAATCACATTTATGACTGTGGAAAGTGATTTGAAGGAAATTCGAGATTTTCTTCGAACAACTAGAAAACGTATGGAAGATAAAGAAGCCAAAGCAAAAACAGTAAACGATTGGAAACAAGTTGCGCTTGTGCTGGATCGAACATTCTTTTTTATTTATTTAACAGCAATTATTATATGCCTTATTGTTATGTTTCCTCGATAAATCGTCTATCTATTTTCTCTGTTCCTTTTATTTTGTCAGAGTATATGTATTTATTCGTCCGGTAATGAGATACAACGAAGATATAAACAAAAGCTATATGTTACCATATAATATTAATCATGCTACAAGGCTTTGAACATGGTTTGTGCTAGTGAGAAGCTTTTATACATGGAAATCTGAAGTTCTTTCTACTTAAGATAATGATTGTTTAGAGTTATACGTATATGGACATGAAAAGAATCTTTGTATTGATATTCGTTGTATATACATATAAAAATTGAAAGGAAAATAGAAGTGTCATGTTCAGGAAGAATCAGGAGCGCGTCTTGATAGATAGGTTGTACGGTCTGATAAACGTCGATCGGCAGTTAGAAGACAATTTCCTCGTCTAGAATGAAAACGAATAGAACAAATGAGTACTCAGGCTCGTCAATTTCTTACGAAAATCCAACGACTTTTCGAGTGGCATCTCGATCAAGGTCGGTTTGGGCTAAGAATGTCATAAAAGCACTTTCTTCTGTCGGCAATTTACGAACGACGCGTCCTCCATCGCTTATACGTTCGACTAAAAAAACAGAACAGATAGATCGATTCAGTTGCATATACTATCATTTACATTCCACATTGTGTGTATTTTGATTGACTTGAAATTTAACATCATGTGATAATCTCTGAAATGCGTAAGTAATCATGAAACTAGATGGCTAAATTCGAAAGCATAAGTTTACCAAAACTTCATTCGTCGTGGATATAGCATGGATTTCTGCTTCCATGTTGGCCATTTGTGTCAGCATAAAATTCCACTACTCGAAAAAAATGAAAATGACGTGAATGCATTTCCGAATGAAATCCTTACCAATGTTTTGAGATGATCATCAGTCAATAATCTTCGTTCCATAATACCTGCGAATGCCATTCTTGAATTTCGTTGAACATATAGGACAAGTTCATGCCGTTCTGGTTCATCATTTCGATCCGGTATATTCGTCCAACTAACAAGCATCTCTTGACGATCGCTTCTGAGAAACTCCGGTCTCCTTCCATCAGAATTACTTGTCACTGTCGGCGTTCGTTGATGCGATACGCGATGAATGATTGAAAAGTCCTCGAAATTTTCATCATCACTATATTCACATGAATACACTTCGGTAAGATGAATTCGGTCGATCTTTTCCACTAGATTACTGGGATCTTGTATTTCGATCGTTTTTTCCATATCGTTACTCAGTGTTGATGAACGTGATCGTAAACTTTCTAACTTTTGCTCATCTGTCAAAGATTCTTCAATTGGATTCTAAACGAATACGTTATAAATACCAATCTCTCGAGAAAAACTATTTTACTTGTTCGGTAACATCACCTGAAGGTTCGCTATACGATAACGAAGATACGCTAATTACATCTACGGCACTAATCGATGATGATTCATCCATTGTGTCTGTATCAAAACCTCGTTCTTCTGACGAAGCAGACTGATCCATTGATATTATCATACCTTGCCGTTTTTCACCAGATACCGAAGTCGAGCGTGTCGGAAAGCTAAACCGAGTTCTCAACGGTGATGACAGTCCTTCATCACAAGAGGTCGAAGAATCTTCGAAGATTTTTATCGACGGTTTCGTCATATTTATAGACAATGTTGGTGTAGGTATTTCATCCACAGCCGTAGCATCGGTATTGGATTCCGAATTAGTTGTAGTTTCCACGGATCGAGGAAGGTATAAGCGAAATAATGATACACCGTTTTTCAACTTGAATTCCGAATCCCATGGTATACATATTAAATTATCCTGGAGAAAACGCTCTAAGGTAAGAGATTCTGTTAAGAAGAAACTGAGCTCACCGGTAATTCGTTTCTTAATTGAAAAATAAATTGCAGATAATAGTTCGTATCAGTATCAAAGGAAGAATATAAAATCCTACATAGAACAAGAATCTCATATTATTCATAAGCATAGATTTTACTTACTTCTGATCATATCCGAGTAATCCATCTATCATCCCATAAGTGAGTTTCAGATATTCGATACTGTGTTTACATTCTAGCAAGACTTTTCCATTGTCCTATGAGAAGACAGATGTACATGTTCTTTTCGTCCTTTCTTATTCCTACTTTTTTCAACAGCGTATATCCAATAGTTGAAAGCAGGTATGGAACAGATCTGGGGTGGTTTAAAACATAATTCACAATTGGCGTCAATGCCTGATTAAGAAACTCATTCATTTTTTTGGCCTCTCCATAAGTCTACAGAGAAATTCGTTCCGATCATTAAAATCATTCATTTTTCGGGGGAAATTATTTACTGCATGTACATGATTCCACGTACCATAGAGCATATTGAATACATTCATGATATTTTTCAGGTGGATTTGGGCTTCTTCTTCAACGTAACGATCATGTGGTGCAAATAAAAACTGAAAAGTTCAAATGAGATTGTCTTTCGTTAATAGCAACATACTTACACCACTGTGTCTGCCGAAATGCTTATGAACGGCTAGAGCCTTATCGAAATAGAATGTTTGAGGTATGGATCGGAAGAGATCGTGTTGGAAGTATTGCACCATCCCTATCACTTCACCACACTCTAGAATACTCTACAGTTTTCTGGCGAAACTCAAAGCCAATTCGAGATTTAAGTCCATACTCACTTGTTTTTTCGATTGTTCGTCAGTCGGATAGAAATATATGATGGCTTCGGGAACAACATCATTCTCATCGGATGCGCCTCGCATCAAATAAAAGTCGAGGATAAAGAAAAAAGGATTCCATCGTTTTGTTGGAGACTTCAATGTCATTGAAACACGTTTCAGATAATAAAAAGTAACATATGACGTTTATTTTTTTACATTTCGATGTCACATTAGAAAACATTTCAGCTTATCAGACTTTACTTATCTTTGTTTTATATTCTTAATGACTCAATTTGAAAAAAAAACATAGTTCAAAGATGAAGACCTTTCAAAACAAGGAGATTGAGTACAAGAGTTCGCGAATATTCCGTTCATATACATATTCTTGTATATATTTATATTTCAGCTTTTCCTGTCGTCTGATATGAAAAAAAAACCATAAATACGAAACATTACAAGAAATAACAAATAAGGGTTTGAGAAAATGAAGAGAGAAACAACAGATAATATATATATATGCCTAAATCTGTATGCGATACATATTCATATACTTAATAAACCAGTGTGAGTGGAAGAAAAATAAATTTTACACATGCGATGTTGATGGCAGATGCTTCTTTTCTTTCGAAGTGTGAACGATGTTGGCAGGATGAGGTTTACATGAATGTCAATGCATTTGATGAATAATTATTCGTACTGTTATCAGTTTCAATATTTGCTGATGGTGATAATGTGGATAGATTGGAATTATTGGGAAAGAAGTCGGGGTAAAAATTATTTTGTTGGAAGTAATCGTTATGCCAAGAGGACAGATCTTCGAAAGCCGAAGTCGACGATGATTGAGCAGACGAAGGAGGAACAGAAGGAAATGAGGTAGAAGTCGAATTTGGTGGTGTATCATCAATTAGTAAATCGATTTCATCATTTAGATCAATTAAATCATTCATAAAGGACGGTGTTGAAGGCGTCATAGAAGATGGATCTACAATGGAACAGTTCAGATTAGTTTGATTGAGTTGTTCTAGTTGGAGCACTTACTAAGTAGATATCGATTCATTGAATTAGTTGGCAGCGATGGATGAAGTGATGGTGGTGCCATTTGGGACGGTTTGGGTCCATTTTCAGATGGCGTTGATGGGGGTTGACGAATGGCAAAGAATTTTCCATCCGGTGTTCGGATATATGAACCTCGAGAACCTTTGATTACATGAATACGTACACCAGCTGGAATATGTTCACGTTCGATCGTACTCAGTTGGACTTCCAATGCTAGAAAGAACGGCAAATAATAAGACTTTCTTTATTTTTTCACTACATTACTTACGATTTCTCAAAACGATTGGTTGCACAGATATCCCATGTTGCTTTAATTGTTCCAACTTCTCATCGGTCGATTGCTGTTGTACGTAATGAGGTAATGGTGTCATCGAGACTGTAGATCGTAATGGTTGATACAGCGGATAACGAGAATCCAGAGAAGATGTCGATGGCGAAGAGTGAAAGTACGAACGTGATTCGTACTCATTCAAAAAGCGAGAATTTCTAAAGAGAAAGAAAACACAATCCGAAAGAAAAAGATTTTTCATTTGTATCTTACGATCTTGATGGATGAAGCCTGGAACGATATGAAAAAGCACTCATTCGTTTTTCATCGTGATATTCTTTCTCGGCACGACGCTTTTCTGCTGATGTTAATTGATATTCTTTACGATCACATAGAAGGGACTCATGAGTAAATGGAATCTTGGTTATCGATTGTGCGTATTCTATACATGTAGTTTTCAGGATTGGGTCATCAGTTGTTTCGCCGACTTTCTCGATCAAATCTGCAGCTGGTGGTTCTTCTTCGGCCTAAACAAATCTTTTTAAAACAACATCAGAAGACAAACGACGAATTTACCGCAAAATGAAGCAAGTTCTCGACTTCGTTCCTTGTGAATTGATTCTGTGGTTGCAGTTCATCCACAACACGATCCGACATACCCTGTTTTGCTATCTGACGATCATAAATACGTTTTTCCATCGTGAAATCCGCGATTAATCTATATATGTAGCAATGTCGTTTTTGTCCGTAGCGATACACTCGACACACGGCCTGTGCATCCAGACAAGGATTCCATGAGACATCCATAACAATTACACGATTGGCTGCGATTAAATTTATTCCCAGACAACCCGCACTAATGAAAAGGAAACACATAAAAAGAAGACTGTCGTTAAAAACGACTTACCGAGTAGACAATAGAAATAGTTTTGCATTTGAATTTGGTGCGTTGAATGCATTGATCAATTTCTCTCGATCTAAACTGTTTGTTCCGCCATCAAGTCCTACATCGATGAACATAGTTCGTAAAAAAAGCCATCGAGAGACTTGTTTCACAAGGACTTACGATAATAGTTCACATTCTTTTCCCATTTCTGATCTGTATTTGGTATGTAACGTTGACTAAGGAATTCTTCGAGTTTATTCAATGACAATAAACTTTGACTAAATATCAAAACTTTATCTCCAACTTCTATACACAAATTTAGTATAGTCAGAGCCACTTGAAATTTAATCCCATTGCTCAATTGACCACAAACGTATGAACTTAAAATTGGATTTGCCTGAAAATTCAGTTATCTCTTGTGCAGATTCACTTTTCAAGAGTTTTAACTTACAAAGTCATAATCAAATTCTTTTTTTTCAATTGGATAGATCGTTGCTGGCAGTTCGTAAGGATTCGATATTTGCGATGATGATCGATTGTTTGCAGTTAAGCGCGCATTCGATCGTGTTTTCGTCGCTGTTGTCGTCTTGCTTGTTGAATTCGGTTCGATTTCAAGATCTAAATCGACTTCTAAACCATCCTGACGATCGCGAACGAACTTATACAGAACGTCAGCATGGTTCCAAATCTATTGAAAACAAAAGTAGACTCTCTCAAAGTTCAACTCATCATCTTTACTTTGCAACAAATGGCAAATGCTCGTAATGGATTTAACGTTTTCTCTGAAGAATTCGATAACGCACCGACAGCTTCAAGGAATTTCATATAAAGCTGTCTTTGAACGGAGGATAGTTTTAATAAAATAACGTATTCTGTTTTGGGTGGCAGATCACATTGAAGTACATCATGGCCACGCCTTTGAATGAAACCTTCGAGTAAACTGTGTAAGACATGTGCACGTGCACGCATCAATTTTCGATCTTCGAGTGTTGAGTCAATACATTGACCGTTGAGAATAGGACGTTCGAACATATTACAAAATTCTAATTTACTACCAAGATAATTCGGACGAACGAAATCGACCATACACCAGTATTCTATAGAATGAATAAATAAATGCTTTGAGAGATCTCCAAAGGCAAAGAATGAAAATTACCGATGAGATTGTTTTGTAGTGGATAACCAGTGAGAACAATCCGACGACTAGAAGGAAATGCACAAATGTTTCAATGCCGAAGCAAATCAGAGATACATACGGTGTACGAATTGATTTCAAAGCAACCGCAACACCTGCTTGATGGTTTTTAATTCGATGTCCTTCGTCACAAATGACTAGGTCTGGTGAAAGTAAAGCATTACGAACATCTAGAATATGTACAGAATAGTATAGTTGATGAAGTTAAATCGAACTGCTTTTCCTCTCACATTCCATGACTTCGCAATTCTTTTCTTCTTCTTCGAGATCGACGATAACAGGCGTTGTCGGTCGTATTAGAGTTGATTTATTTATATTGTTATTTTTTGTGGACGAATTCGTTTGAGTATTCTTCTTCGTTACCAACAATCGAAACATTTCATATCCAAGAATAAGGGCTCCACCAGTTTGTGACCAATTTTGTACGATTTTAGCCCGTTGAGTAATCTTTTTCGATGTTTCATTCAATATATACAACTGAAATAAGCGTCTGTATTCAAGATTCGAATCGTCGATCGGACACCAACGATTGAATTCACTCAACCAGTTCTGTATTGTATTTATCGGCACAACAATTAGAACTGATTTGGCTGTTGTATATTGCAAGAGAATGTCAATAAATGTTATAACCTATTGAGATTTCAAAAAAATAAGTTGATGGAAGAGAGTTAAGAAGAAGCATGCTTACTTGGAGAGTTTTTCCACAACCCATGGAATGTGCAAGGATACAACCAAGACCACGTGTCGCTTGAAAGCGTTTAAGAGATTCAACGATGTTATCATACATAAAACGTATACCACCGATTTGATGTGGTTTGAGATCGGAACAAAGATGTTTTGGTATGTACAAATCAGGATCATCGCTGGGATGGTTGACATTGACCAGAATATTGCCTAAATAAGGAACAACATCAAGCAAATCTAGTTTCATTCAAAAGCTCGTTTACCATTCTCATCTGGTACATTAACTCGATCATCAAGGTGCAATCGTTGTAATTTCTGTGTTAATTTATCATTGACTGTTTCGGTATCACTATCAACATACTGAACATCTGAATCATTGCTATTTTCATTGGTATCCTTTATCGATGGATTTTCCTCTGAAAAAATGAAATTTCCATTTCAAACCTTTTAAACAACTGAGAATACCATACCTGAACCAAAATTCTGTTTTATTGAAGAACTTTTTGTTTCATCATCATCATCATCGTCATCATCGATAATAATGCATTCTTGTTCATTGGATTTTGGTATGGTAGATGGCTGAACTGATTGTGTTGGTACGTAACTGTAAGCAGGTTGAAATTGTTGATTGATTTCTTCTAAGCGTTTCAAACGGTCTTGTTCAGCTTTCAATGCGGATAATGTATCATCCTGTAGTTTATCATTGGTGAACAAAGTTCGAATATTTCGACGCATATAACTTGGCTGTGATTTCGATTTTTTCTTCTTCTTTTTCTTTTGTTCTTTATTATCAGATGATGGGTCCAATTTACGTTTCTGTATTTTAAGTTTTAATCCATTTGTTGGTGAAAGATTTGCCACGAGAGTTTCTTGTTCATTGTCTTCTTCTGAAGGTGAGTTCTCATCATCATCATCATCGTCATCAGCTAAAAATTCGTCTAATGTATCCGATAAAGGTGATTCGGCCATTGCTTCTTCAAAATAAAGTATCACTAGATTTGAACGTGATTATAGACCGACTTACTTGATTCGTTCCTTCTTTTTGTTCCGTTCCTATTTATATTTATTATTTATGTGCACTTTCATTCTTTGCCTAACCCGTGCAAATCGCTTATGATTGGTTGAGTAGTTTTAGCCAATAGGAAAATCTGGTCTTGTGTCAAATAAATGTTGCAGAAAAATTATTATTTATCCTAAATCTTTCGGTGAAAAAATTATTGATATTCCTTGAAAATATTCAACTGTGATCGCGTATGTTAAACAAACGAGCTCGTCTAGATTGCAACCGACAGCTAAGTGAAAGTCATAAAAGAGTAGATGTACACAAAGGTATATATGTTGACATTAGTGGGAATATTAGAGTTGTTCTGTTACATGACGAAATTACGGATTACAACTAAGTTTTGTAAGTCATAGGTTCGTGAAAAATTCTCATGTATTGACAAAATACCTTCTTCCTATGTTTTCCAGCATAGAATATCAATATCGCTTCATTAACGCACATCGAATCCGATGAGCATTCGTCGACTGTTTAACTAACAGTAGATATGAAGCCTATCGAACTATTTTTGTCAGTGGTCTTCGTTAAAGTCATCAGCGGATATCTTTAACCAATCTACGAGAATCTATTCAAAGATTGCGCCGAAATAATATATCAGAAGTTTGATCCACTTCAATACATGTAACTCTAGTTTTTGCTACTAACAAAAACGAAACCGAACAGATGAATCTAGGCATTTTGTTTATCAAGAAAGAATTTTTCGTGACGGGGCTTCTTAGATTACTTTGACATTAATTTAGTCCGAGTACGTTTGTCTGTGTCATTCGTGTGGAGTATAAAAGAAACTTTGAGCATTCACCCACCTATTTCAATGCCGTCTGGTTGGTTGTTTTCTCATATCCAATAGGAGACTTGTGTATTGTATGTACAGTTCAGCCAAATCGAAGTTTGAATGAGTTCTAACAATTCGATAATTAATCATGAGTAAAGCACATGAAGTTACAGCATGGATCGATTTGAATATCATCGATAAACCATGGGGCAAATCATTAACAAAAGAATTCGATGATAAAAAGGCGAAGTATCTGATCGAAAGCATGCCGGTGCCAAATACGATCACATGGTTGGTCTTTGTCTGCCTATCGGTTCACCACCTTAAACTTTACTTTCAGGTCGATAACCAATGTTGCGAACAATATCGATGAAGAGTTCGTCAGTCAATTGCTACTTTTAATGACAACTGACCAATTCTTTCAGTTTGTTTCGGTTTGTAATACAAACAAGAGTAACATGGCAGATCTTTTTCAAACAATAAACGATAAATATAAATGTAAAAAGGCGATTACCATTGTTATTATCGGTGTGAATTCTTCTTTAACCCTTGGTAAATCATTAACACGCTCGTCGAACATCAAAGTTACTGATTTGGACAACATCTATCTCGATCTGCAGCTTCAATTCAACTGCGTTATCAAATTCGCTGAAAATGATCCCGAGCTTTCTTCCTTAATTCTTTCCTTCACCAAAGCGGTCACAGTTGCACCGGAAAAACGCTTGAAAAACTTGTCACCATTCTCTTTTCATGTCGACACACTAAAGCAATATAAAGCGATTCGTGTGGATATCGATCAAGCAAACAAAACCTTAGATTTACTGTGGAAACAAATCCTTCAGCAATTTCCACATATGGGTATCGAACAAGCACAAGCGATTGTGAATCAGTATGGCACTATTCAAAGTTTGATTCAAGCGTACAAACAATGTGCGACGGAGAACGATGCGAAATTATTATTAGCAGATATTCAAGTTCGACGAGGAGCAGGAGTATTGACGACAACGAGAAAGATCGGACCACAAATGTCTGAAAAGATCTGGAAACTTTTTACTTCCATGGATGGAAATGATCTTCTCTAAACATTTCGTACAATGAATTCTACTTATCTTTGATGTTCTTCTAGATAATATTATCTCAATATCTATTTGATCATTGCAATTTATCTGCAAGCTTTATCTTTCAGATAAGAACAATGTTTCTCGTTGCGTTTGATTTCGATCATACGATCATTGATATTAACTCGGATGTTCATGTTAACCAACTATTTCCAACGGAAGAAGATCGAAAAAATGCGGATAAAAATTGTGCGCAGTTCGACTGTTGGACCGATCATATGCAAGACAAGTTCCGTCAATTACAAAAGTTGAACATCACCGAGAACGATTATATAAGAAATATGCAAGAAATTCCATTAACAAATGGTTTTTCACATTTGATTCATTATTTATATTCAATTCCCCGCAGTCATCTAATAATAATTAGTGATTCAAATCTTGTTTTCATCGAAACAATATTAAAATATTATCAACTCGATCACATGTTCAAGGACATTTTCACCAATCCGGCGTACTTTAACAAGGATGAACAATGTTTAATTGTGGAACAGTACGGTCAGCAAACTTGTCCAACGTGTCCGTCGAATATGTGTAAACGAGAAATCATTGAAAAATATGTACGAACGAAATTCGATGAGCCGGTGCCGGTGGTGTTTATCGGTGACGGACATAATGATGTTTGTGCAGCGAAGTGTTTGAAAAAAGATGATCTTGTGTGTGCGAGAAGTGGATATCGTATGGCGAAAGAATTGAAACAACAAAGAGAATTAGGAACTAGTGAACTGCAAGCCGAGTTTTTTGAATGGAATGATGGGAAAGATATCGAAGATTTTATCAAAAGAAATCGAATAAAATAGTTTTATTTTTATTTTTCTTTCAGATTTTGTGAATGCAGTCGATTTTAAAACGATGTCTTTTGGTATGTATCTTTCGTGTTCGAACATCTACAAGACTATTACCGAATTCTCAGGACGAAAATAAGAGGAAACGAGCAGCGCATGTGATGTTCTATTAAATTATACGCCTTTCATTTTCATTCCATACTTATTAGTTAGAGAAATCATGTATGACAGGTGTCAAACTGTTTTAAAACTAAACATATTGGTTGCTAATTTTTTCATTAAAATCGACGCATGATTTCGGAAAATGAACGAAATCTCGTGAAATCATTGTTCTTATTTCTTTGAAAGACACCGACGTTCCAATGTCTGACACAACGATCTAACTTACATCTTTCATCGAAATGCTTGTTTCCATTGATACCTATGGTGGTCGAACAGACAGGACGCGGTGAACGAGCTTATGATATATATTCTCGTTTACTGAAAGAACGAATTATTTGTGTGATGGGGCCAATAACTGATGAATTGTCAAGTTTAGTCATCGCGCAACTTCTTTTTCTGCAATCGGAAAGTTCAAAGAAACCTGTTCATATGTATATCAATAGTCCTGGTTAGTCAATCAATTCTTTGTATGTTTAACCAAGAAGTTTTCTTTCTATTAGGTGGAATTGTTACTGCTGGTCTTGGAATTTACGATACAATGCAAGTAAGTTTGAAGATTTTGAATGAACTGTCATGCACTGAGCTATTTTCAGTATATCACCCCGCCGATTGCAACATGGTGCGTTGGACAAGCATGTTCGATGGTGAGAAAAAGGTAGCGAGATAAAAAGATTACTATGTACTTTTGTATCTTGTAGGCGTCGCTCTTATTAACATCCGGTACACATGGCCTACGTCATTCACTGCCTAATTCGTAAGTAATGAGTATCAGTTGTGAAAAAAATATAACCTAAGTTTGCTACCATAGGAGAATTATGGTTCATCAACCTTCCGGTGGCGTCCAGGTACTAAGTAGTTTTACTGTTTCGTTGTCTATTTCATCTCATTAACAAAAAAGGGGCAAGCAACTGACATTATGATCCATGCGGAAGAAATATTGAAATTGAAGCGTGTCGTGAATAGATTATATGTTAAACATACAGGCCAATCAGCTGAAGAAATTGGTAAAATTCTGTAGATAGCCTCGTTTCAATTGACTGATGCGTTTCATTATAGAAAAGTTACTCGAACGTGATCGATTTTTTGATGCTGAAAGTGCTAAATGTCTCGGGTTGATTGATAAAGTTCTTGAACATCCTATCGTCGATATACAAACAGACGAAAACAAGCAATCGAAATCAAATACTTAGTGTAAACAATCAGTTTTTACAATAAACTTTTAGTTAACATTGGAATTCGATTCTGTTGAAACAAATCTAGGTTCATCTTCTCATTATTGTCCGCCATGATGACAGTTACAAAAAAAAACATATTAAAGTCTGTCACGATACCATCAAGAAATCTAATTCTCTCAATACTTGTCTGAGAACATCGGCTTATTTCCTTGTCACATCATCAGCATTCTAGAGGACCGCCTTGTATTCTATTTCTATTTTTATCTGTCATCATCACATCCTTGAACAAGCAAGATTTGTTTAGAGACTGTTTGAACCTCATTATTTGTCTTTATTGGCGAAAGAAAATTTCAAGCAAGCAAAGATTTGTTTAGAAAAAGTGGATGTCAAGTTGAGTAGAAAGTTCTTTTGATACACTTTACGACAGAACATTACGCATTAGCCCTATAGCAATACCGCTGAGCTCATTTGCAACCATAGGAGGAACGCCCATGCGTTGTGCACCGTATTGTACGAGATGAGATGCGATGGCTTCTCCTTGAGGAAAATAAGATGCGTACATTGGAGATGCATATTGATTTCGACGGGGCGAATTGTTATTATTTAGATAATTTTGCATCTGAGCCGCCACTTTGTTGTAATGAAAGCCCGTACCAGCGCTCATGCCTGTTGGGTAATTCATTTGTGAACTTAATCAATGCTGCCTTTCTTTGTGAGTGTTGCTACACGAATGAAATCGCACTCGAAGAATGCGAAATCACGTATAATTTAGTTTCAGTGAAGCAGAACGCGAATAAAGAGCGAAACGTAATAATAATGCACCATGTATGTTATTATTAGTCAACATTTTTATTTGATATTGACGTCAAATGGTAACGAGAAGCGAAGGAGAGAGAATACACAATACCCGCAGAACATCAAATGCAGACCCTCACCCTTCTATTTACGTTGTATGGCGTGCGCTCGAGAACATAACGTCTTTAGTTGATAAATTAAATGAATACATTGGCCGCGGTACTCTATTCTGTTCACTGAGAGATATCGGTCGTCGGTATTTTGGTTGGATAAGAATGCGCGGCGTTTTCGATGCAGTCAAGTTCGGAGTGCACTTTTGTTTAAGGGGACGATCTTGAACATCTTTTCCAGTTCGCAATGGCTGAGATTGCAAATAGGACGGTGTTCGGGCTTGACAATGAATTAACCGGCGACGTAACTGTCGAATATCACTCTAATAGACAAAAAGATATTTTTACATAAGAAAATAGAACAAAGGCAATTGCGAATTTACTCGAAATCGATTGTTTGTGAATCCGTAAATGATCGGATTGAGTGCAGTATTTGATACTGTGAGAAAATGACAAGCTATATAGAGAAGTTTAATTAATGTCGGATGTGCACAAAATTTCTGATGTTTGGTTCCCGTGAAGCAGAGGAGATTCAAACATAACTGGAAAACATTCATCGGCAACCAAAGTATAGCATAGAGTGCCACAACAGCAATCAACATTTTGATTCCCTAGAAATACAAGGATGTCTTTTGTGTCATATACTTAACATCAGAGACAACAGTTCGTGTTTGAATAATCATCATCTGATTACAGGATATTTCAGTCGAACGTAAAGCAATAGAGAAGACAGATTCATCACAAGATTTTTCAACGGACACTGTCAGTTCTATTGTGTTGATTCATTTGAATCGATAATGACTAAAACGTGTCGACCATATTAATCTCACACAGAAAAACAAACAAATCACATAGTTTTTTTCGGGGCTTAAATTTCCGAAATGCCCGGCAGCATTGTGTAGGAGTGTCATATTAATCTATACGACACTCGTGGTAAATAATTTTCATATGCAACCAATAATTAAGTAAACGAATAACTTGATTATCTTTGCTAGATCTATCAATTTCGAAAGTGCACTCATAAGAAGAATATCTGATTGGATTAAATGTGATAGCCGAGGATTTTTTTTTGTTTTAAGATCTCTCATCTATATCTGAATAAGTGCCTTAAGATTGACTGAAGAAAGGCTTCTCATGAATAATTTGCGCCTATGATCAATTTCATTGGTTGACGAAATAAATTTTCAGGCTTTATCGAGACGATGTAATGTTCTCAACTCGTTGGAATGACATTCTACATCGTCTGAAAATATCTCCCTTCAGTTATATATAGAACATGATGTACCTGTTTTAATTTCTTTTTAAATTGAATTGTTTCATTTGTGAAAAGATTTTTTGTTGCGCCATTATTCAGGTCATAATTAACGTCATTTCGGCGTTGCCATAATATGACAGCGATGCGTAAATAAACAAAACCAAGTATAAATAACGGGAAGAAATATGTTTGTAGAGAGTTTAATATCGCTCGTTGAACTTCCACCGGTCGAGCGATCTTATTCGGTAAACATTGTAATGTGTCGATGACTTTATATTCAAGTTTTGCTAAATAATCATTTGATCTCGAAGTGTCGGTGTAATTATCGAGTGATTTCATGTAATCATTCAATAACGTACGTGAATTAATCCATAAACGTTTTTCCTGTGTCGGAGACGAACGAGCAGGTGACCAGGCTATTGCTAATAAGATGCTTAAAATCCAAATGGTCAATATTGCAACCAAATTTCGTTTTTTCGGAGAATACATTTTGATCATCGACGGATATTTCACAACGCAATATCGATCGATAGCGATGGTTATTAATGTTAGTAGAACGCCGGAGACGGAGAAAGTTTTTAAACCATCCAAAACAGTGCATAACGTGCTTGCAAACAGCCATCGTTGGAATATAATTGACGTCATTGTAAATGGAATACAATACACAGTCATGATTATATTAAATACAGATAAATTTAATAGAAATGGTGTTAATTCAGAACGAGAGCGACGACCGAAGAAAAAGATAACAATAGCAATGAAATTGGTACAAAAGGAGAAGATAATCATAATACCATATATTAACAGAATAACAACTTCATATGTATATAGTTCACTGAATGAAAGATATGTTGTAGCATATTGATTATACAGATATTGTAAATGCATTGATGAAGAGATGGTCATGTCCTTTGTTATTATATGTTCATGTGTTGTCATGATTTGTAAGGAAGAGAGAAAAGAAAGTTCTGATCTAGAATGTCAAATTTTGATCAAAGATAGTTCGATCATTTCGAATACTTCTAGCAAATGTTACAAATAGTCTGCTTCGATTGACATCAGAATGCAATTCATTCGCACTGGGGTTCCCTTTTTTCTCGTTTGACGCTGTTCCTCTCTCATTTATCTATTTCTTTTTCTTCTCTCTTTCTTATACTGCTCATTTTCTTTAGAAACACTTAATTCATCTCCACAGAAAATGTCTACCGAATCATGATAGATGATGGCAGATCATTCCTATGTGTGATAAAGCTCACTGAAGAGTAACTAGTCACTCACTACATAAAAATGATCTGACCATTCGTATGCATGATAGAATCTTTTCATATGCTAAGAAAAAGGACGTTGCACAGAATAGAACATCACTTATTTAGTTAGACGAACAAAAATAGCGTGTCTTTTTTTCTGTTTTTCTCTCTCTTTTCCAACTGATAATTGAAGCAATTGTTTGTGAAGAGAAGAAAAGCATTCAATGCTATCTGTTGACACGCTATTATAAACATTCAAAGAAAATGTTTTTCTCAACATTATCAAATAATAGAAGAAGAGAAACTTGCCGAAAATTCTTCCTGGAAAAGTAACACTCTCCAGTTCCTGCATCAGAGGACAAATGAATCGCACTGCCACTCAACGATAGTGAATAGAAATTACAGGTGCTGTGTTCGTATTCAGTCGTGTATAGGAAATTCATTTGACACCAAATATTTTCTATCTGTTTTTCCCGAGAGAACTCATTTAAAACATTTTCTCATCTTTATCTACCCACTCAGTATTATCTAGCAATAAAACATGGCAAATGCGCAAGTAGCCTGCTGGAAGTAACACTCTAACAACTAGTATAATTATCTATCAGTTCAAATTGTGTGTTTCTTCTTCACATTTCTTATGCACCATTCTCTTTTGTCTGTGACACATGTTCATGCGAAGAATATAAAGAGACATTGATTGATAAGCATGGAAAAACTTTGCCTGTTAATCAAAATAGAAGCGCAGTCAAATTATAATTTGTATAATATCCTTAGAGTTTTCTTTTATCAGTAGGCTAAACGGTTCTAAAAGTTCGAGATTTTATCAAAGTATGCGATGCTTACATCTACTAAAATACTTATCAAACTTATAGTTCAAGTAGAAAAGATGAGAACATAGCAAGTCTTTGCAATAAGCACTTTGAACACATTTTATTTGTGTTGGAATATACAAAGCCCGTAGGTAGCTATTTAATGCCACTAAACAAGAACATTACCCACTTGAGTACATTTTCAGGAAAATAGAGACTATTATTTTTAATTATCATATGAGTTTGAGCGAGTTAATTGGACAAAGATGGATTGAATTTGAGCATTTATTGTCTATGCTCAACAAATTTAATGGTTATGCAACCAATCAAGATCATATTCATTTCTATCGAAGTTTATCAAGTACGTTATACAAATCGTAGGGATGTGATCATCCTCGAATATGCTGATTATCAATCTTTAGTATTGTCTCTTGTATCGTCTATCATATTTTAATTATCGCGTGATCAATCATCAAACAACATGACTAGTTGTGTCAAAAGGATTTCTTGACTTGTACTTTACATGAGTATCTTATCAATCTACGTTCATATCGCATGATACAAAACAAAGCGAGAAACGAAAAAATAATTTAATTGGACAAAAAATAATTAGTTACTAACTTACATTAGTTGATTAAATTTATTTTTGAGATTAGTAGAATCTTCATGTAGCTCGAAAGGTGCTGAGGAAGATAACAGGCAACTAAGAGTTGTTTTTCCTTCCTATATATGCACTAGTGAATATGTAATAATCATCTTCTCAACCTTGAGTTTTAGTGTAATTTAGCTTTCGAAACAATATGATTGTTCATTTGAATAATTATTGCTTGTCTGAACCAAGCAATATATTTCCTTCTATGAGCAAAACAATTATCATTAGTCGGATCTTATGCACCTCGAGGTCTTGGGTATGTCTTTCTAAGTTATTTTGATGTATCTAGCGCAAGTCTCAAACAGGATGTATTCTAATTTCAAGCTTCAATGTTCACGATATATAAATATGGAACGCTCGGTTATGATTTCCGTGTAGGATAAGTAAGGCTTCCTGAATCTTTGATAAATATAGATAATAAATAAGTTATGGAATCAAAAGCGAAATCTACATTTTTATAATTACCTTCTCGTGAAATGGTTTCTGTCATACTAAAATAGTAGCACATAATGTTCTACTGATCGACGCGCATGAGCATAATTATGTTTCGACTGCTCATATATGCTTACTATCTCAAATGGCGTAATCTTGTGAAAAAGTAGCGAATACTCATCTTGTCTAATAATCTTTCAACTACTCGAACTTGTGTATATCATTGAGTGAAAAGAGACCGACTCACAAAAACGATTCTGGTTCATATCGTGATACTAAACATCACATTACACAGCTTTTAGAATTCTTTTTGATCATATCGCACAGACATTTTTGTTATTTTCATAAACACATGACGGTGGTAGTATGTCATAGAATACTAGTTTTCTCTTTCAAGTCGATCCAAAAGGTTATTAGAAAGAACTTCAGTTCAATGTCACAAATCAGATGTCACTAAACGTCGCTTCCATTGAATTGTCGCTCGTGTATTCATTACAGAGGATATAACTTAGTGTATGATTGCCAATGACCTCAGTATGGTTTCTATTTAAACAAAAAAAAGAAAGGGAAAGAAGTCTAATCGATAATCAGCTTTTATTAATCTTCACACATCTTTATGTCTTTGAATTTGATTGCCTATAGATGCAAGCCATTAATCCTGTCGATGTTCATGTGGAAAGCGAACTACGTGAAGGAAAGGTTGTAAAGAAGACGATGAAAAATTCGACTAATGTGCATCGAACGACACCTCGAATGCGTACACAAGTTGTTAATAAGACGAGGACCAAGAAAACGAATGGCGCATCAACATCCTTACCTCTACTTCCGAAACAAGTTGTTACACCAAAACTAGCCTTACCAGTTCGTTCACCGAATTCCTCGCCGAATCGAGGACCATGGTAAGAAATCAATCTAATCGGAGTTTTTTCAATACTGAATAGCGTTTTTGAATGTAGGGTTCCACCACCAGGCCGGTCAACTAAAGGGCAAAAGGTTTCTTGGCAGGTATGTTAGGGAGGACATGAAAAAAATTGTTTCATTGGTTATCTTAAGAGTCCGGAATGTCGTTTGGAAATCAATCCAGTCATGGAGTTCATCGTCGATGACAACGACGGGAATCAATCGGACAAGCGAATTTCATCGAGTCCTTCCCAGTCGACGACTAAAAATGAGAAACTATTGGGAGAAATTCAAAGCTATGAGAAACGTATTCAAGGTCTTGTCGATGGAATTAGTATGCTCAAAGAACGAGTAATAGACTAAAACATTTATCCGTATCGTAATCTACTCTTTTTAATTAAAATAGATTCGTAATCACAGTACTACTGATCAAACAGATCAACTTCGCTCGGATATTGACTCTTCCTTACATGAATTAGAACACCTGCAACAAGATTATACGAAACGAATACCTAAACCAACAACGAAACCGTCTCGATCACGATCACTGTCACCAATACGAAATAAATACCGTTCATCCAGCGCTGATGATCAACGAAAAAACCGAATTAGAAACGCACGAGTTTCCTTTCTTGATGATCCAATCATTTCAAAGTTTGTTATTAGTCTTCATCTTCTCTGACATATATGTTTCTATGCAATCTTAATCATCTAGACGAAGGGCTCGCAGTACAACACCGAAAAGAGGCCCAATTCATTTAAATCCGGATCGAGAACGATTATTAATATCATTAACAGAATCAGAAGCAGATGTCACACATATTACTCAACAAATATCTTCAGTTAAAGATCTTCTAACAAAACTGAAATTCGTAAGTTACGAACTCAATCCAAATCGATTCTAGCCACTTCTATCCATCTGAAATTACTTACTTTTCAGTACCACCGGTATGACGAAACACATTGCACAGTTGAAAGAGTTTATTCTGAACGCGTAAATTCTATCTGATGTTTCGTAGGGAAAATATCAGTCATTAAAATAGTAGATGAACGCTATCATTGTTCCGAGTCTAAAAAATCCTTCTAATAGCACTGGAAATCGATCTTAGTCTCCGAACTCCACGTTGCTAAATTATTCATTCATCAACATTCTTCATCTATCTATTATTATTGTTTTTGATTATCACGTTGAACTTTCCACCCACTCTGATGATCTGCATTCTTCCGCCAGTAGATTGCATGTTCTATAATCGAGCGTCGAGGCAAGGCGACCCCACGAAAATGACTTTTTTGTAAAAAAAAAAACTTCGTAGAAGTGACACGATTTCAAACGTGCTCTCAGGGACACTCTAATGATAGTTTACGACGTACAACCAATGAACCTATTGTTTATGTGTGCAAAATGTATACATACCTTTAGGACAACCATCCATTATCGTTTGAAGTTGATCAACTGTGCCAGCATCGGAATGAACTCTTACATTCGATCGAACAATTTGAACGTTCAAATAGTAAACTGAAAGAATTCCTTCGACATCAATATCATCTCGAAGCGGAAGATGGAATGATGAACGAACATTATGACACACTGAAATCGCGTGTTCACGAATTAGAAAATGAAAATGAGCAAATTCGTCGTCTATTGTTAAACCGCGAGAATGATAATATTGCTCTGCAAAATGAACTAGAGCGTACAAGAACGCACGCCATTGGTTTCGACACGATGAAAACATCATTAGAGCATAATCGCGCTCACCTTCAACGAGAATTATACGCACGCGAAGGAGAAATTAATCGACTACGATGTGCGCTACGAGTAAGTGCAAAAAAGTTATATTTTTCCGCGAATTTGTTTTCTTCTAAATGACACACTAGCATGTTTCCGTTACATTTATTGAGGTTTATCACGCGAGAACACGTAGATTAGAGAATTGAATATAACTTTAAAAAGCAAACGCTTTGTATTATTCTCTAAGGATGTCTGATTATAATCGAAATGACTTTTCTCGACACTTTCGGTGAGAAGATTGCTTCATCGCGCATAGATTCTTTCGGGGGCGGTTTCTTCTCTAAGTACTGACAAAGTCAAATAATTTCACAAGAATCTACTTTGATTTCTGAGCGGATTGAAGTTATCAGAAGGATTTTCTACATTTAGCAAATTATCTCTCTCTAGAAATTAGAACATGATCACCTCCGTCGGCCGAGAAAGCGTTCGCCGACGTACTCAATCCCATCGCGTCCTTCGTCTTCAACTGCTTCGAACGCACACAACGCAATAACGATTGAAAAACTACAAGCTGATCTTCACAGCCGTGATCATGAAATCGATGCATTGAAAAGAAAGTTCTATGAGAACAAAAATGAACAAACGGATGAGACAAATCCCGAAGTTATCCAACTACGTGCAAAACTTGAACAAGCAGAACGCTTAGTCGATGAATATCGCGCACAGTTGCATACTGAAACATTGAAAACATCAGCAAATAATAGTAAAAATCATCTGTCGGAACTTGAATTAGAAAGAACACGTGCTCGTTTACAACGGCGCATCGAAGAACTGGAACCCTTACCTGCACTATTGAAACAAGTCGAACTAAAAAACGACAAACTCCAGCAACATATTCAAGATCTGGAAAAGCGTTCTAATGAACGAATAACTCCTTCCAACGATCGACTCATCGGCACTTATTCGTCGTACGAGACTGATACGCAAGCTCTTCAAAGGTAAAATTAAAACAGAAATGGTATTATTTGCAAGCATCTCTTCTAGAAAAATACGAACTTTAGAAGAGCAAAATAACAAACTGTCACAAACACTACATGCAAAAGAAGAAGAACTGCGATTAGCGCAAGTAAATGCATCAGTTCTAAACGAATATGACAGATCATCTGTGAGTCTTTTTCTAGTCTCGTTTGAACTCCAAGCCATACGACTTCACGTCAACTAGTAAACAAAGCGACACATTTCCATCGAAAGTAAATCTATCTTATTTCGCATGCGTTCTATTTATAAGGTTTCTCTAGGAAACTCTTTTCCAAAAGAATACTTACGATCTTGAACAACAGATTTCCAAGCTTCATCTCGAATATGCCCAACTGAAACGAGAGAAAGAAGAACTCGAACGCAACTTCAAAACTCAACTAAGTGAATTGCGTGACAAGCTAGAACGATCAAATAGTTCCACTCGAGCCATGCAAACATATGTGAATTCGCTTAAAACAACATACACAGCTCTCTTCAGCGATACAGTTCCAACATCTTTCAATCAATATACAACAACAACTTCCACATAGGAAAACAGAGCCTCAGAACTAAGTTGTTTACCTCGTTTTGTTACGCATACAAATGGTGTCATGTGTATTTGTGTTTGTATTCAACAGCTAGAATGTAGAATGCTTTTTCGTTTGGTCTACTAATAACATAGAATAGGTGTTTTTTTTTAATATTGAAATGCTCATCAAAGGGGCTCGAGATTTCTAATCTTGTTTACGCTTTATACATGTGCATTTGTGTTGAGAATTTCTACAAAATTCTATTAATATAAATGTTATAGAACGAACAGTGACACATCTGTTTTGTTGACATTCTGCGCAAAACATGTCGTCTGCCTCCAGACAGACAAGCATCAAAAGAAAACGTCAAAGTTTTAACGAAATTTCAACGCGTTTTTTTGAGAAGTTTTGCCTAACTGGATCTGATTTTGACGCCTATCAACAGGTAGACAATCCCTAAAACACTTCTGAATGTGCTTTGATCATACTGTTAAACAAAGTGACAAGAAAAATCTACTTTTCAACGGTCCTGTCATTTGAGAATTTCGATTATAAAATTCAACCTAATAAATAATATAATCATGAGATTTTATTAAGGTTTTCAGAGATTGTAAGCTAGCATGTAATGAAAACATATTAAAAGAATGAAAATTATTTACAAAACTTGAAAAAACTGTTCGTATTAAGAAGAATTAATGTTTCTTCTTGTGACATTGTGGTGCAGGATAATAATAATAACCCGGATGACCGCCGATAATTCCATCTCGGTTTATGTCAATGTGTGTTGCTTTTTCAATTTTACCAATTAAGCCTATAAATGAAAAATATTCATAATTGGAGTGACAGTTTAAAATAAAAACTAGAAATTTACCTCCACTGCGCGATGGTCGATATCCTCCGATGATTCCATCACGATTGAAATCGATATGAGTCGCTTTTTCAAGCTTAGCAGTCAAGCCAGGTCCGCCAATTCGTCCATCATGATTTAAATCTAAGCCAAGTTTGCGCTCGACTTTGTTTACTAGATAATCTATACAAATGTTCAATAACAAAACACTCCGACGTACTCAAAACAACTTACTCATCGTTAGATATGTTAGAGCGTATGTAATACTTATGTATGTATTGGATTCCTTTGTCGCGATTATTAATTTGCCTTTCCTTTTATATGCTTAAGACAGCGAGCGAGAGAAAAGAAATGAGTCAGACTGTTCCTTCCCGAAAAGACTTCGTCGTCATTTGTATATATATGTGTGTATTATGTTTGTGTGGGCAACTGATGAATCATATTAAGAAGAAGAATGAGTAAAACAAATTGATCGCAACGAAATGATAATGCCCCTTGATTTGATAATAATCATTAAAAACAAATTGGACAAAGATAATTTCAAATGAGTAACAGACAAACTGGAAAAATTTGCACAGCAATTTGTCTATTTGATGTATTGAGAATGTTCGAGAATATTTCTTCTCAGTTAAAATTGCAAAGAATATGTTTCGAAGTTCGTTCAATATGTAAAAATCACTTCCGATTTTGTTCTTATGTTTTCGAACTTTTCAAGAGATAATTAGTGAATTATACATTGGAATGTCATATACTGGTGCCCTCTAGTCTGACTCAGTAAAAGAAATCTATGTCATCGAAGAAGAACGATGAATAGATATATTTTATCGATCGTCTTTTCGTTCGAAACATTCCTTCATCTTCTCGATGACAACCTCAACATCTTCCAAGTTCGATGACGATGACATCAACGACGAGGAATTACTTGCTGCATGTTGTGATGAAGACAAAAATGATGCCATTCCAAATGAATCAGATTCGAAAAAACTTCCAACACGTAGCTCAGTATAAACGAAAGCGTATTCTCTTGATTCATATTCTTTGTTCTCTAGTTGATGTCGCATCATTCGGTTTTCCATTCGAGCCCTATCAAATCCAAGTTGATTTTATGCGTACTCTCTATTCAACTATTCAACAATGTAAACATGGCATATTTGAATCACCCACTGGCACAGTATGAATTACTTTTTCGGAATTCCCGTTGTTATCGACAATTGCTCTCATGTTTGCTAGGGTAAAAGTTTGAGTTTAATATGTGGATCACTGCGATGGCTATTTGATGAGATACAATCTTGGAGAGATGAGTACGAAGAATTACTCAAACCGATCGAAACAAAAACTGAATCTAGGTAAAGTAGCACCATTGATTGACGCGAAAGCATCATCATGAATTGAATTGTAGTTCTGGTGATTGGTTAAAGCGACGGATGAAGCAAAAAGAAGAAGAATCAGCTAGAGAAAAACGACGTGTAGATGAGTTCTATTTAGATAGGAAAGTTTATCTTCCATTGGCATTCATTTAGGATGAATTGAAATTAAAAATCGATTTAGAAGATCAGTATGTTAATGCAGCCAAGAATACATTAACTACGAGTATTAAAAAAACGGTATGACTTGCTTTTAATTACCTATTCATGTACATTATAAGTTTCCTTTAGAAACGAGATTTTGATGCAAAATATCGTCATTTATTCGATGATGAAGCTCTTCGCAACCCCGAACGCGACTCATCATCGTCGAAAGAACAATTCAAATTTGATAATGCTGATGAACTAAGGCATGGCCAAATTTCAAGAAGTGATATTTTTCAAATCAACTTTTTTTCTAGCGATGAAGAACTACTGATCAAAGATTCGAATCAAAAGACTCTATTTGATGAAGCAGATTCACCCAGCAAAACCGACATGACAAACACACGCGAGAAGAAAGCACATGTTCTCAAAGTAAACAATCGCAGTTGCTCATTACTAAAGATCAAAGCATTGTTCTCCTAGATCTTCTTTTGTACTCGAACACATTCTCAAATATCTCAATTCATTGGTGAAATACAAAAAACAAAATACGTTGATCAACTACGTTTAGTAGCACTTGGATCACGTCAAGTAAATTCATTTCAATGAACCCTTTCTTATTGCTTTTTCGATTCATAGAATCTATGTATTAATGAATCGGTGCTGAAATTAAAATCTATTACATTAATCAATGAAAAATGTCTGGACTTGCAAAAACAAAAGAAAGAGAGTAATGATTTGTTATATCCAACAAAAGCAGCAATGTAGATTAATTTCTTAGAAAAAACAACGGCAGGTAAACGACAAAAGACTGCATGCGGATGTGCATTTTTACAACAAGATCGTGTAGAATGCTTATCAAACGACATTCTCGTAAGAAAGAAAAGTTAGTTCTTGTCTAATCTATTCTAATTTTTCTTCAGACTGAAGCTCAAGATATTGAAGATGTTGTTAAACTCGGTCGTGAATTGAATTCGTGTCCGTACTATGCAACACGAGCGGCTATCGCTGCCGCTCATCTTGTCGTTTTACCCTATCAAACATTAATGCATAAGTCCACGCGTGAAGCATGTGGGATCGAAATGCGTGGCAATGTTGTTATTATTGATGAAGCTCATAATCTACCGGACGCGATTTGCTCCATGCATTCGAATGAAATAAGTGGAAATCAGGTAGAGAACACTAAAATAGATACAATTTTCGTACTGAAAATAGATGTTTTAGTTAATTGACTCGTATGGACAATTGTCTCGTTATCATGAAAAGTATAAAGCACGACTAACAGCGAAGAATTTGTTATCAATCAAACAGTTACTTGACGTCCAAATGAATCTTCTGAAAACATTATGCGGTAAATAAATCGAACGATTCGAAATATTCCGAGATTTGGAGTTTTATTTCAGCCAAAGAAAATCTTCCTTCGATATACGATAGTGACAAATGGAGTAATCTCGTTGTTTCATCGAAACCAACAGGTAACAAATGAGAATCATCAAATTCATTTTTTTAAAACAAAACATTTGCTGTAGAGACTTCGTCAACATTTGATTTGATTGATTATCTATGCGATGCAGGAATTCATGTTAATCTATTCCAACTGATCGATTATATAAAAGCCAATGAATTGACCAAAAAGGTTTGGAGAATACTTGTTTGCTCATCCCTAAAAATGAACTCTTCCTTTCGTCAGTTACATGGATTCATGTCAAAGTATCCTGTCAACAGGGAGCAAACAGTCGATGGTAAGCAAATCCGTGCTTTGCAAAGTCGAAACTATCGTCACGGAAGTCGTTATAGAAAAGAAAACAAATGAAAGTGCACTACAGAAACTGTTGCAGAAAAAGAATGCACAAAAACAAGCAAAGGCAAATACTACGGAAGAAGAACAGTCAAATAAAGGTGAAGGAAGTATATTTCGAGTATTTGTCGAATTTAAAATACATGTATAGAATCAGTGGAATATCGAGTATCCAATTCATTTGCTATCTTTGCACAATTTCTCGAAGCATTGACTAACCCACGCGACGATGGCAAAGTTATTATTATCACCAAAGGTTTACCTCTGATTTTTCTTAGTTTTGTTGTCATACTATCGTTGTTTAGAAATGCTCGGTCAATGTTCAATAAAATATTTTGCATTGAGAACTTCTTCATTCTTTCATGAGATTGTCAACGAAGCTCGATCGGTTATTGTTGCTGGTAAGATTCATACGAGTGTATCGACAAATATTCACTTCTTTTCTAGGTGGAACAATGCGACCAGTAATTAATGAAAACATATCTCTATCTCTTCGTCACGCTTAGCAATTCTCTTTCTAGATCAGCGAATTTATTGATCATCTCTTTTTAGCTTGTGGCCAACCAGAAGAGAAGATTTGTCAATTATCATGCAGTATACTTCTTCAATGTAACATTCTCTAGTGTGATATCCTTCTTATTTAGATCATATTGTTTCTTCTGATAATGTCTTGGCGATTGCTCTACCATCAGGTCCACAAGATATTCAATTTGAGTTCACTGCTGCCAATCGTTCAAACACCGCTATGGTAAATTCAAAGTTCTTTTTGTCGTAGTAGATTGTATTAGTTATGATTTAGATGGACGAATTAGGTCGAGTTCTTTTATCAATGTGTTCGACAATACCGGACGGTCTTGTCGTATTCTTCTGTTCCTATGACCATTTACAAAAAACGTATGCTTATTTTGAAAAGACTTCTGTCTTGAGTAAAATTGCAGCAAAAAAGAAGGTTTGAGAATGAAAAAGTTCCATCTATCTCTTTACCGGATTATGTGTTTGAAATATAGATATTCATGGAGCCAAAACGTACGAGTGATGTTGATAGTATTCTTGGCAATTATACTAAATCAATTAAAGTACTACTCAAATGTTTTTTGCTGAAAATTCAGAGCTTTATTTCTAGAATGGTCTTGGTGGTTTACTTTTTTCCATTGTCGGCGGTAAAATGAGCGAAGGCATCAACTTTTCGGATGAACTGGCACGATGCGTTTGTGTTGTCGGTATGCCATATCCAAATATTGGCTCGGCGGAAATTATCGAAAAGATGCGTTATTTGGATTCCATGAAAGTCAAATCTTCTACATCAGGTGACAATACAGGTCGTGCTTATTACGAAAATACATGTTGGAAGGCGATTAACCAAAGCATTGGACGAGCTATTCGACATCGCGGTGATTATGCTTGTCTTCTTCTCATTGACAAACGATATAGTAAAGCAAATATTCCAACGAAACTACCACATTGGTTGGCAAATAGCTTCCGACAAATGAGTCATTTCCATGAAGCATCAAATTCAATTGAGCAGGTTTGATTCTTTGATTTGATAGAAAAATATTCTCTCGATTGTTTGTAGTTCTTTGCTCGACGTTCCAAATAAACAATCTCCAATAGTTTCTCTTGCCTATCGAATTAAATTCTGTTTTTATTCAATACTTTTACACACGCACAATAAACAAAGAAATGCTTTCTTAAAACTTAAACTCGTCCAATGGATCCTGATGTTTTCGTCCATTGTTGATATTTTTTGTTCGCTATGTCAATCAGATCTTCCATGTGACCGGCCAACTAAAAATGAAATTCGATTGTATAGTTTTAGTTCATTTCCATTGCTGAATGACTTACATGAAAGTCCGTCAGAAGATCGGTTGAGACTTTTTCTTTGAAAGTATTCACTTGCGTGTCGCGAAAACGTTCAATTGTCTCATGAACACGATGAATCTAATTGAACAACCGATGGAGAGTGTTTCGAAAAGATTCTTTCTATCAACGTACTTTTTCTTCGATTGCAGGTGAGCTCGGTGGAAATGATGACCAAAAATGACGAAGAAGTTCACTCAGTGATATATAGATCGTCTGCATCTCTTCTTGAATAGTCTGCGGAACGATTTCTAAACATTAATCATGAACTTTTGTTGAATTCGAGTGAAATTCTTACGCGACAATGTCTGTGCTGTAGTTCCGTGCATCAGAGCCCCGCCAGGTGTTAGGTCTTTGACAATTCGATGCGCTAGATGTGAGTTTAAACTCTAAAATAATCGATAAATATCCAATTTCGACGAGAAAGCAACGAACTAATTCGGTATTTGCACTCCAGTTGTTCATTTCTTGTTTGAAACCTTTCACATTTATTGGAACTTGTGCAGTGGAAGTTTTTTGTGACCGATCAGTTGTCGGGGCCCGAAGATACCGTTCTGGATTGACTAATCTTAATGCTTGATTTTCGTCGGGTTGTTCTGTTCGTAAATCTTCTAGATCATCATCGGGTTTAAACTAAATGAGAAAACACAAAATCAAAGATTCGATTCATGCTTGATATGTTCTTAAGCGTCCTACCCTCTTCGCAACATCGTCATCATCACCGTCTTCTTCCGCGGGCTCTGCGCGACTTGCTGCAGATGACTCGTTATTGACTTCTGTGCCAAGCGTACTTTTTAAAATCATTGTAGAATGAAAATTGAACCGTTTAATGAGATTTTTATTCAAATCATTTTTCCCCGAAGTATCCTCAGCGTGTTCATTAACACCATAACCAATCTGTATGAAAATAGAAGAGTAACATCCAGCTACAGAAGAACGCGGACTTACTTCGCTTGTTTCATTCGTTTCTGGAGCAATAACTGCCATAGCTTTTCGACTAGCTCGTTCAGCTTCATGAAGCATCTCTATTTCACAAAAACAATGAGGAGTGTTTTCGAAACACGAAATCAACTGTCTTACTTTCATCATCCCGCTTCACACAATCATTGAAAATATCACGTGAATGTGATGGATTCAGTCGATCCATAGTAAAATAATGCGATTGGAAAAACGTGCGCCAAAAATCAGCTTCAGTCATCTTACGCGTATGCACATTTTGTTCATATTTCTCTCGAACTAGTTCCGATTGAACTCATCAAGAGCATTTCTAATATATTCAAGAGACATACTTGCTGGATAAGTACGAAAAATTGACATGACTGTGTCGGTATTGAGTTTATAGATAATACCACCGTTGTCACCCGATTCCGGACGAATATTTGACTAAAGCAAAAGAAGCCGAACTAGAACTGAATTTAGCTCGGGCGGAATAACCTACTAAGAAGGCACCGGACACACCAGTATCTTGTTTTTTTGTACTTTCAGTTAATTTATCGAACTAGAATAACGATATGTTTGTGATCGTTGAACTTTTTTCGATTTCTATTCTTACATCAACATATTTATTCCAAAAATCATCGGCTGGCACTAAGCCACTTATGACTAGATCTTTGTACAATTGATAAACCGTTTTATTTTCATTTAAAATTCTAAATAGAACAAAGAATTAGCTAATTGGAGATTTATCAAGAAAAATTGGTTTTACTTCGTTTTGATTTCCAGAGCTTGATCCATCATTGATCTAAATTTTGGTAGAAGTAGTTTGAGTAACTCCGAAACATCATCACGATCCTTTTTCTGAGCATCGAGTCCGTTTGGATTGCAAAAATGGAATGTTGTCATTGTTTCATTATAACAAACAATTTGTAGACGGATTTTTGACTTCTCATCCGATGAGATTCGCTGCGCTGAACAGAACCAATGTAAATGAAAGTACCAGACCAAAATTCACTTACATTTTATATCACAATAATCGAACGATAGTGTTATGTCACCTTTATGTTTCGGCATCCAACCCATTCGTTCACTCATCATATACAAAGTACCCTCGACCTTTTTACTCTTAACATGATTCACTTTCAGTCGAACGTCTTCTCCATTCGCCATCTAGAAAGAATCGAAATTTAAACACAAATTCAATTCTTTATCTCTCAGATCGATCTCAGATGACTTTTCCTCTCTCTCCTTCGAAGATAGTGTTTTTTTTTATTTAGTTGATGTTTCTAAAGAAAGACATATACATAGGATAAGCAACAGTAACAGATAGATAGGAATAAACTTGTTTAGAAGTTTTCTTAATCTTTGATAACTGGTCGTGTTGTTGTTGTCGTTCCTCCAGCACTACTTGGAATAACCGAACTGGAGTTCGATTGTTTGAAGTTCGAAGCTGCTTGATATTGTAATTGATATGCCATTGAATGAATTTTGAAGCCGTAAAGTCGAGCAACAAATTGATTTGTTGGTCGTTTAGGTCGATATTCGGGATGAACCATAAATAACATATGAGGAAAACCTGTACTGAAGTACGCACCATCAGTATGATGATGTCGTGAGCTTTTCGGTGTATAGACATCCATACATTTTGGGCAATAAAGTTTAACCATAGCTTCGCCAGGCACTTCCGATAAGCCAATCTAAAATAAACAGGTAGAAACTTTAGAAGAGAAACTTCAGTTGATCTCTTACAGGTAACATTGGTTGGTTGTCACAGTAGATACGAGGACAAAGACCAAAGTCGCCATTTTGAAACTTTTCAAGCATTTGGGCGATACCATTATTCGTTAATATATAACGAGCATGAATGAGACCTTTAAAGGAACAGAATAAGCGAAGGTTAAGACATATCTCGACTTACCATAAAGCATTTCAGCAGCTTGTTCAATTAGATCCGATTGATTTGGATTGTCTTGATTGTCCAGATCATCATCCGGCTCGAGATCAAGAATCATATCAAGTGCTTGTCGATAGTGTGGTACTTGTTCATTGAGACCAGTCTACGAAATGAATAATGCTATCTTCTGTTTGAATCCATTTGTTGAACTTACTAGATTAAATTTATCTTGTATATAGTCTTCATCAACTTCACAAAAGAATTCGTTGCCACGAAGGCCACAGAACCATGAAATCCACGAAACTAAATAGAGCATACAGATCTCATTTTTGATGTTCAATTTTGAATTGTACCTTCTTCTGATGAACTCATCGAACTCGATTTTGATTTACTACCAGCAGCAGACGATGATGAGTGATCGTCCTTTATTATAGCTCCAGCTCCAGTCGCGGCCAGAACAATAACAAAAAATCTGAAAAAAAAAGAAGAGCAAATAACAAATATTTTAGCCTAATAAAATATTCATATCTCCAAAGAGACACACGAAATGTTGTTTGAGTTTTTTTTTCTATTTGTAACATGGATATATATGTATGTAATTCTACTATATAAACCGACAGTAAGCATCATCTGACTAACATAAGGTTGAGGTTCTAGCGTAAGAACATACTACTACAAAAGTTATCATTCGCCGATGGAAGCAAAGAACAGAAAGATGATAGATGTGTTTAAACATAAACTATGTAAAACAGAAACAAGAACAAAAAAACACAAAACAAATTTGGATTTTATTCAAATTAAACATTAACCATTGGTCCTAATTGTTTATCGACTATGTAAAATTTGCCTTTGTCACTAAATAAGCCCCAGAGAACGGCCATTATTTCGCAAACAATGACAAAGGGAATTGTTGCTACAGTACCAAAAATTCTCAATGCAAATTGTGCATAACCTAGACGAATTAGTGAAAACGATCGAACGGCGCCTATGATATATAAATAAATGTTAACAGCGCCGATGTAACCGATCAAAAAATTTAATGTCCAATGTAGTGGAATCGGACAGAGTGGAGTAAGAATGACATTCAATGATGTTAATGGTAATGTAATCCAGGAATAGAGCGCAATACCTAATCCAATTCGAACACGAATTGGTAAACGTGCATCATGAACCACTAACAAGATGCCTTGTAGCCATCGTTTACGTTGTTTGATAAAATCTGTTAATGTAAATGGACTTTTTTCCCACATTTCTCCTGAAAAGAAATCAATTATATTTATGCCACAAAACAAAACTTTGTTTCTCAACAAACCTTCAACCCATCCAAATTTCTTATTTTTTGACATTGCTAACATTGCGAAATATGTATCTTCAGCAATGGAACCAGCTCGTCCATTATCGAATGTTACTTCGAATTCGCATGCAGCTCGACACACAACGAACGATCCTTTGAATAAAAACGGTGGCCGATGTAATTTCTTCAAACAAAATCGTAAACATCCAAGATCCACTCCGACACGCATACTATCAGCTAACGTCGTAATATGATTGACGATTGTTTCATTTGCATAAGTAATCAAACCTTGGCCAATGTCATATTCGCCTGAATTAATAAAATTTAGTATACCACGAACGGAGTTTTCCGTTAGTAGAGTTTCTTCATCTAAATGAACAATATAATCATCGGGTGATAGTTGATTGATATCTGGTTCGAGAGCATATTGCAATGCACGAGATTTGTATAGTGATCCGGTTTTTGTTCGATAATCATGTGGAATAACAATTTGCCGAACCATATTTAATGGTAATCCAGTTGTATTGATGGGTTTATCAGTGACAATTTCAAGATGGAAGTTACTCAAACCGACTTTGGCACATGTGTCAAGATTTCTCTTGACATTTGTTCGTACTAGATCCGGATAGTCACCGCGCGTCACCACCCGAATGCAAATTTTCGGACTCAACAAAGGCGAATTTTGTAATTCAGGTCGATCAGGAAAAATATTGTACAGAACTAAGCCACAGGTGTGACATATTACTAAGGGTAACGGTAATAGGGATAACAAACGAATAAAATAAATAAGTATTGCAGCAAATAATCCATAATGTTCAATCGGATTTTCAACGGCATTATTGGAAGATATTGATTGTATGGAGGGAAGAACAATTCCACCAGCAACTATTTCGAATATGAAAATAAATATTGAAAAACAACAGATGTGAATTATATGACGACGATATGATGATAATGTTGGAAGTTTGGATTTCAAATTCATCTTGTTTGTCTAGAAAACGAAAAAAATGTATTCAAATAAAAAACATCAAGGACGAAAAATTTCCTTTCTCGAAAATATTCTCAGTTATAGTCATACATTTACTCGCAAAGGTATACAGTTATGTCTCGAATAAAAAGAAATATGAGTGTTATATGCATATTCTTGTCGTCGTTCGTCTTCCTCTTTGACATAAATGTAATAAAATTACTCGAGTCATTTGTATATGAAGCGTCGATATTTACATCTATGCACATACGGAAGACTTTGACCTCTTCGCTTTATTATTATCATTCTCGGGGCATTGCAGAAAAGCAAATAAGATAACAAGAAACGAAGGAAAAAAAAGTACACTGACACGCTTCTTTTTCTGATAGAAAGAAAGTGTTTGAGCAGACTTAATATTGATTTTATAAACTAAATAGACTGTCAACATTCTTTTGTATTCGAAAAACAAAGCAAATGCGGGTGAGGGTGGTAAGGGTAGTGAGTAAGGACGACTTGTTTGACCTCAACAGCTACAAGTATCAGATGGTATATCGTCATTTTTCCTTTATGTCTGCGATTGTAACAATCGAAGATGGAAGAAAAACAACTGATCAATAGGAACAGAAAGAAACCTAATGATCAATTATTAATTCTTATCGTTTTTGTACAGAGAAGAAAGAGAAAAGAGAAAGGCTGGTGAATGCATCGGATTCAACCACATGAAACAAGTCGTACGGTGAATATGGGCGAACGACGCTCGATAACGTATATCAAATGGTACGAACGATATGCATCAATACTTCTATTTGGCCTCGAATCACTTCCTATTCATAGTAATTTTTCAAAAAAAAATCAATCAACTCCTCATCTCCGTTCTCTTTCACTTCATTATAAACAGAAATTAGCATGATTAATCTCCCACATTTTTGTTTATGACTCAAAAGGATGAATTTAGCTCTCGATGAATCACATACCATGTTGAAGGTCTAAGTACATATGAATGATTCATCATTTTCGCGTGGCGTTGGTTTGGCCAACGATATCAGACGAGATGCACGTTTTTCTCATCTAAAGAGTATAAAATATTTAGAATCATCATAGAAGTAAAAATTTTTTTTGAAGGATTTAAGAAATGACGGTTTTTCTCACCAAGAGAATAGAGTCTAACTTCATAAAATAAAGATTATTAATCACGCTTATGACGAAAGCAATGTCCTGTGCGCATTTTACTCGTGAGAATGGTGACTTACCTATCGTCCTCAGCACACAGAAATATGCAATCGAAAAAAAAATGATATTTTTCTAAACTGTACTCGTTATTTATCTTAATAATAATATAGAAAGGCGAAAGAATGTCTATTTCAAATACTTTATCTGCAGTTAAGCACTTTTAAAATAAATAATGGAGTATCAATTCGTGTCCCTGTGAATAGGAGAGCTTCAACAAAACAAGGTAGACCACGTCAACAAATGAACAATTTGTCGGCTTTGCTGTGATGACGAACGTCAGAGTATATTAGATCCAGTTTAATACTTGGCTTCTTAAATGCAATTATCTATGATCAACGCGTCTGGATAGAAAACGTTATTTGGTGTGATGAAAAAAATGTAGCGTGCGGGAAGCTAGTAGTGAGGGTGATGATGATGACGGCAAGAGGGAGGGAAAAAACATAGTTGTTTATTGTGGGTATACTGAACCAATAACAATAGCTTCGCTACATCAAGTGCCATCTTCATTTTCATGAAAATAGAGAAATTTTTTATTTGAAAAATGTGAACATGAACATTCGAATTTTTAATTCTTTCATTAAACGACTAATTTGAAAGTAATTGTTAAAACTGAAGTCGTGAGAAAGATGGCGCTAGTAGTTCGTATCTACCGGTTAATGAACCGCAGGATATATATCATCGTCTTACACAGATGGCATCAGTGATGAACCTTCGATAATTATCGAAATTTGGTGATATTTATGATTATTTATCCCGGTTACCAGAATTGGTCGACCGTCTCACCATTTGGATGCTGATGAGAATTGAAGCAATAAAAGAATTTCCAAACCATTGCGAGTTGCCAAGAAACAAACAAAATCAAATGAGTAAAATGGCGACTTCAAAGTTTTGATATATTTTGCAAGCTCATTGCAGCTCAAATTTGTTTCTAAGAATGGTTATCAAAACTTTACCTGAGCCTAACGCGAGATCAAATGGTGGCGCATTCTTAAAAGCACAAAAAGAAAGACGCAGTGTTTCTGGTTTGTAATCCCTTTTTCTAACCTAACTTACCATTCATTCATTCATTCATTATAGCCACTCACCCATCCATCGACCGATTAGGTGTAACTCAACCACGTCGTTTACCAGATCATGCTGATTTCAGTCGAATGTGTATCATGACTAGCAGTGATTTGAATCGCATCTATGACAACCTAGAACGTCGTCAACGTGATAAAGATGCGATTGAACAAGAGATTGCTCGAAAGAACGAAATGGCCGAACGATCTGCTCAAATAACTAAACATTGGCCGAATACGATCGCTGTATAGAGAAAAAGAAGGATTTTATTGAAATAACGGTTTTGTTTGTGATTTCTTTTAGGGTGCACGTGAACGTAAACTCGAATTGAAGAAGATTCGTGAACAAGAAGAGGAAGAACGAAGAAAGCAATTAGATCTTGAAGAAGAGAAACTCGCTGCTGAACGTCGCCGAGAACAAATCGAAAAGGCGAAAAAATTGAAATACTACGAAACCGATCGTGTGAAGACATTTCACGTAAATCTGAGCTTCATAATGATCCCAGTTGTTAGATCTGTTCTTATATTTTATAGAGTGCTCTTCTTCTGACTGAGGTCTTGAAAGAACGTGATTTACAAATTGAAATGAAAAAACGTATCGAACAATTTCGGCAGACAGATGCCGAAGAAGAGCGACAACGCTTTCAAACATCTCAAAATGAAATCAATAAAGCCGAACAAGAAAAGCGTGAGAAGAAAGCTCAGTAAGTTGTTTCCAAAATTTTCTGTTCCATTGTCCAATATATTTGTGCAATCTAGAGAACGAGCTGAACTAACTCAATATCAATTAGCACAGTAAGTCTAAATATCCGTCAGTTCTTCGCTAAAGATGAGTTTTTTTCGAAGAATCGAACGAAAGAGAGCACAAACCGCTCTCGAGAAACAACAGGATCGACAAGAAGGTGAAGCTTATCGAAATCTAGCCGAACAATATGCACGCGAGCAAATGGAATTAGAACATTATCGTAAATTAACGCAAAAAGACGTTAAACACATGTACGACAAAGCTGTTGACGATAAACGTAAAGTTAAACAGATGGAGCAACAAATGGATGAGGTATATCATTTTTCATTGATACATCTTTTTACGATCTTCTCTGCGCATTTAGGATGAAGATGACGAACTTCGTATATATGCTGAAGCAAAGAAGAAGATTGCTCGAATAAGACGTGAAAAAGAAATTCAAGCTCATCAGTAACTAATTCATTCGATTTCTTCGATAGATTTTTCTCTCGTTTTTTTTTCTTTGCAGAGAAAAGCAAGACGCACGCGACCATATGACAGGCTACTTAGGTACATTGCAGAAACGAGCCGAGGCTGATTATGACACGCAAATCTTCCGTGCACAGGCACAACGAGAAGCAAAGGAATTTCGTGAAGAACAAGAAAAACACGACCGACAGCAAAAAATGCAAGAATCGATCACTAAGCATCGAATAGAAACAGTATGAACTTTGCGTTGAATTCGTGCATGGATCGGCGATTGTGTTTTCTTTTGTTTAGATGAAACGACGTGAAGCCGAAAAGGAAATGGAACAACGCGCAGAAGCCGAAATCAACAAGAAAAAAGGCGAAGCTGACCAACAGTTTCTATTATACCAACAAGAAAAAGATAAAAAACGTAGTCAAGATGCTCATGAACTTTCTCAACTTCATCTTCAACAAGCGGTGAGATCCTAGCAATCGACCAAAATCATATCCATACATAACTTTGTTTTCTAGCAAGAAAGAAAGGATCGTGAACGTGGATTAAAGACCGGCGAAGTTGACGAAGTTCAAGTAGAGAAACAAATGAATGAAATCGAAAGAGAACAATTCCAAGATTATGCTGGTCGCGTTATTTCGTATATGGAAGAAAATGGGCGCAACACGTACCCATTGAAAAAAGTAGCAATTTGATTTGATTTGCTTTTGAAAATGAAAAAAAAACATTTGAATTTCAGGTCTATGCCGATGAAATGAAACGATTTGATGAGTGGAGTCAAGGCTATCGAAAAACGGACACTTCGAATAGTAATGGTGAAAGAAAACCACGCAGTCAAGACAAGAAATCATTCGATACGACGAAGAAAAACTTAGGCTTTCAATGGGAAATACCTCAAAAATAATCAGAACGAACTTTTTATGTTTTTTCATGCACACATTTCTAATCATTACTACCTAAATGGTTTCGAAATCGTTGTATAAAAAGCCCCTATTTTTAATCATTTCTATGCGCTCAGTATACTTTAAACTGACCAATAAATCTTCTCGACGTTAAGCTATCGATTCTTCAATACTGAAAAAATAAGTTTGTGAGAGAGAAATTATTTTCCATGGTACATAAAGCGATATATCTTCTTCGCATACTCTCAAGAATTTATCTGATTTGAACGTATTGAATTTTTAGAATAATGTGGCTGAGAATGAATGTTTGAGCATTTCCTCATCGCTCTCACCCTGTTTTCTCGTCCACTATTCGAAAAACTCAAATTGAAATCGAAAAATGTCACCGTCTAGCGCCATCTTGTCACAATTAACCTGAACGTAAAAAGCTATTTGTGCGTATGCATTCATCAATAAGCGATAAAATAAAAAAAATCGCTGAGTGAAACGTAAAGAAAAGTGAAAACCAGTTACCATCACGCAAGTGTTCTTGGATTGATCATCAAAATGCGAATTCGAATAGGACGAGCACTTCGTTTAGTAATTGCTCTTATTATACTTATTCTAATGATTCCATTGTTGATGTACAAACTCGAACCAGCAAATGAACAATCATTTATTGAAAACGTTGTGGTTGATAAGACAGAAGTAAGATCAAAACATGACAATTGTGTTTAGGTTTCACTTGTCTTTTTGACGATTGATTAGCCTTTGAAAATCGAGGCTGTCATACGAAAAATTCGGAAATATCCAAATAATTTGAATGGCACAAACTTACAACCGATCATGAGTGGTTCAATGGGAAATTATGAACCGAGAGATTTACCGGAGCGAACAGGCCCAGGAGAAGACGGTTAGATCTGAGAGTGTTTGGATGATTTACTATCTTCCTAGTTTAGGTGTGCCCGTGCAACTTACACCTGCAGAAGAAAAAGCAGCTGAGCAGACAATACAAGAATTTGGCTTTAATATGGTGGCTTCAGATAAGATATCATTGGATAGACGAATTAAAGATACGCGACCAGCAGAGTATTGAGTTATGCAAATTATTGCACACCGATACTGATCGTTTGTTATCTATTACGTAGATGTAAAAACTGGATCTATCCCAGTGATGAATATTTACCAACCGCTTCCGTCATATTAGTCTTTTATGATGAAGGTTGGAGTGTATTATTGCGTACTGTTCATAGTGTTATCAATACATCGCCACCTGAATTATTAAAAGAGATTGTTCTCGTTGACGATGGTAGTACTGTTGGTAAATATTGAAAACGATGATTATTGTCTGCAATAAGTACTGAAAATTACGTCTTTTAGCCTCTTTGAAAGAACCGTTAGAGAAGTACATAACACGTTGGAATGGTCTTGTAAAACTTTATCGTACTGGAAAACGTGTCGGTCTCATTGAAGCACGGACACTTGGTGCACAAAAATCAACAGGTGATGCAATTGTTATTTTGGATGCGCACTGCGAATGTGTAAGTACGGATTGGCGGAAGAGATGTGCGGGTCAACGATCTGATTTCTAGGTTACAAATTGGTTACCACCACTGTTAACACGTCTTGCATTGAACCGGAAAGCGTTGGCTATTCCAATTGTTGATGGAATTGAATGGAAAACTTTAGAACATAGAAATATTTATGGTTCATCGAATTTTCGTGGCATTTGGGAATGGGGATTTTTGTACAAAGAAACGCAAGTACCTGACCGAGAATTATACAAACGGAAATATACATCTGAGCCCTACTGGTAAATCATTATTATCTTTGGCATGTTTTTCATATTCTGAGTTCTATCAGGTCTCCAACACATGCTGGTGGCTTACTAGCAATTGATCGTCAATGGTTTTTTGAATTAGGTGCTTATGACCCTGAGATTCGCGTATGGGGTGCTGAACAGTATGCTTGTTGATTCGGAGAGCATGTATTTCCATAGTTACAAGTCTATATTTAGATACGAACTTTCGTTTAAAGTTTGGCAATGTGGAGGTGTCGTCGAATGGGTACCATGTTCACATGTTGCACATGCATATCGTGGTCCTCGTCAACATTTTTCTTACGTACCTGGCGCTCATCCGTATCAAACAATAGTAAATCATTTGCGTGTTGCGCACGTTTGGATGGATGATTATGTTGAATATTATTACCGACGTGAACCGGCGATCACGTCAGTGAATTATGGTGATGTATCCGAAAGAAAAAAGATTCGTGAGAAACTGCAGTGTAAACCATTTAAATGGTTCATGGACAATATCGCTTATGATGTTCTACAAAAATTTCCACCGCCGTCGAAAAATGTGGTATGGGGCGAAGTAAGTTCCAAAGGAAACTTGCATCGTAACCTAGAGAGACGAAGATCACATTTTTAGTGCCAAAATGTCGAACATTCCGTTTGTCTGGGACACGATAGTGCCAGTTTTGGCGAGCCAATCACTGTTGGTTCTTGTTACACACAGGTATGATTTGATAGTGAGGAAGATAAGTAATAGAAACACCCGCTCTATATGGTATTCTAGAAATGGATAAATAGGATACGTGATCCATATATGACAGGATTGGTGAATAAGTTGATTTGCTTTCTTCTCAGTTTGCAGTTGAAAATAACTTCAGAGTGTGCTCGTACCAAACGAGAAAGAAAGCAAACAAAAATGTAATTATTTCGAGATCGGCAGACATATTCCACACACCATTGCTCTTACAGAACTAGTCTCATACCAAATCCGATGATTATTGTTTGTAATACATCCGAGTCATGACATTTTTGCTTGCCTTTTTTCTGTTTCTTCTCAGATCGATGTAGTTTGTGTATTATTTGCTCACCTTCATGCTTGATCATTCTTCGATAGGAGAAAGTCTAACTATTTGTTATAGAGTATTTGGCGTTTGAACGAACAAGGTGAACTTGCAGTTGGTGAGAATTGTTTCGTCTCCGATGGCAGTATCATCAAGAAGAAGTTTTGCTTGGATTCCAATGGCCGATGGAATCCAGTTGGTGAATGGGAATGGAATAATGTAAGCAAGACAATGGAATGAAAGTATTAACTGAATGTTCTTCTCAATTTAGTCGACAAAACAAATTCAAAGTAACAAAAATAACTTATGCATGGAAACCGATAGTGATATTCTCAGATTAGCAAAATGTGACGAGAAAAAACAGTCACAAAAATGGACATGGAATTCACGTAAATACTGATAGTTTGTTCGCATTTATCTATATGTTTATGCATCGTGGAAACAAAACGATCTTATATACATCGATATCAGAATTTTCATTTCAATTTCCGTTATTTATTGTTCTTTTTAGTACAAATTTTTTAAATAAAGCTTTATTTAATAATACATCGCTGTAATTTTTGAAAGATCTCGTTACATTAAACAATGAATCGATCTTCAATGACTGGTGGTTGGCTAGAAGACAACGATTATATACATTTTACTTGTAGCAAAGAACGAATGGATACGTGCGGAAAAATTCTCTGTAGTGTATATCGAAAAATAGCGCGTTCGTCATTCTATCTCTACACGTGTACGAAAATAGTCGATAAATAACATGTGTCTAGCTCGACAGGCAAGACAAATATTCATTAACTATTTTAGATGATTGTTATCGGTGACTCCCTTTTACACCATATTCGTAAACCTAGTACTACACCACGGGAATCTGTCGAAACGTATGTCGAATCCATTGGTGGTTGTACAATTGATCGCTTGACAGCGTTAATCAAGCAGAACCATTTTAGTGAACTGTTTTTAAATCAAAAGCATTTGATTATCATGATTGGAACAAATAATTTAGCACGTGAAAAATCCCAACCAACTATTGTCAAATTTGAAAAACTACTTCAGTTAATTCATCGAATGTATTCATCTTTACGAACGATCGCTGTGTGTACCGTGCCAACACGTACGAAAAGAAGCATTTTTTATCGAACATACGGTGATAATGGTGGAAAGTCAATACGTAAACGTATTAAAAGTTATAATCGAAAATTAAAACGTTTAAGTAGAAAACAAACTTCATCAAAATGTTTTGAAATTATCAAATTAAATTTTGATTTGACAATACATGTCTCAAAGGACGGCTTGCATCCAAATGCAGCTGGTATAGAGCATATATCGAATGTTTTACAAGCGTATGCCGACTCTCTTTAATTGGATTTTGTTTCGTATTTTATATGTCATGTACGTCTGATACAAATGAAAAATAAAATTTTTTTTTGTTAACTTTATTCGTATATCTATGCTATATGAAAAACAGCTGATTTTTAATAAGTCATGAAATTATGTGTATAGTGATGGGTCCGAGCAGTAACACACAGAGTGCGATGTAACCAATAAAATGGAAGTTTCTACGGTTCTGTTTTGTCATGTCTGTCTACTGTTGTGAACACGATGGCGAAACTATAAGTTTGCATGTTTTAGATACACAAAATGGCCACATCAAACTCATTTTTGATGGATTCACTTAGTGATTCGTTAATAGCCGCAGTTACAGAAACATCTTTCAACGTACCCAGTCATCCACCTATCGCGGGTAAATTTTCTGTGTAAATACAACAATAAAATAGAACAATATCTTTATATTTTTAGAAAAACCTGTCAAACCTCTTGCGGAACTGAATTTACCACCAGCAGTCGTTGCTTGTTATCAACGTGCGGGTATCTCACATCTGTTTGCTTGGCAAGCTGACTGTCTGGAGAAAGCCAGTTCAAGTGGTGAATATTTCCATTACTATTGATCATAGTCTAGTGACTGATTTTATTCTTTTTGTTTATGACCAGGAAAACGTAATTTCATCTTCTCTGCGCCAGGTTCGTTCGGATGAAAATGTGACACTCATTCAACGTGAGGTTTTTGTCATTTAGCTTCAGCAGGAAAAACGATCGTCTCCGAGTTATTGCTCATTAAATCAGTACTTGAAACCAAACGAAAAGCTTTGTTTATCGAACCATATGTTAGTATTGTTCAAGAAAAAGCTGCTTATTTTCGAGTAAAGTTCTGTTCTCTCTTGCAATATTAGCTAACGCTTTGAAACAAATTTAGAGACTTTTTTCGTCGCTTCATCTACGCATCGCATCCTTTGCTGGTGCTAGTGATTCTCATAATTCATTTTCGAACAGTCATATTATCATGTGCACGATCGAAAAGGCAAATAGTATAATCAATCGTTTATTATCGAACCGTGATGATTTGAGTGAAATCGGTATTGTAATTGTCGACGAATTACATTGGATAGGCGAAACAAATCGTGGATACTTGCTTGAATTGTTATTAAGTAAAATAATATATTATAATCAATTAAAAACTACAAACAATCCTGTTCAAATCATTGGTATGAGTGCGACAATACCGAATTTAAATCAATTAGCACAATGGTTACATGCTGAAACCTTTGAAACCATGTTTCGTCCTATTCCATTAGAGGAATATATTAAAGTTGATTCCGTTTTGTACAATAAACAATTTATGCCCATTCGTCAACTTCATCTCTCCGAACGATGGAATCAAGGTGACAGCGAGGGCGTAACGGAAATTGTCTGGAGTGTTATTGAACATAATTGCCGAAGTGTCTTAGTTTTCTGTGCTACGAAACATTGGTGTGAAGTTTTAGCAAAGTTGCTAGCGAAAAACTTTCGATGCATCATGGAAGACAAACAAATAAATGCATTCGACGCGGCGAAACTAGAAGATGTACTAGAACAACTACGTCGAACTGTAGGTCGAATTAATGAAAACAAGTTTTGGATACTATATAGATTATTTTTCCTTGCAGCCCGCTGGCCTTGATGCCGATCTTGCTTGTTCGATACCAATGGGTATTGCATTTCATCATGCAGGTTGAAGAAGCATTTACATTGTCTATGCTGATTTGATGATTCGTATGATTATCCTCTTAGGTTTGACGATCGATGAACGAGAAATTATTGAAAATGCATACCGAGCCAACATCCTTCGTGTTATTGTTTGTACAAGCACATTATCTAGCGGAGTAAGTAATTACGAAATGAGGTAGTTTTGAACGAGTATTGGAAATAATTCACGTAGGTCAATCTACCTGCTCGTCTAGTTATTATTCGAAGTCCACTTCAAAATGGTCGATGTATTGATCTAAGTGCTTATCTTCAAATGGTAAGACGAAGATGGATATGTGTTCATTAAAAAATGTGATTATTCCTTTCAGGTTGGTCGAGCTGGTCGAAAAGGTTATGATGATTATGGTAAGACCTACGCACATCCTGTTATTGGGGTGATTATCATTGTAAGTTTATTTAGCCGAGAGTATTCTGATTTGTTCCAAGAAGGAAGTTGATCTGGTACAGAAAATGTTTGAACAAGAAAAGACAAAAGCTGTGAATAGTTGCTTTTTCGAAGCAGAAACACATACGAGCTTGAAACGGGCTTTACTTGAAATTATTGCTAGTGGAAAAGCAAACACCAAAGAACAAATTATTTCCTATATTAAATCGACATTTTTTTATATTTGTACAAATTCGGACAAATCGATCCTGGATGAGCAATCAACCATCGATAAATGTCTTAGTTGGTTATGCCATAATGAACTCATCCGTTATGATGAAAAAGAAAATCTTGCTGATGAGAACGATTTGCGTTATGAACCAACGCAACTTGCTCTAGCAGTCATCAGTTCGTCAATAAATCCAGATGATGGTCTCAAACTTGTTGTTGAGCTAACTAAAAGAAATATTCAAAAATCAAATAATCATCAGCGGATATATAAATAGTTGATATGTGACATAGGTAATCAGAATAGAGACACACATATGCAACACTACAAACTGACATCTTTAGTAGGGGTGCACTATAGTACACGTTCTAGAGGAGGACGAATGCCTGTTTTGCCCAAAGTGTTTTCGTTCACAGAATAGAATAACTATAAGCTTGCAATACAACCTACAATATCATTTAACTAAGAATTCATTATCCATTCGCTTTGCATGAAACTACTTTTTTCCTTAGAAAATCATCACTGTGCTACAAAACATTAGGTATTATTATTGACCAATGGGCAACTAGCTCAGCACAACGTGGACCGAATTGATCATTGAATTTGAAACGTACCTCTTCCAAATTGTTGATATTCTGCTATCAATTCATAACATCCTCTTTGTCGAAACAATTTACATCGTTATTATCAATTTTCTTGTCATACAACCCGTCAAAAAATTTAAGGGGCAATTGTTTTACTACCTCAGTGTCGACGAATCCCACACCTACACCCTCATAGCAAACAAACAGCTGGTGTTCCCAGTATTACATAAACTTGCCTTCCCGACTCGCTCTGACGTTATGATCTATTAAATGCTTCCAAACTACCAAGTGATACATGAACCTATATCTGAGACGGATCCAGTCAATGTTTTTCCGAATGTCGTAAACTGAGAGGAGATTTATAAATCAACCATTATAGACTCACAGAAGAGCTGTTTCACGTATAGATCAATATAGCAAGATTTGAGTAGAAACCCAAGCACGAACAAGTAGCTAATCAACGTATTATAATTAGTGTCAATAAACACGCCGCTCAAACGAATGAAGTGTTAAATTAAAACAGCCCGAAACATTATCTAACAATAGCAATATCGAGATTGACAATCGATACATCTCATCGTCAAAAAAGTTAACATCGGAATTAAAATGTTTTGCGAAAATTTATATACCAATTAACTTACACATAAAGAAGTACGTCACCCAGTCTGTGTGGCACAAGAAATTATTATAATGCGAAAGACGGTGACAATCGGATTGCTTTCATTATACTTTTCTAAACGAGAGCAAAACTTTATATCGAAACCGGAATAAAAACTTCTACTCTTATTCAAGTGCTTATAGCCTTAACAATGAATCCGCTGAACTGAATATGACGCACCGCATAAAAATGTCGAATAGATAAATACATCGGTATCAAAGAATTTAATCTATATAAATATACATTTGTTTATTATACTTATTTTGTTGTTTTTACCTAATACTAAAGATCACTTGTTGATAAAATTCCAAAAATATTTTGCTCATTCTACAGATTTTCTCACAGATGTGTAACGATGATGAGTGCATATACAATTCTTATATATTTAAGAAATGAAACAATGTAATATCTGAATAGCAGTTAAGCGCAACGGAACTTATGCCTTGAAAATGATTTACATCTCGTCTATCTTGTAAGTTCTCTTATCTCAAAAATTATGTTTCTTCTGTCTAATAAATTCGAATTCAGATCATCCCTCAACATTTGGTTGCGTTGATACAGACAGCACTCGATTGGAATGTATTTCATACTGTTTGGCCAACGGGTGCTGTAGAACAGCATGTCGCACATTTAGTTGGTGTTAATGGTATGATTGTTTATAAGAAAGCAGCGTCATTACGAATAGAAAAACGGGAATTTGAAGAAAAACTCGACGGTCCACGTTACGCACGGTTTTTCATTGCACTTATACTCAATGATTTACTGAACGAAAAGAGTATGTGCGATGTTATACGGAAGTATGAATGTACGAAAAGCTTTGTTCAACAATTACAATCGACAACGGCAACATTTACTTGTATCGTGCAAACATTTGCTGAACGTCTTTCATGGAATAACCTTAAGCAATTACTAAATGGCTTTCAATCCAGATTGAACTTTGGTGTCAAACAAGTACAAAATTTATTTGAAAAGAGAGAAGAAGACACTACTTATGAGTTTTGAATTTCTAGGAATTGTGTGAACTTGTAAGACTCTCACTGGTAAATGCTTGCCGTGCAAGACAATTGCACTCAGACGGATTTACTACGATTGCCTCCTTGGCGAATGGTGATGTTCATGAGATTGAAAGAAGTATCCAAAAAGCAGTACCGTTTCAAACGTAACAAAGCGAGATTATTTCTTTTATTTCTCAATAGATTTATTGATATGACGTTTGTCTTTGCAGAGGGGCACAGCAATTGGCTGATGAACGTGTGGGCCAAAAACGAAGAGATCAATATTGCATTTTCGTACCAGGACGACCGCCACTCACAAATGCTCAAGCAGCACAAGAAATTGTCGAGGAAGCAAAAGTATTGCTACAACAAGATTTACAAGTCATGGGATTCGGAATTGTTATTCAAAAGGCACCAGCTGATCGTAAAAGTAGTTGTTTCCTATGTTATAGTATTTTCCGCTGAAAGCGTTTGCTTTTAGATGAGCACGTTTCAGATTCTGAGACCGATTCTGATGAAGATGAAGATGATTGTGAGAGCGAGATTCCCTCTCCATTACTATCTTCGACTATCCAGTTTCCATCGTTACTTGATGATAAAAATATAATTGTCAAAAATGCCTATGTCGCTGGAAAACATATCTGCTCAGAGTTTATTTTGATGATTGAACATAAAGAAACATTTGCACTTAGCTGTTTTACCAAAAAGGCAACAAAATCAATCTCAGGTACAAAGATTGAAAGAGTTCAACCACGAATCATACTTGTTCTCCTTTCTATCTTCATAGATCCCGGCGTGTTTCATATAAACAACCAACAAGAACTATATCTACAATACGTAGCTTGTGCATTCAGTATACATAAAGTATACATCATCGATATCACCGAGGATGAACAATGTAAGAGTCGCATATATTCTGAACGACGTGAAATCAGAGGACTACAAATAGTGTTCTACGAAACATCGCTTCAAAAATATAAAAATAATTTTCGTTTTAGACTTTCAACAACATCGAATGTCAGCTCTTATTCATGTACGTGAAAAGTTACTACATCGAAAACATAATGTAATTGTATTCAATGCATTACACACATTATTCATGCTTTCATCTTATTTGTCCATTCCAAAAGTAAATGGTCAGTAATTTCTATCTTAATTTTTCTTACAAATGAATGCAAAGAGAAGTTTTTATTCAGCACGAATTATCGATCTACAAATTTGTGCGTGGATCAAACAACATCCCATTGATTCTGATCGAATTTCCACGTGGATCGAGACGCATCATAGTGTAATACAATTCGACGGTAAGGCTAACCATAGAAACTATGCACACCATTATTTCACCATTTATCGTAATAGCAAGTCTGAATGAATATAGAGACGGTCACCATCGTGAAACGGCATGTTTAAAAGTAGCTGGTGAAGTGTTACTCTATGCATCAATTGTTCCATTGATTGAACAGCAAATGAATAAAACTGACTTATGGAATTACTATATCAATGTGGAAATGCCAGCTTTGAGAACTATGCTGCACGTGCTATTGAATGGAGTACTGATCGATCATGAAGAACTAGCAAATATTCGAGAAGATCTTCTTGTAAATTGTTTTTGTTTACAAATTTCAAGCATTTGACGTTTATGCATCAATTTAGACAACAATGAATCAACTTGAATTGCAAGCATATCGTCTAGTGAAGCGTCGCTTCAAACTCAATCGCCAAAAGGATCTCATTAAAGTACGGACCACTAAATGCTTTCATACGTTTTCGCCTTCAGCTGTTATACGTAAATAGATTCTTTATGGTGAACTTCATCTACCGATGCAACGTACACCGCATGGTCGTGTATGTTTGAAAAAATCTTATCTGAACGTTCTGGCTGATAAGCATCCATTGCCTAAATTAATTACTGAATATCGACAAGTTCAGAGTGCACTTGATCGATGCATTGACCATTTCGAACAATACATCAATCAGCCAACAAAACCGCAGTCGCTCCAACGTTTACGGCGAGAAGCTTCATGGCAAATGGAACGTTTTTACCCATATTGTCACTTTTTCACAGCCACCGGTCGAATGATTGTTACTAATCCACCATTGCAACATGTTCCAAAACGATTCGTTATCGAATCATTAAAAGAAAAAACCGTGGTTCAATTGAGACAAATGATCATTGCTCGAACAGGTAAGTGTTGTATATAAAGATTGATACAAGTAGAAATGTTACAATTCTTCATAGGTTTTCAACTAGTTTCATTCGATTATTCTCAGTTAGAACTACGTGTTCTTGCTCATCTGTCCAACGACGAGAAATTGATAGCACGTCTATCTAATAAAGCAGACTTTTTCATATCGCTCGCTGCAGATCTACTAAGAAAAGATGAAAATGAAATTACCCATGAACAACGGCAGAATGCTAAACAAGTATCAATTTGTCTAAAATAATCTGTGATGTTTGTCAGTCCTATTTAGGTCTGCTATGGTATTCTCTATGGTATGTCAAAAGAAACGTTTGCTCGTGAAACACGTATGAATCTCAATGAAGCAGAGGATTTCATGACGAATTTTTATAAAACATTTCCTACTATGACTCAATATCTCAACGATATAAAACAACGAGTTGCTGAAACAGGTTATGTGCATAGTGTTTATGAACGTCCTTTATATTTTGATATAAGTCGTACGGCAACGAATCCAGTGAACAAAGCTCGAGTAATTAAAAAGTCATTCTCTAAGTTCAGAATAACAAATGTTTGTTTTCAAAAGATGGATCGACAAGCAATCAATTTCACCATTCAAGCATCTGCATGCGATATAATGAAAGTGGCCTTAGAACATATTAATCTAGCATTGGATCGAATATTTCCTTTTGATTTTAAAAGTACATATCTTTTCTTTAGACCATCAGCGAAATATCTTTGTTCTGTTTAGCTCGTCCGACTCCGATTCGACCAGTTTATCTTGTTTTGCAGATTCATGATGAACTAATTTTTGAAATCGAGACAAGTTCTCGAACGAATGAAATAATCAAAATCATCCGTCAAGAAATGGAAAGAAATGATGAGTTACACTTGGTATTACCGGTAAAGGTCAAATCTGGTCAAAATTGGGAATCGATGACATCCGTTGTATAAATGAATCGATGTTTTCTGTGAAAGATATAAAATCTGTTTTATTCGATAGTTTCCTACAGATGTTTAAAATATAAGTTAATATTATATCTATCCGAACAAGAGATAAAGATTCTCTTAAAATTACACATTCGTACCCAAGTAGGAAATCGTTCGAGTTCGAGAAGTGTTGCTATCCATTCACGTAGAATGGATATACTTTTTCGTTCATTTATTTTCGTTCCAAAAACTACTATAAAAAGTCTTATGAAATGTTCATTCCATTGGTTCTTCAAGGTAAATTATTAGCAACTAAGATACTTGGTTTCGAAGCGACTTCTAGAGAATTTCCGTTTAAATGATTATTGGTAATTGTAACCTGATCTGCGCCTAGTGATACATTCATAGCTTTACCAATTTTATCACTGAAATAGTTATTATTGATCATTGCGCGTCCAGCTTGAATTTCAATCGCTGGTGATGTTTTATTCCAATTATTAAACAATGAATCACTAATTGATATTAAACCAACATGTGACCAAGACAAATGCTTTTGAAACAGTCCCCAAAATGACGCACCACGCACAACGACAGCAGCATCTGTTGGTCGCGTGCCATTTACTGCACGTCCTAAGATTCCAATACGATTTGAACCACCACCAGCATTAGCTAAATTTAAATTGGAAAATAAAATTCCCCACGTTTGAGTATATGAAACATCAATTCCAATGTCAACGTTATCAAAATTAATATCAGTAAATTGTCCATTGCAAGCTCCATATGAGCTTGTACGAAACGCCATGCCGGTTTGATAACCCCAACTGAAGACATCTTCAACAATTTCCCAATCTGTTCGTTGGAAGAGAAATGTAATAGCATTGTTATTAACCCAATCCCATAATGCTTGTTCGCTTGACCAAAATGGCCAAAAATGGATATGATTAATTCGTCCAATGTCGTAGCACTGATCAACAGCTATACCAATCGATAATGGTTGACCATAGATATTTTCGAACCAATGTCGAGGTGCTTGATTTGTTGCGGCATCGATACCTTTCCATGGATTGACTAAAAGGACATTTTTGACAAAATTATCTTCAATGCTCAATCCTTTTTGTCCACATCGAATCGTCCATGGGTAGGAAATGGGCGGATTTTTCGCGACTTGATTAGGATAAAAGATTTGTAAGCCTTCAATGCCACTGCTATCACCAACTAAAGAAATGAATGGTAGACCGTTTTCATTTCCAGCATCGGCGATAGCTAATAAAGTGGTTCCAAATACAGTTTTCGTACTTGGATTACCCCAATGCCGTTGAACATGTGAAGCTACGCCTTTCAATACTGTTGCAGCTGGAACAGTTAATTGACTAGCAATTAAATAATTTCCCTCAGGCGCAAATACAATGCCACCACCCATGTTACCAGCGTCGTTCAAAGCTTTTTGAAATGCATTTGTATCATCAGTAACTCCATCACCTGTGGCATTGTATGGAGGAGCGCGTACATTGATATAACCCAGATGTGGATCACCAGTAACTTGCATGATTTTAACACTAGGTGGAGAAAACTTCCGACTGTGAACAGTGAATATTTGAGAAGATATAATCATGATTAAAAATGTCAATGAAACCATTGTGCTCCTTCTCTGTGTATATCACTTTACAATGATGTATAAAAGAACAAATATTGTTGAGACAAGAAACACCGAACTCTTACAAACACAATGAATATTATGTGGTGTGTCGGACCACTGTAGTATTGACACTACCTCTTATGAATCTTTGTGTGAAGATAGCGTTTATTGACATGATCAAAGGTAAAAATATCCACAAAGCTCTCTTAGCATTGTTTTCATATGATAAACACATACTACCAATTCTTTATGTGTTTATCTATTTCTTTCACAACGTTTATTTTAACATGGAATTATCGACAGTGCTATTGTATGTAGTACATAGGATTAATGCACGATTGTTTTTTCATTTTTACTTACTCCACTCTGTTTTTTGTGTGCCAATCAATTAATAACAAAGAGAGAGAATTAAAATTCATAATGATGCTTATATCAAGGTCATTATGTCACTAGTACAGTTGCGCTATGCTTTACAGCAAGGTGAAATACGACAACGTATTAGTTCTATATGTATTTGTTATAACATCTCTCTTTTATTGATTTCTAATATAAAAAAAAACAAGACAGCGTGAATAATAATAATAATAATGATTGGAGTACACAGTAATAACTAGCGTGGCTGTGTTGTGATCACTCTGAATAGAAATCTGAAAGTTTACACAACTAGATAACTTCAATTTTAACTCACCCGCCATTACCACCGGTGCCACAGCATGGACAGCAACAATCGAGTGGAATGCATACACAACAATCCACGGGTCCACAATCACAACAAAGCTAAAATATAGTTGTATTGAACTTATCAAAATCTTGTATAGAACTGAGTGCTCACTGGTAAACACATTGTAGATCGATATAGCCGTAGATATAATGTCAACTAGTAAACAAAACTTTATACTCGATGGAACATAGAATCATTTATCTGTTCTTCGTCTTCTCTGACGCAGAATTCGTATAGACGATTTCGTCCATTCTTGTTAAGACAACTAAATCTTACTGTTCTTCGTACATATTTGTTAATTCTATATTTGAGATCCCGAAAATGATCATAGGACGAAAGGACACTTGATATTTATCAAAAGACAATGTGCAATTTTTCTGTGTGCTTGTTATGACGACGTACGTAGTGCGTAATTTCTAATTTAGTGACGAGAATCAATTAAGCAAATGAAATATTGCCCTTGTAGTAACACAATGTCAATGAAAAGCTTCGATATAGTTTAATGAAGTAGTGATACTGATATCATACTTTCAATGATAGTATATCAATGCTGTTTTACGCTTCGTTATACTTCAAAACGAAATAGATCATATGTTTGAGTAATAGTCATACGAATGATAATCAAGAAGGTCTTGTGTTTTTTTCTTAAGGATACCAGTAGACGACACGTTCGACGTCGACAGTCTCACATCAGTCATTCAAGAGATTTTTATCAAAAAATCCATTCAATGAATAAGTGGAATATGATTGATTTTAACATTTCGACTTCTTTATTTCTAAAATATGTACGCTAACAGAAAAATACTATACGTTACCGATAGACAAGATTCAACGAGAAGAAGAAATATAATGAAATGAATAGTTTTGTTTGTTGTCTACATTAAAATATCATCAGTGTCAAAGAGCCCCGAAGAGCATAGTTTTTTTTTGTATAAAATCTTCCTCCCATTATTTGAAATGTGCAAAAAAGTGAAAGTATTGATATGGGTTGAGAGTCAAATGAAAAGAGTTGAGCGATATCTGATTCCAATTGTATCAAGATGAAAAAGAGGAGAAGAAGCACACATTGACATTACAAATAAGAATCTACCGCTTTCCCAACACGATAACCCAGATTCACAAAGCTGTTTGGCAAACCAATCGAATGTAAACCACCAGCAAAACGATTGCCGAGGCTTGTATAATGATGAAACGACGGATGATACGTATTTCCTTGGAAACCATCACGTCCCGTATAAGAACTATATGCCGAAGCAGCCACGTAGTTGTTCATAGCTTTTGCAACACGATGGAAATGGTTGAGCGTGGAGACATCCATACCAGTGCCGTGCATGATAGTGAAACTCAAGTTGGTACTCAAGGTCAATGAAGCGAATGTGTGAATTCACATCTATATATATACCCGACGAGTTGTTTATATATATGAGTAAGAGAAATTACGAAGGAAGCAAACCCAAAATATGTAAACATATTCAATGAAACGTTTCAACGGTGTCTGTCCTCTTGTTTCGTCCAACCACACTTAGCGAACGCAAAAATACATCGATTCTATTGACTAATTTTCCTCATGTCCTTCGCATTCATATGGAAAAAAAAGTCATGCATTTTAGCGAAAAGAAAGGGAATGTGTTTACAAGCCAGTCGAGAAGATGAAATACGCATTTAGTGATAAGAAATACTGACTTTTCTTTCGTTTTCTATTGTCAAAAAAAGAAAACAATACATTTCTCTTCTATTGCTTTGACATGAGATCAGTCGTACGTGACATTGCATGTGCGTAGATTAAACAAACGATTTTGTTATTTTTATCTTTATTGGTAAATCATTCATATCTATCAGGGCAATCAGGGCATCTTCTGAAGATGGATTTGAACATCTTTTAGTGAAGAAAACAAAACAAATTGGATGTTTATCATTTCCATTTCGATTGATGAGCGTAACAACACATAAACAATAAACATCTCACTAAAATAATTATATACAGCAACATATTTTGTCACAATATTTTCCTTCTCCTAGACATGTTTTGCTTACAAGAACATAAAATGAGAAACAAAATATTGTTGTCAACAATTCAAATCGGACCATAGTGTGTTTTAGTTCGAAGAACCAATTAAGTCGAAACATAATTATTCGATTTTTTCATAAACATCTAAACTATTCATTTGCGGTCGATCATTCGGCAGTAATAGGTAGTCTTGTCTGCTGTGCAAGAACGATAGATCACACACGTCTTTCTCATATGAACAAGCTCATTTATCATAAAGTAAGACCAAACAGTCATTTGTGGTCTATTTCATACCATTATTATCTTTTGTAGAAATAAGCTGCCGAAAAGGATTGACCATAAGTTCAGTATGTCAGACATTTTTACCGTAGAATGAATGATAGCATTCATTTTGTTTACATGTGTACTCTTAATTCAAGATACGTGTGTGTTTCAGAAAACTATTCATTTGTATTAACGATATAATTACGTTTCGATCCTTGACAAATGGTAGAACGTTCCAAATCGTATCTGTACATTATATTTTGTAGTAATTAGTTGTACATTTTGCTAGTCATGCATGGATATCGTATTTTACTTAATTCCATTAATTTCATGGTAGGTTTGTTCTATATATTCGATTGTGAATGAGCTGAATCGAGAATGGAGTCTACTTCCGTGATATGAAATTCACTGGAAGTAAAACTGATTCTCAAATCATGTGCATAACTCTGTCATTTTTGAATTTTTAATTCAGATGTTGTAGAAACAATAAAGAATAACAAAATACAATTCCGATCAATCACTCTTCGCTCTAGTGTTTCATTTCAAACATGCTCTTATACGATATTCATGAATTCTATTGAATAATAGCACGTAAAATAGATGAAAATCAGTCACGACTAATCGGACACACTCTCAGAATCACTAACAAGCACAACTAATTAGAAAAATCAGGTAGATGTATCGTTCAAATCTTATTCAGTTACTGCCTCGAATATTTATTTCTTATTTCAAATTAGTAAAAACATAAAAGAAAAATGGGAAAATTCAAGAAGAAGATAATCTATACAAACAGTTGTTAATATTTTGTATAGATATGGTACATGTTGTATAGTCTTCTTCTTAATGTACAGAAATTACACACAAGGTCTTGTTGATTACATACATAAAATTCTTCCGTAATATTTAAAGTATAGTCTGACTCGAATTATTTCATAATAATAAATTAATATAATCACCGAACTTAAGATTAGTATTTGACTTAGGAGAGTTAATACATCCGACCGGGAGCTCGGTGAACGACGTTTCCGTTTCGATGATACATCGGTGTTGCATGAGCACGCATTGAATAGCCTTGTCGTGCTTGACGAAAATTGTATGCTGATGCTGCAACATAGTTGTTCATTGCTTTCGCGACGCGTTGGAAATGCTGTAATGTTTGGAGATTCATTATATTGTGCTGTTCGTCGAATATGTGAAGTGAATGTTGAGTTGTGATCGATGCAATTCGATCGATTGCGCAGTGTATTTATATAGGCCGCAATTTCAATAAATATTAAGAATCAAAGTACACGAAATGTAACACTTGCAAAAACATGTAACGATAATTACCGGAACGTTTCAAATATTCAATGTTTGCTTGTCAAAGCGTGATTATTAAACGAAAAAAAAAATGAATGAATGCTTCATCACTTATTTACCTATGCCTTCTAGTTTATTGCCCAAGTCACGCAATTAAAGTCCGAATAGGAATGTTTTCAAACGAATACATCAGATAGAAGAGATATCGCATCGAAAAAAAATTGTATGACATAACTATCTTATATCATCGATCAACGGAAATATTACCTGGATTTTTCTGGAAGAACAACGATTGATTTTTGGCAAGAAAACATACCGTCATCATTTAACAAATTTCTCTCGCAATAAATATCTATTATAGTGATACATGTAACATTCTTGTTAACATAGACATTTCACATGTACATTCGCCTTTTTTTCCTAAACTACATGCTTGATTAACCTTTTCACAGGTTAGAAATCGTGTGTTTATCTTTACAATCATTCGGTTGATTAGCATAACAATACGGGGGTAAGAAATATTCAGTTCGAGAAGAAACGACGCAACAAGAATCTAAATGACTGAAATCCAATAAGATTGAATTTCTGGATCTCTGTTGATCTTTTGCCGCGAATGATAATGATGCAAAATTGTAATTCATGTGTAACATCTCACTTGGTATCACGTACGTGGTCTAGGCGAAGCAACGTCAAGTAGAAGAGCTGTTCGAGGAATTATGTGTGAAAAAAGAAGGAACGGTGAATATAAAGCTAAAGAAAGTAAAAAGATAAAGAAGAAAAGGAAAAGAATGAAGCCAGAGAAACAGGAAAAAAAAAGTAATTTTGTAGTTTCTATCTAGTCATTTTCCGTATATCCCTACCATAGATTTAAATTTCTTCAGAAAGTAAGAGAGATGAAACATTAATCTCATAAAACGACACACAACGCAACATTTCTTTCTTCTCTCTTCAACTGTCACCTGTCTCATTGGTAGTAAATCTTATCCCGAAATGATTTTTACGAACTGAACCTTCTTCGGATATTTCAATTAGTTAATACGATTATTAGCTAATCGATTTCCAAACAAAAATGAACCTATTGAAAGCAAAGTAAGTTTTTGCGTTCGATTTCTCAACTTGAAATAAAATCGAGTGGATTGTTTGATTGAGAAAAAATTTCATTTCCTTCCTTAATAATGATAAATTCCTACGAAACGTTCTTGTCAAAAAAGAGTAACTTGCTTATTTTCTTTTTAATCATCTCCATTAATCATTAAGAAAATGGAACGCATTTTTGACAGTAAGTAGTAGAGCAAGATTAATAATCCCAACATAAATGTCCTACAGAAGAACATTTCTAAAAACTATCGATATAAATTAACCAAGCATCATCGAAATTAAGTTTTTGTAGTACCATCTCGAATGGGTACTGTGTTTTTTTTACTCTAAATCTTCAGAAATGTGTCATTTATCTTTATTATCTCTTTCCATGCAAAGACACGTATGATTCTATCGTGAGAGCCAGTTTTATCGTTAGTATATAGTCAGCAATTAAACATTTCTTCTTTTCTAGTGGTCGACTAAAATGGTCCATGGCGTTTATGCGTAAGTTTCTATGACGCATTTGTTTCTCGAATAATCCTTTCCTATTTCATCTAGTTATATTTATTATTGTTTACCTATTTGTTATTTGTCTCTCAAAAGCTAGTCTGTACGGTGTCTTGAATGTCTTTACAGTAGATTTTAATGACATTCCAACGGAGAATATACTTGAAGACTCACCAGATCATTTATTTTTACAAAATTTCTCGCAAAAGCATTCCGAATTAACCAGCAAGGCTTTAAAGATCTTCTTCGTACAAACATCGGAAAACGTCGATATTCTCTCCCGACACGCTTGCTCAATCGAATCAGCTGCTCGTCTACATCCGGATGGTTTCATCTTCGTCCTCATGCGTAGTCAGTACGTTCTCGTCAAATCCAGTGCATACATACATCTACACTCTTATTCCAACATACATATCGTTCATTTTACTGAAGAAGATGTTTACTCAGATACAGCATTGACTCGACTAAATCAAACCAAACGTAAACAATATATTCGTTATTTTTCTATTTCGCACATGAGTGATTTCATTCGTACAGCACTATTGTACAAATATGGTGGAATTTATTTTGACCTCGATGTTATACCAATAAAGAAATTTCATCATTTTCGTAATACGGTCGCGCTCGAAACAACCGATGGTGTCAACGTTGCTGTTTTGGCATTCGAAAAACATCATCTGGCGTTAAACTTGCAAATGAACATTCAATTACAGACAATTTCCAAACAATTTCATGCTCTGTGTTGGAATTGCCTTGGACCAAAAGCGTTAACCGATGCCTTAAAGAACGTTTGCGATCAACAACGCCTAATTGTCCATCAACAAGATAAATGCCATCAAATTGACATTCAACCGTCGTATGTATTTTATCCAATTGCCTATCAAGTAAGTTTCACATCGATTAAAACTAATTTAACTCGATTTTTCTAGAATATTCCACAATTTTTCTGGCGTTCATCTGATAGTATCGACTTTCTAATGAAAAACTCAAGTATCTATTCCATACATTATTTTCATCATATGACAATGAATATTCCAATTGAACATCAGTCACCATTTGCTCAAATAGCCGAATTCTTTTGTCCGAATGTTTATCAGCAATTAATGAATGAGAATCAGCCGACTCAATCGGCGAATTATTTCTTTACAGATATACGTACCTTTCTCTTCTGTTTAACTATATCCTTCTTCTGTCTTTTTCTACTGTTTCTAGTCACTCATTTTACGGCATGTTTGTGTAATATGAGAGGAAGTTTCTTTGTTAGGTCATTTAGGTTGCATAAAAGACACCTATAATAATGAGTGAAGTCAAATGTCGATTGTTGTAACAGAATTTCTTCGACATATTGATCGTGAATCCAAATACTCATGTTCGTTTTGATCTTTTTATTGAAAAATAAAAGAGAATTATATACAAAAACAAAACAGCATATCAGAAACTGAATCATTTTACATTTGCCGAGCGTTTGCCGACTTGAGCTTGGAAACCAGATTGAATAGCTTGTACAGCATATTCAGAGTTACAAGATAGACATTTGACCATCGTTAGACGTTTGGATTTGCCCATAAGCGTATTACGTTTACGGCATGATTGGCAAGTGACATAATTCCCTAGAAGAAAAACATTTTGCGTATGTATTTTCACTATGCTATCAATAGTTGAGCTTACTAATAAATGAAAGAAGTACGTTTTCCATTTGCGAGATTGTAAAACGTCCTTGAAGGATTAAAGAATGATTCTTGTCAATCGATGTTCTAAAAACACATTTGACACGAAGTAGTTCGCATATATACATATCAAAATAATTTACTTACGGCACACCTAACTCAACGGTGTAATAATCCTGAAGTTGTTTTTCTTCTCGTTGAAGTCTAGAAAGAGATATAATAGTTGTTTTATTTATAGCTTTCTTTCTAATCAGAGTACTTACACTTTGCATAATGTACCAAAATTAACGAATGATGTTCGCTTTGTTCCAATTCGTGCTCCTTGCACCGCAGGAATATGCATTTCTGTCCTATGCTGAACCATTACATGGCTTAATCGTGAAATCAACTATTGGAAAAGAAAGTAAATGAGCACTTGCTGTATTTTCAAGGCAATGGTTATAGAGAAGTAGACTTACATAATCATAAGAGTAATCAGAATCATTGGTTTTTTCATTTTTTGTTGTATCGGGAATAGAGTTCTCAGCTGGGACAGCTGTATTTGTAGTTTCAGCTAACGCATCACCATGAATTCGTTTTTTACTCTTCTTTTTTCTGGTGGCGTCAAAAGAAGGCTGAAAAACGAGCCGAAAAAATTAACACAAAACAATTTGTCACTGACTTACCTCATCGAAAGCGTTTTCGTTTGTATTCATCATTGTGTTGTATCGCAATCTTTTTTTAAAATTTATTTAACTGATTCAAACCATCGAATTTATACGGTAATCTCAATGTACATGTCATCACTTTCTCGTGCAATGTACCAGGGAAAATTTCATTCAGCGTCATAAGGTAAGATTGTCTTCGATAGATACCGACCTCTATCATTCGAAAAATTCGCCGGATGTTTTTTGTTTTATCTGAAATGAAATAAATCCTAAAACACGTTCTTCTCATGTTTCTGCATAAATACGAAATTCTTTTATTCGATGTATCTACGTAATCTACACCAATAAATTGATTTGTTTATTTTCTTAATCGATATCGTAGACATTTTTGTTTATTTGCTTATATCAATAAATCTGATTTTCTTCCTCCTGTTGTGTAGACAAGACGTGATTCTATTCATTTCATAATTCATACATATATTTTCCACTTGATTAAATCAAGTATCTCATACCTATACAGGTGATTTACTCGCAGACAAAAGCATACGATTTTCATCTTGTACGAATAAATTTTTGTTCTGTTCTTTTTTCAGTTGAATGTATATTCATGTGATTAACACTTTCTACTTTTTTTGCCATTGATGGTGCTTTGAAATAGCAGAAAGAAGAAAAAACATACACATACATACGAATTATTCAATGGCGAATGTTATCGATTCATTTGGTGTAAATATACCAATGACAAAAACGGATAGGAATAACAACCCAGCAGCTGATAGTCATTCACTACCAGTGGAACAGTGTGACGTTTTGTTGAACGGAAATAGTGAACAAGTAAGAAATATTTGTGTCTTCTTTGTGGAGTTATATCGACAAGCTTTTAGACTGTTGGTAATGACGAACAACAAGTTTCTGCAGCGAATGATCATAACGAAACGATTATCAATGTTACATCATCATCAGTTGATGAAAATGAAATATCGACAAATATTGAATGTTCATCGAATACAACAAATTCATACAAAGATTTCTCTGGTATCGATACTGAATCATTTATTACGACAACATTACGTAATAATCGCAAAGATCGAACGTTGTTATTGACTCTGGAGAAGGTCTTCCAAGACTTTATCCAGAACGAAGAACAAACATCACATCAATTCCAAGCAATGAATTCTTGTAAGGAAAAAAAAACTTTTTCTGTAAGTGAGAAGATGTTTCTATAAAATTCATTTAGACGAACGAATGATTGTTCATCGTGTCGCGGCCTTCTTTGGTCTTGATCATAATGTTGATAAAAACGGTCAATCAATCATTGTAACCAAAACTGTCAATACTCGAATGTATGAAAAACAATATGAAAACTCCTGTCGAATGCTTCGTTTGTTTTTTCTTAGTCCGAACTTATCATTTGAACATTTCATTCCAACTGATGAATTGCCTGATGGTGCTATGCCAGTGTCGAACTTTTCTGTTGAAAATGCTACACGTCGCATATCACGTCGAAACGAAAAAAATCCAACTCAAACAACCGCAATTTCAACGAACAAAGCATCGTTTGATCGCTCAAATCATTACTCTGAACAGCGTGATAAAATCTCCAATTCCTCATTGAATAAATTCAATCGAAAACAACAACGTTTCAATTCGCATCAACATATTCAACAAACAAATATTCACCCATCTAGTCATCTAATCAATCCACGAGGTAAATCACTGTGATTAATATGTTATTTTTGTTATTCATGCATCTCAATACGTGCGATTTACAATTAACATAAATCGAATCGATCACTAAGTATTGTGCATACAGATTGTTTACAGCTTATTTTTAGTTCATTGAGCATCGTTGTTTGAAAAAAATTCTTCATTATTTTTTCTTTTGCTAGCTCAACATATGTACTCACCAGCATCGAATCTATACTATCCACAACAACAACAACAACAACAACAACGACATATGCATCCGAATTACAAACAGCTAACAGCTGCTTCTCCAATGTATAACTTTGTACCAATGATGTCGCCGACGTCTTTTCAGCAGGGAAATAATATGTCAGTACCAATTTTACTCCAACAACAACCTACCGGACAAATACAGTATGTATTTCCCGCACAGCAACCTCATTCATTATCATACGACGGACAATACATGCCGGTAGGAATGACTTCAAAATCTCTGGTGATGTATCAATCTTTGAGTAAAACTGTAGGTTTACCGACCCGATATGATGCCACGCATTGTTGACAATACTTCTTGTGCTCAACCACCTTTCGTTCATTTGTATCCTACTCATCCTTATCCTCACGCACCTCAGACGACGTATCTTCAACGTGGTGAGATTACTTCATAAAAGTTGTTTTTTTCCTGTAATGCCGTTTTGTAATTCAGCTCCATCTTTAATGATACCATCTACGAATCAAACTTCGGTTCAATATGCAACAAATCAATTAGCTACATTAAATTTACATTCTCATTATGATGATTCACGTTTTCCACAACCCCCTAATTCAACGAAATCTCTCGTTCATTCTTCATCAGTCAATGGTTTAACTCGAATGCCTAATTATCCTCAGTATCGTCACTACCGTCCGCTAAATACAAATTCAACTGATAAACAACTACCATCAATCGAGAATGATATGAAATCAACCATGTCCGATCAGATTCTTCTAGCAGAACCAAACCAAGAAAAAGATTGATACAATATGCCATCGAAAACTAAATCTCCCTAGTCAATCAATTTTGTTCTCTTTTTTTTTCATGGTCATCTCAGGGTTCGATTTGTCTACGTGTGCGAATCTCGATTGTATCCATCTATAAATTTTGGCTCGTATTACTCTGTAATCAACGACAAAAAGCAAAGTCAAAGAGAAAATTTTGTAAACTTAGTGTAATTTGTTCGTCTACTTTTTACATAAATATGAAAGAGTTAAAGGAAAAATATACACAAATGTAATGATACGGACTGAATTCGCCGTTAATATTAGGCCGGCTTCATACCGATAAGTTCCGAACGAGAAAAGTAAAGTAAAATATATCAACGCCTGTCTCTAAGAAAAATATTGATCGAAGTATTTCTCTCTTCTTCGTCTTTTTATATATTCTCAGTTGATTTTTTTGCTATCGAGTTATGTCAATAGCCACTATTGAATTGACATAACGCTACTGCTATAGACGATAAAGGATAAAAAAGAATCGTCTGACGTCAAATCGGATAGAACATATTGAAGAAGCACAAAGAAAAAATAAAACTAAAACCAAGAAGGTTGACGTGTCATTTACGAGGATTTATTGGACGCTCTATGCTTTATCAAAATCAACTCGTGTACTTATTTCTGATTTCAATTACAGAAATAATCTCACTACCGACTCAAATATTACCATGCGAAGATTCACCGGAAGATTGTCTACAGAGTCAACAGCACCTATTCGATTCGCTATCAACAACGAATTCAACATATGTATCAACAACGAGGTTCTACGCTAAACGAAGTCCAACCAGTTTTAATCTTAACCGTTTTGCCATCATAATCGCGTGCACTGTTCTCGTCATAGGAGCTGTTCGTATATGCTTTCTATTATGCAAGCAGTCAGCTCGTTGTACTACTCCTCGTCGTCGAAGCACGATTCGTCCAGAAATATCGACAATTGAAGAAAGTCAATTCAAGCCAGATCTACCTCCGGCATATGCCGCAGCAATAGAAAATCATGATTCAAATGAAAATAAACTACCGTCGTACGATGAAGTGAATAGCGTACAACAACATTCACATAATACAGTACGAGCGCAAATGTAATCGCTTTTTTGTTATTTTTATGGAATTCTTTTCAAATACACAGGAAGAAGTGCTGATGAATAGTTCAATAATTAAGACATAAGAATCAGTTCGTTTCTTTCCAAGTATGATTGGGAGCAGTTTAGTATGCATCCATTAGAATACTTCTTTCGAATGATGTAATAAGATTTTATATTTGCATTATTTTTGTTTTCAGGTCAAACAAATCGCGATATAAACTCTTTTTCAATGCTAGAATTTGTTCGAGTTTGTTTCGGAATTGATACTAATGGTAGTGATTGTCGGTGAGATGTGTTGAAGAAAATTGATCTTGCTCGTTTTTTGTCAGAAGATTTGTTTTTAGGTGATATTGGAGGTAATTTGATAGGCTAAATGAGACAAAAAAAGACGAAGTTCGTATCCCGTGCCGATGCGAACATTACTTTCGCCACCGGCTTAGGTTGATTTGCCGACGACGATATCGATTCGTCAGTGTGAACGACGGTAATTTTGTACCGGCGACGTTCAACCGGACGTGGTTGTTTATCATCAACTAGTGAATTAGTTAAGTGTCTAACCGATTTGGATGAGATCCTAGTTGAGCTTGTTTGACAATGAACACTTATTTTATGCAAAAGGACTCCAGTGGATTGATTTTGTGAGAATGACCGTATTGAAGATGCATGATTGGATAGCAGAGGAAGAGTATCATGACTTGTCACACTTGGTTGTTCGGATGTTATTGGTGTACCGCTTACCTCCGAGTCATTTGGACTATGGTTACTGTGCATACTATTGAATGATGAACGTAAACCTACTCGAAGAAAATTAATTAATTCAATTCAGTGTGAATTGTTGTTTTACCGAAATGAAAACTCTGTTGCTCATGTTCCTCCATATCAGTATCATTTAGTTCGGTTGTTGTCGGTACTGCTGATGGTGATGCAATCGAAATACTGGGATATAATCCAGACGAGCGTTGACGCTCTTTTCGTCGTAACTCATGTAGTTTGTCACTCAGCCGTTTGAAAATGTCCTTTCGATTCGATAAGTTCGAATGTAAATAAGAGTTGAGTACGATGAGAAAGATCTCTTGCCAATGAGTCTTACTCATTGGATGTTTGTCGAGATTTTCTTGAGAAAACAACTCATCTAATGCTTCGAGTAAGTTCGTCTTCTGTGAACTTGCCATCGTATTCATGATTAGTTCAGTAACCTTGAGTGCATTCGAAAATTTTGATGTTCACATATGAAACAAAAGGATTTTTACTGTTTGTGTAGTTGATGAGGAGTCTGCTGATTGATTATCAAATGTAGGTTGATCGAATGGTTCGAGAAAATCATGTTCAAACGTCGCCTGATCCGCATCCGGAACTATCGATTCCGATTGATCAGCAAATGACATATTTCGATATTCAGCACGTTTCGCTGGTGTTAGAACTATTCGACGACCCGTGTGACAATAAACAATCGATGGTTGATAACCACTTGGGATTTGGGCATGTACTTGAACATTTCTTTGAATACATTCTTCATACCATTCGAGTGTTTCGGGCGAATCACACATCTGATGTTGGATAAGGGCTGATAATGCACATTAACACTTTAGAGCATTTACCTGTGTTTGATCATTTTCCATATTAACAATTTCCGACTCGTAGGTAATCAGTGGTTCTATTATATCTTCGTAAGCACGCGATGGAACGATAAAATGCTAGGAAAGAGGACAACGTATATCAATCAACGACGAAGTTCTATTGTAAACTTACAGTAGCATCGTTAATTATTGGTATGTGAAACAACTGAGAAACGAATTCGCCCATCGTTTTGATTATACGAGGAGTAGGTAATCGATCGAAAATTGACTCACCTCGATAGATTCGATTTGCTATGACTTATCCGAATAGAAAGTATTTTGCTGATAATCTCTAGACATCTATTACTAATTTACTTTGTGATTGATCATCGGCGTATTGTTCAGGAATGCCAACCACATATGTTTGTGCTTTGTGCTTTACATTAATCATCAACGGTCTTTCTTCTCGTAGTCCTAACTCGGGATAAGATGCACTTTTGAATAATGTCCAACCTAAGTAAAGATCTTCATCAGTATGAGAATGTACTGTGCGTTGTTGAGCGATGCTTAATTTGTTATCATTTGATTTCATTACTGGCTGCTGTAGAGATGCTAGTTCATTCGTCAAATCGGATAGCCAAGCTAGTGTTGTTTGATTGTTGATGAATTTTTCATCTATACCAACAAAGAATGTAAACTGAATGTTTAACAATGATAAAAATAAAGATGAGTACCTTTCTTTGCAGATCGTTCGCGAAATTTGTTGATTGCATCGGTGATTGTCGATATATCTTCGATATGCTCTTTATCAGCGACATGTTCAACAACACGTACTGGTGTTTCAAATGCTTTCTCTCGTTCAATTTGATCCACAGAAATATCTGACTGTGATAATGATTTCTCTCGATTTTTTGGCAAATCAGCAGATGTTTGATCTATGTTTTCAATATCTAGTACTTTTTGTTGCGTGGATGTGACTGGCTTAGATGCATCTAATCGACGCTGATCCAATTGTTCAATCAATCGAGCAGTAATCCTTCGTGTTCGTTTATAATTATCATCATATTGTATTCTCCAACGCTTTAAAACATCTTCGAATTCTGCTAGTGAACTATCATATTCGCCAGATAAAATATTTCGCATTTGTTCGTCTGTTAATAACGTATCGAATCTCTTTTCGATTGTTTTATATTGAGCATCAAGTAACGTGATTAACTCTTGCTCATTTAATTTCCGTTGGAGGATATATTCAAGCTCATCGAGAACATTAGCGTATTTCACATGAGCCTGTAAGATATTCCTTTGCAGATGATACTTTTCTTCCAATGTCAGAGAATGTTCGAGAATTGGCTCAATTTTATCATAATGACCAGAAGCTAAATCTCGAATATGTTCTGATTCAATACGGCCAGTGAATAATCTTAACACTAATTGAAAACGATCTTCAGCAAAGCGAAGCAATTCGTCACGAGATAGTTGGCGATCTAGATCTGTACAATGAATATATCACTATGATAAGTTTTAGAAACGTACGAAGAATATGTTCAAAGAATTGTAAACGTTTGATTGATAGTTGTCTCAATTCTTCCTCTTTTTGCTTATCTAATATGTTGTTGATTGTTTCGCTGATCCGGCCATATTTTCCGAACAAGAGGTCGTTCAATTCTTCTTGTGTTAAAGATCGTTGAAGAATTGCAGTGAGTTCACCATAACGATCACCTGCTCGTTTAGTTAATTCTTCAAATGTTAAGTTAGATTCGATTTCAGTCGAAGAATATGTAGTAGGCTGTGTTGATATGAAACCAAAAATTGAAAAATTATCTTCAGAGTCCAATGTATGTAGTCGATCGCTTCCTTTTGAATTCAACACCAGATTCTTCCTCAGTTCATTTTCCTAAGGCTCTGAAGTAGTATTAGCGATATTCAAATTTGTATTACCTGATCTTGTGTTGGTGTTAGATTATTCTCGAAATCATCAGTTGCTGCATGGGTCAACTGGCCATCAGTAAGAGTAGATCGTGGTGGCCCAGATGCTTTATATGCCTGTCGCTCAGCAGGAGTCTAAGAGAAGATATAGAAACAGTCATTTTTATAGTGCTTATTTCTCATCAGTATGAAAAGGAAGAGTACCAGTTGTCTGCCGAGTTCTTGCTCAATATCACTGAAATGACCAATGAGGATATCACGAATTTCGTTTTCTGTTAAGTGTCGTTGCAATTCGCTAGTAAGAGTGACAAATCGATCGTCATACAATGATTTTATTGTTTCTCTTGGTATTGATTTTTCAAGTTTCTTTTCCAGTTCAACAACATCGCCATTTACAAGCATTTCTATCTCTTCTTTTGTTAATGAGTGAGCCAGATCTGTTTGTAGTCGTTCAAGATTTTCAACGAAACTTGTTTTCTGTGTATTCTGTGCCAGGTAAAGAACTGGCGTAGTTATCGGAGAAGATTCTTCGATCGAACTTTGGAATTCTCTTATCTTCTGGATAATTGAATAATCATTATGGACTAAACGTTTCTTTTCATCAAGAGTTAGCGGACGACCGAGTTGGTCTTCGATAACTTTTATCGACGGAGTAATCAAATGCATGATTTCATATTGATCGATTAGCTCGGCCCGTTTTCTTAGTACCTATATGTAAGAATGGAGTTACAAGTTTGTTCAAGCTAATGCTAAGTTGTTCTACTTCTTCTAATTGTTCATAGCTCGGGTTTATATTTTGCTGTTTCAAACTTTCCCAAACGTTTTTCGAAGAAATAGAAAGAATGCCACGATAAGGTAGAAACATTAAATCTTCCTGTTCTGTATATTCATCGTTGGTCAGAGAACGATGAAACAGCTCTTTTTCGAAATATTCGATGCATGAATTTGCCTGAAATAGCTGTCGGTATTCTAGTTCAGTTAGAGGACGAGCCATCACGCGCTCGAGCGATGCGAAACGATTCATGAATATGACGCGGAAGTCATTCACTGTTAACTGAAGGTTTGTCAGCTGCTCAAATTGTGGGATGTTTTCGAAGACAATAGCTGTATATTCTTCTAAATTCATTGGACCTATATGAAAAGACGAAAAACATATTCTTTCTCTTTCATTTGAAAATCAAAGTAATATACGATTCAATCTATTATTTTCGATATGCTGTTGCCAAAGATGTAACATTTGAATCCGTTCATTGATTCTACTGAGTCTATGTTGTATATTGTCTTCGATCAATTGTTTTGTCTTATTAATGTCTGCGAATGATTGATCAAATAAGTTGTTCGAATGCCCGTTGAAAACGTTAAGCACATCGACTTCATCAATTGGTCGACCAAGTAAGCGTTTGATATCTTCTGCTACTGGTTTGGTTTGAAGTTCATTAATAATATCACATATTGACGAGTTGCCTAATAAAGAATATAGGGAGAACAAAGTAGTGGTAATAATAAATTACCTTTTGTAGGCTCTAATCCATATTCTTTCTTGAGCTCCAGTAACTGAGTCTTGAGACGCTCGCTGAGCTCCTGTAAAATCTGTTGTCGATCTACTATTGATTCAGGATAAAGAGCTATTGGATCTGACTGTTTAGTTTGATCTACCGTAACTATTTAAAAACAAAGAAATACGATTGACGTTTCTATATCAGTATTTAAATGATTTCTTGCAAATACCATTGCTTTCCGGTTGCACATTGCCATTTGAAATAGTATTCTCACTTGTAGCCTGGCGTTCGATGGATCTTAGGGAACTATCGAGTTGTGAAATCGATGGTGCTCGGTAATAAGATAAAGTCTTCAGTTGTCCTGCTATCGTTTGAACGTTTTTAATCATTTGTAGTGGAGATTGACTTTTATATGCATCAAGAATACGTTCGGAGAGGTGACCAAAGCGTAATGCATCTAGAAGAAGGAATTGAATTGATACGTTTAGCTTCTCGACGAACACAACGTAATACGTTACCAATCAATTTTGGTGTAAGTAGATGCCTTTGGAGTTTCTGAATTTGCGGAAGCGTGAGTTGGTGTACTTGTATACTTTCAATAATCGCTTTATTTGAATCATCAACTGTATCTGCAGCCGTTGCCTCGTGCTTGATTGTTTGGTATGTATCTTCTGTTACCGTATTCAGTTTGAGTAGATCAAGTATAAACGACGGAATAGTTTCTGTTTTAGTTGATATACTATCGATGGAACGTAAACTAACTTCATTAATAAGATTGAGTATATTCTCAAGCTGGTTGTGCTTTACTAATGAATCTGACACAACCTTCACTGCAGCAGTTTGAGCTTCTAAGCTTGATTGCAGTCGTGCATACATTGTTGCTAGTTCATTATGAAATGAAATAGATAGCCGATTTCGCACAGCGGGTATGTTGCTAACAGACTCATTCACTTCAGCGGATAGACGAAGTGTAGTAGTTGAACTAAGCAGAATACTGAATTGTTCATCAGTGAGAATAAATTGAGAACGTATATCGGACAAAGATTCGGTGTATTCAAGTTCATCGAATGAAATGTTACTGCCCTGCCATAATGTAACAAGTTGTTCTGGCTCGAAACGCAAATCTGTCGTCTATTAAAAAGAAACGGTGATTAAACGAAAAATTATATGTAATGTAGACGAACATCACTAAGGTCCGTTGAGCAGATCGTTAACTGATCAAGCGAGATATTAGCTTGCTGAATAAGAGAGAACACTTGATGAGCATTCAAATAAATACGTGGTAGAGTGTGATTGATGACGTTTTGCAATGATATCAGTTGATCGTGTTGACTAATTAAACTACAAAGTTGTGCAATAGTTAATACCTTTGTTTTTTCGATATTTTGATGTGATAGAATTTGTGTTGGAGTTATTTGATTTTCTAATGTAATTTGCAGTAATTGATAATACGACAATTGTAGAAGTTTTTCAGACGGCGACAATGTTCGAAGATGATCCAATGACATGTCTATTATCGAAAAAAGCAGATCTGTGAGATTCAATGAAGATAGGTCTTTACTTTGCATTCGAGCTAATTGTTCGATTTGCTGATGCATAAGTGTCAGAGAAGATTGGTTCAATAAGTACAAGGCTATGAACTGACTGGCGGAAAGTCCATCAGTTGTCCGATTCTGACTAACACGACGATTGTGAAATAAATAGGCTAGTTGTGGTTCATTCAAACGAAACTGTCGAGATTGCGTCTGCTGTTCTTTCTTCATATTTCGTTCTATGATTGATAACTGTTCCATATTCAAATGATTCTTATTGATTAAATGTGTCAATTGCACTGGTGAGAGACAGAATTTTAATTTTGGATCATTGAGTGATACTGGTGATAACGTTGGTAAAAACGGTTTATGTTTAAGATCTAGTTCGATTTTCTGTAGGCTGCATAATTCAATCAATTGGTGAAGATTTAACACGAGTGGTAATCGTAACTCTCTATTTGTTGATGTATTTACCAGGTCATTTTGATAGATCAAACACTGAATTTGATTCTCCGTCAAGAGAATATTCTCATATGATGCTTCGTTGAAATTGTCTGTAAGAGAAAACGATAAAAATTAGCTGCTTTCCTGTACTCGGACTTAATGTCTCTATGATTATTTGTGTAATGAGCGATAGAAACTCAACAACTCATAATAAGCTCAAAATATATATACTGTATTGATGCATACCATCAGTAAATTGAATGCTATCTTCGATTGCAATTTGTACCAACTGCTCTTCGGTCAACTGAAAACGTTCTGGTATTTCTATTGTTCTCATCAATCTCTCTAGGTATAGACCAGGTGCGTCCATAGTTAGATTTTGTTTCAGACATATTCTATAAAAAAAAATCAAGTATTTCTTTTCATTTTGACAATATTTAACAAAGGTATATTAGGTTTTACATTTTATATCAGTATATCAAAACTATTATGAGCGAACAAAAAATTATAAAGCTTTATAGACACAATATAAAATAGCAACAAGAAAATAAATCAGTGGTACGTTCATCATAATCGAAACACCTCAGAGTTTGATCATTTTTATTATTACTAGTAAGAGTAATCCCGTTGACCATGTTATTTCTATATAGAAGTAATTGAGCATGAGCTATGTATTGCTGTTTGTAAAGGATACCGATAAGAATGCAAACGTGAAATATAAGAATTTAATACACGCTCTTGGGGGATAGCTAATTTTATGTCATTTGCTGTGCAAAATTAATTGGTGCGCATCTATTCTTACGGCGTCATAGGCATCTGTCACCAGCTGTGAATTAGTAAAGACACTCTTGTTCTTGTATTGAAAATGGATGTAGATGTGTTTGTATATAAAATAACGAGCTAGAAATACGAGTGGATCATCGCTTACAATGTTACCATTCGAATTCTAGGAAAACTGACGAAGTGACAGCATGCATTCCAACAATAATAGAGCCGAGTAGTACTGCACACTGCAATAACTAAGTGGTGCCGATAGGTATTCTTTAGTGAGTATTCATCCATACGACTTGTAGCCACGTGCTGCACAAAATATGGAATGTGAAGTACTCAATTTGTTGATGTATAGGATATTGCTAAAATTTGGATGGTCAGCTTCGATATTATTTTGTCTACTATGTTTATCAAATACCAAACAAATATAATTACGTAATGACGATTGCATATTTTGTTTGCATTAAACCACACAACTGACAGTATATGTATACAATAATTTTATGTTGAAATAGAGTTTTGGCATACTTTACCAAAACTGTTTCTCTTGAAGTAGCTAAATAATTTTAACTTGCTTGCGACTGGCTAAAATTTTTCTTAATACGGTATTATACCAAAATAAATTCTTTTCTTGCAATACAGTTAAAATCTTATGTACATGGACTGTACGGCGTAAAGTTTTTGTGGGTTAAAATGCATCGCCCACAGACTAGTCCGTTTAGTTCAAATTTGTGTTGTGTTGAAATATGATGTTATCAATGATGGTGTATTATAATATTCTGTCATTTTGATTAACTAATTATGTTCCTTGTTAACATGATTGGTACAAATAAAAATACGAATGTCAGACTCAGTATATTTACGTATAGGTCACAGTATATCTCTCATGTTGTGTAGTAGAATGCATTCAAACGATACAATCAAATAGAACTAGAACTCTTTTATATCGTAGTATTAGTCATACGAAGTGGGTAAATTTTGAAATCTGTTGCAATGTGAAATAGTATCGAACCATACGATTGTCAATGAACAAATAGATCGATTTTAGTACAAATCATTCCACTCTTATTATAAAAGACGAATAGTTTGTGTTTACTGACGCCATCTTCTGATGACTTTATCGATTAGTATCGGGGTGAGCGAGCGAAGAAAGGGAAATTAAAACATTTCAACTTTGTATACAAAGTCACAGCAAACTCTAGCATCAGCAGCTGTAGAAATAACTTACTGTTCAAGTTGAAAACTTGTCAATTTCAGTGGCATTCGACCTGGTAGAGTCGCAAGAACAACTAGTTGAGCTATACTGAGGCCCATTTCTACGGAATGATCTCTGTTAGGATCGTCTACTGATTCTTGCAACAGATGCTTTGATTCCATTGTTTCATTGATTATTGGCATAGTTTGCCGTTGCTGATCCATCATATTTGTTGACACTGCAAATGAGATAGAATGTCTCTACTATCCTACTAATTATTGGCCTTACGTATTTCTTCGGATTTCAAAGATTTCTTTTCTTCCGTTTTCTTTCTGACTATTCTCGTCATCATTTCTGGGTCACCGTCTGCTGCTGTTAGCAGCGTTTCTAGCGTGTGTATAAAACGAATTGTTTGCTTTGATTTTTGTGACGAACCATGCTGGTTCAAGCGACCTTTTAGTATGCTCACGGCAAGTGGTATGTACTTCTTCGGATCATTCGAGCGTAGTTTGGCAATTTTTAGTACATCATCCAGAAGGCGGACCTTTTGTTAACGAATAGTGAATGACTCAGACTCGTACGAGAATGATACTCACTCCACGTTGGCCGCTGTATTTGAAAAATTCAGTCAAGCGATCATTGATTGTTTTCTTATTTTGTAATTTTCGTTCGCCAATATTGTTCTCTCGATCAAATTTTTCGACTGCTTCAACAGCATCTTGAACCAGTCGAGCAACATCTTCTTCCGATAATCCATCATAGTAATCGTGTGTACTTTGCGTCGCAACGCTGTTTTCGACAGTCCCGTACTTTTTTATCATGTCGACTAGCATCATTCGTACTTCCACGGGAAGATTGTTCATTTTTGCAGTTTTGTCATCTTCATTGAATTGATACGAATCTTCTTGTACATTGTCTTTACCAGTAGGCGATTTCTGTGCATTCCAACGTCGTTTATATTGAGCTAAGATCCAGGGTGATGGATTTAATACACGAAGATGTCGACGTTCTATTAAATCGTTAACACTCAGTGGTATGTAAGATTTCTCGACTGATTTAATATTCTATGAAATACAGTTAAGACAGCAATTGACTTATAGACATAGCGATAGAAATATTTACACGTTTCGGAATATCAAGTAAAACGAGATCTTTCAAAGCTTCAATGTTACCATTCAGTTGTTCTTCGTTTCCAAGATGAAATCGTTTGAATGCATGATCAGAAAAGAATTTTGGTGCTTGGTTCAAATCGATAACATGTAAAAGACATCTGGTATCCGGAAGTGCTTGAGAAACATTCTTCTCAATAAAATCTCCTAGATCATGGATAATATCGATTTTATGAAAGTAGGATACTAATAGATATTCGAATTTTGTATAATCAGCTAAATAATCATCACTCATTTGATCAAATAGATCGTTTGTCAGTAAACAAATAGTTTTGATTAGAATATCTATTTAACAAAAGGACAAAATCCTATACCGTAGAAGTGTAAACGTTGTCATTACTAGTAGAAAACCAAACGCACGGATTATAACCGATGGGTGGTGATGGCTGATATTCAGTGGAGTTCAGTTCTTGAAGTAGATTCTCTGTCGTGTATTTCTTTAGAACATGCATCAAAGCGATGTTTTCTAGCAATTGAGAATTGATTAGTTGAAGACGATGAAATAAGTTTTCAAGCGACTTTTTCAGAAATTCTTCGATAAAAATAGTTTCGATATGTTGCTTCGTCTCCGAATCATTACAGTAATCGACACACCATTTCAAATGGAAATATGTTTGAAAGACACTATCTTCACTGTAACAAAAAAAACTGTTAGTTTACTCAGAGAGAAACCAATTTCTTGTTCAACTCACATCAGATCAAGAAGCAAAGCCGTACAAAATTCTAAAGCATGACTAGTAATTGGTGTACCTTTTCAAGAAGAATCACATATTTTTGTTGAAAATGAAATGAAAATTCGTTCTACCATTTTGTAGAAATGTTTTCGTAATATAATTGAATATTCTCCAATCAACGTTTGATAGATAGGTAGATATACGATTCATTATACATTGAGAGTTAGAATTGTGTAAATTTCTGCTTCTGTTGTCGGAAGTAAATATATCATCATCATCGTTTACAGTACTGTCCTCTTCACTCAACGTTATGTCGCTATTTTCAATGGATATCACTCCAGAACTAATTGATCTGTCATCAGCAACCGAAACATCATCTTCATAGTTCATAGTATTCGATGCTGTTGTGTATTGTTGTGGATTGCGAAGTAAATGCTGACGAGCATTGATAATTGCTGAAGCAACTTCATGGGCACGATCTTTTTTCATATGAAGAAAGTTAATGAAACTGTGAGCTAAATCTAATGATGCTCTAGGAAGATATCTCATTTATTTTTAGCCATATTTCGCTTTCAGTTACATACATAAGCTGAGCCGGCTTCGATTCATACATTCTATGCACTTGCGTCATTACGGACGATAATGAACCATAGAGTGAAGATAGATAATCTTCACCATCATAATACTGTTCACTGTCTTCGAAGTCGTCGTCATCGAAATCTTCTTTTCAACAAGGTGCATTTAAATGTTTATTCTATGCGATTCAAGGTGATCTACCTTTGTCTTGAAATCCTTCATTTTGAATGTCTATTTCCTCTATTGATGCTTCACTTTCCTCGAGTTTATTATATTCACTGTACTTATCGTTGATCTACATAAACAAGACATCAGTCGAATATCACCGTACCAAGTCGAGTAGTCACTTTATGATCAATAGGACCTTCTTCGTTTATCGAAGAAATCATCGGCAGTTCATCATAGATAAGTTTGTTACTCACTAGACGATAGAAAAGTATAATAAACCCGAACACAATCTTTTGTATAATGAGATCAAATATCGGTGATGAAGAATTCCATCCGATATTGATTTCTAGCACTGACGTTTCGAAAATAAACCAGTTCTTACTCAGTAAACGTTCAGTTGAGTCAGCGATCGAATATTTCTTGATTGCATTAAAATTGGTATCAGCTGACGGTGGCAACTGTTGATGATTACTCTTGTCACGTAATAAGAATAGGTTCTTCAAAAACGAACATCTCATATTTCCGATGTTCGTTGAGGCTTTTGGTGTACGTTGATAACGTGAATGTCTTTTCCGTTTTACTTTGTGTTTACCGTATTCAGCGGGTGATCGAGATGCTCTTCGTTTTATTCTTTGTTGATACATCTGTAAGATCACCAGTAGTCTTTTTTATAAATGAAATGTAACTGAAGTACTTTTTCGGCTTGTGCTGATGTGTTGTAGCTTTTTGTGTTTATTGAAGCTGTATCCAATGTTTCCAAACTATGATTGTCTGTTTCAAAATCATGTGATGTCAACTTCTTTTTTCTTTGTTCTTGATTGCATGCGACGGGGAACGACGGATGTGCTTGGTTTTCTTTTGGTGAGATTTTACTATGTGAACTGTTGCCAAGTAGAATCATGCTACTGTCTTGCTGCGCATCAACTAGATGTTTTCGTTGTTGTCGTCGTGTGACAATTGTCAACGAATCGGTACTCATTGGTAATCGATCGAAACTGCTCGGTCCACCGTCAATTTCTTCATGAACGATAACACCACTCTCATGACGACTGAAACCCAGAATGATAAGACACTGTGGAAAAAGTCGTCTTACTGAGTATCTTTCAATTTAATCGGACCAGTATGAGAATTAGACCGAGCAATGAAAATCTCTCGATGATGATCGTGTATCATGACTTCTTTTACTAGAGAATGAGTGTCTACAATAGAAAGAATTCGGTATATATTCATAATGAAAAATATAACGTACCTTTCTTCATCGGTGGTCCAATCAGAAGAATTTTAGCTGTTTCTTCAGCCTTCTGAAAAAATCTTTTTCTGTAATTGAGTAACTTAATTTCATAAATCATACCAGACGATGGTCTATTTGAAGACGCAAACGTATTCGTATATCATCCATTATAGTTTGCATCTGTTCACTGCTGATTGATTGACTGCCATTGGCATCCAGTTTATCCAACAGGTCATCAAAATGATATTGAATCGCAATTCGCATAGATTCTTCTCGTGAGTAAGCAGAGAAGAAATTGTTGACATATGCATGAAACATTTTCCGTAGGCTATCAATAGTATCACGTTCCATGTTCGATGCCAGTTGTGAATATGTATCATGATGCTGTGGAGAGTATCGTTTCGCGAAAAGTTCTTCGAGTTTATGTTGAACAGAGTGAAGAATATGTCTTTCGTTAATTCCTTGTAAAAAGTAAAGTTCTTGTTGGAAGTCAGCATCGAAAAGTCTTGGCTCTTGCTCTTGTGTGATTTCGAATGTTAGATCTTCAAGATTTTCATCATCGGTTAGTAAATGAACAATCACGCGATGTTTGTCGGTTAATGATTCTAATTCGATCTGTACACGGCGTATTTCATCGATTGAAGAATCGTGATGTGTTTGAAAATATTCGTGAACATGTTCAAGAACAATTTGCTCAAGTGTTGATCGCTACAGAATAAAAATTGATATATAAATCGATTTCTGTGGACAACTTGTGCATAAATGACTTCGAATGAGAACACCTACTTGGCTAGTGTGAACCGTGTTGTCTGGTGGATCTGTATCCACTTGTGCAAATTTGACATGCGAATGGTGTACCGACGCTAGTAGTAAAATCAACTTATCATTATTGATTCGAATGACATGACCTTCATAAAGATCGCCAAAGGTTGATGTTAAATCGAACATTTTAATCTCATGTTTTGATAGTTCATTCTAAACGTATGGCGAAAAGATTACGGACGATTAAAGAAAGAAGAACAAATACTGGATGTAGAATAAAATGGCCAATAATTTCGATCTTTAGTTCAGTATTCAATGCTGTTTTGATAAAATCTTTCAATATATGTTCACGGAGATGTTGTTTCAACTAAATAGATGAATTTGAAGAAGTTCAATTAGAAGTTCATTGTCAAAGGCTGTTACGAGATACTTCCGGTGAAAGAAGGTTTTGAATGTAGCTTCGACTTTTGATCCTTCGAAGCAAGCTGCTTGATGAAAATCGATATGAAGAGCATCCTGTGGTCGACGTGACATTGGAATCGGTCGATTAGGATACGGTGTTCTATCTAATCGAAACAAATCTTCTTTCTCAGCATGCGATCGTACGTATCGTGTAAGCTCCTGTCGTCGTAAATATTCTTCATCCAGCGATTGACTTCTACTAGTGACATTCACTCGAGCGATTTTTGTGTTTAGTGATTGCTTTTTTTTCCTATTCCATCGATGTTCTCGTTTGATTGATTCTTTCCAAGTTGTATGTCCTAATCCAAAATGTTCGAAATCAATAAAGATGCGAAATCCTTTTTCATTGAAAAGTCTCTCCGGAGGATATTTGTAGGTTAATGTTGTGTAGTGACATCCATTTTCACATGGATATTTACAATCGATTTTAGTCGATTGTGTAACATGAGATTTTCGTTGTGTGTGATGATCAAGTGATTTCCAAAATACAGGTGGATGAATTTTCTCTAATCTAGCATCTAATCGAACGAAGTCATAAATAGAATTTGATGGTAAAGATCTATACTTGACTGCCAGAACTTCCAAATCGGATCACGCTGATAACGAGGTATGCAAAGTTTTTCGATCCGAGGATTCATTTTCTAACTAATGTAAATAACGCGCCAAGTATTTCTCTGTGCATTCAGAAAGAAAAGAAGATGTTTTTACGACTTTAACATGATTTTATTAACTAGAGTAAGAAACTTATTGAGCTATGAGAAATCACACAGAAAAACCAGTGAAAATTAAAACTAAAATAAATCATTAGTCTAATTATCTTTGCAAAGCGAAGTTTATAATCCTGCTATTGTATCACACCAACTTGACGCTTGACATCCTAATGTTGTGCTACAAGAAGAGAACGAAATACATTATTTGATCGGATGAAAATCGTCACAAACCGAAAGTGAGGTGGATCCGTACATAAGCGTGTAACCGAATAACCATAGTTTTCTCTCAATTTAGCTATGATACCTGTCGGACTCATCAAATGCACTAGAAGAAAACGAATAGATTCAATTCAGAACAAAAAACAAATCGTTTGTTTTTGTTTGCCACTTACTGAAACCTACTGCAAAGAAGTATCGTTTATCGGTCGAATTTTCTTTGAGTAAACTATTAATTTTTGCTGTCATTAGAGTATCACGACGTCCAACAATTTCCTCTAGACGTTGTTTGAATGCCAACAAAGCTTTATCTTCTATCTGAACTGTTGATGGTGCCAGAAGTTCTTGTGGAAGATTTATATCACAATTGTATACGCGTTTGATTTCCATATTGCTCTGTTCATTGGGAAACGATTGCTGTGCTGAATTACCTGGAATATTAGTATTCGAAAAACTCTCCATTTGAAACTTTGTAAACTAGTTGATGATGAATAGAATGAACAATGACACACCCTCTTCTTATTATTTTCAAATTACTTCACAGTAGATATCAGCAGTCTCCAGTGAATCGACATTCTTTCCTTCACGACGAGCTTCCATCGCTAGATAAATGTCAAGAAGTGGTGCTTGAGGTCCGTGTTGATTCATCGTTCCTAATATTCAAAATAGATTACATCGAGCGCGAAGAGAAATAACTATTGTGACAAACCTGACGGTGGTGGTGCGGGTGGTTGTCCTCTTCCTTTTGATGACATATACGAATTCATACACATTCTTACTCGAGCAAATGAGAAGAAATTTGTGACGTCGAATTCAGGAAGAAAATGTGTACTATTCTCAAATGCAGATTTCACTGTATTCGAAAGTGACGACCAAATTTCCGGTTGAGGTAAGTGAATCGTTCCGAAAAGATACGCTGGAGGATTTGTGTTAATTCTCCATAATATCGTTGTCTCATACGTCTAGATTCATATTACTGATCGAATATATCGAAATCAAATTGAACCTACCGATAAGCATGAAAGGAGAGTAAAAAGAATGATGAAAAATTTCATTTTTGCAGCTGAAAAGGAATGAAGTACAGATGTTTGAAAGTGCTTTTATCAATGCAATGACATTGTATTTATACTGACTATAAATACGTTAGATTAAACAACAGTATCCGTACAAGAGAGTAAAAAGCCTTGAGTTGTTCATAATAAAAACAGTGAATTTTGTCAAGGGCATCTACAAAAATGTTCGATTCCTTTCTCCCTCCTTCTCCATCTTTCAAGGTTGAAAACCAAAACGTACCTACGCTGAAATGGCAAGAGGACATTCACTCGCATTTAAACAACTACTATTTCGCTTCTTCTATACGCATATAAACACGTTCGAATCAATCGACATCGGTATCATATTTTTCTCTGTCTATCTCCAATGACCGATCGTATGTGCAATTTAATCTTAACAAATTAATTGCAGTCTGCCGATTAAAATAAATTCATTTATTTTTCTCATTTCACCGAACAACAATGAAAAACAGAAAATAATAATATATTCTAATTTGACCCGTACCCAAATATTTGTTTTCGAATAACACGAGCAAAATAAATATTGAGTTTTGAATTTTAATTTTCACAGTTATGTCGATGCACCCTAAAAATAGATGAATGCTACATGAAGTTAATCGACGTACGCAATATACTTTTTTTCTTTTCTCAATCAATGAATTCAAACGTTCAATTAATTCCTTGCTTTGCTTTTCGATCTCATTTCCTGCTGAAGCTAGAACAGAACACAACAACAACTTCTCGAACAAGCAAATCAATCATTCGGTACGAACGTGTTTGATAAGTGTTATAAAGATCAATGCAACTCAAAGTAACATCCCGACAAGCATTGCCAAAATGTAAATCTGAAGTACTATTCGCAATAACTTTTCCATGCAGAACTATTTCAACCATCGAATTCGATAAGGCAATGCATTCGTTCAAGAATGATAACGTCATAGCTAAAAGATAAATGTTATTACAAATGAAAGAGTCAATGTATTTCACTCGCTTTCATCGGAATCATTTTGTTTCTTCCAAAGATCAAGCATTTTCTTTACACTTCCATTCGCTAATTGTATTTTCGTTTGAAGATAATCTGACGAATGTTTTCCATTGAATAATTCCAGATTCTTCGTCCGTTCGATTCCGTCATGCATTTGATTGATACAATATGTTAATATCGTATCTAGAGAACGAATAAGGAATGAATTGCTTTAGTTTTCTCAGATTACGACGTACGCTTATACTGCCGTTTGAGATTATTAACGAGTTTTTCGTGATTAGCTTGGATAAGCTTTTGTTTATCGGTTGTATCCAAATATCTTTGTGCCCATTCTCGTATCGTCTCTTCGAGATCGATGATTTTCAGTTCGAGAATTTCTTTATCGTGAATTAGATCAATAAGATTTTCTTCGTGTTCCTAAAATTAGTTTCATACCAATGAAAGTTCTGAAAGATGAGATGAAATGTGAATGTTTTACTCGATTTTTGTAAAATAAATCTTGTCGTGCTCCTTCCGTTTGATTTAATTTTTGTTCGAATGTTGACTTATCCTGATTAAGGCGTGTTTTATCACTTTCTAGTTGTTTGAAACGTTCTTCTACATTCTGAAATACGTCTGACATGTAGAATCCTTTTGAAATTCTTTGATGCTTCTACTTGTTTAGCATTTTCAATCTGTTGCAGACGTTCCTTCGCACTTATTGTCATCGACTGATAATCGTTACGTTCGGTTGTCAAGATTTGAATTCGATCTTGTAATTCCTACGTGATAAATGATATTTCTGCCGTAAGATTTGCTCACTGTTCACAAAGACTATTTGCCTACATTGTTTGTTTGCCGTAATTGTACTATTTCATTGTTCAATTTCTCGTAATTCTGGTTGAATTCTTCTTCTTTTTTCTAAAAAGCGGATGAATTAATGGTTAAGATCGAAATAAATCGTACTTTATATTCGTCTTTTAATTGCTCATGTTGTTGATTCAGATCTGTTAATTGCTTTTTATTTTCTCCTTCCTAAATCAAAAGAATTATTCGAGGCAAATAGCGAATTTCGTATTCATACACGTCGTAGGACAACCACATGTTCCTCACGTAATTTATTGTATGTTTCCAGTAGTTTGTTGAACTTTTCATTGGAATTCTCTTAAGAAACGAATCAATGAAGAGCAGAAGTCAAACACAGGTACATACTGTCCATAGCTTGTATTTCATCGATACGCTGTCTATTATCCAATTGTTGACGAAGTTGTTCTTCAAGCTGTGAACGATGCTAAAGACGAAAAGAAAAGTTCAATATAGGTAAAGGAACGTTTTCAAATAGGATACATTTTTTTCAGCGAGTAATTCCGCATCTTTGGCAGCAATCGTTCGATGCAAGTCATCAGTTTCTGAACGATTTTGTTTCAGCATTGCATCGTACTAAGTTCCTATGTGCAGAAACACTTCTTTTGAAGATTATGTCATCTATACCTGCATGACTCGTTGTTCCAAATCCGATATTTCCTTGGAACTATTAGGATACATGTAAACGACAGTAATTCATCGAAGAGACATACCGATTGAACATGGAATCTTCACTGACAGTCGATTTCAGAGCAACCTTGTTCTAAAGAATACACAGATTGTGATCTGTTTACACTAGTGAATATATTACATCATCGGATGTGTCAATCAAAATGTCGTCTGTTGTTGATGTAGTTACAATCGGTACTGGACTTGTATAGTTTTTCATGTCATCTTTTATATTGAAATTCGGTGGATTCTTTGAATAAAAAGAAGCATCAATAGGAAAGTCGAAAGTCAAGTCGAACTGTACTTCAGGTAAAATAGGAACTTTGATAAGATTTCGAAAATACTGTAAAGTTGATGTTTGACTATAAAACCGCTTTAATCTTCGGAAATGATCTGATAATTTCACTCGATGGCTTTGTAATGTATCTCCAGCCAAACCTATATTTTCCTCAATCGTGAGTCAGTTGAATGACAGAGCAATTTTCTCGTTACCTTCGTGAAGTTTGAACAGCACCTTAACAATGTAATCGTAGAGAAGACTCGAATCTTGTACGCAAGCAATTAACGGATTTAGACGACATTGTCCTGTAGCGGTCATTGAATTTGTACGTGATTGATCAAGTGATGAAAATATGACTTGAACAAGATTTAATATCTCTTCCATATACTCAAGTAACTCGAGACACAGTTGAGAATATAAGCTGTAATTATCATTAAGCAAACGGCGAACGTCGTTATTTTCATCGATGGTTAAATTTCCTGTAAATTTTGGATTACGCACGTGAAATTTCAGTTTTGACACTAATAAATGACAATAACGATAGGATAGCAGACCATAACCGTGTTGAACACCACTCTTGAACATCCAATTGATGTATACATGTCAATCTGTAATACGATGAACTTACCCAGTATTTGCATAGTTGATCGAAATACGGTGTTAGTATAATACAATCGTGAATAACCTAAAGGGAGTAACGTATCGACATAGACTATTTTATAGATTATTTCTTTCAAATGACTTACATGCCTATGTCCATCTTTTAACAGACGATGGATAACATAACAGAATTTCCAACAAGTAATCGGATGGGAATCAATTTGAAGTCGGATGACCATTGACCAAAATAATCGTGAACCATCGAGTCGGAACGTCCCAATAATAAGATCTAAAGTCAATAAATCCTTATTTCACCTATCATTTCTCCATTGCCCATTTTCTTACTCCGAATGTGCTTCTCTTTAGCCGGTACTTCGACATTGTTGATAGCCTTTGTCGTACTTTGCCACTAGATCAAAGTGCACTGTTTACCGAGAAGAAAATGGGAAATTCTGTCGTTACGTACCTGATCCCATTCAAATTTATCTCGATTATCCTGTTCAGTTAATTTCCTTCGTATAGGAATATTCAGCACTAACTGATTCAAATTGACTAAAGTTGAACGGTTTTTGTTGACACTCATCTTCAACAGAATATTAAAACTCATGAAGGAAAAAGAATTTCAAATGACAATAGCTAGCAACAGATGGTTTCCATCTGGTTGAAAATAAACCATCGTCTGTCTTGCACATCATCGATGGTGCATTCAAGAAAAACTTCCGACGAAATAAATCTAGTAGGTGAATCGAACGTTTCATCTTCAACAGCAAAAAAATAACACCGGAAACGCTCAAGTGGTTAGTAACAGAAAGGGAATTATTAAGTTAAATATCATTATGTTTGCTGGAAACTGTCAAAAACGGTAGATGGCGTTCATTACCGAATAAACTTTAATAATATCAATCGATCTTTCAATCAAATGTGTCAAAATGTTTTCTCTTTCATTTTCTCGATATATGTGAAACACGTACATTAAGATGTCTGTCTCAATCAACATCATCTGTTAGTTTCCTTCGCAAGTGTTAGTTCATGATTGATATATTTCTTTCATAGACTAGAAAAACAACAGAACCGGGACAAGAAAGCTAGAAGACTAACACATACATCTGACATTTAGAAAAGACAAATCAAGAATTCGAACGATTGCCAGCGAGTTTTTAACGTAGATCGGTGTGTCCTTTACTAATTGCTGAAAATTTGCGCCCAGCGGACATTGTCATTGAATGACCAGCAGATGGACTGAACATTTGAGATGATGGACGTGGATGAATAGTTTTTCTACATGTTAGAATATTGACGAACGTTTGCCGAAATGTTCGACTAAAAATTGTATAAATAATTGGATTGGCACAGGATGAGCAATAGCCAAGCCATGTGGCCACTGCCGCTAAAAGTGGATGAATATCCGAAACGAAGCAAGAGATAAGATTAATAACAAAAAACGGTGTCCATAAAATAACAAAGATAGAAAAAATAATAAGTAATACACGCATTGCTTTACGTTCATTGGTTGCACACTTTTTCACAGAACTTTTAAATCGTTGACGTTTTTTTCGCTGACGATTTGTTATTGTATTTGCCGTACCTGCTATAGCAGATTGAAGTTGAGCGGAGTGATAGGTGAGACTAGATGTGCACGACGATGTGTCGTCGGTGTCTAGTGAAACCATTTGGAAGCTAACTTGGGAGACGATATCTTTCAGGCGGGGATGAGCGCGACGTATAGTTCCTTGAAGGGATGATGAACCTAAGGAAGATGACGTACTTGGCCGATTATATCGAGAAGAACGAGACGCTAAGATTGATGATGTTAAAGAATAAATACTTGCACGTTTACCAACAGCGAAGTGTTGCACAGATGGTACGTGATCGTCGACAAGTAAATGTTGCTGCGGTTGGAATGTGGTATTTGGTGTTGATGTCTGACCATACAGTTGTTCGATACGAGGGAAATGTTTTTTAAGACGAGTTAAGGGTGGAAAATTTTGCTTTGGACCATTTAATATTGGAGTATTTTCAGTGATATTGATAGCTGATGCACACCGTAGAGGAATTTGTGTTTGATGTAGATTATTCAGAGTAGTTGACGATGCTGTTGTGATGATCCAATCTTTAATACGTTGACACGTTACATCAATGGTCGAATGATGCTTTTTGCATTCCGAGTGATCATTCGACAGGCTAGTATGAGGACTGTCATGTGTAACGAGAAGATTTGGTACAGGTAAATTCGATGTCGATGTTTTCCTCTCATTGGTATCAAATATTGGTAATCGAATATCAGCACTATTTCTATACGGAAGAGGAAATATTCTTCTTTTATTTCGCAAGTTAATGAACTTACGATCGTCGACGTCGTTTGGGGTTAACAGTGAGAAAAGACGTGGGAATAACAATCGGTTGATTGACACTTGCTTCCGCAAGTAATTGAGCTATAGTTGGTGTTTCTTTATCTGTTCGATCATAAGGCGCCGGAACTGAAAGTGAAGCTCGTTTACTAGAAGGATCAGCATTGGATGCAGATGCTGATAATTGAGCAGTTAGATTAGCTAATTCTTCACTGATTTTCGCCGAATTACGACGGATTTGCAAGAGTGTATGTACAGACGAACTCCGCCGTCGATTTTTACGCGCATTTTTCGCATCCAAGAATGGCGTACACGAATGCGAACGTCGTGTAGGTGTTTGTAAGTTATTCGGAGTACTCACATTTAGATGTTGATTTGACATTTGATCAGCTACAAAGAAAAACAGAATGCATTTTCTAGTTTTTCGATGCCTATTTTAAGATCTATGCTAATAGAGCTTATTCCTTTCTCACTCAGACCATATCGGAAATGTCTGTCCCGGAACGATTTTGTTAATAGATTTCTAATGTTTTCTTCTATTCTTACGAGATTTCTCTCGACGCATATGGATTCGCAACGATGGAGCACGTTGCGGATATTCATCTAGACGTTGATGAGAAATAAATATTGATTTTTTTGGTTGTTCAGCCATCAATAGCGACGATGAACGTTTTCGTTGATAATTTACTGGTAATTCCTTTTCTACTGCTACCGATCCATGATTTGAATTCGTCGTTGACAAAGACGGTTTGTCGTCTGGTATCTCGACTGCATTCACTGCTCGTTTCCATTTGACAGCCATGGCAGCGAGATTAACTACAGCACGAATCTTTTTTCGTCGTTTAGTACGCTCTCGTTTGGTCGTATGAGCTTGCTGCAACGCTGTCATTGTCAATGCATATGTTACAATCATGATAATCAATGGAATGAAAAAAGCAACAAATGAACCATAGATTTTGAATGTTCGATGAGTAGGAAAGCACGCGCGTGTCTTTTCATTATACACATTCGATGAATCGATTAGAGCCAAAATAAATAATGGCAGACATATTGCAAATGATATTATCCAAATTGTAATGATCTTATATGTCACTAAACTCCGACGTTTATTTCGTCCGTATTTCAACGGATATCGTAGTGTTTGATAGCGATTCAATGACATAACACTAAGCAACAAGAAATCAGATTTCATTAATAACAAATGACTTACAAAATCAAGTTTGTTGGTTACCTCATATGCCATATCGATGATGTACAACAGCAAACATCAAACGTCAACCAAATATTACATGTTAAAGAGTCAAATGGAAAATATCCGATAAATTCCACAGCGACAGCAATTGGCATAACAAGACATGCAACGAGACAGTCAGTGATTGCAAGTGACGTTAAAAAATAATTAGTTGTATTTTGTAAATGTCTTTCACGTAGAACAGCTATACAAACAAGACTATTACCACCGACAGTGAATATAATAACTAGAAGAGAAGCATAACATAAAAAAGAGAGTTATTTTCTTTGATTTGATTAGATTAGATCTCTGCAAATGATCGGACATTCCTTTGAATGAAAGTTACAAATCTTATGTGAACTTTCCGGGATGGGAGAGTTAGTTTAATAACTAATATGATGTTCATATCAATCTTTTCCTTTATACAATAATCATGATTATTTCAAAAAGCAGACATGGCCTTCAGGCTTTGAAGATATTTACGTATGACATTTCTTATCCTTTTCCATTCTTATTATTATGAAGACATTTGCTATTTTTTCTCGAAAATTGTTCTCTGATCTCAAATGTTTTTTGTTGATGAACTTGAAATACACTCGGACGACACGCATACTCACTGCTAATTAAGGATAAACTAATCCATATTGGTTGAAATTCTTGTGAGAAATCGGACGAGTTTCTCGTTCTATTGTCAATATCAGATAAGTTCGAATGATCACTTGTGATTAACATTCTAGAAAAAGAAAACAACAAATCAAATTCAATCAGTCGACGAGAATTTACTCGTAGAGCTATCATATATCATTCTTGTTGACAATTAGGAAGTGTTGCATGCGTACGAAACATTTTCTAATTGTTTCTTATTTATAGAAGTCAAAATGAATCGAGAGTATTAAACATGGTAACGTGCCGTTGTCCAATCTACTCGGTTTTTGATAGTGTGTCGTTTATGTCAAGAATATTTACTGATAGCATGTATTGAAACATCGGCAAATTATCTTCTATTTTCTTCTCTCTTTCATTCACAATGCAACGGAAAAGAGAAAGAGAAGGAGGAAGAACAAGAGAGAGAGAGAGAGAGAAACTAGAGCAACGGGATGATCATTTTCTTCTTCTTGCATAAAAAATAGAAGGATTTCCTTGGGTAAAACAAGCGAATCGAATTGAAACAAAACAAAAAGAAATATTTGCGTGAGAAAGAAAAAATATTTCTATATTAATCTGATTGTCTAACACTATCAATCAAAATCAACATATTCTCAAACACTAACACAATTCATGTGAATGAAATCGCTTCTCATTGGTCAGTCGATTCGATTGTCCAGTGAGTTTCATCGAATTTACTATTTGAGATGCATATCTATGCAAAAATTTCATCAATATCCATCCCGTTTGTTTATTATTATCTATTCCATACTGCTTAAAGGCAGGGAGAAAAAAAAACTGACAAATGATGAATACTCTTTCCATATCGTAATTATATAGATGAAGTTGAAGATTAACGTACGAACTTTCCTCGATAATAATACGTGTCAAGTGCATAATTCTTATACATATCTATCGATATAAATAGTGTGGGAAGAAGAAAGATACCAACCGTAAATGTCATATATAAAGTCCAGAATTTCAAGAGACGATCAATTTAGCGACAAGCTACGACCTGACTAGAATGCAATGAACTAGAAGGGCAAAATTAGAGGAAAAATCCAGCTAATTCTCGTGATAGATAATAAACACAGACGATGTCTAATCAAAGTGTATTTTTTCATCTAACAATATACTTGTCTTGTTCAATGACAGTTGACAGACGTGATGATAGAAAGAAAAATGATCGAGTCTTGAAACCCATCTGAATTAGTCCGATGAAAAGGAAAGAACATTAGAAATGACATTGACAATAATAAAACGAAAAATACTCACTGTTTATTCTTAGTCAAGGTTCTTGACTAAACTGATAATACATCGAGCAAAGGATATGTATGTATGTATGTTTCTTATCGATATTTAACTGCACAGATGATCTGTAAACATCGATACCGATCGATGATAACAACATGCAACTGTTATGTTCGAGCAACTGAAGTAATTGTTAGAGCACGAGAGACGCTCAAATGCACATTCGAAGAACAAACGACACGAGAATGAGAATAGTATTTTTACTCGTGGTTGTCTTTTTCTCCTCCTCCTTCTCATCTTCCCGCTGTTGATCTTTAAATTTTGAGCATACACGCACGGAAAAGACCTGCTCTCGTGTCATCCCTCTATTTCCTTTGTTTGATGATACGCATACATACATGTAAATACCATTCTAAATTATAGTAATATGCTCATTTTTATCTTTGTTTGATCTCGGCGTATTTCTATTGGAAAAACTCAGAAGAAACAAAAAAAAAGAACGATGACAAATGTCGATGATATAGTACATGCATAATAATTACTAATATAATGTTTTTTTCATAAATAGCTAGTGAAACTCAGAATGATTATATGGTAACATAAGAATGTATCATCGCATTCAATTTCATAACTGTATTTATGCTTTGATTTATATACAAAACAATTGAACAGAAACGTTCTTTGATCGAATATCGAACAAGATATCTATTCATGACGAAGTGATGTTCTACATAGAAATATGAAAATGAACAAGATTTAGGCAGTACGTATAAGAGGACCAACGATAGTTTCGCTGGTTAAATTGACAATTGGTTTGAAAGGTGGACCAACAGGTTCTCCGAATCGATAATAAGCAGGTGGTGCACTATGTATAACAGGCACACCTGTCGCACGAACAATAGATGGTTGCGGTAGTGCACCGACGATTCGAAGTGTGGACGGTGGTCGATCGTATGGTATTACACGTTGAGTGAGATATTGCGAAAGCAAAGATGGTTCTGTTCGAGGACTGTACGGTACCGGTGGTAGAACTGGTGGTCGGAATCCGTATGCTGGTCCGAGCATTCGTTGACCACCAATAATTGGATTTCGCATGTTTATTGTTTTGCTGCTGAGATTAGTTCCTATATTACCGTAGCCAGACTTCCTATATAACAAAGCGGCACCTAGAAATAGAAGCGCTGCTAAAAATTCTAAGATTATTGTTGGTACCATAAGCCAAAAACCATAACGTTTATTGTAATAATAATCTCCTCGTACATTCGAATAGTCATTCGATTGTCGCCCGAATATTGGTAAACCAATAACAAGAAAAATAAATGCCATTATAGCTAGAGCTGCTGCTAAGTACGCCAAAAGAGGTAATATCGCAGCCGCTATTGCTGTTGCAAGACCTAATGAAAGTAGAATCATTCCAGTTGTTATTAAACCTTGTGCCGTGCTGATAAAATTCGGTCGAGTTCCATTGAAGACTTGCGCTTCAGCCGTTGACCAACGTTGGCAAACCGTATTATACAAAGGTGTTTGTTCTTGACAATATGCCCACAGACCATAATACTCTGTAATAGAGCCACTGTAACGTTGGAATGTATGCCAGTCAGGTACACCAAAACCGATCCATCCTAATCAAGTAGAATTATCATACAGCAAAGAAATAGCAATGACTTTATTTGTCTAGTTCATACCGAGAATGAAAGCAATCAATGAAAGAAGAATTCCGAGAACCAGTAAAGCTTTCCATCTACTCGAAGCGTCCATTAGAAATAATATCCTATTTTACTAGATGAAAGAAAGGGAGAGAGAGAGAGAGATAGGGGGGACTTGATATATGTTGCCTGATTGTAACTATATGTGCGTGTCGTCACTTATATTGACAAAAAACTACGGAATAATATAAAAATCAATGTAATAGTACGTTAGAAAAAAAATTGCCAAGGAGAAACCACAGACTACTAATATGCAATAGTCATTCATGCATGTCGAGCAGTATATCAACAAAAACAAAATATAATATATCTAGAAACAATACTTTAATGAGAAAAAAAAAACCACTAAGAATTGTTTTTCCCTCGTGTTATGATAAGTATTAGATAGGTGGAAAAAAATATATAATATTTTGAGCCACCATAGTATAGTCAAACGAAAAACAGCCTTCACTAGTCATATTATTTCGTACGATAAGTAATGGTAGCCTTGACGAGAAGAACGTGTCTATCGCATACTATATGATTAATAATTAAGTTACCTTAAAGATAAACAAGAAAAACCAGTACTTTGGGCAAATCTTTACGAAATATATCGTTCGATATGAATTACAAATTACTCTGACCATTTCTTTATGTACAGAGAGATATGCAACTATCAAGCACGACACTAAATGTCACAGAGTTCTTTTGCTTTCCGCTTCGAACAACAACAGGTAGGTATTTTCGTTTTTCAAGGTTATTCTTAATGGCTAATAATATCTATTTAATTAGATCCAAGAACATGTTAAATGTGTTTTTCTGTGACAACTCACATATAACTTAAAACGTAAAATCTCAAATGTATCGAGCAGATTAATCATATGGTATCTACTTTGTGCATGAATATAACTTAGATGAACGAAACAAACTTCTACTAGCTATACTTCGGTTAATCTTCAGCGTCATCTATCGAACTGTTCAGTACATAGATAATTCTCATTCGTCAATGGAAAAAAAAGCAGATGATACTGACGAGCAGATTGATTTGGATTTGATTTAATAATCGTGACTTTTAGCTTAGCCATGGATAATCGTCGACAAGCTCGCATTCATAGGTAGAAATCTTCTCTTTTTTTTCATAGCACTTCTCATCAAAATCTTCTCTTCTCAAGATTTCGACCCGCACTGATCACACAAATCGATGATGCATTACCTGATTACATGAATTTGATGGGCATGATCTTTTCGATGTGTTCATTAATGCTTAAAGTAAGTTATTCTGTATAATGAAAGAATATCTCAAGTGAAATTTTCAGATCAAATGGTGTGCATGGATTGCCATTTTTGCTGGTAAAGTCATTTGAACAAATCGTTCATTTCGAATGAATCATTTCCTTTCGTTTAGCATTAGTCGGTTTCGCTAATTCTCGTACTACAGACGATGCCAAGCAAGTTCTCAGCAGTTTTATGTATGTCCAAACGATTGTGTAACATTTGCTCACTCATCAAATTTTGTTTTCAGGCTGTCAATCTCTGCAGTTGTTGTTACTTATATGCAAAATCCAGCACCGATGACAATACCCTTTATGCAGTAGAAAATACGGCTGTTTTTTTTATGCTACATTCATTTATCTGTCTGTTTATTTTCCAGTAGAAATAAACGAAAAATAAATATTGTGTTTTGTGTGTCTGATTTTGTTTTCTTTCGATTATTGATCCGGTCCACCGAGGAAAATAGGCGAAGCTAATAGTTGATTTAGTGTATTTTCCAAATTCTGTCGAGCTTTCTTGTTCTGTGATTGTAAAAATCGAACATTATTTCGCAATGTACGTTGTTCATTACTTTCATTTCGGTTCCGTCGATGAACTTGTTCGCTTAATTCTTGAAATTTCACCGACTCTCGTTCGAGTTCATTCTGTAATTGTTGACATTCACCTTCTAAGGTATTAATCTTCGCTTCTAAATCCTTCTTTTCTTGCAATCGATATAAATTTTGTCTCATACCATATGCCATGCTGCTTGGATATAATTCTTCGTAGGTATTCATCCATTGTGTATATTCATTTTTAACTCGTTCGAGGAGAAGGCCACGTTCGAGACAATGAACTTTGGTAATGCGAATCAATTCATTGAATAGGTCGTCATAGATCCGACGACGTTTCGGACAAAGGCCGACTTCTAATGCGTAATCATTGTAGAGTAATTTGTCAAAATATTCTTCTAATTGTTTTACATCTTCATGTGTACTTGGAACAGAAGATGGAATGAATGATTGATCCTCATGACGACCTAATGTTAACTGAATTTTACGATTCATCTCGTGTTGTGTTTTATTAGTTACTAAATGAGTCTGCTTTCAAACAATACGAGAAAGGTAGATTGTACTGTTGACTAAAGATATCGTTGTCAAGTAATACATTGAAAAGAGAGAAATTTATGTTTTCATTTCGATTCAGATGTCACAACGAAAGCAGCAAACTGAAAACTTTTCTCTAAACGAAGATCTGATCATGTTAAATAAACCCTTCGAAAACCGCTATACAAATGAAAATCAAGAATATCGCCAAATGGCTGAATCACGTTCAAAAACGCCTCCTATATTTGATGACTGGAATAATCATCGATCTCAATCTCGTCACAACTATTCGCGTGATCATCGTTATCGTTCAGAATCTAGTCGAAGTCCATCGTCATCCTATTCAGCTCAACGTCGATAAAACTATACTATTCATCAACCAATTAGATTCATGCATATGTAGGCCAATGTAACCTCATCATTGTGTCATGAAATTATCAGATGAAAATGCAGATATTATCTGTTACTTATTAATGCTTTGTAAAATCCCTGAGATTCCTATTGTTAATCAAGATAATAGAATGTCTTCGTGCTACTATTCATAATTTAAAGTACCTCTTAAGAACGAACAAACAAAAAAAATGCATTTATTTTCACACAAGCGTACGGCTATGGTCGTTAGTAAAATGAAAAAGAAAGGGACGGGCTTGTTTTTTCCTCTCTGATTAATCAATACAACATTACATATAGGATATCCACTGTGCTTTTATTCGATTATATCGTCGTAAATAAAGTCAACTAGAAAAACATGTTCTGCATATCAGTCCGCATGGAAACTGTGTCTGCAGAGATTGTCAACACGACGTTGTTAATCGACTTAAATCTTTGTCGATAATTAGCTCGCATATTTCCGTCTCATGAATAATTCGTTCTGAAGAAAACTCTTTGCCAATCAATACATTCAATAAACAATCTATATCATCAGAAATAAATCTTCGGAACTTTGTGACAATGAGATAATGTTTACGTTTTTCTCACCCAATAAGAACAACAACAAATCAATAGGAGGATATCTAGGTCGTAATTAGCAAATGAATTCTCTCACATTGAAAAGGATCTAAAAAAGGAAAATCATATTTATTCAAGTGAATAATTCTTCTGATCGATGAATGCGCTCTATTGATCTGAAAGGATGGTTGTCTCTCTGTCATAGATAATATCCGAAAGTGCGTACCATTTCCGTAAAATTGATCTGGATAAAAGCGTCACGCTTTGCCACAAAACTCCCTGCGACATGAATGACATATTTTTAACGAGAATTTAAAAAAAGAACAGCAAGAATACTTCTATTTCAATGGCAAACTTGCTATAAATATAACACCACCGTTTTTAATTGGTAGAACAAGAAAAGCAATCGTATTAACAATTTATGACGTATATTTTCAATGTGCGTCCTTTGTTTGTATTTTGTTTAGTTATGTACATATTGATTTGTAGTTTGAAGTGCTTTTTCCTGAATATTGAATTATTCTTCATTTATTTGTTTATACATTGTTATCTTAATTTCATTTTGACTTTCAATATCGATTGCCGAATGGCCTTTTCTATGTGTTTTTGACAAGTTCGGAAATACCAATAGCTATTTAGCGTATTGTTCAGACGAATCTCGCGCTATTCTATTACCCGCCATCAATGGGCAGCCTAAAGGGCTTTTAACTGAAATGGATAGAAATCTGATCGACATATTCGGAAATACTTGGACAAATTTAATCAATAATGATTCTTATTCTTCGAGACAAAAATAACGAAGTATCGCTGGTGTTAAGATTTGATTTTCATCGTTATGTTTGGTAATCAAATTCTTCTGCCTGATCACGAATGATTTGTCAGCAGCGAATGAGAAATAATGCCGTATATTAATCGTTCTCGCGCACATAAAACGCAAATTTTAATTAAAATAATCATCTCGAAATAAATGTAATCAAAAAGATCTTAGACAATTTTAGTCTTTGTCTTCTATTATTAATCAAACAATAATTCTGTACGAGCACGCAAACACTTCCTTTTGAGAAAAGAAAAGGTCTGAAAACAAAACGTAATTTGCCTCGCTTTTTCTTCTTCTTCTTCATGAATAACATATTTTCTAATAAATAATAGGCAACGTATTTCTTTTGACTTTTTTTTTTCTTCTTCTTCTTTTACGTTATAAAATTTAATCAATAATCTCGAGTAATACTCCAGAAGGAAAAGAACTCTTCTAAAACAATCTAATTATATCATTCTAGTTTTTCTTTTTTTTACCGTTCATTGAATAATTCGAGTGTTGCAGCGAATCTTACACGAGCATATCGTTCTGAGATATCACCCGATAAGAAAATGGTCTTGTCTCATTCTTGTGCAGTTCTTTTCATTAACAATTCCATTTCCATAATAAATGTGCTGTTCAAAACTAAATGACATTTTCTAGTTTTACACAAGAAAAAAAGGTAAAAGATACTAGGGGGACTTTTCTTTTGAGACTAATTACAAAGTTATTTCTTCGTTTCAGTCACCTATTTCGAAAGAAGAAAGAAAGGTCTTGAAATTGATTAGCGTAAATCTCCTAATTAGAAAGTTGAATAAAATTCGATGTCAGATTGCATCTGTCTGTGACAATGTAATCATTAAATAAGATAATGAGAAAAAGAAAAGGGTCGGTATGGACTATGATGATAAAATAAGCTTGATTATTACAGATTACTCGCACTTATCCATGTGTTATCAACACAGTTCATTTGTAGTTGTGAAAAGTACTTGGTAGACTTTCGGGTTTTTTTTTCTCTCTTCACTTTTCTTCCTTTTTTTATGTTGCTTTTCCCTTTTCTCTTTTGAAAGCGTACGTGAGCGACCAAGCGAGCGTGATTATTGTTAAAACTTGTCAATAACGGGCGACAAAAGGAAGATAAAAGAGAGAATAAGAGAAAGCGAAAGAGAGGGAGGAACGCAAGAGGAGAGACGAGAAAGTCGATCGCCTATTCTCGTTATCATCATTGTCGCTCGTTGGCTTGTCTTCTGTCGACAAGTTTACTCAATTCATTTCTTCGTTTTCTTTCTTTTTTTTAACAACTAATATACGTGTTATCCTAGAATTTTTCGATGTCTCTTTGTACGACATATTTCATAAAAACTAATTCGGATTAGTGGTAACGTCTTGGGAAGAAATACGTGCGAACCGTATGTGTGTCTATATGTGTACGCATATCTGGAATCGTCGATGCTCGTCGTGTCATTGTCAGAGACAATCTCATTAGTCATCATCCTTATTTTGATTGTCTACGAAATCGACAATGGTGATTGCAATCAGGATGATAATTACCATAATTATCCACCGAAGTTTCGTGCTCCACATAGTCCATCTTACGAGTATATCTACATACCAGGTAAGAGAGTTGATTTAACTGCGGAGAACATCTGTCGTTTCCTTTTTTAAGGAGATATTTTACTTGGTGGCTTTTTTCCAATTCATCAACCACCATCGAACGATTTGGGATCTATGCAATGTACAGCGATTAAACGAGAACGCGGTATTCAACGTCTCGAAGCGATGCTATTCGCTCTCGATGTAGTCAATACTCGATCGTCAGGTTTAATGTCAACCGTACTTGCTAATAGTAATATTCGTTTCGGTGCCCTTATCTACGATTCCTGTGATTACGAATCCTATGCTGTTGAACGTGCCTTCAATATGCTCTTGCCATCGGTTCATCAGTGCATTCGATTGCATCATCGTAATGAATCGTCATTGATAGCTGGTGTTATTGGCAGTGCATCAAGTATTGTCTCAATGGCAATTGCTGATATTCTTCGTTTAGCTGAGGTAGAAAAAAAAAACGTTTTGTTTAGATTGAAAAATCCCATCGAAAATATCTTCTCCTCATGGAAATATTTTATTGATTAAATTTACACTGAAAGATTCTCGAGAGAAAACAAAACTCACTCCTATCGATTCTCCCTGAAATATTTCGCTAGATAATAAAATCCTGCCTATTGACTAAACTTATTAATAAATTAAAGTAGATTTTCTTCTGGTTGACTTCAAGTCATTCTTTTTTCTTTTGTTTTTAATAGATTCCACAAATATCTTATGCATCAACAAGTACAGAATTGAGTGAAAAACCACGTTTCCAGTTTTTTTCTCGGGTTGTACCACCGGACACATATCAAGCTGAAGCTGTAAGTAGGCATTTTCTTCTTTCCATTATTTACACATGTAATTTTCTTTGCCTTGTTCAGGTAGTCAGTATTATTCAGTTCCTCAACTGGACGTATGTTGCTGTTATTAAAGAAACTGGCTCCTACGGTGAACGTTTGACTGATGATTTTAAGACAAAACTAAAAAATAAAAGTATTAGCAAGGCAGAAAACAGACTTATCTGACAGGCGTTTTTCTTCTGTTTAGCTATATGTGTCGCAGGAGAATTATCTGTTAATGTTAAAGATGCCAATACTTATGTGCGTGTCATTCGCGAACTCTACGAAGATGAAAAATATCGTTTCGTTGTTGGAGTTATCATTTTTGCTCAAGAAGATTCTGTTAGGTAAATGAATTTGATATAAAGAAATCTCAATCAAAGAAATCATCGTTATAGACAAATACTCAATCAGACAGCTTCGAAAAATGAATTAAATGGTCGATGGGTTTTTCTCGGAACGGACGGTTGGGGAAAGAAATGGTACCCCGTAGAAAATTTTGGACGTGCAGCTATTAATGCTATAACTATCGCACCAAAATTATATCCTATAGCTGGTAAATCAGATTGAACACGTTTTGATCTTATATCTCTTTGTAGCCTTCGATGAATATTTCACCAAGTTGATTCCGTCGAAGAACACACGAAATCCCTGGTTTATTGAATATTGGGAAGAAACCTATAAATGTAAATTCCAACATTCTCCCAGCACAATCTTCAATCAAAACTATACACGTTCTTGTTCCGGTGTGTACTAAATCAGGTTTTTATGACATCGATGATGATTGACAAAAGCTTTTCTAAAAAAAACAAATGAGTTCCTAACCTTGATTACTTCGACATAACACGACTAAGTCTCTCTTCGATGTAGAAAACACAATGTCATCTCGATGTAGTCAGTAAATATACAGATACGTACGCATCGTTCATGTCAATGTTTCTCTGAATTACTTACACATCTTCACACAGATAAGAATGACTTATAGTGTCAGGAAAGCGAATATTTCCGGTCATGTTAATCATCATGCACTCTCAAACGTTCTATCTTATGCAAATACTGCTTTTGATGACAGACAAAGACGCTCTCGCTCACTTTTGTCTGCCAATTATTTTCAAATGATAATCAACTCATGTTATTTCGAGATTGAATTAAGTGATATTTATAGAAACCATCATTTCCTTTGATATTTCTTAATTAAATGATAAAAATTTGCTTTTTTTTCTAATCTAGATAATTACAGTACATATGCGAATTTATCGGTTCACTATTTTCAAGAAGGTTACGTTCATTACGTCGTCGATGCGGTGTTTACTCTTGTAATCGCGATCAAGAAACTAATTGATGAAAAATGTTCCAATCCATCCAGACACAAACCTTTATGTAAAGAATTTTATCCATTCGATGGCACGAGACTACTTTCAGTTTTACGAAATGTTACCTTTCGAAATGGTAACATTCGTTTTTATCGAAGAAAACGCTTTTTTTTTGGAAACATACTTCTAGATTTATCCAAACGAAGTATCAAGTTTACACCGAATGGCGATGGAATCGGAACATATGATATATTTCAATATCAAATTATTGATTCGAATAATAAACTGAATTACCGAACAATTGGTGAATTTAGTGATAGTGATCAAGTTAATGAAAGGTCAGTTGAAATAAGAGAATATGAGATCGATTCCGCTTCTCTCGGAAGCAATTGCTATGATGAATTAAGACGAACTACGACATTTTTGTAATGTTAGAAGAAATGCAATCTCTAGAAGTGCTCAACGCTTATTCTTAGATCGAACTTGTCATACAGACTAATGTCAAAAATTTATTGACTAATGAGCTTTTCTTGGCAGAAAAAAAATCTTCAGCCGGTAATGGTGCCACTTGTTAAATGTGTTTATATTGACTAATACTTGAAATAAACAGACAATCTATAAATGTCTTTTTGTGTATAACTCAATAGTTATTCTCTTGAAAGCGATGACGTCTTCTTTATATTCTCTGTTGTTTGCTGTATGTCGACTATGACCTGACGAGTCTATAACATGATGAAAGAGGAGAACCGGGGCTTGTCTGGAATTCATTTTCATTAGCTGAATTCAATTGATTGCATCGTTGAATTTCTGATTGTTTTCTTTTTCATAGAGTTCGGATAGATTTAAACACGCTGAAATGGTTTAAATATTATCCACAACATTTAACTTGGTCAGAAATTGATGTCACACCTCGATCATTTTGCAGTGAACCATGTCGTCCGGGTGAAATACGCACCAGTACCGATTCTCAACAATGCTGTTGGACGTGTCGTGCATGCGATTTTTATCACATCGCTGTCAATGAAACTCTGTGTATTCCATGTGCTGAAACCGAAATTCCCAATACAAACTTTACGCATTGTGTTCCATTACAAGAACAGTACTTATCCATCAAAAATGGCATAGCGTGGCCAGCAATTATCCTTTCATCGATTGGTCTTCTCATGACAATTTATACAATTGTTATCTTCATACGTTTTTCTGATACACCAGTTATTAAAGCATCGTCGCGTGAATTGAGTTATTTTCTTCTATTCGGTATTTGTGCATGTCATCTATGTGCCTGGCCGCTTGTTCTTAAACCAACTGCAATAACGTGTTTTTTCATTCGTATTGGTGTTGGATTGAGTTTAACAATATGTCTTGCCGCATTGTTAACAAAAACGAATCGTTTAGCACGAATTTTCAACAATAAGCAACGCGTTCAACAGCCATCATGTCTTTCTCCACGTTCTCAACTAGGCATCTGTGCTGGCATTGTTAGTATTCAGTTGATCGGCGTTCTCCTATGGATAGTTCTGTCTCCGCCTGCTGCTCTTCCAAAAACTGAATCGAAGCATAATCAAAGAAGTTTACTTGTTCTTTGTCGAACCGATAGTGTTCACATTGCTGGTTCACTTGTCTACAATATGTTACTCGTCATCTCATGTACACTTTATGCAATCAAAACTCGACAAATACCTGAAAATTTCAATGAAGCCAAACACATTGGTTTTGCCATGTATTCTATATGTATCATTTGGTTAGCTTTCATCCCGATCTTCTTCGGCCTTCGAAGCAGTGATAATTGGTTTCGTGTAAGTTAATTTTGTCATTCTCGTAAATGTCGAATTCGTCTTTTTCTTTCTCTTTCAAGATCCAATTCGTTACTCTTGCTATTTGTTTAAGTCTATCAGCGACTGTTATACTTCTATGTTTGTTCGCACCGAAATTATACATTGTTCTTTTTGATCCGTCCAAGAATATTCAGTCAAAATTCAAAGCCTCCATGACAGGAAAGAAGCTTCCTCCGATCTCAGCAGCAGCACCATCATCAGCAGCAGCGACAAGTCAATCGAAAGAAAATAATCATGTTAACAAAGTAGTAGTAACAACAACTGCGAATACACGTCAACGACGATTGACACCATCGGAATATACAACTGAAGTGACGTTTTGCAATTCCAAAGCAGGAAGTTTCTCTATGAGTATTCACGAAGAAATGACGCAAACTGATAGTTGTAATGAACAAAGGGCGTTAATCAATGGTATATGCACAGATATGGATCGACAAGAAACGCCTCCGAAGGATGATGAAAAAACGGATTTAATAGCGAAACCCAAACAAAGATTAAGTGTCAGTTATTTACAATGTTCATCGAGTCGACGCAATTCGACAAGTCTATTACTATCCAATGAAAATCCATGGAAAAGAATGAGTAATGTTCGATATAGACTTGAAAAACCAGATGAAACAAAGCAAGATTCATCGAATTCGCGACATGTCTGCGAACAACATATCACCTTCGTTTAGATCGATGCTGGCTTTTCTTCGAATGTCATTTATTCTCTCTCTCTCACTCTCACTCTCTCTTTCCTCCTTTGTGTATCAATAAAGAACGACTGAAATCATCCGAATATCATCAGAACAAAAAGCCTTGATGTTAATTGAGAGAATCGATCAATGGCAAATGATCGTTGATGTGTCTTTCATTAGAATGAATCAGCTTTGTTGATTTTCTCGATAGTTTAAATAAACACACACCGAATGATTATTCATTGTTGTTGTTAAATATTCACCAAATGACAATTCTTTTTATAGATTTTTAATGCATTCTGTTCTTGAATTATAAAAACAAGGCGAATCAACTCCACCCGTTAAAAAATCGCTATTTCAGCAATAAGAAAGACTTACAAGAGAACATCGACTGAAATAATGAAAACAGAAACTAGCCAGCGAAAGCCTATCAAACAAAAACGAATTCCTTTCTTCTATATATACAACGAATGTGAAGAATGCATTTTTTTGTCCACATATTTCTCTGAATTCTCTCACTATTTCTCTTCGCAGCTACCACATAACGATTGTTTTTATTACCTTCTTTTCTTTTTTTCTTCTTTCTCTCTCTCTGGTTTACTCTCTTATTCTTTCGCAGTTCTCCTATAAATATTCTGAATTATGTCAGTATGTGGAGTATACTCTCATACATTTCAAATTTGATCAATCATGGGTAACAAGGGCGCAAAGAAAGGAAAACCATCATCTGAACTTACAGCCAAGGGTTTGCATAAATTTCTGCTTTCCCAGCATGCTCTTAACAGTGTCATTCTTTAGAAATTGCCATGCTCAAAGCAAACACCAAGTATAGTGAAAAAGGTTTGAAAGTTCATTTGTATTTTCGTTCTTACGTGCATCATCTCTTATAGAAATTCGTGAATGGCACGCGGTATGTGGTCGATGAGGATATGAACTATAGACATTCGTGTTTTCATTAGGGTTTTCTTCGTGATTGTCCTAGTGGCAAATTGGACAAGAAGAAATTTGTCGAGGTTTACAAACAATTTTACCCTCAAGGAAAAGCTGATTCTTTCTGCAAGTAAGTTACACATCTTCACTATATGTGTTATTAGTCTTCTTTATTTGTAGACATGCATTTGCCACATTCGATTCGAATAACGATGGCACAATTGATTTTGATGAATTTATCTTAGCTATTGCAGCTAGTAGCCAAGGAAATCTGGATGATCGTCTCGAACTTGCATTCGATATGTAAATTAGACGAGATATTTCTCATCTATGAATGTCAAATCGGATATCTCTTATAGGTATGACATATCTGGTGACGGACAGATTGATCAAAAAGAATTGACTACATTGATCTCAGCTATGGTGATTGATTAGTTTTTGAAAAAGTACATGTGTAGAACGAGATTCTTGTTTCAGTATGATCTTGTTGGTGAAACTGATCGTAAAGGCGACAAAGATCCGAAGAAACGGGCTGGTGATATCATTGCAAAACTCGATGTTGGCGGTGACAAGAAATTAAGCAAACAAGAATTTATTGCTGGGTGAGGAGAGACGTTGTTAATGAAATTTCATTGCAATGTTTTGATTGTTTTTTTCTTCTCGTCTTTTTAGATGCAAAAACGATCCAGTCGTTCGTCAACTTCTCGCTCCAAATGCTTAGAATCTTCATAGACAACTGATTAATCGAACATTTCTTTTATTATCATTTTGACATTTTTCATAATAAAAAATACGCTAATGTATTAAAAGAATCTCTCAAAGATTAGTAATGAAAGGATTGATAAACTATGTTGATGAAGCGAGATAAGCAAACGATGTGGACATTGCTCTCATATCTGATGAGAAATAGGAAAATATTTTATTTTTTTTTCTCCTTAACAATTATCTTCTATGGAAATCATGATTGAATAGTACTTCGAAATGGATATACCCCAAACTACGGGAACAAACATTGCGATTCGATTAGCTTGTAAATGTATTACTACTTCTCGTTCGATCACTTAACTAAAGCCAAGATGAAATTAAATTTGTAATTATATGATTGGTTAGATTATTGACGTTCATTGCCTTTTATTTTTCTATTTTTGTCCGGTTTTTTTTTTCTTATTAGATCATATCGTAATTCGATAGTAGGTCTGTTCGAAGTTCATCGACAGATAAAATGCGCACATACAGAACAAAGAAAGAGAAAAGGAGAGAAAATTCAGAATGTTTCACTTATATATTAGCGATTTTGTTTGATCAATGAAGAAAAAATTCGAACTGTTGAGAATTTGAAACTTCGCTCGAAATCTAGTCAGTCAAAATTATTTGATTAACATAGTTTATAATCGAATAAATATATCAATCTTAATAAACAACAATTTAGTTGAGTATATCCTTCTTTACCTTCAAGTATCATCACCAATACAGACAATCAATTAGAATGCATACGCCCTAACGAAGAAAGATTCTTCTTTCGAATAGAAGAAGAATCGATCTTCATCTAGCCACTTTTTCTTATACACGCGTCAATTGATATTCCGAAAGATAAAAATTCTACTTAGTCTAGTCTAATGTCTTGATTCTCCTTTTTTTTTATCTGATATAGTACTGATGATTTGTCATTGATTGGATTATATATCTCGTCTAGAATCAAAACAAACAAAAAAATGTCTCCAGTAAAATCTCGAATAGAATATTCGAAATGAATTCGCTGCAAAGAGGATTCAATGATGTTTTCCGATTATCGAAGAACTATCGTCAACGACTTGAGATCAGTATGTGATATATTCACCTTTTGTTCTGTCTAGTGTGTAAAAGAATTTCCAATGTATTATGATAATCAATTGAACATGAAAGAAAAATTCATCGTTACGACTAGAGACATTGTCATCTTGAATAATTATCAATATTATTGTCATAATGCGATAATTAAGGGCTGTCAAATCTATGGATGAGAAAGTGAGACCTTGTCTTCGTCCTACATTCTGTGACAGACAGATGAGTCTGTTAGGATTTGTAATAAGACTGGGAGGAAGAGTGGAGGTTAGAATCATTGTCCTTCGTCTCGTTTTACACGCATCAGAGCACAAGACAATACCGATCTTTTCCTCATTATTTCATTCATAATTAATATCGTCTCATGTTCAACACTTGAATTTTTCCACTTAGACATCATACTTTTGTCTTGTATTGTTTTTCTGTCATGAATTCAGCCGACGTATGATGAAATTTCGTCACAGATCAAGTATGCGTGTCGATGCAGATCAATAGCAGGGTGTGATGATCTATTCTTGTTCAAGGTTCGACTTAGCCGGATAATGGGAAGACTCAGCTAGTCTTATCATCCTCTGATCTTTCAAATCAGTGTCTTAATTGAGAATATCCATATGTAAATAAATATATGTTGACACTCAATAACAATCCCCCACGAGGAAAACACCTCGAGAGAGGTCATCGACGAGAAAGATCAGCTTTTCCTGTTGCCTACAGGAGATCGATAATGATATAAAACTAAGCTTTACAAGTCATCATCTTTAAGGATAAGAAAAAGCGGGAGTAAATGAAGTTGGTCTTGACAGACGTACTATTAAGAAATAAAACGGATCGCTTTCCTGCGCTAATTATCCGTATTTCCATAAAAACAATAGATATTTCTTTCTTTTTAGAAAAGAAAATTATTAGGTGTGTTCAGGAATTTTTTCCTTTTTTCTCTCATAAACGTTGCGAGTGGGTAGATGAATAACAATAAGACAACTCCATGTCGTTGAATAGAATGTGTCCTTGTTTTGATTTGTCTCGGACAGAGATATTCTCCCTTCTTTTTCTGCTTCTCCTTTCTCGTTTTTTTTTTGATCCGAGATAGGAAAATAAGAATAATCAAAAAGAAAGACGAGACAAACATTGTCGATACAAATGACTCAAGTTAAGGCGGAATGTTATTGCTCCTTCGTCTTCTCTCTTTCCTCTTAGGTTTTTTAAAAGCAGAGTTCTTCTTCACGATTTACTTATTTATATCATCGTTTAGTTTTTCTTCGCTCAGATATATATTCATCTTCATTGATTCTACGACATTCATTCTAGGTTCTATTGACACGACATATTTAGTTTGATAGTGATAAACAAAGTACTTTTTCTACAATTGGAACTTAATTAAAAGATTATGTTCAATGAACGATCAGCAGGAATATCCTCAATTATCAACTACTAATCTAACCATTCGATCCAATGATACCGTCATACCCATACCGACATTATCCTCCACTCTTCCTAGTCAAATCGCATTTGTACTATTTCCTTGTATGGTCTTGACCGGTGTCATTTGTAATACCTTGATATTTGTTATCATGCGACGTCGACGTATGTCTCATCTTTCAACATGTTACTATATGGGTATCTTGGCTATAGCTGATACGAGTGTCTTACTACTTGGTCTGTCAGTCATGTGGATTTATTTTGTTAATCGAAAATGGTCGTTACTATTGCAGTCAACCTATGCTTGTAAATTTCTTTCACTTCTATTCTATACTGTTTCGGATACAAGCGTTTGGATCGTTTGTATGATGTCGGCTGACCGTTGCATCGCTGTGACACGTCCATTACATGCAAGTTCGATATGCACTGTCCAACGTGCTCGAATATCTGTTTGTATACTTGTTTTATGTGTATTGATGATCAACATACATTTCGTATTTACACATTATTTATCATCAGCTAATGAATGTACAATTCATGAGCACTATGAATTTTTCATTCATCGAGTCTGGCCATGGATTGATGCTGCAGTTTATTCGGCCGTTCCATTTATATTTCTCCTAACAATCAATTTAGTTATTGTTCATAGCTTGTTTCAAGCACGTCGTTCAACATCAAGATTACAAATATATCAATCACAACGAAATCGTAATAAAAATAAACTGTCGACGTCAATGTCAAGAAAATTGACAACGATGCTTTTAGCTGTAACTGTTTTCTTTTTATTAACTTCGTTTCCCATGGTTTGTTTACAACTCTATACGAACATCCATCAACAACATAACAGTTTATTTGCACAATCATATCTCAAACCGCTTTGTGAAACACTACAGTATTCAAATCATTGCGTAAGTTGATGCATTTCGGCACGAGCGAGTTTCGACATTTTCGTCTTTTAGATTAATTTTTTTCTCTATGCGATCACGGGTAAAGCATTTCGGCATGAATTAAAACGTCTATTTCATAGTATAGCAATAAAAATGCATCTAGCTGAGGAATCTGTTGACATACCCATCGATCGACGTTATCTCGGACGAACGATGCAGCGCCATATGAGCGACATTACGACAAGTCAACGACGAATTTCAACTGCGACTGTTCAACTTTTACGATGCGGAACATCTCTCGACTTATCGACAAGCAATGGGAACATTAAAAAACGTCATATCTAATCAGAGAGAAAATAAACAAAATCGTTTATGAAATATACGATTAATTATATGTGCTATTCAGACAATCGGATGTCCTTCATCATGCTCTTTGAACCGGTTGTGTCGTTGATTGAGTTGATTTTCCTGTACATGTCATAATGCATATTTCTTTCTATTTAAGCAAATTGAAAAATAAAAACTGACATTTTTCTGTTGCAAATACGTACATTCTATCGCTAGTTTTATGACTTAATCGAGAGTCGACTAAGCAATCGTCCTTAACCAAGGACGCCGAGATTTTCTCGTCTGAGAATGATCACTCAGACAGTCTCTTGCAAACTATTAGCATGTCAAATCTATTCTAAGACTCAACGAGAATATCTAAGGTCATCGAAGATGTGTTCTTTGTCGGTACTCAGTATATAAAAGGCGCGTATGACTTGCTTGATTCTTAATTAATATCATAGAAAATCAGGTTTTTGTCGGTAGGACTAAATAGAAGAGCCGCATGATCTTTAGATTTACAATTTCATGGGTAAAAATGCAGACGCAAACAAACAAGATTAATATCTTGATCAGAAGGATTATTAAGAATAGAAAACGAAGAAAAATTCTTCATCCATATTTGTTTGATAGAAGATTCTTCGTTTTTTTTTGCAGCTGTTATCTATCTAAAAATCACACGATAAATTCCATCATTCATTGGTATAAATATGAGATTGACATGTTGTTTGGATGGTACTAGTCAAGGACAAAATACAAAACTGAGCTCATTCTTTTTTCCCGTTGTATATTTCAAATCGCGGTAACTAACAAGAAAAATAGAAAGTGTTCGTCAAGAGATGAACGTCTTTTTGGTTAATGTCGCACGTTCCTAGAATGACATCGACAGAAAGAGATAAATATATATTGAAGAATTTCGGTAATTACCTTGCCGTCAGGGTTGATTAATGTTGTGACAATATGTGAACCTGTATGCCATGTTGATACAGACGTAGCAATTAGATCATCATTATTTTTCAGTTCAGATTCAAATGCTTTGGCTAAGATCTAAATGGAATCGATTGAAGAGGATCAAAGGATGGATGCCAAGGTTGTGCGGATTACTTTAAGTGAATGATTCGCTTTGAGAGGAGCATGTTCAGGAAATGTGAAATGTATTTTCTCGCCCGTATTGTTTTCTTGACATATTATCCAATTAGTAAGATCAATATTTTTTGACTGACTGGTGTTATCGACAACGATGTAATGTCCTTGCGCATGACATTCAGATATACTAATGGGGCCTTTAGCAGACTTTTGAAATGTTACACGAGATTGAAGTGCTAGAAAAGAAAGATACAAAACAATGAACTCTACTTGCTTATAGTGTTTCAAAAGTTCCCAGAACTAATTGTTATGATATTCTATTGGAAATCTTCGGCTTTCTAATCTACTTTTCGTACGCTCTGTGGGATTAAGTAATATGTGCTGAATTAGTAAGCTTGATTATCATTCTCGCTAAGATACTCTATCTGTTGTTCGGTTACACGACTCTGAATACATCTAAGTATTTATGAATATGGTGGCTTCCTTTCAGGTGACTAAGCTTACCGACGCTCAATCTCGAAGATTCCTTCTTGATTAACTTTTTCTCAATGCATTCGACTATTCGGTAGAATTATTACCTGCCGCAAGCGCTACTCGCTGGCAAGTAATGACTCGGAAATCTCTAAATGCAGGTTAATCGAATGCTATTTCCGGAAACTTTTCGATCACGCAAGTAGATCAAAAGATAGTTCTATCAATAAACATACGTCCATCTGAGTCTTCTGTAGTTGTTGTAACTGTATTGACGTTGTTTAACCAAGTTGATGGTATCTGTTGATTACTCTTTTGAATAGTCAATGACGGCATACTAGTTGGATTCGGAGAACTTGGTTTCGAAAGTAGATTTGACGAAAGATCAGTTTCTATCGATGGGCATAGTTGTGCATCGTTGGGTGTTGATGTCGATAGACGAAATGTAATTTCATCACAATTAATATTCATCGTAATAGGTAATGACACGCCACGTTCACGTTCACAGATCAGAAAAATACTTTCTTCAGGACTTGAACATGTTTTATTTTGTAGTTGTTTGTGTTCCGTCAGCTCCACTTGTTTCTGTGGCCGAGCTATGGATGAGGGACATGTTTGATAGCTATCTGCTTCAGAAATATCAAATGCGAGTTCGTTTGCTGGCTGGTTGAATGCATCGAGTGTGTCTGATCGTAGTGGTATACCTGTAGTTAAAATTTCAGTCGGAATCGAATTCATAGTTTGATCGCGATGAGGTTGGAATGATAGTGGACGTCGTAGAGAATCAGACACTGGTGCAGCAATCTAAAGAATGAAATAGAAAGAAACAGTGATTGTTATATATATATATGTGTGTGTGTGTGTGTTTAGAAACATGATCTAGAACGATAGTCAGCTTCTTCACATGTGCTCTCATCTTTGAACTATTATTTGGTCTGTAATGAGTATGTGTTTATTTAGAAATAATTAATCAAAATATGTCTACCACCTCCCATACGAACGCGATGCGCATTCACATGTGTTCGATATAGATCATAAGCTTGATTAATTTCAAATTGCATGGTACACACCCATGACGAATGAATAATATGTGATCATCTTTATGAGAGAATTTAAGATAAGTTTTGTATCTTACTCGCGTTCTAACAACTCCTTTGGTTTCATCATCTGCATCGTAGTCGATTGGTAAATTTGTATCACCCTCATCTGTTGTTGTTCGCCACAAACCAGGATATCCTGGTATAATATAAACATCATCAAGTTGCTGCTTCGCTAGTGCTGGTGAACTTTCATGGCTCGATGGTGTAGTCACAAGATCATAACGATGATAACGTTCGTCATGAGTACTTATACTACTACTTGTTTCTGTTGTTTTATCACTAATACGATGAATATTTGTTAGGTCATGTTCTTCGAATTCTTCATCAACATCTTCGTCAGTACTACTTGTATCTAAATTTTTTAATCGACATGGCGATGAACGATACAGTCTTCGGTAGAGTATGTCGTCTGATTGCGATGTTAGATTATCCGATGCATCGAGTTCAGTTAAGTCATCGTCTTTGAGTGCCGATCGATGAGCTACAGGTAGTGGTTGGAGAAAAGGTTTTTCTTCTCTAATGGCATAGTTCGGCATGTCTTCTGATATTGGTATGACTGGTAAACGATCTTGCGAAGAATCATGCATTTGATGTATTGCATAAGAAACGTAGCGATCTGAACTGGTGATAGGAGATGATGTCGTTGAACTTGTGGATTTCTCCTGTGGATGAAAATGTTGATCAAGTGATAAGGGTGAAGCAATACTATGACCGCGTAAAGCATGAATTAATTCGAAAGAATTCGGTTCGGTATTTGTCGGAGATATTCGCCCAAGATCAACGGTTAGATTCGGTACAACATTTTCATATTCACTATTCGTTGATGCCTAAATAAGATAAACATAATGATTTTGTCCGCAGTGACACACATGAGTCGACATACCAACTGTTGTAACACATCATTATCAATCTAAATGGAAGCAAACAGCTAGATTAGTTTCACATTCAACATATAATTATCTTACTTCTATAGTTATCGGTTCCAAAACAGCTGGATCTTCACTGATGCGATCAGTTATTTCGGGCTGTGATGAAACCTTTTCGATGATGTTATTCATCACTTTTTGAACAATATTTTCAGAGCTTTGATGATGATCGACAGCAGGTTTCAGTTCAATCTAACGGAAAGAAAGAAGATTTTAATATAGATAAAAAAAAAATAGAATTTTACCATTTCCTTCGTTGCTAAAATATCGGTATTCTCCAGAGTAATTGCACTGGTGGATGACGGAGGAAGTTGGCTGGTGTCTTCCATAGCCAGTTTCTATATTGTACGAATTAGAAACGAGATGAAAAGAATGAACATTACGTACTTTGGAAGTTATTGCTGTGGGACTTGCTCGCTCTTCTGAAGCTAAAGTCGGAGATTTTTCAAAAGGGGCAATCTGTTCGACTTCTTTCAATACAGAAGCTCCAATAGGTACGATCTGGAATTCCGAAGTCTAAATAAAAAATTGTACAGAAATATTAGTTTTGTTTTCAATAGAATTACTTTGTTGATCACTGGTTGATCGCATGCCAAAGAAAAAGAAGTAGAAGACACCATACTTGCAAGTGTATCGTCAACGCTGACAAACGATGGTGTCGCATCGTCTAATCTCTCGTCAGCAATCGAAGTATCCTAAATATACCGATTGAATCATGCTCATACAGAAGAGAGGACATACCGTTAATTCAATGGATGCATATTCAATTTCAGAGATATCTTCTTGACTTCTCATGTCGATTTTGTCGCCAGGTATAACATTTATTTCTAACGCCTCTAAATCTGTTTGGATAGCCGGTGTCGTTGAGCTTGATGCATCATTGATTATAAAGGGCACGTCAGTGTCATTTACGGCATAAGGGGCGAAACCAGTGGTAGTCTCTTCCGACGCATTAGTACTCGCCGATGGAATAACATTGACTGCTTGCATTTCTTCGATAGGCAAAAGAACCTGAAACTGTGGACTTAATTTAGCAATACTCCCTCGTTGTTATCTCACCGGTTCTGCAACTGATGGAGTTTTAACATCGTTAGAATTTCGTTGTTCTGTATTTGCTTCAATCTCATTCAATAGAATTGCTCCTTGTGCGGTTTCAGCTGGCAGTGTATTTGTCGATTCTGTTAAATTTATTGCACTATCATTCAATTGTTCACTGGAGGACGGAGTAGGTGACTTCTACAAAGTTGATTGTAAGAGTACTGGCACTAATGACATACAACTTTCATTACCTTCAAATCTTTCGTGAAAATTGATTCGGCGGAAAGAGTCATTGGTAGATTCTCTTGTTTTTGTGTTGATGAATCGTTCGTTACTGACTTATGATTTTCATGTGTTTGGATAATTTCATTATTTCGAGTAGTATCATACTGGTGAGAGTGATCTGTTTCTTGATCGTTCATTTCCACTGGAGTCTTCATTTGCATGCTTGTTACGACATTCTGGATAGCTTCCATATACGACGTAATCGGTGTCGAAATGGTTTGACGAAGAGCAGTCAAAATAGATTGCTCAATACTTTCAGAATCAATTTCTGGTGGATTCTATTATAAGAAAATAACGCAAAGAAAGCAGATATGCACAAAGATCTTAATAAGTGTTAACGTACTTCTACGAATTGTGTATGATCACCTAAATATCCATGATAGACATCACTACTTATGTAGCGATTACTGATCAGGTCTGACAATCGATCGATGGGACTGACAATTGTTGGCAACGACCGTGGTATTGTGATCGCTTCATCTTCTATGATATTACCTGGTGATATGATAATTTCATTTTGATTTGCTTCATTCTCTGGCACTACTTGAACATCAATTTCTATATTGACAGGACGCTCTTCAGCAGATGAAGCATCCTGTTGAAATAACTCAATTGTGGCGACGAGTTGAGGATTTAGAGCATCGTTCGTGATATCTAGTGGTTCATTTTGACCAATTTGAAAGTCGCCTGAGTCCAGTGAGGTTGTTCGTCGATCAGCAAGTTCTGAAGAACTTGATGATGCTTCGATCGAACTGATCGATTTGATTTGTCGCACACGAAATTTAGTTCGGGCCTTTAGTGGAGCAAGTTGAAGCTTAGCCGTACTGACTTCTGGAATATGCGGTGCATCAGGAATGGTTTCTGCAAGCGGTGGCTGGCTCAATAGATGTTCTTGAACAACACCTTGGATGGCGGAAACAAGTACTTCAGCAGAAATGGATGAACCATGTTTATCGGATTCATACATGTGCTCCTGTTCGATCAGATTCATTGATGGCTCAGAGGGCACGCCTTCTTCCATTCCATGGTGATTATCATCATCTGGGACGTCTATCACTGTTTCTTCCTGAGTTTTTTTCATTTGATTTTCACTTATCGAACTCATCTTATTAGTCGTGGTACTTTCGATTACTAACGGTATTTGCTGTTGTCGTTCAGTTGTCAATGCCATCGTCGCAGTTTGCTTAGTATCATTTGACAATGTCAGAGTTCTGTCTTCGTCCATCGGTTCAGTTTCCACTTCTTCTTTGATCTGTTCAATCGAAGGTGGTTTCGAAATGTCCGTTGGTGGAGTCATTTCTTTATCCAGATCTATAATAGCAGTGATAATCTTACTGTAAGAATCACCACGAATCATGTCCTTTCTTTTCGCTCGTTGTATACATGGTTTCTTAACGAGTCCGGGCAGTTTTTGCGTTTCAACATGTTTCGGTGGTATCGTTGGTGAATTATCCGAAGAAACTTCATGATCCACCACATTTTTGTTTGAACTCATACTACTCAACGTAGAATGTATGGGTGACACGCTTGCGAGAATGTCTGAAATATCATTAATTAATGTGTCATATTTCGTAATAGTATTTTCAAGCATTTCAATAGGCCTAGCGGCAACGACAGATAGATCAACTGATGGCGAACGTTCTCGTTCGGGTTTTGTTTCTGTAGGCATTATTGCTGACTCCAATGTAGACGTCATAATCGGTGTTAGATGAGTACCTTTCTCGGTAAGCATTAAAGATGTGTTCGATTTTTCAACCTTTTCTAGATTAACATCGTCTTGATCGGTGTCATTGACTAATGATGAGTGTCGGGATGCAGAAGGTTTTGGTGACGACGATAGTGATGGAATACGATCAGTAGGTGGTGTCATCCTAGCAGTATTTTCATACGGCGACTCAGAACGATCAGTAACCAGATATGCAGATGAAGATGGTTGTGGCTGAACATCAGTTATTTCCTTCGACGATGAATAATTGGAATCCGATAGTTGGTTTTCAAATGACGACGACTTTTTAGATGAAACAGAGAAAAGGTTAGATGGAGGTGCTGGAATTGGATTGGCGCGATCAAATGAATTCGATGTTAGTATACTGTTTACAGGATTAAAACGAGTTTCGCTCGTTCTAAATTCATTGTCCGTAGATAAATCTATTCGCCTCGATACCGATGGAAGTGGCTCAACATTCGTAAAGATTGGAGTCGTTAGGCGATGCATAGATCTCCTGGGACTTGGTTTTGGAGCAAACATAGATAGATAGGCATCTGTATAGTCTGAGCTCGGTGGTGTGATGGATTTTCGACGTCGAAGTCCTCGTATGTGACTAGCCTCGTAAAAAGTCTTCGCCTTGAAACTTCGGGTTTGAATAACATCACCTTCATTCCATTGTTGTGACCATGAATGTTCAACGATGGACGTCCATGGTATATTAGAACTAATTGTCAATGGACGTCGATGTCTACCATAGACTTTGTCGAATATGGTCGTTTCCGTTTGAGCTGACTCCACTGATCTGAATGGTACAGAAGGCGTGAGAATTGAATAGTTATTTCTGAGAGCTACAAATAGAATAAATAGTAAAAAACATGCAACATAGTGATTATAAATGTTCTTCTGTTACCTGGACCGCTGTTAGTTTTCGTGCGGAACCGTGGATATGAATCTGTACATGGCCTTTCACTCTGTAAATGATTGAGTGGTTGCGTTGATAATGGTGCAAAACTTGCGCTAGAATTTACACATACGAAAATATTATGTAAAGGGTGAAATAGAACACTATGTACAGCGTACCTGTGCTCTTTTCCGTCAAGTAATTTTCGATAACCAACAATTTCTGAATGAAGAGATGATTTTGTTGACATTAAATCAGTATAATCCCGATCTAGTTCATCGAGACGTGTTTGTAAATCTTGTATTTGATGATAATGTTCGTTCGTTGCACGAATTTGACCATCTCGTTCTGCACGAATCGAATTTTCCAACTCTCGAATACGATTTTCAATACTTCCATTCTACAACAATCAAAGAACCGAAACTTGTCTCTATGTAAAAGAGAAGAAACACAACTAAATTACCCTTTGTCGCATTGCCGCTATATCTTGTCGAGATTCCGATATCAATACTTCTAATTTTCGAAATTCATCTTTGCTACGAACACTTTCTGTTTGTTCAATTGCTCGACAGGATTGTACGTCTTGAATCTAGTAGAACAGAAACAGTGAGCGCTTCGAGTTCGATTTATTCCTACTGCTTGCGCGACTTTCCATTGATACCACGCTTCTAATTCATTTCGTAGATGATAATTCCGTTGATCATATTCTGTGCGGATAGTTTTAATCGCCGCCGATAATTGATGTTCAAATAGATTGGTTGGATCGAATGATACATTGATTAAACTCATTTGTTTAATTTGTTCGATTTTTTGTGCGTGAAGACGTTTCAAAAGCTCAATCTCCTCTTCGAGTTTTTCTTTTTGATTTTCTAATTGAACTCGTGTAATGATTTCATGATCTAATTCTTTGGTTATCTGTTGAATATCTAAGATAAGATCTTGAGAGGTCATTCGATAACGTTTCTGTTCTTCTTGTAAATCATCTAGACAGACAAAGTGCGTACGCGTTTGATTATCATGATAAAATATCAAGAATTATCTGCCCATATCAATGTTCGCCTTGGATTCTGATGAAAGGAACAAAACTTACTTAGACGACGATGAAATAGATGGAGATCTGCTTCGTTGTCGCATATCTGCTTTTGTAACTGGTCGATTTTTCGTCGATCAGAGCCTTTTCCAACTAATGATGTAAATCTAGAAAAGCCAAACCGAAAATTTCGCTTTCGATTACAGCAGAGATCTGTTTCTTGTTTTTGAACATACTTGTCTTTTAATTGTGTAAGCTCTTGTTCGGCGTGTCTCACGCGAAGGTCAGCTTCGATACGATCTTTTTCTGTATCATCTATGATATGGCATGCTTCACGTACTTCGATTTCGTACATTTCTTTCAATCGATGTTTCTGCGAAGACCATTGTGAACTAAAAGTAGTTGTTTTATTTAGAAATCATCCCCCGAAAGAGGATTTCATAAAACAAAATCTACCGTATTTGATCGATCTCGAGTTGAAGTTTCCGGTTTTGACCTTCTAAAAATCGTACGCGTTCAACGTAGGCAGCAAAGCGGTGGCTAAGATAGTTCATATCATGTACGTCCGGCTTCTCAGTTTCTCTAAAAACAATACACAATTTGAAAATCATTGAACGATTATCGATGATATTAGACAGAAATTATCTTCGATGTGTTTGTTTTCTCTTTCAATAACAACAGACAGATCTGTCTATCATCTTCCGCAGATTTCCTCTTTATTCCTTCGTGGAAATCAACCCTTCGTTCGCTTCTTTTATAATCAAAGTAACAATTAACATCATTGGCGACAGACACATTGTCTAAAACATAGTAACACATGCTGACAGACCCGATTGACTCTTTCTTCTCATCCTATTCCGTATTGAATTACATGCTTAGGAAGGAAGAAAATGAGTATTGCTATGATAATCAATAAGTAAACAGATAATTAATTGAGCGAGTTATGTAAGATGATTTTGATCATCGAATCTATCCTGCGACGCTTACCGAATTGCAATAACAGTCGTCGTTGCTTTGCTACCATTCGATTTCAGTGGGATACCGAAGGAATTCACTGTTTCTGCAAATATTGTATGTTTGGATGACATTCTCGTCGAATAACTTGTAAGCAATTGAAAAGTGATCGAATCTTCTTCGTTGCAAACGGATAATGAAGAAGATTTTACAAGTAATTAAACTAAAACAATACATGTTTCAAAACAATTTTCAATCGAACGTCTATTCTACTCGCCTTGCTTGCTAGAAAAAATTTCAAAGCTCGAGATGTATCCATTGGAAAAGTGTAGAAGCTCTGATCTTCGTCAAAAAATCGTCTATATAACGAGTCCTATTTCTTTTCGAGAAAATCGAGAAAAATAGATAACATCTTTCTTCTCTTTCTTCTCATCAAGCGATAGATGTCTTATTTATATTACAAGTGACATATCTATAGTGTCGAAGCAAACAAAGTTAGTTCGAATTTCGTTAAGAAAAACAATACATTTGTCTATTTCTTCATACACAATTCTATCCATATGATTTAGTTGCATTCTGATAAACTAAGTAAATTATTTGCTTTACTTTCCTGAGGATATACAATCAAAAGAAAGAGAGAGAGAAAAAGAGACGAAGAGAATAAGCAAAAGTTGTTTTCCAACATTTATTCAATGGTATTGACATGCCGATATGATAATCGAATGCAGTTCATTAACGCACACCGCATTTCAATGATTTATGTCTCTATATTTCCAATAGATGATTGAAAGACTTTCTTCACTTGAGAAAGAAAACATCCAGTTGGCATATCGAGATGTTTCTTATACTGTAAAAGAACTTTATTCGATGACAGATGACGATATGATAGATGAGTTACTTGTCCACATGAAAAAAAGGGAGAATTCAGTACACTAACTCAAAATAAAGACCCAGGTTTTTCTCCGAAGGAAAAAGGGATTGCGGCTATTAGCCAGGAAATGATCTTGACAACATATTTAACATGTCAATATCTGATTGGAAAGAGTAATCTTAATCGTTATACATCGAGCTAATCTCGAAAAGAATTTTCCAGACGGAAGTAGTTTGAGAGCAGAAAAATGCCGATATTCTATCTGATATGATTCCGTTCTAGACAAGTTCTTACACCGCGCGTGAAAACTCAATACTCTCGAGTAAATGTACGAATGTTTCCTTCATAAATATACAAATATTGCCCTATAACTAACTCATTAGTTCCAGTTTAGATGACATACCGTTAAGATATATGTGGTTAATCAGCGTACACATTCATTTATTGGGTCATACCAACAACAGCAGCAACTTTGCGTTGTATTTACTTGTTTGGTTCTATTAGGACAACACTTTTCTCTTTTTCAATCTACTAATGATTGTCGTCGTAAGGATATGTAGAACGTTATCAAGATATAATAAAATGCGAAAGGAAGTTGTTGCTTGTCGCCTTTCCTTCGAAGGAAACGTCCTCTCTATTCTATATTCTCCTATCATCTTTCACGCCTGCAACTGTCCTTCTTCCACTGTTTGTTCTGTAGATGAAGGCAAGATCAACATAATTGTATGTCTTCAATTGAGAAGACATTGTCTATTCATTGGTATGGAAACAAATAAGATAGCTATTGTAGACAAAAAAAAGGTCTAATCTCTTTTCTTTATTTCGTATATAGATCATCATTAATATGACAAATATTTTCTTTATTTTATTGCGTCATTTGATAAAAATATTTATAGATGTTATACTCTCAAAATAAATCCAGTATAGGAAATTGTTTTATAAATTGATTGACAGAGATAAATCTGTCGTCGATTCGAGATTAACAAGTGCTCGAACTGTACTAGTTGATCATCGATGAATTTAATGAGACAAAATTAAGAATAATAATTCAATTCTATCGAGTGCCTTATAGTACGTGTAAGTGTTTATATTTATTTCGATTACAGATAAAATCTAACATATACATTTCTTACTAAAAACAATCAACATAAACAGATCCATTTTGAGATGACGGTCGAAAAATAACACGTACAGTTCGATGTAACACTTTTATTTTAATTCTGTGAGGTGAATTCGCGACGGCTTGATGTATGTGAATACGATCCACTAGCACCTCCTTGTCCACCGCTATAGCTAGCACCCGATCGACCAGGACTACCAACGATGCTGCCTATTCCTTGATTGGTTGCACTTGTGCCACTACTGGTGATAAACGTACGTGAAATAGTGGTATGACGACCACCACCTGAATAAGCAATTGAACCAGCGACACCGCCACCTGTTGCTCGTTCAGCTTCCATTCGTCGTGCTTCTTCGACAACGTGATCAACGATCTGTTTAAGACCATCACGATTGTTTGTTCCTTCCAAGAGTTCTCGGTATGTGTTGATTTCTTTCTCTAATGATGTCTTCATGTTTGTGACTTCTTCGTATTCTTTCTTCAATTGTTCTAATTTACGACGTAATTCATCGATTTCAGATGCACGTTTTTGTATTAATCGACTTCCTAAAAGTAATGAAATAGAAAGGAGAAATGCATCGAAAATTTCTGCATACCGTCGTCTCGTTCTTGATCGATATGTAATTGAAGTTCTCGGATGCGATTATTCAATTCTTCGTTGCGTGCTTTCATGTGTGCAACTTCGTTTCGTGTGGTTAATAATGTTGTACGCAGTTTTTCTTCTTGAATGCGTTGTTGTTCGCTTTGAATTGGATCAAGGTCTGGTTTTTGATGACGAAGAATCAATTCGTTATACGACATCATATATCGATTATGTAAATCTGCACGTTGTTGATCATTTAAAGCTTCGAATTCGTTGCGAATATCTCGAATAGCTTGTGCTAATTCGTTACGGAAGAAGTGCGATGGATCCAAGTTAACATCGACAACTGTTTTCGAGCGTAATTCGTTGAGATCAGCCTCGTGCATTTGTTTCAACATGGCTAACTCATCTTCTAAAGCCATCTTTTCTGTATCGAGCGAACTTTTAACGAAGGTTTCATTCTGAATTTCGTTTTGTAGGCGAGCAATTTCCGATGCTAAGCGTTGAGTTTCGGCTTTGTATCGTCGTGCTTCGTCTTCGAGATCGGCTAGACGACGGCGAAAGAGATTGATTTGTGCTTCATTTTCAGCGATCTGCTGTTGAAGACGATCGATGGCTGAACGGTCAGTTTCTCGACTGTTTAAAATTTCTTCGTAACGTTTACGATAACGACCAGCTTCTTTTTCAGCATCACGAGCTTTAACTTCAGCTGCTGCCCGATCGCGTGTTGTGTCATCGATAAGTTTCTTTGCTTCGCTCATTTCAACTTCATACATTTCCTTGATCTTGGATGAACCTTGCCCGGCTTTGTTTTGAAGGGCATCTAATTCCAATTGTAATTTGCGATTTTGTGCTTCGAGGAAACGAACTTTTTCAACATATTGAGCAAATTTATCGTTCAATTGGCACAATTCACGTTTTTCTTTTTCACGTGTTTCATTCACAGCAACTAACGCTGATGTACCACGATTTGGTCGTAATGGAATACCAGCAAAATTGCCAAGACCTGCAATTGATGCTAAGTTGGATATTCCACCACCAATGCTTCCAGCACTGAAACCACCGCTGCCACCACTTGTCGAGTAAGATTGGTACATGCGGGTCATGATACCTGGTGGGCCACCTGCACGACGTTGAACATTGGTTGTTCGGGGTCCGATTTGCGATTTGTAGGAGCTGTAGGAAGAGCTGCTGCTCTTGGTAAAATCGTTGTCGAAGTCTTGCATTATATTGCTTGTAGTACTTGTGTCGAGGAAATGATCTGAAGGGAGAAAGAAGATATTCAATGTGCAAAACAAGAGAACACACGCACACACTCGCACTATGTCGAGAAAAGGAGAAGAAATGAGTGTCGTATGAAGAAACATGTCCTTTTATTGATCATTTCTTTTCGTTCTTTGTGTTGTATGATTCGATGAGAAAGAACAAAATGGAGAAATATTCTATGTTCGCCTGTACTGTACCCTTTCTTTCGCTCGGTCGTGCCCGTTGTCTTGCACACACACATTTAATTATTTTTTTGTTTGGTATAAAAAAAGGAGCAATCTCTCTCTCTCTCTCTCTTTCTTTCTTTTTCTTACTTTGCGGTTAGTTACCTACCGCACATACGAGACAAACAATATAATACATCCTAAAGACACCGACATCGATGAAGTGAAAGTGTAGAAATTGAATACTATTCGTTCTGTGTATGTTTGACCGATTCAGAGCAAATAGTATGTCTAGTTAAAATAGAGAATTCTTGATATCCATGCAAATAATAAGACAGGCAAGATAAAGGACACGCTCACAATCGATAAATATCTCGCTCACAACGTACACCTGAAGTTGTATTTACTGGTGAATCAGATATGCAAATATATATTTATTGATGCTAAGATTATATAGGGAAGGCGAAAGAAATATGATTATTCAAACTGAAAATATTATTTTTGTCAATCGGTTTCGTTTTCACTTGACGTATTCGAATGCGTATTAGCCATTCAGACCATTGCCAGCAGAGGAATACGTTTTTGAGTATGTTACTTCACGAACATTATGTGAGCTACTTGGTAGAGATGAATTCTTAATTAAGCGTAAATTCATCGAATCTAATAAAGATCTTCCTCGATGCATAATTTTCTCCGCTTCTTCAGCGAAATGCCGGAGACCGACTTGATTAGTGCCACCTTCTAATAACGTTCGATACCGACGTATTTCTTCCTCTAATGTTGTGCGGTATTTTTCTAAATCGTTGATATAACCTTTCAAACGATCAATCTCTTCCCGGTAGCGTTTTTGTTCATTGAGCAAATGTTGATCTTCGTGATATGTAGACGACTGAATCTGTTGACGTATATCCGCTATTTGCCGATCGAGATCCTGATTTTCCATTTGTAAATTGTTTACTCGGCCACGTATATCCGCAATACTACGCGTGATCTCACGGATTTTTTCCGTTTGCCATTGAGATTCAACAGGTTGTTTTGGTTGATGATATTCAATCAGAGCACTCACTTTTGCTTGATAATAGTTTTGTAATTGTTGTTGCTGTTGATCAGTTATATTTTCGAATTGTTTACGTATTTCACGTATAGCATTTGTCAATTCACTCTCAAAGAAAGGTGCAGGATCAACATTTGCGATGGCCACTTTCGAGCGAAGTTGTTCAACATCGAATTTATGTGCTGTGTCCAATGCTTTCAGTTCTTGTTCGAGAACAGCTTTTTCTGCCATAAGTAATTGCTTTTGCGTGGCTTCATTTGCTATTTCAGTAATAAGATTAGCAATGTCAGCACGAATTCGTTGCAATTCCGCGTTGTAGAGAGCAATTTCTTCATCGTTATCGGCAATGATTTTTCGAATCAGTTCAATTTTTTTCTCTAGATCAAGAATTTTTTCTCGTAATTGCCGTAATTGATCTTTTGCACCATTGATTTGATCAGGTCGTTGAGCATTGGCCAAACGTTGTTCAGCTTGCTTTAAACGTGCTTCGGCTTCTTGGCGTTTGCCTTGACCAGAACGTATGTCATCGTCCATACGTTTTAAAGTATCTTGAGCTTCGCGTTTTTCACGCGCAATGATTTCTTGAATGCGTTGTAAGCCAATGCCCTTCTTATTTCGAATATTATCCAGATCACGGCTGAGTTTTCGATTGACAGCTTCTAAGTAACGGATTTTGCCGATGTACTCTGCAAACCGATCATTCAATTCTGCAAGTTGTCGTTTTTCTTCGGTACGTTGACTGTTGAACGGAATCAACGCCAAATGTCCGACACTGGCACTTCGTAACGGCATGGCACTACTGGACATCGACTGCGACACGGTCATTTTCGATGTTACACTGCGATTTCCACCACCTAGAGTCTTCACTGGCCGAGTGACTATAACTTGCCGTGGTGTTATTGCGGACATGTAGCCGACAGCCGTATCTCCTGAACTATATGCATCATAGCTCGAGATCGTTCGTGGTTCGCCGGTATAGGTTTCTTCGCGTTGAATATCGTAGATCGTTGGCATCTTTTTCTTCGACTGTGAGGAAGATTATGAAGTCGAATTTGTTTTATATACGCGCAAGTATTCGTTGAATATCTCATTAAAAACGCTTCAATTCGAATATTAGAACATATTATTTTGTAGTTTTCATGAGAAACAGTCTGTTATATTCAAGGTTGGCAAGTGGTAATAGAGTTTTTATTAAGAGTGGCGAGAAAAAAAACCGCAGTTGTTTTACCTGTCTCTGCTTTTGGTATTGGCCATGAAAGAATATTGGAATGTGATGGTACCGGTTGACAAACTGAAAATAAAAGATTAGAAGTATGAATAGAAAAGTGATGTTTGATGTCAAGTTGAGATTCATAGAAAGATGTAAACGAGTAAATTTGAGGAGAAAAATCGAAAAATGAAGTTTTGTATCCTACTCTACCTGCTCCTGTTGGAATGTTCGATGGTTTCTTCACGATTAGATCGAGATATTCACATTGATCGTGCCATAATGAATTCAATAATAAATGATATTGTTCAAGTGATGCTAATGGGGAAAAATGATCAATACCGACAATTTCATCACCCACATTTAAATCTGGACAATAAGTTGAATCGATAATTGATGAGATCTTGATTTTTCCATCATCTGTTTGGTCTATTTCGAACCCGTAATGCCCAATATGGTTGCCTTGCCGTTGGACAGATAATTCAAAATTGTTGGAATTGAATTCCTTCACGTTCGGATTTTCATCGATTGGCGACAATTGTTTTTGTTTTTGTTCCACTTCTTCGATTTGTTCGAGGATCTTATGATATTGACTAAGATTCATCAAGTAACGTTCATATAATTCTTCGAAATCTTCATCGATATCACTTGTTATTTGCCGGTAATTATTCTCATCATTCGTCGGATTTTCACTTTTTATAACTGATCTATCCTGAGTTAAATTCAATACACTTTCCGCATTGATCACGCCATCGTCTTGTTCCTCAATCAGTTGTTCATCATACGAAAACACTAAGTGATATAAACAAGCAGGATTTTGGTTGATTTCACATGACGTTTTCGACTCGTCGACGTCTAATGACTCTAACTCTTGTATTTTATTGATATGATTGAGTGTTTCAATTTGTTCGAAGAAATTATCCGAAAATATACTCGATTGAATCGATGATGTTAGTGCATCGTGGTAACAACTATCATCCGGTGATGTGATGGTCTTCATTCGATCATCCTGTTTGACGATTTCATGGGAATCGATTGTTTGAGGATGAATGCAAGTTGTTGCTGGATTTGGCACAGAAAATAGCGAATGAAGTTCGGTATCGATCGAAGATTCTTTGTCCATATGATAAGTCAGCGCAGCTTGTTCGTCGACATCGATCAAACTGTCGATATCGATAGTATCGTCATCTGCTTTGATGGCTAGTGGCTCGAGTTTTGGTGATGATGAATTGACCTAGAAGGAATAAAAAGCATTTCCAAACGAATATGTTTAATCAGTCGATAGGCGTACATCATTTGTTGGTTTGGTGGATGGTTTCGAAGCGTTTTGTTGTAAGAAATCCAGATCGAATGCTGAAATGATATCACTTGCTTTCTCCATGGAGATTTTCTGTTGGATATCATCGAAAAGTGATGTTTCATCTTTCGATGTCATCTCTGTTGAGTTTACTTTGTTATAATCAAAACGAACGTTGAGTAACAGAGGTGATGGACTAACACTCGTTCGTTCGCCAACTGATGTTCGAAAACTACCTCGAATAGCATCCTTCTCATTGGAACTCGAAGGTGTTGGACGATTACTTAAACCTGTCGACAGAAATGTTGCCATAAATAGTGTTTGATCATTCTTATCAAGACGAAATTTTGGTAGCGGACATTGATTTTGATTCAACGATGATGTGGATGATAAACTCCACGGCGGTGTTTCATTCCAAGCGTCAATCATAGGTGTATGGAAAATGTACTGGTTTTCTTGCAAACGACGTGTTTTCCTATCGATCTCACCGTATAACTCACGAATTTGATCGTGACTGTAACTAGGCATGGACAATGGGAGAACGGGAGAATTCGCTGCTTCGTGGGCGATTTCACGGCCACGAAGAATCATGGCATTGGTGTCAGGTCGTTTAACAATTTGACGGCGATAAATGAAACAGGCATCCGTGAGAATTTGTGTTGATGGATTTTGATGTACTGGACCCAACTTCTGTGCTAATTTATTTAAACCGCTAAACGTTCATAGGTAAGTGATGGATTAATTCAAACTATTCATTTACCTTTCTCTGTTTGATTGCATATCGACATGATCTGTTGGTGATTGTTTGACTAATGGTCGATCTTCATTATTTTTCACTGTTAAAATTTTGTTTTCTTTAGAGAAAAGACGATGCAACCGAACAAGAATAGAGAAATTACACTTACGATCCGTTTCATTTGTTTTCTTCGGAATTGATTTGCGTTTTTTGATCGAAAACGATTTCTTTTTATTTGAAAATAAACTCAAAAGCTTCTTTGATTCACTATGTACAATTGCTGTTGATGTCTGCGTATCGTTTGATTCTTCACGACGAGACAAGTTTTCGAATTCATGTAATGTTAACGAACCTAAATGCTGAACCGTGGCGTTGTTAAACACCGAACGATCTGCACAACGACAGATACCGATTTGAATTGTCTTGTTCTGTCGGCGTAAAGCCGTAAATTCAGATTTGACACGATCAATCGATAATGCGACAGGCGGTTTGATGATATTGGTGTCATTGAGAAAGATTAACACGTCACCTAAGAAGAAAGTTTTATTAGAGATGAACATCGATCGATTGATGGCAAGGACGTACACACGACACCAACCGACTAGATACATTCAGATACTTCGAAAAAATGTCAAGGGAAGGATGATATCTGGCTAGAAATGCGATGGGTAATTAGAGTAATATACTTATTCTTAGAAAAGCAAAACGAAAAACAAAAGTCTACTAAATAACATGAATAAAAACGTAAAAAGATGTCTTAGAGATATCTCATTAATATGCCGCAAGAATCGGTTTATCCACTAGCTTCACTTCTTGTCCATAATGATGCGTTTCAAACAGGTAAATATAGTTTATTCCTTTGACAAGAAAATGCTTCGGAATGTATAACGTTTTCTGTGGGCCAATTTTCCAGTATCTTCCTAAATTGTGTCCATTAACAAATGCCACACCTTTACCCCAACGCGGACCGGGAGCGAGAAATGTGTCTTCGATTTCCTGACTTTCTTCGATAGTGAATGAGCCACGAAACAGTTTCGGGCCACGAGCAAGATGACTTGTTGTACTATCTTCACTTCGAACAAATGGTTTCCAATCAGTGACACCAGTCAGACCTCGATCGAATTCTAATAAAACCATCAGCCATTTTTTCAATTCGATCTTCTTATCTAAGAGAACATTGTTCAATATTCCCTTTCGACTGTAGTCCAATCCAGTCCCATAATTGATTCGTCCGAGGTTTTCAACAAAAATTGTCAACACTTTCGTCTCAGCGGGAATTTCATTTTCAATCGCATACGATGTTTGATTGGCATAGTAAACATTTTCACCATCGACTAAAATCGTCACACTGTCGGCGACTTCAGGTATCGAGATCGTATGTTGATCAGCAGCTTTAATCAATTCGGGAATTTCTTTATTGATATAAACAATATAACCTTCGGTTATCGTAGTCTTCTTCAAATCTTCCATTCCTAGTGGACCAGTTTCGGATTGATACTTCGTTCCAATGGCAGAATCTTCAAGAATTTGTTCAAAAGATTTATAATCTGTTATTTTCACCTTTCCGTACGCGATCTTCTTCGGATCGGTTAAATCTTTTGGTTCAAACGTATCCGCTGCTGTCCGTTCATGGTTATAAATCACCAATGTCGGATTCTGTTCATAGAATTTCTTCAGAACATTCCGTATCGCATGATACTTTCCTGTCATGTCACCCGATTCAGAAATCGGTGCGTTATAATCGTATGATGTGACAGTAGAGACATAATGTTTCATTTCGAAATGATTGGCACCAGCCGTAAATCCAAAATTCGTACCACCGCAAAACATATAGAAATTCACGGAAATTTCGTACTGCGCAGTCAAGAGAATTTCTTCGACATCTAATTCTAGTTCGTCCGCATTGTACGGTGTTTGATCACCAGTACGATGTGGTTTACCCCATTCATCAAACGCTCCTGTCCGATACTCCGTAATCATCACATGCGCTTCGGAACGAAATTCAATCAATTTATCAACGCGCGTTGTTACTTCTCGTTGGAAATTGATTGTCGCCCAGACGTTATCTAATGTTCCTTGTTGGAGAACTCGTGGAGCATCGGAAGTGAAAAAGATCTCATCTAAACCGTGCTTGACATACATCGAGCGGAGTTTTTCTAAGTAAGCCTTATCTTGGGAATAACTTCCATATTCATGTTCGATCTGAAAAGCTATGATTGAACCACCAGTACGACGGTTGTATTGATATTTGGCTAAGATTGGAAAAAGAGCATCGTAATATCTTTCAACAGCCTTGATATAGCCGGGATAGTTACTACGAACAATCATTTCATCGTCGCTTAGTAACCAACTCGGTAAACCACCAAAATCCCATTCAGCACCAATGTATGCTAAAACAAGCAAAAGATACTCATGATTGTTCAACTTATTTTTTTTTTATAAAGCAAGGTGAAAAATAGTCTGGCGTTTTTTTTTATCATCGAGACACGGTAAATTAAATCATCATTTTCGACAAAATCATGTTCTCATGTTTTTGTCCTTCATTCACTACTCACGTTTGTCCCTCTAGTCCAACCTTGGTCAACTCAAATTCAAATTATGAGAAAATGAAACATTTAAATCAACTTACGCGAAGGACGGATGATTGTAAACATTTCATTTTGATGAACTAATTCCAAAAATTTAATCAAATTATCAAATTGATATTTGCCCACTTCACGTTCATGAACATTCCACGGTACAAACGTTTCAACTGTATTCAAACCAGCGTCTTTCATCAATGCAATTCTGTCTGCCCATGATTGAGGTACAATACGAAAGTATTGCAAAGATCCGCTCAGAATACGAAATGGACGTAACACCGTTCTCCTTGGATCATCTTCTTTGTATAAACGTATTGACAAGCGTCTTTCCTCGCCAAGAATTAACGTTTGATTTCCATATTCCGACGGACGAAGATGCGCTCGCAAAATCAGAAGAAACACAACTGACACTAAGATTAATCGATATCTTGGATTGGCTAATCGAGTAAGAACGGTTCTTCCAAATGGTGATGCTCGGAATTTTCTTGTCATGTGCATTATATTTAACTTAATCATTTTGATCTTACAATATACCAGTGTATGTTGTAGAATATTCCGATGTATACGCTTTTATTTTTCCACGGTTCAATGAAGATGTGGGCGCGCACGCACACGTATCAACTGTATTCCCTGACAAAGTCGCGACAAAAAAAACTTTTTCCTTTTTTCAACAAACTGTGCATAGAATGAAAGAAAAAGGAATAAAAATCATTCATCCTTAACGTTAACATAGTACGTTAACGAAATGCAATAGCTAAATCATATTTATGCTATTGACTTCAATGACAAATCTTTGTCGTCGCAAAGCACAACGAAATTACATTATATAGAGATATTTCACAAAAGAAATCCAGACACATAACTCACCATTTCGAACGCCGATCTTATACAATCCATTGGATACATTATAAAAGATTAATAATCGTTTGTCATTCGGATTCTTGCATAGATGGATACTTCGTTCGCGACTGATATTGAAAATATAAAATTCAAGGAAAAGATTTCCATCATCAGTTAATTGAACGATTCCGTTGTTGTTATTATTATTGCTATTGCATTGTTTCTTTTCTAATTGTCCATTATGACTTGCAAAGCCAAGATTACCTAAGCAAGAACAAATGAACGTGAAAGAAAACGAAAGCAGTGGAGAAAAAAAACTACCAGACAATGTACGTTTTCTCATTTCCGTTTTTAATAATGACACGAGTGCGATCTTGTCGTGTAAATCATAGTAACTATGCGAATTGTATTCAATGCTTTCCATTGACCTCTGAATAACTAGGAGAGTCTAGTGAAGAATTCCTATATGTTCTCTGTTCAAAGACAAGTTAAAGTTTATAACAATGACATGATGCTAAGCTTCTCATTTCTTTATGTACAGTATTAATCTTTACGAATATAAGAAAAGAAAAAAATAATTACAACGATCGGGCGGGCAAGGCGAACGAAACGAAGATGATCAACTGAATTGATTAAATCGGATCAACTCTTTCTTTCGATCGTCTGTAAACGAAGGCTAGTGTCATTGTTATTGTTGTTTCTATGATCAACTACGAACGTACGAAGACTTCCGGGTCATATCGAAAGCGACCGAGAGAACGAAATGCGATATTTAGACATGTTTAACTTACTTTTAGCAATGCTAGTTCTTGACTTCGAATGATCTTTTACATAAGACTTTGACGAACGTAAACTTCCATAAAAACTATGCCACGAAAGACAATCAACCATGGATATGTCACCGACAATACCTTAATTTCTGTATATACAAGACAAAAACATGCATATATATCTAGAGAAGGCAAGAGATAAAAGAGAAAGAATATCAATGAGAAGAACATACTAATATCGATATATCTGACTACTGTCTCTTCTCGTTCTCTTCAACATACATTAATACAAAGAAAGATGTTCAATTTTCTTGATGACGTTAAGATGTATCTGTCTCGTCGTGATAGAAAAAGAACTGATAAAAAGAAACGTTTGATAATCATAATTTTTCGTTCATGTTGTATAAAGCAAGATATATAAAAGCGTACTGAAGTGACTGACTGATCTCTTTCAAAAAAGCAGTCGAATAGATCGTATGAGGAGAAATCATAAGTGAACATATGTTCACCTTTTTTTTGCATCATCGAACATGGATATCCACGAAGACAGTGTCTTAAACGATCATGTCTCTTTTTTTACCTGAGACTTTCTCGTTCGATTAGAAGAAATGACATAGGAAAGAGATCTGAACGGATGTCCTTTCATTGATTGATCTATTTATCAACAAAAGATTAAACACATACATAGAACGTGTTGAGCTATAAAAGAAAGGCTCATGCGGATTCTTTTTATGTCTTATTGATCCTCTCATATCAGAAAATTTTTCTTCGAAGATGTATATCAACAATTTAGATTCTAATAAGTAAATCTGATGACGAAAGACGCACACGTCTCGCAATGAGATGACGACGGCAATTTCAACCGGTATTGTCATGTCGTCTATTGATCCATTGTTCTCTCTTGAAAAAAAAAAGAAAACGAACGCGAAGTGCGACGCTGAGAACGAAAGTGTGTGTTATTCTTAGCCATCACCTCCATTGTTCAATTGGATCGAAAACAGACTACAAGAAAGACGATCGTATAATTTACTTCATTAAATTCTTCGACATACAAATAACATTCGTTCGATACTTGATAACCGCATTAGGAATACTAATAATGACGAATAGTACGAGTCTAATTAATATAATCTTGTATGTAAACAAAGGTATGCGATGAAGAAAGAAAAAGAATCAGTTCAAGTGGCATCTTTTCGCCAATAATTGAAACTTCTCTTTCACACTTGAAAACTGTTGAATAATACTTACAATCATTCGAACCGAATGAACGTAATCGAGATAATGGAAAATATTTCGTCGCTTTGAAAATGAATGAGGAAAACATTGCTTTGTTTTCCTCAATTATTTGAAGACTTCTGTCTTCAGAAAAGAATTGTAATAAGAAAAGAAGAACGAAGTTTTCTTTCACGATGTGTGATAAAAAAAAAATAATCGAGGATACACAACTGGCACTGATAACTTCTTATTTCAAGGTTCCTTCTCCTTTGACAAAGTTACACATAGGCGTCAGATGAATAATATGCATTTTATCGTCTTTTCTCTCTGTCTGCATTGCTCATCAATCGCGGAGAGCTTTATTAATAATACAACGAATTCCTTGTGAGCATACTTCTCAGATTTTATTCATCAATATGCATAAGCGGAAAGAAGATAAGTCAGAATTTTTTGTTCGCTTGGAGACTCAGCATAACATATGTGATTCATTTTCTGCTCGAGCTATTGTTAAAGATATGAACTGAAGTGAAAAATATTCATTCGAATAGATAAACGAACAGATTATATGTATCCCAATTGATCGAAAGATAAAGAAGAAATGAAAAAGAAATCATGTGTAATGATCTATTTTGATTGATTAGACGTTCTTCACTGGTTCGTTAATCGAGACGTTTATATGACAACTGAAAACGACGTGTGTCGATCAAATCTTTCTGTCGAACATGTTCTCATAATCTAAGGGCCGTACAATATACTCGCGAACAAAGAACAATTCACCTTTCTTTTGCCATCATAATATAGGTGTTCAAACAGATTTTATCGATCAACTTTGAACGTAAATAACCTGCTGCTATTGAACAAATCGTTCGTAATCTTTTGTCACACAATGTACTTAGAAAGACTGACTTGAATTTATCTTTCCGTAAGCCGTGGTACAATCGAAATACGACATGGACATATTGTTTTTACTTCTCTAACTGTATTATATTAGAAGTATTCGAATCGTCATAATGAAAACAAACGATTTTCTTTCAATGTATAGAATAAACGATCGCACCGATGATTAAAACGGAAAAAAAATGTGCAAAACAAACCGTCGTCGAAGTGGATTTTACAGCTACCTGTATTTTACCTCGGGTTACCTTGAATCGGAAAAAAACCTTGTGCTTAAAAGAGTTCATATTGGCCGCGTGACGAATATCAGCAAATGAAAGGTACTTGTCTCACTCGTATATATTTACAGAAAAACGAAGCACACAATCACAAATTGAAAATGGATAAATCCTCGATGAAAATGCTCAAATCAAAGTTTTTATTCATGTGTCCAATTAAAGAAAAAAAAGAGACAGAGAGAGGAAACGATTTCTAGATATCTCTAAAATAATTTAACAATTAAAAACAAGAGTTTGTTCTTTTTCACTTATAACGATGAACCATTCATTAATGTACATCCTTGTGTATGATGATCTTGCAATTGTCTTTCTAATTTGGTTATATCCGCCTTGAGAGTGTCAGCAATGCCTACTAAATCCTTATTCTTGCCTTGTAATTCATTGACGCGTTTTTGTAGCTCAGCAATGCGCGTTAACTTTCTTGTACGACACTTTTGTGCAGCTTGCCGATTTCGTTCACGTTTACGCTCTTTTTTTATTACATCGTTTGTGTCACCCGACTGTGACGATCTCATTGATGGCACATGTTGTAATTCATCTTTCATACGATTACTATATATATACGATCCTGTTGGACTTGATGGCGCCGTTGAATTCGATGAGTCATGTTCATTCATAGATGATGAAATCGAGCGGTCGCGCATTGCAGACATTTGTGAATTGCTTCGATTCGTACGATATGGAGAAATCAATTCGGAATTTGGTTGAGCAGTATTGGATACTATTAAATGCATATCATGCTGAAGAGGATGCGTCGATGGTTGAATAGGATGATTAATGTTAGTCATGGTTGAGTCAAACATTTCATGAAATGCTCTCGTACCTGCAAAAATGAATAATAATAGTAATTGCTTCTATATAATTTCAGAAAAACAAATACCTGGTGACGGTTGTCCATCGTTATATGCTTGCGGAGTCACTAAAACATTGATCAAATCCGGTGTTGATAGAGAAAACTTGTCGTTGGAGGTGAACGATAATGAATTATTTGCATACTGATTATTGATTGGTAAAGTCATCGGTCGTGCTGATATTTGCGGCACAACCGACATGTTGGTCATTGTTGGATGCATACGGCCAGGATAGGTTTCATACGATGAATTTAAATCATTTTCAACTTTGATACTATTGTCAGTCATTGGGTAAAAGTAGGAAAATATTGGATCAAGAAAAAAGAAAAAGAAATAAAAAATAAAATAATATTTTCAATTTGCTTCAAATATGAGAAAACGTGTATTTATATATATATATAGGTGAATGTACAACTAGTCGTTTTGATCGACTGATTGCATTAATAAAGGAAGAAATGAAGAAACTGTGGGCGAAGAAAAAACTGAGTAGGTGCACACGACAAGCGAATACATAAAGATGAGTCACAGGTTTTTATTGACTCAATTGTATTTATTTATTGAGTCAGCCAGAAAAAAATCTCATTGGCTGAAATGGTAAATCTCATTGCGATATCATATGAAAACAAAACGTATCACAAGGCAAACGAATTCTAAACGGATATTTATCAACTCCCAAACGCCATCTCTCATTATTTATATGTGTCTGTGTCCCTTGCACAAAACATGCTGAAAGTAGAAAGAGAAAAATGAACATACTCAATTGAGTTATTGTATAGTTTAAAAAAACGCACAGGTAACCGATTAGAAAGCATATATACGTCAGCTATTTTTACACATGTGACTGTGATGTATTATTTTTTCGTCGTTTTCCACCTCTCTTAGCTAGATGATAATGATAAGAAGGTGAATACTGTATATTTACTAGCCAATATATTCTACGTTATTTCTTCGATTGTCTCAGATATACCGTTTGTTTACATAGACCAATAATTGTCACATTTGATAAACAAATACGGAAGACTAGCTTTGCGAATTACGTAGTGCTTACGTCAATCATGTGTTCATCAAAGGAATGTTCATTTCGTCTGAGTGGAATAGTCGAATAGTTGACAGTTGCAGTAAACGAACTCAAAAGGTTACTATTCATCATTAAAACTAAAAGAAAGGTACATATGTAATGGTTATTTCGTCTTTTTGTTTTCTATTAAAAATTCGAACGCACAATATGTCATTAGTCGTACATTAATTGCTTTGATTTCGTATTAATCGCAATATATGACGTAAATCCTTTCGATAAAAAAAGGTCGAGAAAGATTTATTCAATAAATACTTGAAGGAAGAGAACAATAGGTTAGACAAAACCGTATATATATATATATTATGTATCGGAAAATAAAGAGCCAAATCAGTCAGTAGTGAACAGATAATAGTAAATGGTTTGGTTTAGAAAGAAAAAAGATATCGACTAGGAATAGTAGATTTCAAGTTTTGCCGGTAAAATCGAAGCAAACCCAGATATGCAACATCGTTTGAAGCAAAAGGAAGGTTGAAATTGGATATATCACAAAAGTGATTGTTTTGTCTTGTAATTATCACTTATCATCTAAACATATGCTTGTTCGGTAGTTGGTAATATCATTTTAGGTTTTTCCCAAGCATAGAGAACCGTAGCTGCTAACACAGACAATGTTCCCATGTAAAAAAATCTAGTTAAACATAAGATTTTACTGACGAATGAGTCGAAAGAATTCACTTACGATGAAGGCGTGAAGTCATGGAGAAAAAAGTACGAAATTATGCATGATAAAACGATGGATAGAGATGTCGCAAAACCTTTGACAATATTATCAGCATATTTAATTACATTGGCAATAATCAAACCACCAAATGCCTAGAGGACAAGAAATCATAATTAGTCATCATTAAATATCCATTCATTTGGCTTACTTGAAGAAAAATGACTGTCCACACTATGTTTGTATATCCTTGAAAAAAGCCTTTCTCCATCACAGCTTTTCCATCAAAACAAAATACAACGATCAATCCAAAGATGATACCAAAAATTGCTACAAAAGAAAATTTATATGATTTGACACGGCAAAGTTTCATCTTTACCTAACTGAATATTTTTCACCCATACGGACGACGAACTTGTCTTGAGAAGTTTTTCAAAGTAAACTCCGCTGAAACCGGACGTAATAGCTGATAATAATACTGCACCAAAACCAATTGATTGTTGAAGCCATGTGACTTGATTTTGATTTGATGAACGTTTCGCTGACTCTTCACTTGTAGGCCACTAGAAAAATCAGAAATCATCATTTATCATTGAAGTACTTACAATTTTCATCTTACCGTCACAAGTGCAACACCAAGTGCAAGCATGAACAATGAAAACCATTGATGTTTGTCTAGTTTCTTCTTGACCATATACACAGAAAACAAAGCAGTGGTGAGAATCTTCAGTTGATATGTGACTTGATATGTTGCAGCATTGAGATATGATAATGCAATAAATAAAAGATTATTTTGAATGGAATAGATTCCACTCGGGATGGCTAATTTAGATGTTTCATATGGTTTCTGATAAATTTCTTCTTGAACAACTCGACAAAATCGAGTGATTGAACATCCTATTTGAACCAATCATCGTGTCTTATTCAAAAATGTTAAAATAACGTACCATTTTCCCACCAAACGAGAACAACAGATAGTAGTCCTTTGACAGCTTCCGCAGTAACAATAGCTGTCGACGACAGATATTTTTCGGTTTTTACTGTTCTTGAATAACGTAGAATAAGAACAAGGCTTGTATTTTGTAGCACAAGTGCAATAAAACTGATCCATACGCGCGGATCCTTTCTTGTCATCTTTAAATATAATACAGTGATTACGTGCACCGAAGAGTGTGTATCTTTTCGTTGAAATCAACGAGTTTTGTTAGTCGAGAAAGTTGGTCAGTGTGGATACTTACACGGCGCATTGTTTAAAGAAGAAAAGAAATAATAATTTTGTGTTTCGTGCGTATTTTGTGTTTAAATGTGAGTGTGTTGATAGAAATTGTATATGTAAGAGGAAGTAGTAAGCAAATAACGTATACAGAAGTCCCGTGAATATACTGCTAAGAGTCATAGACATCCATGCTTAGGTAATAAAATTTTCACAATGATTAGATTGGATTCGTTTTAATAACAAGATAAAGACCAATAAAATATTTGTTAATAGCAACAGAACAACATACAGCGGTGGTGTTATTTGTCGTTTTTTCCTACCTGTTCTCCCATAGACGTTGTCTTTAAATCTGAAATGAGGCCGTAAAAGGTGTTATATGATTTATGCTATAATATGAAAGTTTATCACGTCTCATTCACAGTCTCCTACGGCACCAGACGCTTTCGAAACTGTCGACGTCTGAAAGGCTTCGTTTCTGCAGTGAATTTGAGAGTGCACAATTGGGTCTTCACTTTACTCGTCTAAGTATTGAAGTAACTATAGGACAATTGTGGTTTGCCACACTGTCACCCTTGATATGAACAATTTATCAAGGTGAGTTCATTGACAAATCAAACTTCGATTCAATATACATGCATACAAACATATAGACGAGTTAGTATAGCATTGCAATCGAATCAGTAACGAATGATATTTATTATTAGTACAGAGAATATTCATAGAGCGCGATTGAATTACAAATTTTTGTTGTTGTCAGATGTGAATTAAACACATCGATTCCATAGTCCATGCTTCACCGGCATTATACGATAACCTAGAAGATCTTCCAATAGATGTCTCCTATAATCGAGGCAGTTGTAAAGAATGCAATCAATGCCATATAACTATGCTACTCAACAATGTTAGAGAGAATGCCAGAACATGGAGATAATCTGAAATTGCAATGAATTCAACTACATCAAGTAAAAAGAAATAAAGAAATTCGATATCAATATCTTCGAAACATGTTTTCGTGATTTTCATGGTCATTCTAGTAGAAAGTATTCATGAAATGTTGATATGGAGTGTGTTAAACATTCATTGTCCACTAGTTGAATAACAAGTGATTCGTATAGAACAGTGGTGTCTAACCCGAAACTTGAATTCGAGTATTTAATTATTCCTGTGTTCACCGCCTCCCTACACATCGACCTTTCTCTCCTTCTCACAATGCTAGTCTTCGTTTAATTCTTCTTTGCGGCAGTGCCTTATTTTTGAAATAGTTCATATGTTGACTTGGTATGAATAACTTTCAATTGACATGGTGATACATTCGACAAAGTAATAAAAACTAGAAAAAGATATCTTATCCAAGTGACGAAAAACTTTCAAAGATCTCTGAATCGTTCAATTTGAGATTGAGGTAAGATTGCTTCTAGCTGATCAGATGTGTCATTGTAATCGATTCGTATAAACGCCAATCAGTAGAATGGATCGAAGTAATTTCTTTCAAATATCACGTTGAATTTCGCGATGTTCAAAACATCGGTGAAAAGCTGCTTCATATCAGTGATTCTCATGTATATGTATTTCTATGATTGCATATGCAATGCTTTTAGATGTGGTTTAGTACTCGATTTCAATGAAGAATAGTGTTGTATCTTTTTGATTTGCTCAGTTTTTGAGCATCTGTGAAAGGCGAAGCGTATGCGCATCATTGTCTTATTTTCTGATTGGTCAAAAGATGATGACCAACAGAATTTCAAATAAATTATATAAAAAACTTGAAAATTTCTTATAAATTTCTGTAGAAAAAAATATTATTATACAAAATTATATTTTTTCCTCATAAATGAAGAAAATTCGTTTACAAAAAATGTTTTATGGAAAATTCTCTCTCATTAGCCTTCCTACATCGTACATCGTCACTGTCTTCTCCACCCACGTTAATCAGATTTTCTCTTTCGTCACTTTACTAGTGTGTGTAGTCGTGTGTGTGCGTGTGCGCAGTCTCTTGTTGGTACAAAAAAAAGTACAAAAAAATCTATAAAACTTTTCTCAAATTTCACCTTTGTGTGAACCAAAAAAAACGTAAAATCTCTTTCAAAAGCAGAAAATACGTTAACTACCCAATCAACTCTATTAACTCTTTAAACAAAATATACATTCAAAAAAGTCGAAAAACCCAACAACAGTGCTGAATAACAAAAAATATGGCTAATACATCAGCTCAAAGTTATCCAATGGCCTCCTTATACGTTGGTAAGTTGAATTCGAACTTATTTATCTTTTTAATAAAAAGCGAAATTGTCTGTTTTAGGTGATCTTCACCCGGATGTCACCGAGGCTATGCTATTCGACAAATTTGCTAGTGCCGGTCCAGTTTTATCCATTCGTGTTTGTCGTGATATGATTACACGTCGATCACTTGGCTATGCTTACGTTAACTTTCAACAACCAGCCGATGGTATATTAGAAGAAAGAAATAGCTGTCCGTATTGATAGTATTTATTTTTTAGCTGAACGAGCTCTCGATACGATGAACTTCGATGTACTTCGTGGTCGTCCATTACGTATTATGTGGTCTCAACGTGATCCTGCTTTACGTAAATCAGGTGTTGGCAATGTTTTTATTAAGAATTTGGATAAAAATATTGATAACAAATCGCTTTACGATACATTTTCGGCCTTTGGTAACATCTTATCATGCAAGGTAACTATTCGGGATGAGTGCCAGCTCGATTGAAAATGGTCCTGTTTAGATCATGACGGATGAAGCTGGTCAATCAAAAGGTTTCGGTTTCGTTCACTTCGAAACACAAGAAGCTGCTGACAATGCTATTAATAAAGTCAATGGTATGTTACTTGCTGACAAGAAAGTTTATGTTGGTCGATTTATGTCACGTACTCAACGTAACGATGGTGGCGTACCTCGAAAATTCACCAATATATTCATCAAAAATTTTGGTGATCAACTTGACGAAGAAAAGTTACGCGAACTTTTTTCCAAGCACGGCAAAATTTTGAGTTTCAAAATTGAAAACGATGAAAACGGTCATTCGAAAGGTTTCGGTTTTTGTAGTTTCGAAAATCCCGAAGAAGCTGAAGAAGTAAGCCGAAGATAATTCGATCGATAATTTTCCATATTTGTGTTTGTTTTTTTTCATTGAAAGGCTGTACAAAATCTTAATGGATATTCGATTGGTGACAAACAACTTTACGTCGGCCGATTTCAAAAGAAGAACGAACGGTTATCGGAAATTAAACGTAAGAAAGATGCTCAACGACAAGAACGCATGAATAAATATCAAGGCGTCAACTTATACATCAAAAACTTGGACGATACAATCGATGACGAACGCTTACGAAAAGAATTTTCCAAATTTGGAACAATCACAAGTGCTAAGGTACTTGTTTTCTATGTTACGGTTTGATAAAGAACGTATTTTTCTGTCTAGATCATGTCTGAAAATGGCCGATCAAAAGGTTTCGGTTTCGTCTGTTTCAGTGCACCTGATGAAGCAACAAAAGCTGTTACGGAAATGAACGGTTCAATCGTTGGCTCGAAACCACTTTATGTCGCTTTAGCTCAACGTAAAGAAGAACGTCGCATGCATTTAACCAATCAACATATGCAACGCATCGCAACAGCACGTGTACCGCAACNGATTATTAAGAATAGAAAACGAAGAAAAATTCTTCATCCATATTTGTTTGATAGAAGATTCTTCGTTTTTTTTTGCAGCTGTTATCTATCTAAAAATCACACGATAAATTCCATCATTCATCGCTATAAATATGAGATTGACATGTTGTTTAGATGGTACTGATCAAGGACAAAAGACAAAATCGAGCTCATTCTTTTTTTTTCCCGTTGTATATTTGAAATCGCGGTAACTAACAAGAAAAATAGAAAATGTTCGTCAAGAGATGAACGTCTTTTTGGTTAATGTTGCACGTTCCTAGAATGACATCGACGGAAAGAGATAAATATATATTGAAGAATTTTGGTAATTACCTTGCCGTCAGGGTTGATTAATGTTGTGACAATATGTGAACCTGTATGCCATGTTGATACAGACGTAGCAATTAGATCATCGTTATTTTTCAGTTCAGATTCGAATGCTTTGGCTAAGATCTAAATAGAATCGATTGAAGAGGATGAAAGGATGGATGCCAAGGTTATGAGGATTACTTTAAGTGAATGGTTCGCTTTGAGAGGAGCATGTTCAGGAAATGTGAAATGTATTTTCTCGCCCGTATTGTTTTCTTGACATATTATCCAATTAGTAAGATCAATATTTTTTGACTGGCTGGTGTTATCGACAACGATGTAATGTCCTTGCGTATGACATTCAGATATACTAATGGGGCCTTTAGCAGACTTTTGAAATGTTACACGAGATTGAAGTGCTAGGAAAGAAAGATACAAAACAGTAAACTATACTTGCTTATAGTGCTTCAAAAGTTCCCAGAACTAATTGTTATGGCATTGTATTGGACATTTCCTGTCTTCTAATCTATTTTTTGTACGCTCTGTGGAATTAAGTAATATGTGTTGAATTAATAAGCTTGATTGTCATTCTCGCTAAGATACTCTACCTGTTGTTTGGTTACACGACTCTGAATACATCTAAGTATTTATGAATACGGTGGCTTCCTCTTAGATGACTAAGCTTGCCGACGCTCAACTTCGAAGATTCTTTCTTGAATAACTTTTTCTTGATGCATTCGACTATTCGGTAGAATTATCACCTGCCTCAAGCTCTACTCGCTGGCAAGTAATGACTCGGAAATCTCTAAATGGGGGTTAATCGAATGCTATTTCCGGAAACTTTTCGATCACGCAAGTAGATCAAAAGATAGTTCTATCACTAGACATACGTCCATCTGATCCTTCTGTAGTTGTTGTAACTGTATTGACGTTGTTTAACCAAGTTGATGGTATCTGTTGATTACTCTTTTGAATAGACAATGATGACATACTAGTTGGATTCGGAGAACTTGGTTTCAAAAGTGGATTGGACGAAAGATCAGTTTCTATCGATGGGCATAGTTGTGCATCGTTGGGCGTTGATGTCGATAGACGAAATGTAATTTCATCACAATTAATATTCATTGTAATAGGTAATGACACGCCACGTTCACGTTCACATATCAGAAAAATACTTTCTTCAGGACTTGAACATACTTTATTTTGTAGTTGTTCGTGTTCCGTCAGTTCCATTTGTCTCTGTGGTCGAGCTATGGATGAAGGACATGTTTGATAGCTATCTGCTTCGGAAATATCAAATGCGAGTTCATTTGCTGGCTGGTTGAATGCATCGAGTGTGTCTGGTCGTAGTGGTATACCTGTGGTTAAGATTTCAGTCGGAATCGAATTCATAGTTTGATCGCGATGAGGTTGGAATGATAGTGGACGTCGTAGAGAGTCAGACACTGGTGCAGCAATCTATAGAATGAAATAGAAAGAAACAGTGAGTGTTATGTGTAGATGTTTAGAAACATGATCTAGAATGATAGTCAGCTTCTTCATATGTGTTCTCATCTTTGAACTATTATTCGGTCTGTGATGAGTATGTGTTTATTTAGAAATGATTAATCAAAATATGTCTACCGCCTCTCATATAAGAACGAGATGCACATTCACATGTGTTCGATATAGGTCATAAGCTTGACTAATTTCAAATTGCATGGTTCACACCCATGGTAAATGAATAGTATGTAATCATCTTTATGAGAGAATTTAAGATAAGTTCTGTGTCTTACTCGTGTTCTGACAACTCCTTTGGTTTCATCATCTGCATCGTAGTCGATTGGTAAACTTGTATCACCCTCATCTGTTGTTGTTCGCCACAGACCAGGATATCCTGGTATAATATAAACATCATCAAGTTGCTGCTTCGCTAGTGCTGGTGAACTTTCATGGCTCGATGGTGTAGTAACAAGATCGTAACGATGATAACGTTCATCATGAGTACTTATACTACTACTTGTTTCTGTTGTTTTATCACTAATACGATGAATATTTGTTAGGTCATGTTCTTCGAATTCTTCATCGACATCTTCGTCAGTACTACTTGTATCTAAATTTTTTAGTCGACATGGCGATGAACGATAGAGTCTTCGGTAGAGTATGTCGTCTGATTGCGATGTTAGATTATCCGATGCATCAAATTCGGTTAAATCATCGTCTTTGAGTGCCGATCGATGAGCTACAGGTAGTGGTTGTAGAAAACGTTTTTCTTCTCTAATGGCATAGTTCGGCATATCTTCTGATATCGGTATGACTGGTAAACGATCTTGCGAGGAATCATGCATTTGATGTATTGCATAAGAAACATAGCGATCTGAACTAGTGATAGGAGACGATGTCGTTGAACTTGTCGATTTCTCTTGTGGACGAAAATGTTGATCAAGTGACAAGGGTGAAGCAATACTATGACCACGTAGAGCGTGAATTAATTCAAAAGAATTCGGTTCGGTATTTGTCGGAGATATTCGCCCAAGATCAACGTTTAGGTTCGGTACAACATTTTCATATTCACTATTCGTCGATGTCTAAATAAGATAAACGTAATGATTTTGCCTGCAGTAACACACATGAGTCGACATACCAACTGTTGTAACACATCATTATCAATCTAAACGGAAACAAACAACTAGATCAGTTTCACATTCAACATATAATTATCTTACTTCTATGGTTATCGGTTCCAAAACAACTGGATCTTCACTGATGCGATCAGTTGTTTCAGACTGCGATGAAACTATTTCGGTGGTGTTATTCATCAATTTTTGAACAATATTTTCATGATGATTATCAGCAGGTTTCAGTTCACTCTGACGGAAAGAAAGAAGATTTTAAAACAGACAAAAAAATAGAATATTACCATTTCCTTCGTTGCTAAAATATCGGTATTCTCTAGAGCAACTGCACTGGTGGATGATGGAGGAAATTGACTAGTGTCTTCCGTAGTCAGTTTCTATATTGTAAGAATTAGAAACGAGACGAAAAGAATGAACATTACGTACTTTGGAAATTATTGTTGTGGGGCTGGCTCGCTCTTCTGAAGCTAAAGTCGGAGATTTTTCATAAGGGGCAATCTGTTCGACTTCTTCCAATAGAAAAGATCCAGTAGGTACGATTTGGATTTCGGAAGCCTAAATAAAGAATTGTACAGAAATATTAGGTTTTTTTTCAATAGAATTACTTTGTTGATCACTGGTTGATCGCGTGTCAGAGAAAAAGAAGTAGAACACACCATACTTGCAAGTGTATCGTCAACACTGACAAATGATGGTGTCGCATCTTCTAATCTCTCGTCAGCAATCGAAGTATCCTAAATATACCGATCGAAACATACTTATACAGTAGAGATGACATACCGTTAATTCAATTGATGCATATTCAATTTCAGAGATATCTTCTTGACTTCTCATATCGATTTCGTTGCCAGGCATAACATTTATTTCTAACGCCTCCAAGTCCGTTTGGATAGCCGGTGTCGTTGAGCTTGATGCATCATTGATCATAATGGGCACATCAGCGTCACTTACAACATAAGGGGCAAAATCAGTGGTAGACTCTTCCGGAGCGCCAGTACTCGCAGATGGAATAACACTGATTGCTTGCATTTCTTCGACAGGCGAAAGAATCTAAAACTTTAGACGTAGTATAAGATTCCCTTGTCGTTATCTTACCGGTTCTGCAACTGATGGAGTTTTCACATCGACAAAATTTCGTTGTTCTGCTTTTGCTTCAATCTCATTCAATAGAATTGTTTCTTGTGTAGCTTCAGCTGGCAGCGTATTTGTCGATTCTGTTAAATTTATTGCACTATCATTCAATTGTTCACTGGAGGACGGAGTAGGTGACTTCTAAAAAGTTGATTGCAAGAGTACTAGTATTAATGACATATTATTTTCATTACCTTCATATCTTTCGTGAAAATCGATTCTACAGAAAGAATCGTTGGTAGATTCTCTTGTTTTTGTGTTGATGAATCGTTCGTTACTGACTTATGCTTTTCATGTGTTTCTGTAATTTCCTTATTTCGATTGGTATCATACTGAAGAGAGTGATCTGTTTCTTGATCGTTCATTCCCACCGGAGTCTTCATTTGCATGCTTGTTACGACATTCGGGATATCTTCCATATGCGACGTAATTGATGTCGAAATGGTTTGACGAAGAGCAGTCAAAATAGATTGTTCAATACTTTCAGAATCAATTTCTGGTGCATTCTATTATAAGAAAATAACGTAAAGAAAGCAGACATACACAAAGATCTTAATAAGTGTTAACATACTTCTACAAATTGTGTATGATCACCCAAATAACCATGATAGACATCACTACTTATGTAGCGATTACTAATCAAGTCTGACAATCGATCGATGGGACTGACAATTGTTGGAAACGGTGGTGGCATTATAATTGCTTCATCTTCTATGATATTAACTGGTGGTATGCTAATTTCATTTTGATTTGCTTCATTCTCTGGCACTAGTTGGACACCAGTTTCTATATTGACGGGATGTTCTTCAGCAGATGAAGCACCCTGTTGAAACGACTCAGTTGTAGCGACGAGTTGAGGATTAAGAGCATCTTTTGTGATATTTAGTGGTTCATCTTGACCAATTTGAAAGTCGCCTGAATCTAGTGAGGTTGTTCGTCGATCAGCAAATTCTGAAGAACTTGATGATGCTTCGATCGAACTGATCGATTTGATTTGTCGCACATGAAATTTAGTTCGGATCTTTAGTGGAGCAAGTTGAAGTTTAACCGTACTAGCTTCTGGAATCTGCGGTGCATCAGGAATGGTTTC